TAAAATCATAAGTTCTTGGATACGTAGAGAATCCTTCACACCAATCTTGATATGTTCCTATGAACCCTCTCTCATAAATCACACCTAACGTTTGCTTCTCTGCATCCACAGGAACCACATTCATAACCCAAGATGGATACTTAACCATCGCAGCAGCAAACCCTCCAAGATATGCATTCATGTCCATAATGTTCCTGAACCTTCCCCGTGGAAGCTCAGGCATTATCTGTTTGTAATATGCTATTCTCTCCTTCCAAACCTCGTTGTCTTTCTTGAATTTCTCAGCATTAATATCCGGTATTGTTCCCCGGATAATCCTAGGTGGCACCGCAAAAGCTCGGTCCGGCCAATCCTCCAACGCACCGCCTGCGTATTCCTCCGGACTGTTTGCCTCTGGCAACGGCGTTACACAAGATTCCAACTCTTTGTACCTGTCACAAATACATCACTATCATCAAGAGTTTCACTAAATAAATATGGATAATATAATAAATAATAGAAAGAGTACTTTACTTTTGGAAAAGTATAGTGAAAATATACTAAGACACTTTTGCAATAATTGAAATGTTCCTTTGAATTTACAAGGTTTTTTTTTAAGTAGTGAAACAAATCTCTATTAGTATATATAACAAAATTTGAAAGTTGCATATTTAGGTAAAATTCTTATGATCAAGTGCCTACTTTTGTAATCATTTCATATACATAAAGAGCTTTTGAGAGGGGATTAAAACGTTACCAAGCGAAATCGGATTGATCTGATTTGCTGCATATAGGAGGAGATTTATGAACTCTTTTGCGTTTGATACACTCAATGTGATTAATTGGCTTTTGCCAAATAGCGAAATCACCCTTATCTGCAATTTTCTTCCAACAAAGAGTTTTTGCTGCGTCTTCTATTGAATCTTGCTCTTGTTTCAAATCCTCTTGTGTTCTTTCCCAGCCTTTCCAGTGTTTCTTCCAGTTAATCGGTGGGCCCGAGAGGATCCAATAACCACCCGGTCTTAAAACCCGGTCCACTTCGGTCAAGTATAAACCATCTACACGCGAACAATTAACATTTTGGTTAAAGTTCCCACATCAATGAAAAAACATGATGGAGACAATTCAAGAAAACATTCTCATTACCGTTCTGAAACCAAGGAATCAAACAACGAGAACAATGAGCAATATCAAAAGCTCTAGCTGGATAAGGAAGCCTTATTGATCCCATAATCCCAATAATCGCAGGCACTCCACGTTCTAACGCAAACTGGACTTGAGCTTCATGAGTATCTCTTGGCGCAAAAGACATAGCCACAATATCTCTCTTCAACAAGTAAGCACCAAAACTCGCAACCTATAAACCAAGAAAAAACGAATCATATGGATGCCTTGAGTGGCAAGAAAACCAAAGAAAAAGATTAATTCATCTAAAAAGGTGGTAGAAATGGAAACTTACACCACATCCTGTATCAATAGCTGTTCTAATGCCTCCATCAGTAAGAGGAATGAGTCTAGAAAGCTCATCAATGTAAGCATCAGCTCCATTTGGAAAACCTGTGCCACCACCAGGGAATCTAAATCTTTCACCTTCTACTTGAATCCAGTTCTGGATTGCTTTCTCGATACTTAGCTCCTTGTGTGGGATGTTGTCGTACCAAGCATAGTCTCTGCTCTGAGGCCATTTGAATGGAATCTTGTAGTTTGGTGGAGGAGGAATAAGACAATAGAGAAGCTCATCTTTCGAAGGACAATGCCTCTCTCTGTATTTCATCATGTTTCTGTCGAATCTTCTTCCTCTCTCTCGATCTTCACATGGAGTGTACTCGCTTAGAGACATGTCACATGGCTTGAAGTATTTCACCGTTTGATTCGTTACCTTGAGCTCGAGTTTGTGATGGCTTTCGAAATCTAACTCAGCTGGTTCTGAGTCTGAAGAGGAGAAGGAAGAGGAAGAAGAGAGATTCTCATCAGAGGAAGAAGATTTAGACTGTGCCTTTTTTTCATCACACCCCATTCTTGAGTAAACCGCAGAGGAAGAAGAAGGGACAGTGTTGTTTTGCCAAGCTCCAAGAACGTACGACAAGATGCAGAGACCACTTACGCAGAGGATCCAAAGGAGTCTTTTTCTCTTTGCTTCTGCGTGGTGGTGGCTACTGTTCTCTTTCGCCATTTTCTTGAGATGAAGCGAAAGAGTTTGCAACTTTTATCTGAATTTAGTAAAAGAAGAAGCTAAAATCGTTTGTAAGTTGATGGAAAAATCAAGGTGAAATGTTAAAAATGTAAGAAAGGTTATAGTGGAGCTCGGAGCACGAGGAAAAGGGATCCACCATCACAGGGAAATAGTGATAAAGAAACAAATCTGTCTGAATTTTTTTTTGTATAAAAAAGGACAATTGGGTCTCTATTCTTTAGCAAAAAGCCAAGAACCACACTTATTATTAGATGTGGTTTAAAAGAAAGAAAAAAAGAGATAAAGTTGGAGTGTGACTAGCCTAATTTTTCGTTTTGCCATGTATACACACACTGTTTGTAGTTGAAGAAAAGAAAAGAAATTGAATTATGCAGAAATGTATTCGACAGCAAGAAATGTGAAATCTATACGGGTTTAAATAAAGTCAAGAAAGGGAAAACTACAAAACAAATTCACGTGGGCACCCATAACTTTGGACTCTACGGATTATATAATTATTAAGCTCTCCTCCTGTCCTATTCAAAATTTTGGTGATTGATACTATATGAAAAGCGATAAAGCATTGAGAAGATAATAAATGGGGCATAGTATTCTAGACAAGCCAAGCACAATGTCAGAATTTTCATGTCCCACGAAACTGATGCTAGAAGTGTCGACTGTGTACAAGAATTCTTCACACGTGACATACATATTCGTATCATATACGGATTACATTTAACATAGACACATACGTAATTACGTACACATGTGAATATATATATATATATAGACGTTTCTTGGTTCTATGAAGCATATACATAATACAAGTTAAGATGTTATGATTACATGCAATGAGTTTCGTGGTGTAGAGAGAGAGACATTTTTGGTGTTTTCTGTTGAATTTAACTTATTTCAATCGCTTAAAACCAAATTTAACAACACTTTAACAAAATTTGGAACCAACCGAAATGACCAATCGCTGATTAACTCCATAACTTTTTATGTATTGGTTTACATATAATTCCAACAATTGTATCAATTTACATATGCATAGTGTCAAGACGAAGAACTCGTGCTTCAACTATGCAATGAGTTCATTATGTTTTTATATAACCCTTGACATGTGCTCTAACCTTTAAACCTCTCTCTCGCCTAACACAATCGTGTTCGAATGTTTGTTGACAAATACGTATCTTCAATCATAGGAAACAATTCAAACCTAAAACCATGACCTGAGCACATACCAAAATCAAAAGCATGGTAATGATGATTTATGAATGCATTAATTGGCTCCGTAATATTTGAGCCTAGAGTATGGACTTCTTTGGAGGTCAAATGATTTATAGTGGAGCCAACACACTCAAGTTATGGGTCTAGGATTGCATTTTTTTATCAATAACTTGGTCTAATGGTCTTTTAGGTTTTTTTTTTCTTGGATTCGAACTAAAGATAATCTAAGAAACTCAGACAAGGAAAATAAAGGATGCCTAGAGAAGAGGAAGAAAAATTGGAGTTTGGTATGCTTAAAACAATTGAGGAGGTCTTTGAGTCCTTCAATAGTTGTAATTTGTAAACGGGTTTTCTTTCTTTGTGTGGGATTGGGTTTTATAACAAATACTTGTTTCTTGTCATTTGAGCCAAAATGTTTAACATTAACATGCCCGCATTAGCTAGTGTAAGGTTGTTCAAGTGGTAGGATCGAGAGGAGAATTCTAGTGTAATGTATTCAGACTTTTGTAGGATCGAGTCCAAATACATTAAGAACAAGACAAAATGTTAAACTAAAAAGTAACAGTAAAAAAGAGTTTCTCTACACTAAGAGTTTATGTGGCTACAATATTTTTCAAAGTAAAATTATATATGGTAAACGATTCTCCACAAACTTAGGAACAATGTTTAGTATAAACATTTTAGATTATTTACTTCTAAGTTGTACCAATGTTTCAATTTGGAAACCGCCAATAATGTTTTCACTTTGATAAACGAGTACACTTTCGTAGAGTTTGTATTATGACTCGACAATTTTGTGCCGACCCATTATAACACACTGATTCCAAAAAATATTTCTGGGTTTCTTTTTCTTATTTCTTGCTCTTAAAACCGTCGTCGTGGAAATTGGTGTCATTGTGGAAATTGGTGTCAATTCATAATGGAGCGGAGCTTATCTCAATCTGACCAATTGATCTGTCAAATGAGGTTCTTCTTGAATATTTCAGCTCAACACTGATCCAATCAGATCGATCCGCACATGTATAATAATTAAAATGGACGGATCCATCATGCGTACAAATTTCGTATAATGTAAAATTTACAGTTTTTTACAAATATTTCAAAACTCTTAATAGTAAAAATGACTAACGTAACAAGAATGAGCATCTGAATTAGAACACCTAGGTTTGCTGGTCGTATGACTGACTATTCAAATGTAAACAGTTTTGAAATGTGACCACATTATCTATTGTTAGTTTGCGTATTTGGGGTTTTGTTGGATCGAGTCTGAATACTTTTATATCATGAATGATTTATGTATGTTAAATTACATGTCACGCTACATGATATCTTACAAACGAAATTTGAAATTAAACATTTTGGATTCATTTCTTTAAACTTCTACCAATCTTTCGAATTAATGAAATTTAACTGTCTTGGCCAGAATAGGCTGCGAATAAACAGTCCGGCCCGGCCCATTACAAAAAATTGATTCGTACGATAGAGAGGAAACCTGTTTCTAGGGCTTCTCTGTCTTTGTATTTTCTTAAAATCGCCGCCGTGAAACTGGTGTCTACTTCTCTAGTTCAGACCGAGAGGCAGAGAGAGAGAGAGAGGGAACAAAAAAAGGTGGGAGAAGATGAAGACGATTCTTTCTTCGGAGACGATGGACATTCCCGATAGCGTAACCATCAAGGTTCACGCTAAGGTGATCGAAGTCGAAGGGCCTCGCGGCAAGCTCGTTCGCGATTTCAAGCATTTGAACCTCGATTTCCAGCTGATCAAGGAAGAGGAGAGCGGGAAAACGAAGCTTAAGATCGATTCGTGGTTTGGTTCCCGCAAAGCGAGCGCCTCCATCAGAACGGCTCTTAGCCACGTCGATAACCTCATCTCCGGTGTGACCAGAGGTTTCCGGTACAAGATGAGGTTCGTGTATGCTCATTTTCCCATTAACGCCTCCATCGGCGGTGACAACAGGTCCATTGAGATCCGTAACTTCTTGGGAGAGAAGAAGGTTTGTTTTTCCTTCTCTCTTGATTTCTGATTCGGCTTTGTGTAGATTTTGGAATCAAAAAGAGTGCCACTAGATTCTTGTAGAGACTGAAATGTTATCTAGTTTGCCAGCATTTGAGCTTAACATGTAAAATGTGTGTTTTATTGGGAAAACAGGTGAGGAAGGTTGAGTTGTTGGATGGTGTGACCATTGTTCGATCTGAGAAAGTTAAGGATGAGATTGTTCTTGATGGTAACGACATCGAGCTCGTCTCAAGATCATGCGCTCTTATTAACCAGGTACTCTCTCTAACTGTCAGATACAAAGTTGATATTTTTAGTAATCTGAAACTTAAATTGAGCTTGCTTGGCCGAATTTGCATATTGTTGGGTGTCTTAAGCTTGAGAAACTTTTTTGATTAGCCTAATTTGGTTGATGTTTGAATTTGGGATTACATTTTGCATAGTGAAGCTGCATTTGAAATTGTTCTGTGATTTATTTTACACATTATTGTAAGGGTTTATTTTAATCACTAAACACAATCATTTTGTTTCCTTGTAATGTGTAGAAATGTCACGTGAAGAAGAAGGATATCAGGAAGTTCCTTGACGGAATCTATGTCAGCGAGAAGAGCAAGATTGTTGAGGAGGAATAGATATATAGTTATATATATGATGATCAAAGCTTCATTTTCTTCTTTTTTTAAATGTTGGTTTTGTTCTACGGACAAAAAAAATCCAAATCCAGAATCAGATTATCCCTTTGTTTCGTTTCTGTTCGAGATTTTTATTTACTTCTGCACAAATCCAACTTCGTGGCACAAATCAGCGAAGCACAACTTTCAATATAACCAATGTAGAACAGACGCACATTGCATATAGTGATTACTGATTACTATTACAAAGCCAACTCCGCATTTCTTAAACATGCAACAACAAGCTACATAAGACTTAAAAGAGTCGAGAAGCAGTTCCTGTTGTCCTGATTCCAGTGGTATAATTGACGCGAGTTAAGGTATCAGGAGCTGAGATTCGGTACCAAAATTTGTTATAATTTGTATTAGGGAAATTGAAACGACAGAGAGAGGGTAAAGATTTTGTCTCCAAAACTTGTGCATAGTAAAATAAAAATCTCGAACAAAAAGGAACAAAGCTGTTTGTTTTTTTCTGCAACACTGGTCCGTAAAACAAAACTAACATTCGAAAGAGAAGAAGAAAGTGAAGCCTTGAGAACATCTTTCACTATATCTATTCCTCCTCGACGATCTTGCTCTTCTCACTGACATAGATTCCGTCAAGGAACTTCCTGATATCCTTCTTCTTCACGTGACATTTCTGCACAGCAAAACAAAAAAAAATCATTGTTTTTAGTAATTAAATTAGGCCCTTATGTGTAAAACTAATCAATGATCAACTAAATAGAGTTTCACTATGGAAATTGTAATCCCAAATGAAAACACCAACCAAAACTGGCTTTAAGCTTAAGACGGCCAACTATATGCAAATTCGCCCAAGTAATCTCAATTTAAGTTTCACAATCTTAAAAACATGAACTTAGTGTCTGTGCTAGTTAGAGAGTGTACCTGGTTGATGAGAGCGCATGATCTTGAGACAAGCTCGATGTCGTTACCATCAAGAACAATCTCATCCTTCACTTTCTCAGACCGAACAATGGTCACACCATCCAACATATCTACCTTCCTCACCTGTTTTCCCAGTAACCACATTTCACATGTTAAGCTCAATGTTGACAAATTAGATAACATTTCAGACTCTACAGGAATTTAGTGGCAGTCTATTTGATTCCGAGAGAATTAAACCGAATCAAATCCACAAAACAGAGACATTAAGAGAAGGAAAACAAACCTTCTTCTCTCCCAGGAAGTTACGGATCTCGATAGACCTGTTGTCACCGCCGATGGAGGCGTTGATGGGGAAATGAGCATACACGAACCTCATCTTGTATCGGAATCCTCTGGTAACTCCGGAGATGAGGTTATCGACGTGGCTAAGCGCCGTTCTGATGGAGGCGCTCGCTTTGCGCGAACCAAACCACGAATCGATCTTAAGCTTCGTCTTCCCACTCTCCTCGTCCTCGATCAGCTGGAAATCGAGGTTCAAATGCTTGAAATCACGAACGAGCTTGCCGCGAGGCCCTTCAACTTCGATCACCTTAGCGTGAACCTTGATGGTTACGCTATCGGGAATGTCCATTGTCTCCGAAGAAAGAATTGTCTTCATCTTCTCCCCAACTTTGTTGTTGCCCTCACTTTCTCTCTGCCTCTGTTTTGCTCAAAGAGAAGTATACACCAGTCTCACGGCGGCGATTTTAAGACGAAGAAGACAGAGAAACCCTAGAAGCACGTTTTCTCTCTATCTTACGAATCGTTTTGTTTTAATGGGCCGGGCCTGCTCGTTTAAGCGCAGTCCATTCTGGAAAAGAGTTCAATTTCATCAATTCGAAAGATTGGTAGAAGTTAAAAGAATGAAATCCAAAATGTTAATCTTAAATTTTGTTTCTTGAGTAACATGTAGCGTGACATGTAATTTAACATACATAAATCATTCATGATATAAATTTATTCAGACTCGATCTTCAAAACTTATGGTTTGAATCATAAGATCCGTTGGACCTAGATTTCCCTCCAGAAATCCGGCCTATAAGGCCTATCAACCTTAAGGACAAGATAAGTCCATCCAGGCCCAGTAAAATGACATCGAGCCCACCAAATATCTTTGTCCAAAATCAGTTGTTTACTATCGGAGTTACTTGTGAAGATGAAGTCGAGCTCTACCTCGATGGAGTCAAGTCCGCAAGCCGAGCTGAACGAGTCAAACGAGAAGCTGCATGTGGACGAGATACGCGGAGGAGGTTGCGATCTACTTCGGGAGCTATAAAAGGAGGACGATTTTAGTTTTTTTGGGAGAGACTTCTTTTGATCGAAAACCAGAGACTTCTTTTGATCGAAAACCACAGACTTCTTTTGATGGAAAACCACAACTAAAGTTCTTCTGATCATCTTTTTACAGCAGAAACAGAGTGAAGTTCTTCTACTTTGTCTTGAGATATTCTCATATCTTTTCTCTTCGATCTTATCCTTGATCTTTGAGATAACCCTAGAAAGCCCTGATCTTTCTAGCCGGAAATCACTTCCGGCAGAAGTTTGACGTAATCTCTACCTTCGGATCACTCCGATAACCTGAGATTTATCGTCATCTTCACACCCCTTTAGCTCTTTTCGTGGTCATTTCTCTTCAGAAAACGACTCGAAATAGAGAACAACTTACAATCGAACTACGTTCTGGCTTGATCCCTAAAACAGGGTACGTAGGCAGCTCGTTACGAGCGCAGCCACCACCTCATTTCCATCTCTTTTGCTTAGTCGAATCCTAGTGTTTTACATGGTCTTTTAGGCCGGTTTTGTAACCACTTTATTCGATTAGCCTAAGTCCGATTTCGTCAAATATTTGTCTACGAATCATTCGACTTACATCAGAATCTAACCTCTGATTCCACATGCAATTTCTCCCTACAAAATACACATAAATTTTGAGTGTGGTTTTCCGAACCAACAAGATCATATTTTACTTTGGCATCCTAAGAGTAGATAGTATGGTCACATTAAAAAAAATGTTTACGTTTGAATCTTTCGTTATACGATCAGCAAACGTTAGGTTTTATAATTCAAATGCTCATTCGCGAAATGATTCATACCATAATTTTATATTATACGAAATTCGCACATATCGGTCAGTCTATCCAACCAATCAATTTATCACGCGAAGCTTTTCTTGATTTATCGTTTCAGTACCAATCGATCATTCGCGAATCTCTGTTGATAGTTCACTTACGAATGCTAATAGAGCGACTGGTCACCCTTGGATCATGCCTAGTTTACAATATGGATATTGTGAACTATTTAAACCAATTTTCAACCATTGTATAAACTATGATTTATTTTCAACCATTGTATTAACTATTTAAACATATATTCCCGGAGTGGTAATTAATTAATCCCTTTGAACATATTTTTTTCTGTAAATTCTGGGGGAGAATCTTCACATTTTGGAGAAAGTTCTTCAAACCCCTATTTTATTTTCTTAATATCATTATGCAAATTTCTTTCATCTACTTATGATTGTAATTCAACCTATGTTTGACTCCATTTTCCTCCAAATTATTTCCGCGATCCAAATTGAAATGTTGATGGAACTAAGAAAAAACTATCACAAAATGACTTAGTTAAAAGTAATTTCTCAGATTTAAAGGCATTATAAAAATTAGAAGAAATATGCGATGTCATGTGTGTAACTTTTTTAGCAAAAAATTTAGTAACATTTTACAGCCTAACTTGATTGGTTTGGTTTAATCTCTTGATTCAGATTCCAGTTTCCTATACGTTTAATAATTTTATATTCGTTTATAGCTAGACGTAACACTAGTGTTTATCCAAAGACTAAGATCTTATTATAACTTAGCTACGAGGACATCAAAATCGATTCAAACTGTTACATAAATCTTATGAATTAATAAAGACAAAGAACGTCTCTTAGGAGAATTTCCAGAATCCAAATGAAAATTATTGCTCTGACGAAGTTTGGTTTACGTCCCTAGATTCTGGTACAACCCACAGGTTTAAACGTCGCAACGACGTAGACACCTAAAATATTTGACAACAAACAATATTAGCTCAACAAAAATCACTTGCCTGAACAAATTAATTATTTTTTTGTTTGATAAATAATTAATTCAACGAAAAAGTATAGGCTAATCAATATCTAACCTGTTGATCCCAATCTGTTCTCATAGTCATTATAATCAGCACACAAGTCTGAACGAAAACTCCAAAGAGCATCCCGATCCACACACCCTAAAATTAAGAGAAAAACCAACTTTTAGGCTATTCTTAATTGTTAGTTTTGTTACTTTTACACATTTTTTTTGTCTCCAAAACCAATAACAAATGAGAAAAATATAGTAAACTTTATAAGTAAGCTTACTTTGACTTGTAATCCAACGACGTAACCAAGGACGACACCAGTAGGAATCCCAACAAGGTAGTAACAAGTAAGGTTAACGTAAGTAACATATCCTTGCCATCCCGCTCCAATAGCAACTCCTGTTCAAATACAAACAAGGTTTCAAAACACATGTTAGTTCTCAGGTCGATTCGATTTCAACCACCATCGCGCACCAAATAGCAACAATACGTACCAGAGAGAACGGGTTGGATACTGTTCATGAGGATGGAAAATGCTAAAAGTGGAGAAAGAGAGGCAACTTCTTCGGCGACAGCTTCACTTGTAGTGAAAACGTAGGAAACTCTTCCTTTTAGAAACAAGAAGACGAAGAACAGAACTAGTCCTATGGATAGTGACGTGAAAACGGCTGTCATTGTTGCGAACTTGGCTCCTTTTGCGTTTCCCCTACCGAGCTCGTTTGACACTCTTACACTATTTACGTAGATAATTTAAAAAGGAAGATTATGATGACGATAAAAAATAAGCATCAGTGATATTAAGTATGTAGGTGCGTCATGTACGTACCTTGCTGCTGCCAAAAACCCTAGTGCTATCATCATCTCTAGTCCATTTATGTTGATGCTACAAATTATTGAAAGAAAACAAAGTATTATTTATAAATATTTGTATAGTACTAATATACTATCAATTTGGTATTAGTCATGATCATTTTAATTTAAGAATACCAAGTAGCTAAAATGTATATATAAATGTCTGAAAGTATTAATTTTCGTTGATTATTTACCAGATTGCAAGTGCATCTAGAGCCACCTCTGCGTTTTTCAAATTTCCAGTGAGTAGTACCAAGATCGAGTTGTACCATAACTCCAAGCTGCCCAAAATTACCATCACAAACTAAAATAAGAATAATTATTTATTAATGTTATTTTATGAATGCGTAAATAAACAATAGTTTAAAGATGGCGGATATATACGACTCGATAAAATATTTCAAAAGTTAATTATCAGACTTAGACAATTTCTTTTCTTCCTCGCCTATGGATTTTGACTTGACTGTTACATGAAATTGTGTCAACAATTAAACTATATTTTTCCTATAAAGACTTGACAGTGTCTATCTCATCAATATTAATAAAATTTAAGGAAAACGCTTACCAAAGCATGCCACCTGAAGACAGGGATAGTTTGAAGACAGGCCATAAATCTTTGAAAGCCAACATAGAAAATCCTCTCCACGTGTCTTTACACCCACCGCACGTGACGAACAAGAGCTGCGCAATGTTAGGCAACCAGAACGCAACTAGCGTCGATGTCATAGCACCGGTGATTCCAAAATTGAAATGAACCATTAAGAGCCACGACAAAAACACATGGACACATAAGGAGACAGCAGCCACGTAGGCAATGATCTTGTTCTTGCTCTGAGCTTGAAGGAACATTTGGCAAGTGAAGGATGGTACGAAGGAGAAGTTGATCCCTATGACCCATAGGGCTATGATCCGAGCCACACGAACAATGCGTTCCTCTTGACCTAAGGCTAAGAGGATAGGACCCGAAAAGATGTAGACGGGCGTGAGGCAAATAGTACAACCTGTGAGGACGATCCATGACCTTTGGAGGTAGATTCCAAGCATATGGTTTTGTTTTGCTCCGTAGGCTTGACCACATAGTGTTTCTAGTGCACTGGCCATGCCTAACTGCATTGTGATTCGTTAGTTAGTTATACGATAAATATTTTATGGCGAGTTCTAAAACCGTAGTTAGAATCGAACCAAAGTTGAGACATCTGCATAGTTCATATATAATGTTCTCGAAATCACATATTAAAAAAAAAAGTTATATAAATTGAAGCATTATTTGAGTTTGTAAAACGTTTTTAGTGTGGATAGTTTAATTCCTAAGAGTGTATTCCTTACTCTAACCTAATTAGGTTCAAAACTAGTTCTCCCTTCTCCGCATATAGTTTCATAAGATTGGAGGTTTTTATTTAGTGTGAACTCCTTTGCCATTTCAATACAATCATTTGACCAAAAAAAGTGTGGATGGTTTAATTCCTAAAAGTGTGTATTCATTACTACTTCCCAACGCCAATTGACAGCAAAGCAGAACAAATGAAAAAGAAAAAGAAAAAAATTCACAAACGATCACATGGAAAATAGGATTTTAGTAGTTTCTCAGCAATCACATGGAAAACCATTACAAAAAAAAAAAAAAAGCAATCACATGGAAAACGAAGTGTTTATGTTCTTCCCGACAAAGATGAATTTATTACCAGTAGTCTATAACAGATTAACAGTTACTCATGGCCACGGAGTATTGATTATTTTAGTAAATTCCGTATGAGAACATCTCACCTACTGGTCCTACTCGTAGTACTAAGTATTAATCACTTATCATATAATTAGTGAACTGTTTTGAAAGATTTTTTCTTCTTAATATTCTTCTCATTTGTCAATCCATAATAATTAGTTTGTAAAAACCAGAATTCTCTTTACCAATAATAATACACTTATCATCATCTTTTTCTGTGGCAGAGACCAGAGAGTCAAGTAGGCTGACATCACTGCTTACCAGTAAAGATCCAAAAAAGAAGAAAACAAAACATCATGCAAAAGAATATTTTAATTGTAATTTGGATTGAATTTCAACCTTCTTTTTCAGTTACAAAAAAAAAGAATATTTTAATTGACAAACGAGAAACGCCAATGTATTGGAATAGTACCCACATTGGCTAGCCCCGGTGGAGAGAGTGTTTTCTTATCATAACTCTTTTTACTATCAGGACTTTTGAAAATAAGTGATTTGAAATCGTTACTGACGAATCAAAAACGGGTTTATATATTATTATCAAATTATGATTAGTAGTAGTACTATTCTTTATGGGAGTTTTTAACGTAGTGTTTTGGAAGAAATATATTAGATTGGGTAAAAAAAATGAGAGGACGAGTAATGAAAGTCTTACCAAAATACCATTACTGAAACGGAGGAGAACGGTGAAGGTGATGGAGTAAGCGGCTAACTCGATAGGGCCAAGATGGCCGATGAAGGCTTGACTTATCATCGAAACTCCGAACGTAGAGAACCTCGTGAAGATCGCCGGCGCTGCCACAACCCAAAGCTTCTTTGATTCGATCCAAACCTTTTGTTTCATCCCCAACCCATCCTCTTCTACGACGTTCTCGGCCGTCTTTTGCAACAGAGCCGTCGTGAGCTCTCCTCCTCCGGCCATCGGGGAACCTCTGTTGTATCTGATGGACCAGAGGAAATGAATAGAGAAGGGAAGCGGAGAGAGATTATTTTAATGGAATGGTTTAATGAGGAGGAATTGTTTCCACTTTATATAATTTTATTTTTGTTTATTCTCTCTTTTTTTTTAGGGAAACTAAAGGCCGCCTACGGCTTGTTGGGAGTGGCAGTAATTGGAGAAAATACTCCAAGAAATAGATGATTTTTTTTGGGTATTAAAAAAACAGCTAAAAACATACCACAACACTAACTAAGGCCGTGTTCGTATTTGTAATTAAATGTTGCATTTGGGCATTTGAGCATCCAAATGCTAAAATACTGTTCTTTTGTCACAAAAAATAAAAACTCATATGATATTTGAATGCAAAATCAAAAATATTCCAAATATCGCTGAAAAAGATAAAGTTTGCATACAACATTTTCATTTCAAAACAAAAAAAAACTAAAACATATCAAAATCATAAACTAATATTTTTATGCCAAAATTATAAAATTTCATTTTTCCGCCAAAACCATAAAATCACGTTTTCTGCCAAAACTGTAAACTCATGAGTTTTCACCAAAACCGTAAAAATCAAGTTCTCCGTCAAAAACATAAAATCACGTCTTTCCGCAAAATCATAATTTTTCATCAAAACCATAAAACTACATTTTCTGTCAAAGAAGTAAAATTGCGGTTTTACGGTTATTACGGTTTTGGCGGAAAACCACGATTTTATGTTTTTGACGGAAAAAATGGTTTTACGGTTTTGATGAAAAATTGTGTTTTGTGGTTTTGCTGGAAATACGTGATTTTACGGTTTTGAGGGAAGACATAATTTTATGGTTTTGGCGGAAAGACGTAATTTTACGTTTTTGGCAAAAACTGTGATTTTAAGGTTTTGGCGGAAAATCACGATTTTACATTTTTGACGGAAAACATGATGTTGGGTTTTTGGTGAAAAGTCTTGATTTTACGGTTTTTGCGGAAAACCGTATTATTTTGCCAAAACCGTAAAATCGTATTATTCCACAAAAGCTGTAAAATTGAGGTTTATGCCAAAATTGGAAAATGGCGTTTTTAATCAAAATCATAAAATTAGGGGTGTTCAATCCGGATATCGGTTCGGGTTTTTCGGTATTCGGTTTTTCGGTTAATAAAAAATAGCTACATACTAGAACCATACTTACTTCGGTTTGGTTCGGTTTGGATAGTCTCGGTTATCGGTTTTCTCGGTTTGGATATTTTCGGTCGAATAATCTCGGTTTTCGGGTTATTTGTACTTTTTGTTTAATTATTATTTTATTATATAAATATTTTAGTTTTTCTAGTAATCGAATGATCAAATTCAAATAAGAAATGCAAATTCATGTCTTATTTTAAAGTATAAAACTCTAAAGATCTATGTTTTAGTATTTAGGTTTGTTAATTGTTAAATTTTGGTAAATTAAAGACATATAATTCTATATGAGATTTCTTTAAACTTATATTATTATATATCATATGTGTATACTATATACTATTATATTAATATATAGAACTATTCGGTTTTTCGTTTTTTTTTGTTCCGTCGGTTAATATCCAGACCATATCAATATCCACAGTTTATATAAAATTGTATCCATACAGTGTATACGGTGTATCCAAATGCAAACCACATGACCTATTTCGGTTCGGTTCGGTTCGGTTTTACCAAATTGAACAGCCCTACATAAAATCACGTTTTTTTTCCATTAAACCATAAAAGCTGTGTTTTTTGGGAAAACAGTAAAATCAGATTTTTTTTTTCCAAAATCGTTAAAACCGTAAAACAGTATTTTTTTTTGCCAAAACACGTTTTCATCAAAACAGTAAAATCGTGTTTTTCCATCAATACTATAAATTCCGAATTTTCATTTGATAGATTTTCCATGTAGATTTTTCAACAAATTCACAAACGAACAGCTTTACATCCAAATGCAATTTCTAAATGCAAAAAAACTATTTTGAAAAAGAACAATATCTAAATGCAGAATTTGAAAATACATCTAAATATTGGATTTGGATATTGTATTCAAATGCAACAGATACAAAAACGAACATGCCCTAAAACCAAATTAAATTAAATTAAAAAAAAAAAAAAACATACCACAACTCTAGCATAATTTTGTAAAATGTATGGTGTTAACTTGTTAAGGATCTAGTGTAACAAAAACTGGAACCGCAATTTCATATAACATAAGATACAACAAAGTTGGAAAACGCTCTACGAGATAATTAAAGTGAGATGGAGATGTCGAATACGGTAAATGCTATATTGTTGGGATGATTAGGGCTTCCATTTTGCCTAAGATTTTTTCTCAGTTGTGACATTTACGTTAGACATAAACAAGTTATGCAATGATTTGATCCAACGATTCCTGATCGGTAACATAGTATGAGTTCATCAGCTTAAATCTGAGCTTCCCTCTTTAAAAATTATGGATTAAGTTTGATGAATTACTATGTTAAGTTGTCATCTAAGTGGGAAGAGTTTTTCAATTGCAAACCGTTTCTGAAGTGTATGTGTGCATCAATACAAATATTTCTCAGAGAATACGAAAAAGAACGAGTTCATCAATTCTTATTGCATCGGATGTACGTAGTTTATTTAGTGAATGTGGGTACTAACACTATCATATTAGAACCACTTAGAGAATCGTAAGAAAAGAAAAATGGCTGTGAAGTATGATGATGTTGGATTTGCAACAAAATAGATTGTTTTCGCGTTGCTGATATATGCTACATACATGAAATGATTTGTGATGTGCTCTCATTTTGGACGTAATAGCCACTAGAAGAAGGATTGTTGGTAGATTTTTGGGTTTCCGAAGCCTTGTTGTTTCTACACCAGTCCAAAGGTATAAACTATTTTTCAGCCCTGGTATTTTAATCCCAAAGGGATTGATTAGCATAGGTGGCATATATATTAGTGTTTATTTCTCTGATGAATTATGCTTTACGTCTCTAGATTCTGGTACAACCCACTGGTTCAAACGTTTCAATGACGTAGACACCTAAAAACAAAATTGGCAACAAACAAATTATTAGCTCAAAAAAATTGTTTGCTTAACAAACTAATCAGTTTTTGATTATTGTTAATTCAACGTAAAATACATACTAATCAATATCTAACCTGTTGATCCCAATCTGTTCTCAGAGTCATGATGCTAAGCACACAAGTCTGAACGAATACTCCAAAGAGCATTCCGATCCATACACCCTAACATTGAGAGAAATCAAAATTTTAAGTGATTCTCAATTGTTACTTTTACAATATTTTTTGTTTCCACATAACCATTAGCTAGTTCAAAAGAGAACAAGAATAAGAAACTTACTTTGACTTGCAAACCAACTACGTAACCAAGGAAAACACCAGTAGGAATCCCAATAAGGTAATAGCATGCAAGGTTAACGTAAGTAACATATCCTTGCCATCCCGCTCCAACCGCAACTCCTTTTCCGGTTCAGAAACACATATTAGTTCAAAGATCGGCTCGGATTTCAATGGCTATCACGCAGTCAAAAAGCAAAAAGAAAATACCAGATAGAACGGGTTGAACACTGTTCAAGAGAATGGAAAAGGCTAAAAGTGGAGAAAGAGAGGCAACTTCTGCTGCGACAGCTTCACTTGTAGTGAAAATGTAGGAAACTCTTCCTTTTAGAAACAAGAAGACGAAGAATAAAACTAATCCTATAAAGAGTGACGTGAAAACCGCTGTCAATGTTGCAAACTTGGCTCCTTTTGGGTTTCCCCTACCGAGCTCGTTCGATACTCTTACACTAATTTTATAGATAAGAAAAAAAATAGAGTAAAAAGAATAAGACGATATATAAATAGTATCAATAAAGTGAAGTGTATATATATATATGAATATAAATATGTGTGCACCTTGCTGCTGCCAAAAATCCTAGTGCTATCATCATCTCCAGTCCATTTATGTTGATGCTAAAAAAAAAATTCAAAAGAAGAATCGAATTATCAATGTGTATAGATATTGTTTTCTATCTATTGTTAGTTTGTTACTCATTAATGATCGATCATATTCTAATTTAAGAATCAAGTAGGTAAAACGTAAAGATGTTTGACACAGTAGATAGAAGGTTAATCCTTGTTAATTTATACCAGATTGCTAGTGCATCAAGAGCCACCTCTGCGTTTTTCAAATTCCCTGTGAGGAGTACCAAGATCGAGCTGTACCATAACTCCAAACTGTCCAAAATAACGACCACAAAGTATTAATAATAATTATTATACTATACTATGATATAAATTCTCAATATTTGCTTATGTATCCGTTAATGTAACTTTAGCTGAGAGGTAGTTGTCTACGTATAGGACTTCATTTATTTCAAACGATATCAGCCATTTAAAAGAGTAATTTCTGTGGTTTTGGCTTCACTCTTACTAATTTGTAAACTTCATCTCCCCTAACTTATAAAGCAATACATATGAACTTTCTTTTGTAACAAAACCTTTATGATAAAATCATAAGACTAATTAATAATCAAATAGTTTGCAGCCATCAACTTAGTATACATTGTCCCAAGATGCATCAAATCTCCTTTTACAAAACAAAAAAGGTAGATGCATCAAGTGGAAACCAAACTCTTGTTTTAACCAATAAAAAAAAGAAGACTAAAGTTATTTATATGGAATGCTGCCACATTGCCCACTAATAAACCTTATTTTTTCTATGTAAATATTTGGTTGATGAGACGTAAATTCCTTATTATTATTTTCTTAGAAAATCAGAAAACATTACCAAAGCATGCCACCTGAAGCCAAGGATAGTTTGAAGACAGGCCATAAATCTTTGAAAGCCAACATAGACAATCCTCTCCACGTGTCTTTACACCCACCGCACGTCACGAACAAGAGCTGTGCAATGTTAGGCAACCAGAACGCAACTAGCGTCGATGTCATAGCACCAGTGATTCCCAAATTGAAATGAACTATTAGGAGCCACGACAAGAACACATGGATCCCTAAGGAGACAGCAGCCGCGTAGGCAATGACCTTGTTCTTGCTCTGAGCCTGGAGGAACATTTGGCAAGTGAAGGATGGTATGAAGGAGAAGTTGATGCCTATGACCCATAAGGCTATGATCCGAGCCACACGGACAATGCGTTCCTCTTGACCTAAGGCTAAGAGGATAGGACCCGAAAAGATGTAGACGGGCGTGAGGCAAATAGTACAACCTGTGAGGACGATCCATGACCTTTGAAGGTAGATTCCAAGCATATGGTTTTGTTTTGCTCCGTAGGCTTGACCACATAGTGTTTCTAGTGCACTCGCCATGCCTAACTGCATTGCGATTCGTTATTCACATGAGAAATATTATATGGCGAGTTATAAAACAATAGTTATAACCAAAGTTGAGATGTGTGCACAGTTTCATAATAAGTGTTATCGACATAACATAATAAAAAAGATAATATACAAAACAATATAAACTGAACTAAATTTTGTTTGAGTTTGCAAAAGTTTTTCAGTGTGATGATTTAATTTCAAAACTGTATCCGTTATAACCTATTTAGGTTCAAATGTGGTTCTCCGCATAGTTTCATAAGACGGGCGATTTTAATTTCTCCCAAAGCCAACCGTAGTTGACAGCAAAATGGAACAAATATGTATTTGTATATATGTATATTTGTTTTTTGGTTAAAGAACAAACAGATATTTTCTTCCAGAACGAACTTAGACCGAGCCTTAAAAAATTCCAATATATTAAATCAAGCAAGAATAATAAAAAATATATATCAAGAAAAACTAAAACCAGTTAACATGTTAATCGAGTAATCGACTCCATCCAGTCTATGGCTAAAAAAGTAAAAAGATTGGGAAGACAGAACTTTATATGGCAGTATTTTTGAACTGGTTTTCATTAAAACGTGAAAAAGAAAGTAAGTAGAAATATTAAAACATAAAACCATTCCCAGAGTTAAAGTAGCCCTATATTTGGAAAGCAGATACTCATAGTTTTATTTATAGGGCGGATAGTGACAATGCACCAAATTTCGACCCCATAGGTGGCCTTCGAAATTGACTGCCAACATGAATCTTGTCAAGTTTGTCAATGTCAAGTTTGTCGACAAATATATTAGTATTTCTTTTTTAGCCAAATAAATACATGGCGCTTATAATTGCATATATAATAATTTGTTTCACAGAGTTTATGTATCTTACAATCACAATTTGATATTAATGAAATTATTTAGACGTAAGAAAAACTATATATACATATGTATATCTATTGCAATACTTATTTTACACTTTTTTGAAGTAATAAAATATAAAATGTATCCGAAAATGAAAAATGCTCGAATATAAAATCTAAATTTTCTTTATTTAATTTTCCTAATCATAATTTCTGTTTTATTTTAAGAAAATGAATTAGGTTTGGTGGTAATAGATACTTTTGTTAAAAATCATCCTCGTTAGTTTTCACAGAATGTGTTAGTTGATAAAAAAAAGTTGCAATATTTGACTTATATACTTCAGTGTTTGAACATAATTTTTTTACTAATTTTCATTCAATAAAATTTAAAGAGAAAACTTGGATGATATTATAAATTAAACAAATTTGGTATGCAATTCTGCACAAAGAGTAGGTGTTGACTCAAGAATTCGTAGCAAAAGAAGTCACCACATGCGACGTACTACAAGTAGTCTCAGCAATCACATGGAAAGCGATTTTTATATTCTTCCCGTCAGAGATGAATTTATTGCGAGAAGTCTAACAACATCTACTAGTACAGTGTTATTTTAGTTCACTGAACAAAATCACGTTTTTTTGTTTTTAATTAGTGATTCGTAATTACTAGTTATTACTACGAGTAGGACCAGTAGGTGAGAGTTAGCAGCGAACTGTTTTGGAAGATTTTTTTTCTTTTCTTTCTTCTTCTCATTTGTTAATCCTTTAGTACGTAATAATCAGTTTAGGAAAAACTAGAACTCTCGTTACTATAATAATATACAGTACTTATCATCATCTTTTTCTGTGGCATCGAGAGTCAAACAAGCTGACATCACTGCTTACCTTGTGGGTTAAAATGATATTTCTTGTTTTTCAAAGACCCAAAAAAGAAGAAGAAACATAAAATTCTGCGAAATATTTTAGTTTAACTTATTGATATTATATAGTACTACATTGGCTTGCCCAACGGAGAAAGTGTTTTATCATCAGAATAAATCGTTGAACGCTGTTAATTTATTATTAGCGAAATGTGATTACTGTTCCTTTCAACGTAGTGTTTTGGAAGAAATCTATCGGTATTAATCCATAATAATAGTTAACTAAATTATATTAAAGAAAAAAAGAGGACGAGTAATGAAAGTCTTACCAAAATACCATTACTGAAACGGAGGAGAATGGTGAAGGTGATGGAGTAAGCGGCTAACTCGATAGGGCCAAGATGTCCCATGAAGGCTTGACTTATCATCGAAACTCCGAACGTAGAGAATCTCGTGAAGATTGCCGGTGCAGCCACAACCCATAGCTTCTTTGATTCAATCCAAACTTTTTGTTTCATCCTCAACTCATCCTCTTCTCCGACGTTCTCGGCCGTCTTTTTCAACAGAGCCGTCGTGAGCTCCTCTCGTCCTCCTTCTCCTCCGGCCATCGTGGAATATCCGCTGTGTATGATGGAGCAGAGGAAATGAATAGAGAGGAGAAGCGGAGAGAAATTGTTTGATGGGTTGGTTTTATAAGGACTTTCATCTTTGCACTCCCTCATTATATATATCCTCTACTTTGTTGTAGTAGCTGTCAACTTGTCATCCTAGACCATTTCACATATATTAATAAAATATATTAAATTTTGTTCTATATCATTAAAAACCAAGTTAGATTTTAGTATTCTTCACTGGTTCCTCTTTTTTTAATGGTGTTTATTTAGTGGGAAACTAAAAGCCGCCTACGGGCTCTTGAAGGAAGTCGCAGTAGATGTGTTTGTTTTTCTTTCTTTTGGGTATTATAAAAATAGCTAACGAATACGACTAAACTAGCATAATATTGAAGATGTAGGATGTTAAGGATATAAATCTTCTTAACAATGTATGTTTCGTATACAAATAGATATTGATTATGATCCATATTTCTTACAGGATAAAGGTTAGGTATGTGTAGAATAGCATAAATACAGTTATCTCTAGTTAACTGTACGTTTCAATTTTTTTTTGTTTGTTTTTTTTGAATAAAATTTTACATTCAATTCAAAAAAGACTATACGTTTCAATTGAATACGATAACAAGGTTCGCATGATCGAATTTAATGCAACTAAGCTAACGAATTCAAAACTGACAAGTTAGGAGTGAAGTATTTCAACCTACATATTACATTATTTATGTAGTAGCATAAGCCTTTTAGCAAAAAAAAAAAATATTTATGCAACATGTTGGTAGGTCGCGTGCTCGAATCCTACAGATCTTCGACTAAAATTTTTATCTCGAAATTCCAAATGATCCGGTTTATGTTAAAGTCAAACACAACATGGCTATTCATCGTATGCTATAGTATTATTGATTAACATGCCAATTGATATTCAAACGTCTTTTACGGCTGATAAATAAAGTCAGCTCCCGCAGATCTGGTTCTTTTTCTTTCTTGAAATATAAGTTTGTTTGTACACTTGGGTAACAAATTTCCCAAAATTCAAAGTGTTCAAAATCTTGAGGCTTAAATTTTTAATTTGTGTGTAACGCTAAAAACCTAAAAAGAAATGAATTGACAAGTTACTTACGAACATATCAAACTACAATTGTCACATTCTTGTGTTAACTAGATTCGGAGAAAAACCAGCATTCTATGATTTTCAGTGAATTAAGATTATCATCATATCCATTATAATAGAATTTTCAAAACCAAATATCTATGTGTCTTTTTCTGTTGTCTCGCATAAACCTTCTGACTCTGGCTCAACCCAACGATTCAAACGTTTCAGCGACGAAGATACCTGAATTTTTTTAAAAACAATAACCAAGTTAATACTTTCGTTATAACAAAAAAACATATAGAGTTCCGTGTAATCAAATTGTAAACCTGTTCGTCCCAGTCTGTTTTTAGAGTCATTACAGTAAGCACACAAGTTTGAACGAAAATTCCAAAAAGCATTCCTAACCATACACCCTGAAAAATTTTAGAAAAAAAATTGTTACTTCATCATTAGTAAATAGAGAGTTTAGAATCAGTGTAATAAGTTTTAGCAACTAACTGTAAAGATTTAAACATAAACAAGACTTACCTTGACTTGCAAACCGATAAAATAGCCAAGATAGATACCGGAAGGAATCCCAACAAGATAATAGCAAGCAAGGTTAACGTAAGTTACATATCCTTGCCATCCCGCTCCAACAGCAACTCCTGCTCCATATATAACCGGTTTCACACATAATATATGCTAGTTTAATTAAAGATACGATAGTTACATGTGTTTCTTATTATAACGATTTTGGCAAATGGATAAAACTCCTAAACGTTCTAAATGGTAAACATATAAAAGTTAAAAGGTAAGAGAGGAAGAGGGAAGATATACCAGATAGAACGGGTTGGACACTATTCAATAAGATGGAGAATGCCAAAATGGGAGAGAGATCTGCTACTTCTTTAGCAACGGCTTCACTTGTTGTGAAAATGTATGAAATCCTTCCTCTAAGAAACAAGAAGACGAAGAAGAATACAACCCCTATGGAGAGTGATGTCAAAACTGATATCATTGTTGCAAACTTGGCTTCCTTTGCATTTCCACTTCCGATTGCGTTTGACACTCTTACACTATATGTTTACATTACATTTTCCGTCAATATAATCATGTACGTACGAGTTATCAATCTATTAAGCAGTTGTGTGTTTGTGTTTATATGTATTCACACATAAAAAGAGATGATTTATGTTGCGATAATTAAAGAGCTGCCTTTGGTCAAAAAAATAACTAAAGAGGTGTGATATATATGTATGCACCTTGCTGCTGCCATGAAGCCAAATGATACCATCATCTCCAGCCCATTTATGTTGACGCTGTGAAAAAAAGGATCAGATTTAAGATTTTCAACTGTCAAAATGTGTACAATACAACAATATATAGATTTAATTTTATTGTGGTTTTCTTAAGATTTTAGCGTAAGTGAAACCACTTAGAATTTCGATTGCAAACATATTAACAGTTATTCATTATACAAAATTAATAAATTTAGTAATATATACATTTAAAACAAAATTGTTAACGAAATTTGTTTTTTTTTTAAATTTCAGAAGACATAAAAATGTAAAATGAAGCAAAAATCAGTTGATGAAAGTAAAAAAAGCTGAAAAGTGCCAAATTTTCAGCTCGTTTACATGCAAATCTCTCTGCAATGGAGCTACCTTTTATAAAAAAAAAAAGAATTAAAAACGTTAAAATTTTGAATGGAGGTAACAAATAAAATCTGATGTCATAAGAAAAGTATCAACCATTCATGCAAATATGCTTTACCAATCTTCCTTCGTAGTACCAACGATCTAAAGATAAACATATATATGCCTGATTAAAAAAATTAGGGACCAGAGACAAAAAATCTTTGTTTACCAGATTGAAAGTGCATCAAGAGCAACCTCTGCATTTTCTAAGCCTCCAGTGAGCAGAACCAAGATTGTGTTGTACCATAGCTCTAAGCTGCTCAAAATTATATTATCACCAAGGAAATAATTATTATAATATTATTAAATTTTACATAAAAATATATATAAACAATACACCATGCTAAATAGACATTATTCCAAACTTTTCAGTCTCATGTTGGATAAATATACTTAGTCAGCCGTACTGTAGCAACCAGTTACATAGTATAATGTAATTACTAACATAACAAAGCTAATAGATTACCACCAAATATTTCTACCGACCTATTTGTCAAACTAATCAAAGAGATTACTGTATATGTAAATATATGGTTACCGAGAAATCTTTTAAAAAAAATATTTTACAAGTCAAACTAACAAATTTAAGTGAAGTATATGAAATCATACCAAATCATACCACCAGAAGACAAGGATAGTTGCAAGACAGGCCAAAGATCCTTGAAAGCCAACCAGGAGAACCCCATCCACGTGTCCCTACACCCACCACACGTGACGAACACGAGTTGCGCAATGTTAGGCAACCAATACGCCACGAGCATCGAGGTCATAGCACCAGTGATCCCGAAGTCGAAATAAACCATGAGGAGCCAGGACAAGAATAAGTGGACCCCTAAACACACAGCAGCCACGTAGGCAATGATCTTGTTCTTGCTCTGAGCTTGGAGGTACATTTGACAAGTGAAGGAAGGTACGAAAGAGAAGTTAACGCCTATGACCCATAAGGCTATGATCCGAGCCACACGAACGATGTGTTCCTCTTGACCTAAGGCTAAGAGGATAGGACCCGAGAAGATGTAGACCGGCGTGATGCAAATAGCACAGCCTATGAGGACGATCCATGACCTTTGGAGGTAGATCCCAAGCATATGATACTGTTTGGCTCCGTAGGCTTGACCACATAATGTTTCTAGCGCACTAGCCATACCTAACTGCATCCATGTGGTTAATGTTGTTTACAATTTGTTGTTACAAGATAAATATATATAAACCAACTCAAGAACATGATATAACATGGCAATTTGATGCACAAACAAGAACAGAGAAGATCGTCAAGAAACTGAAAAGAAAACATGAAGAGAGACATGAGGTTTTAATGTAGTGACTTTCAATGCAAATGTAAGCTAAAATAAGCCGAGAAACATTTTTCAATACGGAAACCTGTTGAAAAATGATTTTCAATACAAAACCTGTAGTGAAGTGAATCACTTCGACTTCGTAAAATAAGAAATAGACTTTTCCTGTCGATAATTTTGTTTTTAAGAAAAAAATCAGGATTCCTATCAAGAAAATAAAAATAAAGATATTTTAATATTAGGAATACACTAATAAAAGTCTGTACGTATTTGCCGTGTAATTCTCTCTCATATTGTTTGTATATGGGCACCATCCCCCACCATCCGTTGCTTTTTTTTGGGCAATTTTTTAATTATTGAGAGAGAAAATTCAGCAATTTTTGTTTTCTTGCTAATTCAACTTCTGTAACCGGTGTCTTACTAGAATAATTAAGCTGGATTCAGCAGCATTCCACAATTTGAGAAACACTAGTTATAAGGCCTAAAGAATCTAGTCAAACTTTATGACAATTTTGTCTTTTCTACAACCTTTACCTATGTTAAAATAATAAAAGCTATGCCGTCAAAATATTATATACGAAAGTAAACAGAAAAACGACAGAGGTGCGGCTGTAAGTTTTAGTTTTTGTAATTCTTTTGACAAAGTTTAAATTAAAGAAAAACACAACGAAAGTACGTGACTACATTGGTTTTTTGTACTTTTGTAGAAGAAAAAAAAAATCAAAACGAGCTACGACAAGCAGGACAAGAAGTATATGTAAGCATTCACGTCACCATAGTTGTAAATATTTTAATCATTATCAAGAACAAACATGAGAAAAAATGGGTTAAAAACAAAAAGAGAACAAGCTGCAATTTATAACAAGATATAAAGTTTAAATAAATCCAATGTTGGTGACATAAGAAAATCCAAAACCAAACGACATCAACTCTGAAACATTATCACGAACATGAAAACATTTCAAAATTACGAAAAAAAATCATTTATTTATTTTCTACAATGCGTAATTTTTATGATCCAATTTTTAAATCAAAATTAAGAAAATCCATAACCAAACAAAATATAACCACTAAACAAGATTTGACACACACACAAAAAACTAATTAATTAGATTAGAAAAATGAAAGAATAAACGAGGAGTAGTGTGTCTCACCAGAATACCATTACTGAAACGGAGGAGAACAGTGAAGCTGATAGAGAAAGCGGCCAACTCGGTGGGTCCAAGATGGCCGATGAAGGCTTGACTTATCAAAGATACTCCAAAAGTAGAGAACCTCGTGAAGATTGCCGGCGCTGCCACAATCCATAGCTTCTTGGATTCCCTCCAAACCTTCTCTCTCATATCCAACGAATCAAACCCATCATCATCTTCTCCGCTGCCGTTCTCCACCGGCTTTTTCAGCAGAGTCTCCGTCACTTCTTTTCTTACTCCCACCATCGTGTATAGAAAGAAGTAAGAACAGAGTAGGCAAAGGCGTGGAGATCGAGAGAGTTTTGTCTGTAATTATCGCTTTATATTTGAGGCTGTTTGTTTACTACGAGGGAGTAATAAAAGTCGGCTACGTAATTTGCATACATTTGAGTATATGACTATTTGTAAATTAAGTAACATATGGTATGAGCTGGAATATTGTGTATAGACTATAGAGTAAAAAGAAGGAAATGATGGGAACAAAGGAAACATTGAGGTGACTGAGCTGAATTGTTTTCTTGGAAAGATTTCTTTGTATATTTGACAGTTTTAACTGACTTGAGCAACGACTATTTTCTTTCAATATATTTTTTACTTTTTATATAACAGAATTGAGAAGAAGTACTAATGTAGTCAATATTCTTTTTCTTTTACTGGGGTAACTTTTAGCTGAGACCTGATTATTTTCCCTAATTAATTTTTCAATTACTCTGTACATGTTGACTACATTATTGTGGATTTTGGGGTCAAAATTCCTAGTTAGAAAACTGTTAGAGCAAATACAACAGTGAGACCGTGTAAGTTTCTTTAAAAGAAATACATTAATTAAAAAGAAATCGATTTTCAAAAAAATAAAAAAAATAAATGATTTTCTAAAAAAAAACAAAAAAAAAATTAAATTAATCAGGTTTCGATATGTGTTTAGACTGTGTCAGAGAAACATCTCTTTAATCTCTTCCCAGAGAGACGTCTCTCACCTTAAAGCTTGCCACATAGATAATGTTTTTATTTATTTATTTTTTTTTGCTAAAGAAACTGTGAAAATTTTACCGTTGTATTTGCTCTTATTGAGCTTAATCTTTGACTAAATTATACTCCCTACGTTTCAAATTAGTAGTCATTCTCGCAAAATGTATTTGCAGTTATTTGGATGTATTAAACTCAAAATACATCTAAATACATTCAAATAAGTGCAGATACATTTCGCCAGAATGACAACTAATTTGAAACAGAGAGAGTAATGAAAAATTTAATACTTAAAAATAACGAAACAATTTTTTTTAATATCAGTGTCATGACTGTAAGGTTGACTTATTAGTTATTAACTAGTAGTATGTATTACTACCAAATGTTCCAAAAATTATACTCTCACTGTTTCAAATTAGTTTTCATTTTGGCAAAATGTATCTGCAAAAATTTGGATATATTAAACTAAAAACACATCCATATACATCCAAATTTTTGCAGATACATTTTACCAAAATGACAACTAATTTGAAATGGAAGGAGTACATGAAATCTGACTAAAGTATGAGTAAATTCCCCAATTCTGTTAGGAAAAAATCCACAGATATAACTCAAAAAAACTTCATTTTTTTTAATATCCCAACTTCTTTTGTACCCCGAAAAATGCTCCAATGTGTTTGTCAATTTTAATACTTCAATTTTTACATTGTATCCATTTAACACATTCCTTACGCTCCATTCGAATATATATGTGGGTTGCATCTCTCCAAAGATTGTTTTGGGCCCCTGATATATCTAAGATTATTATAAGTTAACATTTATTTTATTTTATTATAATTAAATATTCATATTTTAATAAAGTATTAGCTTTTTTTTTAAAAATCCATAAAATCATAAAATTGAAATTGAGAATAATAATTTCAAACTTTTATGGGAAAATTGCAAAAATATACATTTTGCGGTGTAAATTTTTAAAACTACAACTCTAAGCTGTTAATTTTCAAAACTACACTTTTGGTGGAATAAAATAACTTTAAACTCTGAAATATAAATTTCATATCCTAATATCTAAACCATAATCTAGGAATAGTGAACCCAACCATATATGTTAATTTTTAAAAAATTAATTTTAAAATTAACCCCAAGAGGCGTATTTGTTAAAATTCTCTTTATTATATATATTTTTTATTTGAATATCTTTGTAAAGAACCTAAAAATTCTTAAAATATCACTCCAACTTAAAAAAAAAATAAAGGAATTCAGTAAAAAGTGAAAATTACGAAAATTTATTTACAAACTTTAGATTAAAAATACTGTATATGTTAATCTTTCAATTTTGTTTTGAAAACTAAAAATACAAAACTAGTTCAAACACAAGAAATATTGATTTTTGAAGAAACAATTATATAAGGATTTATAAACATGATACGGTATAAAAGTTATGACGGATGCTAATTTTATTTTTTGGGGGAGTTTTTAGTTTTTTTTTAAATAGAGAAAATTTAATATATAATTTTATGTATAATATTTCTTAATTTTTTAAAATTGATATTATTGTCTTTCTGTATTTTGTTGATCTTTTGGACTTTTCTGAAATTTAATATAATTTTAATTTTTTTTAAAATATTTTCTGTCAAACAGAATGTGTAAAAATGGGTACAATTTACTAAAATAAACAAACAGAATAGTTGAGGTATTAAAAAGTTTTTCTAAATTTATTTGATGTATTTTTATGGAGGTTTTCCTATACCAGATTGTTAGGATAAAGATTGTATTTTCATCATTAATCAAACCTCTTTGTTGTTGTATAATTTTACTTTTATTAATTTCAATTATAATTTTTATATTGTCTTTAACAAGTTAGTGTTTCTTCTATCCATCGCTCCATAACAATAAGTGTTACTACTTGCTACCATTGCTCCACCTTAGGACACACATTCTCAAATAGCAGTTTATAATTCATATCAAAGTAAAATAAGAAAATACATATGAATTTAGAAAGTATTGTAATTTATGTTATTTCATCATTGTTATTATTATTATTATTATTATTTCTATTTTTTTTATCATTTGTAGATTACAAAAGAATCAAATCTTGCAAGAAAAAGTGCAGAAACAACTCTTCGTTTGTATATTCTGGACGCACCTCCCGTTTCCTTTCCACTTTTGCATACACAGTTTAGCACATGGTGAAGCTTCACATGTTCCTTTCATTAAGATATCATGACACATCTCTTGTCCTTCCGTTTCTTTTGTCACCATCCCTGATAAATTATTAAAACATACTTAAAATATTTTATTTGTAATAAAAAGCACGGAATAAAATGTTAGATTAAATGGAAGATCAGTATACATGGTAGTGAATTTATACGCATTAACTTGCTAATAAGTTTAGAGAATAAGAAATGCAAAACAAACCTATAACGATGACGATCATAAAAATAGCAAGAACGGTGGCTTTAGTCATTTTTGATGATACACTTGAAAAGAACTTTTTTAAAATATAAATAAATAAAAGCAAAGGCAAATAGTGTAGTGAGAGTATGTGTGTTACTGTTCTATTTATAAGAATTTAGAACTGAACAAAAAAATAATAGTTAAATAGATGCTGAAAACAGAAAAGAATTCTTAATAATTAAAATAGGAATGATATTTACAAAATCAATTACAAATAAAAACAAATATGAAATGAATAAACAGAACCAATAATTTTAAATTTTGTACCATTGAAGGATCCAGAATGCTTCCTTGTATATTTATCCCTGTGATATTTTTCTATTAGTTTACTTAGAATTATCATCAAAATAACATAAACATTATAAATGAAAGATTTAAATCCATAAAATAGTGAAATGTGTAAGTTTGATTTCTGAAGTAACAAAAATATATTGAACATATATCATTCTGTTATTTGCAATTTATTTATCATATTCAAACTATTTACATGGCTGAACTAGAACATTAAAGACTTTAATCCATGTAAATTATTTTTGCATGAATTTCAGAATGTTAAGGCTTTGAACAAGATAATCAATTGTATTTTCATATTTGGTTATATACAACCTACAGATAAAAATATACTAGAATTCACTTTGGATCATTAGAAATTTCAATGTATACCAAAACAAAATCTTAGTTATTATATATTGAGTTCATATTTCTCCAGTTCTAATGAATTTTGTATATACTCTTCCAAATTTATATTTCTATGTTTTTTTTTCTTCAGTTTATTTCATCTGTTTAACTATTAATTGATATTCTAGTTATAGATTAAAGATGGAATAACAACCGCTACTTTTTTTTTCTTATTGCTAAGACGACCGCTACTTGGGTGGTCTGAATTCGTTAATTAACAGTATACTTACATTCACACACAAGTGTAAATCATCCTATGGTTGGTTTGCTTGACTGCTCGATACATATCAGTTAAGCAAGGACAGCTTCTTCGGTGGTCTGAATTCGTTAGCACTTAATACTACTACACAAGCTCATATTTTTTCTCGAAATCCAGAGTAATTTCCGATGCTCACAGTAGTCAGGGTTTTTTTTTTGCTACTAAAAGCGTTTACAAGTGGTCAACTGGGACACCGAGATAATTCCACGATGAACAAAAATGTAAACATTCAAGAGTGACGCTTGAGGCGGAAGTAATATTACATTGTGTGTAGTGAAAAAAAGAAAACACAATAAGACAATCGAGAGTGATGTGTGGCAATTAAAGGTCAATAACAAACTCACGATTCTTTTTGTGTAATTTAGTTTCGACCTCTGGATTCTGGTTCAACCCAACGGTTCAAACGTTTCAACGAGGAAGAAACCTAAAATGTTTTTAACAACAAACAATATGAACAAGTCAATTCTTTAGTTATATTATTTCAAAAGAAAATCTAGAATAAATGTATATAATACAAGAATTATAAACCTGCTGATCCCAGTCTGTTCTCATAGTCATTATAGTAAGCACGCAAGTCTGAACGAAGATTCCAAAAATCATTCCTAACCAAACACCCTGAAATTTGGGAAACACAACAAACAAACTACAATATTATACCTTGTATGTTATTGAAAACTATATAAGTTTATTGTGAATGTACTAGAATCAGAAATAACTAAAGAGAATAATGATAATAAAAAGCAGACTTACTTTAACTTGCAAACCGATGACATAGCCAAGAAACACACCGGAAGGTATCCCAACAAGGTAATAGCAAGCAATGTTAACGTACGTAACATACTTCTGCCACCCCGCTCCAACAGCAACTCCTGCTCCGGTCATAATCGGTTCAACATTTGCTGGTTTAACCATGCATACTCGTAAGCGCCTAAATACCAGTCTTAAGATTTTGTCCAAAATACTTAAATATCAGACTAAAATACACGGACACACGAACTTGACAAGCTACCAAAAAGAGTTCTAGGATATTGCGGTCCATGCATGAGGAGATATTGATTACTGAAAGAGGGAGGGAAGATGCATACCAGAGAGAACGGGCTGAACACTGTTCAGGAGGATAGAGAAGGCCAAGAGTGGAGAAAGATCGGCTACTTGTGCAGCAACAGCTTCACTTGTTGTGAAAATGTATGAAACCTTTCCTCTTAGAAACAAGAAGACAAAGAAGAAAACGATTCCTAATGAAAGTGATGTCAAAACCACTATCATTGTCGCAAACTTGGCTCCTTTAGAGTTTCCACTCCCGATCTCGTTTGAAACTCTTACACTATTACATACGTTAATACAAAAAGGATAATAAGCTTATTTAAATTAAGCATGCATGTATACTTATGAATAATCATGTATGCAGGATTTCTCAATGTACTCTGTATATTTTTGTTCCTGAAAACTTAAGTAAAATATTAAAACATATTTCTTTGTGCATGTAATAAGATTTGATATATTAATCAGTACTAATTGAGTGTGATAAAATCGACAAATTCTCTAAGTTTCTCCATATAAATATTTATGCACCTTGCCGTTGCCATGAAGCCAAAAGCTACCATCATCTCCAGTGCATTGATATTGACGCTGCAAGAGTTGATAAACTTGTAAAAATGAAGTCAATTAACAATATATTTGAAACTGATATCATTCCCGCTAAAATCATATATGCATTACGTTAATGAAGCTAATGTACTGAATAGTGCAACAAAATCTGAATAAATTTTTCGAAGGATTGAAATACAACGGGAAAAACAAAATATATTTTAGATGATAAGTTCGATGATTTAGCGTATAACAAAAATATTACTATCTCACCATTTTAAACTAAAATGACCGATAGACTGTAAACTGAATGCAATGAGTCACAAAATACATATAACTCTTTTTAACAGGTCTACTATGTATTTTGGGCAGAGATTTATGCATCAACACTAAGTGTAAGTCGCAGTACCATTGCTATTCAGTGGCTACCAAATTACCAATTAGAAAGCCTATAAGTACGACGACTAGTTAGACGGTCTTAAAGTCTATTGTATTGAGATCAGTAATTTGAAGATAAATGTACGAAAATCACTTCAAAGACAAAAGACATATAATACTTTTAAATATATTTTACCAGATTGCAAGTGCATTGAGAGCAACTTCAGCGTTTTTTAAGTTTCCCGTGAGCAGAATCAAGATCGAGTTGTACCATAGCTCCAAACTGCGCAGAATTAACATCACAGAGAAATTACTGTTATCATTATACTAATATTATTTTTTTATAAATATTGCATGTTCTCATAAACGTATATTTTAAACATTCTCAATCTTTGACAGGGTGAATGACTGTACTCATATGGTCCTTATTAGATTACAACCACGTGATTTTACAGAACAAAAGCATTTGTGGGACAGAATGAGTTTGGAACTAAAAAATATTAGAAAATAAGGAAATAATACCAAGTCATGCCACCGGAAGACAGTGATAGTTTGAAGACAGGCCAAAGATCCTTAAAAGCCAACCAAGAGAATCCTCTCCACGTGTCCTTACATCCACCGCACGTGACGAACAAGAGCTGAGCTATGTTAGGCAACCAATGCGCTACGAGCGACGAGGTCATGGCACCAGGGATCCCGAAGTCAAAATGAACAGTTAGGAGCCATGACAAGAAAACATGGACCCCTAAGGAAACAGCAGCCACACAAGCGATGATTTTGTTCTTGCTTTGAGCTTGGAGGAACATTTGGCAAGTGAAAGAAGGCACGAAGGAGAAGTTGATGCCTATGACCCATAGCGCAATGGTCCGAGCCACACGAACAAGGCGTTCCTCTTGACCTAGGGCTAAGAGTATAGGGCTAGCGAAGATGTAGATGGGCGTGAGGCAAATGGTGCAGCCTATGAGGACGATCCATGACCTTTGGAGGTAAATCCCAAGCATATGATATTGTTTTGCTCCGTATGCTTGGCCACATAGTGTTTCCAGTGCACTAGCCATGCCTAACTAGATACATTGACATTGTTCGTTAATATATCAAATTCAAGATGATATATATGTATGTTATGAAACAAATAATATAGGTTCCATAACGCTCATACACTCAAATGCAACATGTAAAATTGTAAACTCTTGTTGGTAAAACTGAAATCCACTACTACGTTTTTTGTAATGTTAAGGGTTAATAAGCCGGTAAACGTTTATATATAAATTCGTGTGGTATATATGTAACAAACCTTGGTAATATATAATCGTTATGCAGTTTTGAAATTAAATCATCAAATGGGGATCTTTAAATCTCACACCAGACGTAGAATTAAAAAACGATGGCATTGGTGGCCAATGAATCTTATCACACTTGTGGACAATCTTGTCTTGTCTTGCTAAACTAAACAAAAAAAAATAATAAGAAAAAGAATATTTTGTCTTATTTTAAATTAATTAATCTTTGACCATTCATTTGTTTGTGTCATTTCTTCTCATATCTTTGTCCAAACTTTTTATAGAATCAATATATTCTCCAACTTTTTTTTTGTAAGTGGCATTATATTCGATCTCCTATTTTTCAAAATATTTTATTTCACCAATAGAGTGAAATGCTTTTGCTGCATTCAAACGAACATTAACAATTGATGCAATAAATCGAATAAGAGAGAAGAATTAAAGAGGAGTACTCACCAAGATACCATTACTGAAACGGAGGAGAACGGTGAGAGTGATAGAGTAAGCGGCCAACTCAGTCGGGCCAAGGTGGCCGATGAAAGCTTGAGTTATCAAAGATACTCCGGACGTAGAGAATCTTGTGAAGATCGCTGGCGCCGCCACAACCCATAACTTCTTTGATTCATTCCAAATTTTCTCCTTCATGTCTAACTCATCCTCTTCTCTGCTGTTCTCATCCGTCTTTCTCAGTAGAGTCGCCGTCACTCCTCCTCCTCCTCCTCCTTCCATGGCTTAGGGAAAAATGACCAGAGAGCAGAGATGGCTGGAGAGTGGAGAGAGGAGATTTTTTTTTGTTTTTTCCAATTTCTTATTTACAATATGGGATTTATAGTATGTTTGACCGTTTGAAGTATAGAAGAGAGAGAGAGAGCTCTTGTACGTAAATCAAACGAGTTTCATTGAGGTCTGCATCTGGCCCATATGTTGAGATATCATAGAGTACAAAACATAGTGGGCCGAAATAAAGCCCATTATAGAAAGCGCCAATAATTGGAGATGGGAGTTACGGACACGTAACTTTTACAGAGCAAAGTCTCTTTATTGTTTACTTTATGTAGCCGAAATATTTCCCTTACAGAAACTGTTATCATACTTTTAGTATTTACATGACTCTCTACGTACTTCTTCCTAGGTCAATTTTCCAATCTAACAATTTTCTGTCCCAAAGCCATAAATAATGTATGTATTCATCGATTACGACAAAATAAAAACAAACAACAATGCAATCGAGATAATTATTAATTCATAGACACAAAATATGCCAAAAATGGGAAAAAGATAAATACATATATCACCTATCTATGTATACCCTATATTAAATGAGGAAAACTTTTAAACTTTAAAGGACCACGTGAAGGAATCTAATGAGTAGACTGTGGCCCCTTGGCCCCGTACGTAGCCTTAGAGACATACAAACCTTTTGACCGCCGTCGAGCCATGGCATTATCCCGTAATAATATGGATCAAGTAGAGGGTAAAATAGGAAAAATAGAAGACTCTTGACGTCACGTGCGACCCTGAAACATGGCACAAGTGGCAGACCACAGGCAACCAAGTGGTCTCAGCTCCGTTTTTTGTGTGCTTTGAAACAATTTCTCACCGGAGAAGAAGATTTAGGATGATGACGGCGACGGCGGAGGCGGAGGCGGAGGCGGAGGCGAAAGCGACGTTGTCCATGGAGTCGTTACCTCTCGGATTCAGATTTAGACCAACGGACGAAGAGCTCATCAATCATTACCTGAGGTTGAAAATCAACGGCCGTGATTTGGAGGTCCGAGTCATCCCGGAGATCGATGTTTGCAAGTGGGAGCCATGGGACTTACCTGGTTAGTCTACTCTCTCTTCTTCTCCCTCTGCTTCTTCGGGCGAATTTTAAGGAACATAGACGAGGAAATGAAGCTCTGTGAATTTTGATTAGGTTTCTAGGGTTTATGAATTCGATTCGATTTGATTAAACAGGGCTTTCGGTGATAAAAACGGATGATCAAGAGTGGTTCTTCTTCTGTCCTCGTGACCGGAAGTATCCGAGCGGCCACCGTTCCAATAGAGCTACTGACATTGGCTACTGGAAAGCTACTGGGAAAGATCGAACCATCAAGTCGAAGAAGATGATTATTGGGATGAAGAAGACTCTCGTCTTCTATCGTGGTCGAGCTCCTAGAGGAGAGCGCACCAGCTGGATTATGCACGAGTACCGTGCCACTGATAAAGAACTCGACGGCACTGGTCCTGGCCAGGTCTGCTTTTACTCTGTTTTATCATTTTCTTAAGTCAATTTTAGCTCCATGGTTGTGACTTTTGAGGTCTTCAGACTTCAGGTGCTTCATATAGTAACAATTTGTTCATAGAAATGGCTATAATCTAAGTACTACGATTCTTGGATAAATGTTTTGTCTTTGATGGTGACCTTTTGGCCTGTGTTTTGATTAACATTCTTCTGCTTATATATTCATTTTTGTTTGTGTGTGTGGAACAGAATCCGTATGTTTTGTGTCGTTTGTTCCACAAGCCTAATGATATCTGTGATAATGCAAACTGTGACGAGATAGAGAATGTGAATTCCACTCCCACCACCACCACTAGATGCTCTCCGGACGACACATCGTCTGAGATGGTACAAGAAACAGCTACATCTCATGCAGATGCTCTGAATACACCAGATGGTAACGAGAGATGTCCAAGCGATAAGGGTAGTGATGTGAAACCTGATGATCATCCAGTGATGAACAATGCTTCTTCCGTCCATCACGTTGAAACTTCTCGCGCTAATGACCGTGTTTTAGGCAAAACCAAAGTAGAGGTAAATCGTCTGTTTGCACAATTTGTTCATCTGGTCTCATCCTAAACCAGCTTGTTGATTCTTGTGTTATAGGAGAATCCACTTGCAAGAGACTTTCCAAGTCTTTATGGACCGAGCTTTACTCAAATCGGTGACCAAACATATTATCCAACGCAGTCAAGCATCGGTTTTGCTGCATCACACATGGATTCAATGTATTCTAGCGATTTCGGAAACTGTGATTACGGGCTACATTTTCAGGATGGTGCTGCTATACAAGATGAATCTTTGGCAGATGTCTTGGATGAGGTATTCCATAACCATAATGAATCCTCTAGCGACGGGAAAGACTTTGCGCTTCCGAATATGATGCATTGGTCTGGAATGCCTACTGAGTATCCGTTTCCCAAAGACGCCGTTGGTTTTGCTAACGGAGTGTCTGAAGCTGCTTGCTCACAGGTAATCAGGATTTATCTTACATGTGTTCTGAAATGGAAAGAAACTAGCTTTTATGCTACACATTTGGGGAAAGTGATATGTAATCTGAGACTGACCAGAGTGTTTTCTTGTTTTACAGCATTTTGTTCCTGACAGTTTAGCTTCCAGATGGGTTAGTGAACAAAACGTTGATAGCAAGGAGGCAGTAGAGATACAATCCTCATCCGGATCCTCTAGGACTTTGACGCCACTTCATAGCAACGTTTTAGGGCAGTACGCTTCAGCATCTTACGCAAATATGGATCCGTTTAACTCTAATGTCAATCAGCGAGAGCAGTCATCTTTTGAGCGAAGCCCTGTTGACGGCAACATTAGTCAGGCTAGGTCTCGGGAGAATCAGACGGATCTAGACTTTGTCGTGAACCAAGGCACAGCTCCTAGAAGAATCCGGCTTCAAATCGAACCGCCAATGAACGACAAGATAGAGAGAAATGGAGACAACTATGAAGAAGATGAAGTACAATCTGCCATGTCCAAGGTAAGGACTCACTCTTGTGGCTAAATACTGAGATCCTACTTCTCCTTCTCAAATGACCATTGATGGAAATGAGCAGGTCGTAGAGGAGACCGAAAAATGCTTCCTTGGGGACGAAAGCCTGTTAGAATCAGCTAATCTATGGACTCAGGGAACAGCTCAGAGGAGAATCCGCTTACAGTCGAGACTGCGAAAGCCTCACATAACCCTAAGGGACTCGAACTGCAGTGAAGAAGAAGGAAGCCGTAGCAAGGTAAAGGTTTCTTTCGAGTTACAGTAAACATAGTCTCTGATATTAACATGAATAAAACAGACATTAACATGCATCATAATTGAAACGATGTGAGATGCAGGAAAAGGAAGATGTATCATCATCAACGTGGCAGAAACAAAAGAAGTTAATGAGGAGCTTGGTGCAGTGTAGGAGTATGGTGATGATAATGGCGGTGGTAGTTGTTTTAGTAGGAATGTGGAAAGAGTCAAGAGATGCCAAATGTAACTTCTTGTTTCATCAATTGGATTCCTTTAAAGGCATGTTCACTTGATAATATATATTAGATATAGCGCCTCATGTGTTCTTTTGTTGTTTGTATAATCAATCAATCATGTTTAGTTTGTTTTTGTTTTGTAGTGTTTGAGTGATAAATCCAAATTCCCTAGAATGATTAACAAAGTAGTTCTCTTTTTCATGTTCAATCTACTTCTACTTGAAATGATTAAGTTTAAGGAAAATTAGTATTGTTCTATTATTTCGATACTTTACAGTTCCATCTATTTCTACTTGTTCTCATTGACTTGTTCATCAATGAGATTTTGCAGTTCACATAAAACCGTTCCACAGATTCTGACACCGTCCTGGGGTTTCTCGAACTTTAAGAATGTAGTGGGTCCCGATTAAGTGAAACGCTCCATACTCATTTATAAACAAAACCTTAAATTAATCTTCAAATACAGGCAACCATGAAAGATTTATTATAATCAATCAGCGACTTTATCTTCATTAATTAATCAAATCCAAACAAGTATCTTGTGATCTGTTCTTGTAATCGATTTGTTTATTGTCGTTACATTTAAGGCATGTTGTTTATAAATGACATAGGAAACAGCCAAACAGGATAAACATTGAGCGGATAAACATCATCCGGTTTGGGAGTGGGTCCTGCATAATAAATAAGTGACCAGGTGCATATCCATCCAATACAATGTGCGTTTTCTTTTTCTCCTCACGACACTTGTGTGATTTCTATTTGTTATTCAAATTAGACAAAATTTGGCGCAACTTTTTTCATAATATCTTTTTTTTTTGTAAAGTTAAATCATTGTATTTGTTATCAAATAGTAAATTTTGTTAAAAATATCCAATATACAAAATCAAAAGAAACCTACAAAAATATTTAATTATATGAGAACTTTAGAATTTAAAACTGTATTTTTCATATGAAAAAAAAATAGTTATTTTGTGGTGTAATTTAAAAATTGCTTTTCCTTGCAACTGATGATATTAAATTCGCTACTTCTTCGACATAAGGAAGGAAGTATATGTAGTTTTTTTTCTTGGACGTCAAGTACAGTAGAAATTCTATAAATTAATAATGTCGGGATTTTGATATTTTATTAATTTATAGAGTTATTAATATATAGATTTTGGCTAAAAAAAAATTTCAAAAAAAAAAATTCAAAATTACTAATTTTTAAATTTTCCTTCAAATTAAATAAAAACTTTCCTTTATATGTATATTTTCTTAACTTTTCTCTTTATGTTTCTATATTTACTTTATTGTTTACATTTTCTCATACTTGCCATATTATTTTAAATTTCTATTTTCTTTTAATTTCCATATATGTTTGGTGTGTGAGAGATTCATATTTTAGTAGCTAGATATTTTAGATTTATATAATTTTTTTTATGATAATTATTAATTTATGATATTATTGGGACCATATTTTACATAGGACTTTAAAAAAAGTTATTATCTTATTATCTTATCGAATTGTATCATATTTTACACCGGCCCAACTCGGGACCGGAGAAATTTATTAATTTATCGTGTTTATTAATTTATCGAGTATTAATTTATAGAGTTTCTACTATATGTATTCAAGAGCAAATCATGCATTTATCTATTATTATGCTTGTTATGTGTAAATAAAGTAAATTTGAAACGTGATTTGTCCGATATGGAAAGATCTTAATTTAATATTAATAGTGTTGAACAGAAAATGATAAGATTAGGAAATTAGAAAACCAATAGCGGAGACGGTAGAAGATACCCCTAGATTTTACTTTCCTTTTGTCCGACTATATAAATAACTAATACAATTGTGTTTAAAAAAAAATCACAGTTAAAGAGAAGAAAGAAGAAGAAGATTCGACCAAGAATAAAGAAAACACTAGAATGCTGCTTGTGACGGTAGTGGCTGAGATGTTGAGGGAATACACGGTGGTGCTCGCCGGAGTTTTGGAGCATCTCTTCTCTCAGGCGCCTTTTCCGAGGAGAATCCGACTTCATATTTTGTACTCTCTTCCTTTCCATAATTCCAACAATTCCTCTCACCCTCTTCTCCTTCCTTCTCCTCCTCCTTATTCTCGCCATTCATGATGACCAAAAATCTTGATGTTTTTCTTTTTTCTTGCTTAGTACTTTGATGTTTTTAACCTTCTTTGTGTTGAGATGTGAATTAATCCAGAGCTTTCGTTGTAAATAAGATATCCTCAATTAATGCATCATATTGTTATTAACAAACGAGTTATAGAGAGCTTTGTTGGTAGGTCTCTCCTTTTGTGAATTTCTGTTTAACTGATCTGTTAAGACAAGATTCTTTTATTGAAATCTTGGTCGAAGAATTTAGAAGATGGCTCTGTTTTTAACGAAGTCTCTTCTTCTAAGTAAAGATAAGATCAGAGACGCTGTTGCATTGAGAAGGTCTCAATAGTCGAGTTTTGTTGTGTCACTGAGATCGAGAGAACTAAACCAAAAAGACAAAAGAGCTGCTTACGAGTTACGAGTTGCAATGTCTTTGTCATCTTGTCCTTTCGACCGAGTCGCTCCAGGTCTCCACCAATTAAGCCCATATTCGTCTTTCGTAAGAAAAATATATTTCTGTAAAGAAGAATTTAATGGTCCAGTTGTCCTTTCCTCTTTCAGATTCCAGAGATATCTTTTTTTTGGATTCCTCTTCCTTCTCATTTGTCTAACGTCCAAAAACAATTTTACAGAAGAAGTGTACGTGCGTTATGTCCTATCTACCACCCTATGATCTAGAGTTATGACCTCTCTTCCGGCTCTGATTTTTTTTCTGTCATCTTAACTTATAATAATACAAAATCACATTACGAGGTTCTGTAGTGCCCACAAAATCCCACGAAAATTACACTCGATATGCTTCCTATATTAGCAAAAGAATCTACTGTAGTCAGGCCCGATATTTGTCAAGTGTGACCTTGGATCAGTTACAGTGTCTAAGATAATTAAGGCCCAATTTATACTAAATTAAGGGTCCATTTTGTGTGTACTGTGTAGTATGTAGTAACACATTCCAAATCTTTCAAATCCACACCTGAACTGCTGAACATATCATTTTGTGTGAAACTGTGTAGTAACACATTCCAAACTCATGCACAATAGTTTACAAATGAGAAAATTATAGCTATAGGCACTTTTTTAAAGTCTAATAACAGCCAAAGGCACTTCTTGCTCCCTAGTGACTTTGGCTGCTTTTGGAGTGAGGTTAAATTCCAGATATGCCCTTACTTTAATTCTCAAACCTTTTCAACTTTTTTTACCATGTTTTTTTACCAGGAAATCAAGCGTTTTTTTGTTTGTAGGATTGAAGAACTCTCCAACGTCTCCGTCTCCGTATGTTAGCCGAAAGATGAACACCATATAGAATTTTTTAAGAAGTGACCATCGGATCTCAATAAATCTGGATTGCTAAAGATAACTTCCACTTTTGAGTCTCTAACCTTAATATTATTTTTGTTGAGTCCAAATCTGGATCTAACTTCACTTTGACATTTTTGTCACTGGACCAGCTCTAAAGCGATAACTTGAAGATCTAACAAAAAACATAACTAGTAATATTTGTACAGGAATCAGTGGACACACACAATGACTATAGCAAACTTAATTTCATGGATGGACACATTAGAATACATTATCATGGATTGATCCCCGTCATTAGATTATTATAATTTGGCGTATGCGAATGAGTATTACGGAGAGACAAAATTTGATTTACAATTACTAATAACATATGTACAAGATGTAATGGATACAATAACTCTTTTATACCCCAACATATTTGCAGGGTGTAATGGACACTAACATATATACAGGAATGGTCTAATCTAAGACATAACAGATTACGTTTCTTCCACCATATGGACATGAATATATGGATGTGTAGTTTTGTATGATCACCGTCAATAGATAATTATGATTTAGGGTATGTGAATTGCTATGATGGAGAGACAAAAGTTGATTTATAATTACTAATTACATATGTACAAGATAGAGTGGATAATAACAATTCTTTTATACACTAACATATGTACATGAATGGTCTACACCAAACCAGGGGTGTTGCGATGACTCTAAGACATAATAGATTACGTTTCTAACACCATGGACACATGGATGTGTAGTTATGTACGATCACAGTCGGTATATAATTAGGATTTAGGGTACGCTATTTGGTATCATGAAGAGACAAATTTGATTTACAATTACTAATTACATATGTACAGAGTGGAATGGATAATAACAATTATTTATACACGAACATGTGTACATGGTGATATGGACACTACCAAATGTACAAGAATGGTCTACATCAAACCATCGGTGCTGCAATGACTCCAAAACCTAACAGAATAAGTTTTCAATACCATACGTACATTGATTTGTGGATATGTTATCATGTACTACCACCGTGAAAGGCACTTTCGACTTTGGTTATACCAATCAATCAAAATGTACAAAAAGTGATACATATGTGACTGACTAGTGGGCTATACACACCCGATAAAAAAATGAGTAATGATCTTGAAGAATGGCTGCTTGGAGATATATCAGGATTAGTCTTAGTGATATTTTATTTATTTCTTCAAATTATTGGAGTGAAATTTTGAAGAGGTTCTTCAGGAATAGAATGTTCTTGACTTCTAGTAGATATTATGGACTTACTGATTTTATGAAACTTGTATAAAGAGAGATTGGTTAATGAAAAGAAAATAATACAAAAAAGTGTGGAAACATTCAAGGCAAACTCGAGGAAAGAAAACATTTGGAAAACAGTCTCGTCATGGGATCTTCAAAACCTTGTGATGCTGGTAGCTAAAGCTAAATAGACATGGATTCATCGTTTTGAGATAATGCAATTTTTTGTATTAGTATAAATAAAATGGTCAGGATCTCCCCCCAAATTTCTTTTGACATTGACTATAAAATTGATAAAGGTATATGGAAGCAGGAAATGTAAAGAGGTTGGTTCTTAACTAGGCTAAAAAGTAATTTTTGGCTATAAAGAGCTTCCAAGAAGATGTAAAATAACATCATTGTCAATGATACATTTTCATACAAGAACGTTTGGCTAAACCCATGTTTGGAGATTATGGAGCTTGGCTCTTTGTGCTGGTGTGCTTAATAGTGTTACTGTTACATGATGTTTTTTGAAACTCCGAGAGAAATGGGGAGATGTTTGTGAACAAGAGATCGTGGACAAGTTGCTGTCTTTTTAACGTATCCAGTCATACGGATACAATGATTAGACATGGACAAGAGTTCGTAGATGGTATATAGCTGCTAAGACATCCTCCTTTCTAAATGGTCATAATAGCACTGAAATAAACTGTTGCCGTTTTACAGTTGCAGTCGTATGCATTCCGTATTGTGCTAGATCTTTATTTATAGGTGCGCATTGTGGATTCGAAGCCAAATGGGCTTTAGGATTCTCGCGTGCCTAACGAGGGGTATGTCGACGATACCAATCATCCGAACATGTAAATGATTAGCCATGGACAAGAGGTCGTGGACGAGTTGCTGCCGTTTTAAAGTTACCAGTCATACGCATTCCTTTTTGGGACTGGATCTTTATTTATGGATACACAACTGTGGATATGATGATTAGACATGGACAAGAAGCCGTGGACGAGTTGCTGCCGTTTTAAAGTAACGAGTAATACGGATACAATGCTTAGACATGGACAAGAGTTCATGGATGATGCATAACTGCTCAGACGTCCTCCCCCTGTGTGGTTATAATAGCACTGAAATAAATTGTTGTCATTTTACAGTTGCAGTTGTACGCATTCAGTATTCTGACTCAATCTTTATTTTATGAGTATACAATTGTGGATATGAAGACAAAAGGGCTTGAGATTTTTGTAAGCCGAACAAGGAGGGTGTTGACGATACCAATCATCCGAACAAGTAGATGACTAGATACGGACAAGAGGTCGTGGACAAGTTGTTGCCGTTTTAAAGTTACCAGTCATGCGCATCTATGCCGTTTTGGGACTGAATCTTTATTTATGGATACGCAACTGCAAATACGATGATTATACATGGACAAGGGGTTGTGGATGATGCATAGCTGGTCATAATAGCACTGAAATAAACTGCTGCCCTTTTAGTGGAGAAGACGACTGAAATATCTGGTTCAGATGATTGAGAAGATGACGGGATCACCAACGGATTTAGTGGAGTGATAGGTGGTGAAGAACGGAGATGTGCGAGGCGGAGTTGGTGATTTCTACGGACATGTCGGAATCCTGAAATTAAGACGGAGAGGGAAGCGATGGCAAAAGACGGTGTGTTTAGGATTTTAGACTTTTTAGTAGAAAAAAAAGGTGAGATGAAAAAAAAAGTGAAACAACGTATCTTAGGTAAAAAGAGAAAAGAGATATGGATTGAGAAACAAGATTTTTTTGGTCTTGTTATCAATCCAAAGTCACCTAGTAGTAGAAGGTGCCTTTTTTGATAGTTTAAAAGTCTAAAGTGCCTTTGAGTGTAAATGACTCTTTACAAGTTACAATTAAAAAACAAATTTTACAAGTTAATTAACGAGATAATTACACCTATAGGCACTTTGACACTTATAAATATCACTCAAAGGCACTTATAGCAACTAGGTGACTTTCCACAAAAAACTGGATAGCAAAAATTCAGATATGCCCTTACTTTATTTTTGTAATTACATCTACAGATTTTCTTTTACCATGTGCACTGCAGTAACTTTCTGTTTTTTACACCGATGAATTCGCCGGAATAACAGAAGAACGGTTGTGAATCTGAGATTTGCAGCCGACGAATTCGCCGGAATAACTCGCCGGAGTAATTCAAGAACGATTATTGGATCTAAAAGATTTGTCTTCATAACTGAAAACAAGTACACTATGAGATTTCATCGTCGAATTCTGTTTCGATAATCAATTTGGAAGATTTCGTCGGAAAAAATTATGTTGGCTATGGGATCTGGAAAAATTTCAGTTTGGAGAAGTTTCGTTGAAGTTTGGAGAAGATGAATCTGGGTTAACTCGCGATCTTGTCCACATCTACATGTCCACGCAGTCGTGTATACATACGCCCATCTGAACATCTTTGTTTAGATAATTAAATTTTTGGAAATTAAATAATATGTGTGTGAACATGTTTCCGTGTACATGATTTTGTGAACACAAAGATAATTAACAACTGAGTGAGTGTTTGTTGAGCTATTGTTTATCGCCTAGGCTATTGCGTAGAACCATATCCATATTCTTGTGTCCATACTTCGTATCCATATGGATATATAACACCTATGTTCATATCAATGTGTAAATATGGTTCTGAAATTGGTTCTCAGTCTATCCAAAACTCAACATACACGTGGACACGACTGCATGATCAAGATAATCGGGTGTTTGGATAATTAAATTTTGGAGTTTGAATGAGATGTGTGTGAACATGTTTCCGTGTACATGATGTTGTGAACACAAAGATTATCCACAACTGGGTGAATATTTCTCCCCTACATTGTTCCATAGAACTGTATCCATATGCATGTGTCCATACTTCGTATCCATGTGGATATATACACCTATGTTCATATCAATATGTAAATCTGGTTCTGAATTTGTTCTCAGTCTATCCGAAACTCAACATATCGGACACAACTGCATGATCAAGATAATCGGATGTTTGGATAATTAAATTTTTGGAGTTTGAATGAGATGTGTGAGTGGACATGTTTCCGTGTACATAATTTTGTGAACACAAAGATAATTAACAACTAAATGAGTGTTTATCAAATTATCGCCTAGTCTTTAATAAATGTATATGTTCATGCTACCGTCGTTCATGAAACTGCATCCACATGGATAGATATCCATTTATCAAATATATTATACAAGTTATCTTTTAATACAAACATATTCGTAGACAGTTTTGAAGAGTTCTTTGTGCACTTTGTATATCTATAGTGTTTCTGGATACAAAATATTTGTTTGTCCATGCTTACTTATCCAACAATTAGTATGGAGTTTGGTTTCTTTGTCCACATATAATAATCTCCAAAACAAACAATTTAAGAGAAAGCTACGAAAACTAGATCACAAGTGGACACGACTGCATGGACATCTAGATGTGGACATGATCGTGAATGAACACAGATTCATCGACCCCGAACTTCAGCGAATCTGAAATCTGCTTTATTCATCTTCTCCTCACTCTAAAAAAGAAACCCAGAGAAAAATGAAACTGAATTGAACGGCGGCGTCTTGCAATTAAACGGCAGTACGGTTACAAACGATGGAATGAGAGGCAAAATTCAGAAACAAAGATGGAGGGAAAAACGGGCGGTGATGAACAACGGTGAAACATGGATGTTGGGTGAAAGGAAAGAGAACTCAGATTTTAGAAAGGTGAAACTGTGGATGTTGGGTAAAAATAAAAGAGAAGTCAGATTTTAGGAAAATGATTATTTGGTCATTAAAACACTCCAAAGTCCCTTAAGAGCACAAAGTGCCTTTAAATGTAAAAAATAACTCAAAAGTGCCTTTAATGTAAATGACTCTTAATTAACATCAAATAATCTTATGAGATAAATTATCCCGTCTCTATCGTACGAAATACCATCTAACCTCTTTATAAAAAACGGTATCACCGGTTTTTTCTTTGCAGCCAATGGTATCACGCTTTATCTTTTCAAAATAATAAACAATCTTGAAAAGATGAAAACGATTTGTTTTTGTCGGCAGATGAAAACGATTTAAAACTAAATTGTCAAACAAAATGAGACTTAGCCTATGAGATTCACGACGATTAAGTCTTGTTCTATCTTCTCACCTGCTTAGGAAAACCTAATAACATTAGATTTCATTGAATAGTGGTATAGTTATTTCATTTTGGTGAAACTAAATGTGACAATTTTGATGCTTTTGCATATATATATAATAATATTATACACTACACATGAATTATAGTCATTACTCAATGTAATTGATTTAGATATTTAATAATTATCTTATATATAAGGATATGTTTATTTTAGATTTACAGTTATAAATTTGAGTTTTGAAGAAAACAAATTTTATGAACATTTAGTAATATTTAAGGCATTTACAAATAAGATAAAATTAAAAAAGGTAGGGCAATGTCAAATCTTGAAGTTTCGTCCTCATCCGAAATGACGACGAGTAAACACACCACGCCGTGTTACTTTTTTTTTGTTTGTTTAATAGACTCTTGACCTGAAGAAATAGCTTCGTCTTTTCGCAAATCCAAATTAAAACAAAAAAAGAGGAGGGGAAGGTGAAAGCCTTCTACAAATCCCTTCCCTCCTTCTTCTTCTTCAACAAGATTCATAGCTTCCTTTCTCCGCCATAGCCACAGAGAGAAAGAGAAGAGATGAAGCAGTGTAGTCTTTCTCCTGCCGCTCGACCTTTCCCAATCGGTTCTTCTTCTTTCTCCATCACTGCTTCTAAATCTGAACACGAAGATTCTATCTGGGGCGATTACAATCTAGACCTCTCCTTCTTATCCTCCGATGACCAGAGAAGTGCCCTTGATACTGATGATTCTCTCTCTAACTTGTCTCGCGATGCAGAGACCATCAAAGGTAAATTCAAAATCCTACTCTTCTCTCTCCTTGCTGTTGCCGTCGTGTTTGTGAAATTTTTATGCTTAGATAAAGGAATCGATTAAGAACTGAGATTTTGGTGAATGAATTTCTGCAGAAGATAAAGTCTTGTTAAATCCACCATCCTTGAAACTGCCTGAGCTGCTGATTGAGTCATCTAAAGATGCAAACGCAACTGTTATATCTGAGAAGAAATCTTCTACAGAAACTGACCAAGATGACTCTGAGGAAGATACTCCTTGCTGGATTGGGATACTTTCTCGCAAGAATCTGGCCTCAGGTTCCAAATCTATGACCTCAAGGCGTTCAAATGATGATCTTAGTGGATTTCGTAGATTGAATCCTTTGGCACCTCAGTTTATACCATCCAATTCTAAGAAGAATCTCGACATTGAAGAGAAGAATACTTCTTCTTCGTCTTTGAAGAAGTCTCTCTCTTCAGATTTCCCATCATCGTCAGGAGAGTTCAGTGTAACCGATCCTCCTAAAGATGACACAGCAGCAAGAAGCGCAGGCGTAATCTTGACTTCAAATGCAGATGGAGATAATGTTTCCAAGACTGATTCAAGAAATGAGTTCCAACCATCTAAAAAGTTGGATCCTTTGGCCCCTGTGTTCGTTCCCTCTACTGCAAAGCTAAGTCCTTCTCTTCATGAGAAGAAGCAAGGAGGAGCTCTTGAGTCAAATGCAGATTCAGTTTCCGGAGAGGTTGGTCGCAGTGATAAGATTCAATTTTCTGATGGCGTTCAAGAATCAGGCTCGACATCCAAAGTTAGGATTACTGTGAATGCAAAACTAGGTGGCTCTAGCAGCAAGTCTCATGGTCAGAGAAGATTGAATCCATTGGCTCCTCAGTTCTCTCTTGCAGATACTAAACAAAAAGCATATCGCTTTGAGAATAGTAACTTCGGCTCTACTAAGTGGTATTCAGTGGAGCCAAAAGCTACACTTTCTGTGAAGGGTGATACAGATTTTAAGCATCCTCTTCCGTTTCACGTCGTGGAAACTGCAGCGAGTTCGTCTTCGAGCGATGTGAAGGCTTCTTTATCTGGCTCATCTCCAAAGATGGATGTGAAGAAGCTACTTACAAAGATGCATGGACTGTCAGAGTTACTAACACTTGCACATGGTTCAGATTCATGGAATGCGGATGAGGTTGATCTCGTTAACAGCACTGTACAGAATCTCAACTTGTACATCCAAAACAGCATTCAAGAACAGGCTGGGAATCAAAGCGTCCCACGACACAGTTCATATGATATTCAGCTTTTACCTAACAAGAGTAATAAGGTATGTTGCTCCACATTACATTCGCATATAAACATAAGAGGGAAATGTAGCATCATATCTTGTAGAAGTTACAAAAAATGATAGTGTGTTAATGTGTCACCATGATTCCAAATCTTATCTATTAGCTATCGATTAGAGACCTTCAGCTTCCAAGGGCAAACAGTATGACTGTCGACCTTGATGTTAAAAGGAAGGAGAAATACTCTGAGAGTGTCCCAGACTCTCGTTTGTATCAATATGGTGATAACGGCTTTGGTCAGGTATGGTTTTGCTTTATCTGCATACTTGGTTTGGTGGTTATCAGGAGGTAGATCTTTTGGTTTTGATAACATGCAGGTTGTGGCTCAAAGTGGTTACCAATACCAACAGAATCACTATCAAGGCGAGGAGCAGATTAATCAACATGCACTGTTCTACAAAAGCTTATGGCTCAAGGCTGAAGCAGACAGGTGTTTGATGGTTTACGAGACGTCTCTTTCGTAGGAAGGTGACATCAAATCATCCGTAAATAAAATTCACATCCTTGACTTATAAATGCAGAGCAAAGTTTGAAGAGACATTTTACATGTCGAATTGGTAAGGGTTTGCACAAGGTCCTTTAGAGCAATTTGTTTTTTCGATTTTGCAGGTTGGCAATGTAAATTTTCAAAGAACAGCCTCAAAGATCTCCAATTTCTGGATGGAGACTATTATTGCATAGTACATTGTGCACAAGGATGAAGTTAGTGCTTTCTTTTTTACCAGTGTGCGTACTTTACGTGCATGATGCTAATTAGTGTGCGTACTTTACGTGTGGAGCCGTTTGCTTGCTGAAGTTGCTTTTTTAATGTTTTCTTGTTATGTGGTCATGATCTTTGATCATCAGTTGTATAAAACAATCCTTTGTTACTTACTATTGTCTTCACCACTCTTTTGGTTATATGCTATTTGAAAAACCATTGAAATCCTCTTGCTTTTTCTTGGAACTGAGACTCAAAATGCCAACTGCAAATTAGTGACCCCAAATTAGATATTCTCAAGTCTAAGATGTGATCAACGAAGAGGAGAGACAAAATGACATAAGGTGAGGAAAACAGTGAAGAAATCAATAATCTTGCAAGAAAATGGTAGGCAACAAGAAACAATGAAACAAAAGCGAAAGGACAATCTAGTGGTGGTGGTTCTTGTAACTCAATCTCTCTCTCTATGTCGTGAGTTCCATAATGGCGGAAACAATATCTCCATCATTGGCCTTTAATGACTTCACAGCTTTGGCCTTGGAGACACCTGCTTGAGTCATCACAAGATCAATGTCTCTTGCTTCAACTCCTGTGACATCAACGTCGTCTTCATCTTCTTCCTCTGCTTGTGGAGCCATGGCAGCTTCAGAAGCATTGTTAGGGAGGATGGATGTCATGTCAGGTATCTTGAACCTGTGAGCAGCTTGTGTTTGTAGCTGAGTGCTCAGGTCATCGATCTTGGCCTCTCCGAATACGACATAAGTCTCGGAATTGGGACTCTTGTACACATCTGGCTTCGAGATCACAAATAACACCTGATAGAAGCAATAGTTTCCAGAATCAAACCTTGTTACTTGGTCTTATACACCAAGAAAAAAAATTGAGAATGAGAAGGTTCTTGTGAGAAGGTTTTTTACATTCTTGGATCTTTTGATTGTCACTCTGCTGACATCTGAGATAGGTTTCATGCCAAGCTTTAGAACTGCTTTGCGGCTTTTCTTCTCGCTTCTACTTTGCTTGGAATTCTCATTTCCACCATCTACTTCACCTATATACAATCAAAAACATGAAAAGAGTAACCTTATCCACAATTATGATTTCTAAACAAAGGAATTTCACGAAACATTAGTAAACCACTCGAAATCAAACGCATGAATCAGATCAAACGAATGCATTCCGGTTAACCGGAGAGAAAATGAAAGGGAGAGAGAAGAAATACCTTCGGCGTCATCATCCTCGTCGTCGTCGTCTTCCTCACCGTCTTTCAAGTCCTCTACAACAACATCATCTTCCTTCTGTTTTCAACATCATTTTCATCATTTATCAAAATCGACGACAACAAATCGAGCATTCTTCGTTTCTCAATCAGAAAAATCGAACAGAGGAGGAAAAGAAAAAAAAAAAACGAACCTCGAGTTTCAGTTGCTCTTTGATGGAATCAATCAGATTTTCCTGCGATTTATCTTCCTCCACAATTGGTCCCGGCATTTTTCTTCCTTCTCTTCTTCTCTTTTCCAACGATAAACCACACAGAAAGAGCGCAAGCTTTTCTTCTATCGCTATCGCAGTGACGATGACGAGCATAATCGCCTCCAAGCCCAATAAAACCCAATTGTCTTAATTAAAAGCCCATTGGGCCTCACTCCCCCCAAAACTTCATCACTTTCGTCTCTGGTGTTCTACAGAAGCTTCTGCATTTATATTCTCTGTTTCTTCAAAATTGGCAGCATAAATTGGTCAAATCAAAATCTATTACTTCTTCTTTGTATTCAAAAGAAATGAGGAATTTTTGAAGTTTGACTCGTAAACTCTCAGTAATATATGCACTTTTTCAGATTCAGGAAGCAAGATAATTGGAAAATGGAAGAACACAACCTGTCCTTGTACGCTATGATCCTATCGAGCTCCTCTGTTCTTCCAATGGTTCTGAAGTTAGCCATTGATCTTGGCCTCTTCGACATCTTAGCCGAATCTGGTCCTTCTTCTTCCCTCTCCGCCTCTCAGATCGTCTCTCTCTTGTCTACTCAAACACAACAACAACATGATTCAAGCTTGGTCAATCGGATTCTTCGATGTCTTACGAGCTATTCCATAGTCACATGCTCTGTTTCCTCTGAACAGGGTGTGGTATATGGCTTAGCTCCTGTTGCCAAGTACTTCACCAAGAACCAAGATGGTGGTGGCTCGTTGGCTCCTTTGGTTAATTTGTTTCAGGACAAGGTCGTGACTGATATCTGGTAAATCATCATTAACAACATCCTAAACTCTTTTGTCTGAAAAAACATGATGATCTCTGTCTTGTTTTCATATCTTGAATTTCTCTGATTTTTTATATAAGGTACAACCTTAAAGATTGTGTTCTTGAAGTAGGAATTCCATTCAACAAGACTCATGGTTTGAGTGCGGTCGAGTTGGTGGGAAGAGATTCAAGATTCGGAGAAGTGTTCCAGAGCGCCATGAGAGGTTTCAATGAAGTTTTCATGGAAGAAGTTGTTAGTAAGTACAAGGGTTTTGATGGTGTTAAGTCTTTAGTGGATGTTGGTGGTGGAGATGGTTCTATTCTCAGTAAAATCATCTCCAAGCATCCTCACATCACCAAAGCTGTTAACTTTGATTTGCCCTCTGTTATCATCAACGTTTCATCAGCTTCTCCAGGTATAATACAAGTTCTTGCCAAGATTCTTGTTTTATTGTAAAATTGATTTGAAAAATAATATTTTGTGTGTGTTGTAGGCATTGAGAATGTTTCTGGAGACATGTTTATAAGCATTCCTAAAGGAGACGCCATTTTCATGAAGGTAATTTTTTGTTTGAAGATTCCTTTTACTCTTTTATCAGAGTATATTTAAAAGCTAACATCAGAGGCCATTTTTTGTGTGTGTTTTTGTGACAATTACAAACAGTGGATTCTCCATGGCTGGGACGATGAGCATTGTGTGAAGATACTCAGAAACTGTTATCAGTCGATACCGGAAAATGGTAAGGTGATTGTGATCGATATGGTAATACCAGATTTACCGGAAGATACTCTACTAGACAGAAGCTTGTTACAGTTTGAGTTGTTGATGATGAACATGAACCCATCAGGGAGAGAAAGAACGAAAAGAGAATTCGAGATCTTAGCTCGTCTCGCCGGATTTTCTAGTGTCCAAGTTACGTTTACATCTCTCTGTTTCTCAGTTGTAGAGTTCCACAAGAGCGTTTGATGGGTACGACTAGTATTGTTTAGTTGAAGTATACTCAATAAGATAATAAGAATATAAATTTTACTTCGAAAAAAAAAGACTCAAGAAATTTGAAAATAACGATCATCTTTTCCATACTTTCAATTCAACATCCACAAGAATGCATCATGCATGTATACCGAAACCTATGACTTATTCGTCTGTTTACACAATCCGTATATGTAGAAACCTAGTATTTCAAAATGTAAGTTTGCACATATAGAGATAATAAACTTGTGCATTTTTTTTTTTTGGTCAAACAATAAACTTGTGCATTTTAATATTCCTTTCATAGATGAAATCCAGTCTTCTATGATGGTCCAACAAAGTCCACGTCCTAGTTAAGTTCAAACGAGGTTAATTTAAGCAGCGGAAGCTTTTGTTACTGAATAAAATTTCCAAAAAGGTTGAATAAGTTCGGTTTAAAGTATGAATATGGACAAATTCTTTAGGTGCATGTCTTCTCTGAATTGGTCCAACTTAATTTTATTTATTTCGGAAAACAAAGACACAGTCCATGTTCAAAAGTTCATGTGAGCTTAAATTAATCAGCAAACGCTTTTGTTGTTGAATAAAAAAATCCAAAAAAGTTGAATAAGTTCGGTTTGAAGTACCGAGTACGAATTGGCAGATTCTTAAGAGTTAAGATCCCATATATAAATTGTTGTCTTACTATTTAAAGAAGACTTGAATGTATAATGTGAAGTTGTGAACTAATATTATTATTTTGTTTGTAATAACTAATATAAGCCTCTTTTTTTTTTCTGAAATAAGACTTGAATTAAAGTGTTTTATAATTTAATGACCCCACAAAAGTTGTTCACATTATTTATTCAAGATAATATTAGCACATGTATTATATATATGAGCTAATAATATATATATATATATATATATATATAATACATGTGAGGTAATATTATCTTGAATAAATAATGTGAACAACTTTTGTGGGGTCATTAAATTATAAAACACTTTAATCACTTATTATATGTTTTTTGTTCGACATATTATAGTTTCTTCACGAAATCAATTTTCATATGTTTTTTTATAATTTTTTTGGTCTTGGTCTTGTACTCTTGTATGTCAACTTGTTCCCCACAAAATGTATAATAGAGGAGAAAAGTGAAGTTGGACCGATTCCGATTCATAAAGAAACTCAAGTATCAAGATTAGTCAAAAATCAAGTGTTAGTCTTCTATAAAGTAGTATAAAAATTTGAAATCAACGATGTGACTCATCACCTAACCTTAATGCATGCATGCCCTCTACATATAAATACACACTTTAATTACAAATCCGAAAATTTATCAAACTTAAGAGTTTGGACCAATAGCAAAATTAAAGACCTACAAAAATGAACGTGATTCGGTTTATAGCTTTGGAAATTCTCTCGTTCTTTGCTTCATCAAACACAACCTTTGCTGAATCACCATACGATTATGATTCTCACGATACAAGTAAGTTTCAAATTTTGAGAAACTTCTTCTTTCATCTCTCGGTTCAGTTTTCTATTTCTTAGAAATTAATATTCAAATTTTTGTTTTGTTGGAATAGAAATTGGAGAAGGGGTTTGGGATCAAAATCTCCTCATTAACAAGATAAGGGGTCAAGCAAAGCCCAGTATATCACGGCCGGCTAAAGGAAAATGACAATGGTTTCTGATGATTCTTCGACTCAATGAGAAATTAATGTTATCACTTATCAGTGAGGCATTGTTCTGAGAACTAGCTTCATACATATAACAATATGATCAATTCCACGTATGTTATATGGTTGAAGATTTTTTTTATCCCTGACTTCAATTTGACATTAGTTGAAGTCACATAATAAGTTTAATCAATCTACAACTACAAGCAAGGGCATGTGTTTATACGAGAAACAAATTTCAACTGCATGCCACTAACAAGATTAAATACTCTATTTGTGCCATTGATTGAGCGAGTCAATCACCTTCATCCTTCATCTCTACCTTCATCCCCTTACGCGTGCCATAGCCCATAGGCTTGGAATCTCTTCATAGCATAGATATAACCGAATGTCGCTAGGGTCTAGGACATGGTCTTGGTGTGCCTGGTGGTCTCTTTGGGCCTGGCGCTTTAGGTGAACAACTGCCACCTACTTCAGTTTTGATCTCTCTGATCACCTTTTGATCCCATAATCCTTCTCCTATTTATTTCCCCAAATAGAAAACAACAGTTAACTACTCAATTTTAATTGTTTTGGTAAAACAATCTTGTTTTTGTTTGTTAATATATTTTTATAACCCATTTGAACCAATCCAATTAATCGAACAAAAACCGCAGAGCAATAATTAGTACAGAACTTAAAAAGAAGAAGAAAATAAATAATCCAAGTCAATACTTTTCGTTTATGAAGAAACCATACTTTCTGTTCTTTGATTATTCTTTGATTGAGAGGTATACTTTGCTATACTTGGGATCAAAATTCCAAAAGTATATATAACCAAAGTGAATGATGTTCAGTTTCTATTTATTTCTATTATTTAAGCAGGAAATTTTGAACTACAATAAAGCCAAAATTGGCTGGGTATATAAAATCGTTATGAATATAAAAAAGAGAAAATTACTTGGCTTTGGAAATTCGTATCGTTCTCGCGCCAATGCTGCGTTTGATAATCCAGAGAACAATAGAAAACATAAAGTTAGCAACCCTACCAGGACGATATTCATTTTTTTTTTTGGTTGATTTTAGTTATGGATTTCAAAATGTAAGTTTGTGCATATATATAGAGAGAACAAACTTGTACATTAAAAAAAAATATATATATACAAACTTGTACATTTCAATATTTCTTGTACAACTGATCAAGTCTTCTCTGAATCGGTCCAATTTAAATTTAATTATTGTGGAGATCAAAGTCCATGTTCAAAGTTCAAGTAATCTTAATTTAAACAGCAAAAGCTTTCATTACTGAATAAAAAAACCCAAACATGTCTAAGAAGTTGGTTGAAGTACGAATGGATACATACTCTAAAGATTCCATATAACGTTGTCCCGCTCTTCTCAATATAAAAATATAAGACTTAGTTATGTGAACTAATTTGTGTGTGTGTGTGTGTGTGTAATAAGCCTTGAAGAAATAACACATGTCAACACCTTACAGAAATGATGTTGTATGTGGAATCAAAGCCAAAGCCTAGCCATACTAAGAGATGAGGCTCATCTCTTCTCAACTCAAATGTTGCATCTGTGCTCACAAAAGTTTTATAAAAAATCATTACTGTGTAAAACCAATTATCCCAATAGATATAGAGAGCAATTCAGACACCCAAAACAGATGAAATGAATCATATATGAAGCCGAGCTAAGTTGACATTTTAAAAATTTATATGAAAAATGCGGTGAGCGTGGATCGAACACGCGACCTTCAGATCTTCAGTCTGACGCTCTCCCAACTGAGCTATCCCCGCTGGACAAATATCATTATGTAAACTGAAATTTGAACGCCTGACCTGAGACATCTAAAGCATATACACAACTAACTGTGCCAAAGTAATTTTTAAAGCATATATTTAACCAACCATGGTGAAACTACCTCTTCTATTTCACGAGTAATAAATAAAACTCATCGACAAAACAATGAAGAACCGTCTCAACTCGATCGGTGCCTTAAGGCGACAATAAATATGAGGAGAGGCTCATGTTTTGGTTTGCTACAACAAAACATCATATATATATATATATATATATATATATATATATATATGTAGGTCGTAGCGTAGTTTGACACTCCGTACCTAGGATCCATTTTGGAAAAGATTGATGATGACATAAAATAGATTACATTCTAGGACTTGTTAAAACATGAAACTGCATGATACTAAATCTATTGAAATGTTTCAGTTTTATTAGTCTCAACTCTCAACGAAGGAGATTACTAGTGTGAAAAACATTATTACATATTTAAGCCAAAAAATATAGAAAATATCATTACACATAAGGTCTCACATATTATATAATGCATATATCTCATGCATTAGTATTTTGGACATGGTTTCGATGAGCCTTGTTTCTTCACATAGTGTGGTGCTGGAGGTGAACAACTGCCACGCACTCCAGTCTTGATCTCTCTGATCACCATTTGATCCCAAACCCTTTCTCCTATTTATTTTCCAAAAGAGGATACAACAGTTAACTAAGTCTTTGGTTAAAAAAGTCTTTATATAACCCAGTTGAACCACCAAACTGTATCGTAAAATTTAGTGCAAAACCCAAAAGAATAGAAGAAATAAAATCATTCAGTTCGATTTTTCCAATATATTGAAGTAGCTATTTTTTTTTTTTAATATTCTTTGATTCGAATGTAAATTTGCTAACATGGAACCAAAATTTCATAAATTCTAATTGTTACCATACATGAAAAAAAAAAAACAGCTTTTATTTCTTTCAGACTAAATTGTTTCTTTCAGACTTTCACTATTCTTTGTTAGTTATTCTTTTTGTTTTGATAAAGATTTATCCTACTCTTTGAATTGAAAGTAATTTGCTAAACATGGAATCAGAATTCCAAAAATATACTTACTTGGATTTGGAAATTCATATTGTACTCGGGCCAGTGCTGTGTTCGATAATCCAGAGAACAATAGAAAACTTAAAGTTAGCAAGCTTGCCAGGACGATATGCATCTTTTCGTTTATTTAAATTATGAATTTCAATATGTAAGTTTGTGCATATATAGAGAGAATCCACTATTCTCTGAATTTGTCAAACATTATTTTAACTATTTTTGGTACAAAGTCCATGTTCAAAAGTTTATTTGAGCTTAATCAGCCAATGCTTTTGTTGTAGATTAAAAAATCCCAAAAAGGTGGAATGAGTACGGTTCGAAGTACCGAGTACGAAATGACAGATTCTTAAGATCCCACTATCTTCTCAATATATAAAAATAAATACTTCAACGTATTACTTATACAGATGTGAACTATAATTATTTTGTTTGTAATAGTCCTTGAATTTGGGATCACATAACAGCGTCGTAAATATACTGTTTTATTTCTACGTGTGCCATTTATCAATACGTGTTCTTGTGAATTGTGATGTTCCCCTTTCATTTGTACAATTTGTACGTGACTACGTTGAATGGATTGTCTCGTTTTTTTGCGGACATAATGTTCGATTGAAAACACTCGAGCTTAATTTCGTGAGGGCCACGTCCTCTCTTAGTCTATGGGTTCCACTCTCGCTTGACGGCCCACATGCTATTTTGGGAGGCTCGAAAATTGTTTACTCTCTGCAAATCACCACATATGATTTATCCCTATTCATACAATGACCACCATGCATATATCAGAATTCGAGTTCGACGTATTACACAAAATGTCTTTGAAAACACTTTGATTGTGTTGTGCTGTGTTACATTTGTGAGAAGAACTAAGAAAACGATACACAATTATAAGTGTACCTTTGTCTATTGTAAAGTATTACAGTTCTTTGAGAAATTTCATTTATGCATGTAAATGTAATGAATGATGAAGATGCATGAAAAAGGCTCACATAACAGCGTCGTAATGAAGAGGACGACATAAAAATATTTAATTTTGTTCCTTTCGCTATAATTTTTCTTTTCTTGGTCTTCGTCTGTTTAATTTCTACTTCCACTTGTTCTCCACACGACGTAGAAAAATACAGAATTGGACTAATTCAGTTTCATACAGGTAATTCGAGAGTCAATATAACATCTTCTACAAACAAGTATATAAATATATACTAATAAACGTGTTTAACGAATTTACCAAATCAAAAGTCAATATTTTCTTCTGTACTATAGATTCGAAATCAACGACGTAGCCCACTACGTAACCTTAGTGCATGTTCTCTACATATAAATACACGACGTGTCGACGGTACATAAACATATTACATAACTTCTAAAAATCTATAAAATTTAGACCAACCAAAAATCCAAAAGAAAAATGGACGTCGTTCGGTTAGTAATGATGATCATTCTCGTGTTATCTGCATCATAAAACACAGTCTTCGCTCGATCAGTACCATACGGTTACGAATCTCTCTATACAAGTAAGTTACTTGTTGTGAGAAATTTCTTCTTTGTCTCTCAATTTGGTTTTGGATTGATTAAAAGTTAGTAATTAAAAGTTTTCGGTAAAGAAATAGGAGAAGGAGTTTGGGATCAAAAAGTCCTGAACGAGATCAAGCAAGTGGGCCCCAGCAAATCAAAGCGTGCAGGTCAAGGATCGCGTGCACCCGGCAATGGTATGTCTTGATTAAGAATGTAATGTCTCTAAAACCAAAAAAGAAAGAAAAGAATGTAACGTCTTGGGGAGACATTGTTCCAATAACTCGTTTCATATCCATGTGTGAAAATCTATTTCACCGATTTAAAATTTCTTCTTGAATTATGTGAATGAATGGTTTTAGTTGACGAAAGATTATTGTTATATCTTCTCATGATTGTAAAGAAAATATTTTTTTCTAATCAACACATTTTTTTTACTTTTAACTACATGAAGAGAATGTAAAGAGAATATAGATGCATTTTGTACTTTTGCTTGACATTTATGATAAACTCAGAATTTAGACATGATGAGTCCCTTTAACAAAAACAAAAACAAAAAATTATATGTGATATATATAGCGAGTTTGTTAGTATAATTATCTACAAACATGTAATGATGTAAACAAACGAAACATGCAACTGATGTGAGGAAGAAATAATCAGATCAAAAGGGAATTCCTTGTTTACACCAGAATATTTTTAAAGCCTCTTTCTTCTTGCTCCTTGCTCCTCTTTGCACAATGATGAAAATGAGCAAAACTTGTCATTGCCACTGTAACATTCATAAACCAAATAATTGATAATTGATTTTGGTTCAATTTGAGTGAAATTGGGCCCGGTTTAGCCCGGTTAAGGGTTGGAAACCCTTATTTTCGTTTTAAAGGAGAAGCAGCCGTCTGTTCATCACGTTTTTCGAGGCAGAGAAGGAGAAAGGCGATTTTGAGAGTTCCTGGAAAATCCGATTTTACTGTTCATCGTACTGTTCATCGGTATGTTCACGGTTACTGTTCATCGGTACTGTTCACGGTTACTGTTCATCGGTACTGTTCATCCGCGATTCGGCACTGTTCATCGTCTTTCCTTTTTCCTTCAGTTTCAATCCATTGTCAAGGTGAGTGCATGACTGTGGGTCCGTGATTTGCTAGATTAGATTTGGTTTGTGATTGTTCTTGATGAGTTTATGTGTTTAATTGTTATTTCATAGTATTGGTTGTTTCTGTGATGAATTGTGTGTTTGTGTGGTTTAATCTGGTTTAATTGAATTAATTGATTTAATTGGTTTATCTTGGTTTAAATTGATTTGATTCTGGTTATTTGGTGTAATTGAATTAAAATGTTTTAATTCAAATTGTTTGATTTATTTTCGGATTTAATTAATTAATGATTAATTTAATTAATTAATTGATTTAAAATAATTATTTTAATTATTTTAAAATATGGAAAATTATTATTTAATTATGAGAATTATTTAATAATTGAGAAATGAGTTTTAATTATTAATAATTATTTAATAATTGGAAAATGGTATTTAATAATTATTGGAGTTTATAAATATTATTAAATATCTAGTAAATTGCGTAAATGGCTCGTAGGCAGAGTGATTGCCTCACTAAGTATTTATTAAATACTTACGCAACTCCATTCCAATGTGTTGCAGGTAAAAGATTTGTGTGATCGCGGAATCAAGGCTGAAGAGGGGGATGATAGGATGTTTACTGTTTTATTGTTTTGCATTATTTTGCTAGACTTGTTTAATTATTATTTGCTTCCGCTGAACTGATTTATTTGTTATTGATATTTTATTTATTTAATTTGGTTGTTTCAGCCACTTTCTCTAAACACTGTAACAACTCTTTGTATTCGATAAAATGGTGTATGAATGCCTCAAATTTTACCCTACAACTCATTCTCATTTCATATCGAGATGAACAAAATAATATTTGGCCATTTTCTAAAATACACCACATTTTTAGGTTTTTGTTCCAAGAAAATTAAAAAAATCACATTGTTAATTTGTTCTAGAAAAAATAAAAATTTATCCGGCTTATCCAGCTTTCATCCGTTAATTTGTCACTCAGACTGAATCATAAATCAAAATGTCCATCTATTTGTAATTTTATGGATCAAAGTGGATTCCAATTTCCAAATGCCAAAAGCCTCAAGTAACTGTTTATGTGTCTTGAGTCGCACATGAAAATTTGAATTTAAAGCCTGCTAAATGTTCAAGAGAAAAAAAAGCATGCTAACGAAAAATAATGTAAGAAAAGTAATCATTACCAAGAAATTTAGATGGGATTATTTATTTTTACGTTATTCAATTAGAATTGATCAATTGATAAACAACGAAGCATACATGGACGCATCAGCTGATAATGATAGAATTCAGACATACATACGTGTCTTAATTTTTGGGACGAATTATAACACCTTTGATAATGAGCCCTTCCTGCCAACGGTTGGTCTCATACATAGAGAACCTGATCTCTCCGAGATACTCTGGCGTCGTCAAGAACTCACCGGCCAGAATAGTTACCCACCCTTTCCCTATATAGTCCTTCAACTTCACAATCCGCTCTTCCGGTCCTGGCATACTGTTGGGCATGACGAGCTTCATGTGCACCGGTACCTCCCATCCAGAAGCTGATTTTCTTAACTTCATCACGAACACGACCTCGTAATGTGTCCATGGTGTAAGTTCTCTCGTGTCAAACGTCCCGCCCACGTCTAACCAACAAACTCCTAAAAGCGCGGCAGCTTCAACGAGTGCATTGCTTGAAAAATGAAAAACAAATTTATATATATACAGGTACAGATGGTGTTCTAGGATTTGAGTTGATACTACCAAATGTGGCATATGTTTTAGAATTTTATTGTATAAAATGAAAACATTTTGCTAAAAGTATATTTAGGGATGCTTGGTGAAGAGTTTTAAAACTTTAGGCTTTTAAGTTTTAATTTTGTAAAAAACTGTTAAAACTTTTACTTTAAAATAATGGGCTGTGACTTTAAGAAAAATAAAATCCACACATTGTTGGCTTTTTGAAAAACTCAGAAATGTATTAGTGTAAAAATCAAGGCTATGAGAAATTTTAGGGACTTTGAGTGAATTTGGGACAGTTAAAGCATGTTTGGGTAAAAGTAAAATTGACATTTAACACTTTTATTTGTTTCTAAAGCCTTAATGTTTTGTGTATATATATACTATCTTACTTTAGAAATATGTTTACATAAGCGTGACAAATATGTTTTTTTTTTTTTTTACTTTTTTGTAATTCAAGGTAAATCCTAGGCCTGTGGTTTACCCAGACCTGGGTAACATGCCTGTGTAAGGGTTCAGACTAATAAGTAATAACTAGAACTTATGTAAGATATGTTAATATAATTTAGGTTATAGTTTTCTAACATGCATGTGTCATTGTTAATTTAGACAACAACGACTAGAAAGTTTAATGCGTTTCACGTGCATGTGTTATTGTTATTAGATCATAACATTTGTTAACGTAATAATATAAACTTTAATTTTGTTAGTTTTTTTAATAAAACCGAAAAAGTTGAGTTTTAAAACAGAACTATAAATCAGAAAATAAGTAAACTAAAAAAACGTAATAACTATAAAATGGATAATATTAAATTTTTATTTCAGACTTAACACAATCATTGATATGTATGTCGGTCAGTTGATCAGATTTTGATATGTATACTATTTTTTCCATTAAAAAGTTGAAAAATATTAATATCAATGTAGCAAAAAGAAAATCAAATAAGATTAAAAACGAGTATATGTAATTCAAATAGAAATATGAGTTAATGTTTAAAAATTAGGTATCACACCACTAGTGCCATTACAGAAACAAATGTAAAAGAAAATATAAATATCTTTACCTTGATATGTCGTACTGAAGAGTAACCCATGACCAATATCTGCTATCCTGCCCCCACTCGATGCAAAGATTCCTTGCGTAGACCACGCCTGTCTGTCAATAAATTATCAATCTCAGTCCATAATACAATTAAATGATCCAAATACAATTAAATGATCCAAATCAAATACTAAGTAGGAGGCATATTTGATCCAGTCAGCAGACTGAAACCTTTTTAGGCTCATTCCTATGCTGTTCCTTGAGCCGACTCTCCTCCTCCTGGGATATCGAAGATTTTAAACATTTAAAATCATTTTCTAAGGCAAACCCTAGGACAGAACGATTCATATTTGAATGCAATGGTGCACAAGTATATAACAATACAAAGCTAAAATATATGAATTTACCACCAGTGCGATCAACTGCTTATTTTTCTCCTGCTCCATTTGAAATTTCACCTGCAACACTTCTAGCTCTGCTTCAGCGAGGAATTTAGATTCAATCACCATATTTTGTTCCCTCAACTTTTCATTTTCTTCCTGAAAAAATAAAAACAAAAAAAACACCTACAATAACTAAAAATCAATGTACAGTCATAGCACTTTCTAAATGATAGTTTGTAACATCCTGATTTTCGGATTAAGACAAAACGTGAGAAAATATAATGCGGTGATTTGCTACAAGCCTAGAATAGTAAACAAGAAGAACCTCCCAAAATAATAATACGAATTTACCGTCAATGCAGCCAACTGCTTGTTTTCCTCCTCTTCCATTCGTAACTTTTCTTCCATTTGTAACTTATCCTGCATGGCTGCTAGTTCTGCTTCCTTAGATTCATTCGCCATCTTTTGTTCCCTCACCTTTTCCTTTTCTTCCTGAAAAAAATAGATTTTTGATGATTAAAATTTTATGTACAATAATATAAGGATATAACCATGTCTAAGAGATAATTATTTGAATGCAATGAAGCACAAGTATACAACTATACAAAGTTAAAGAATATGAATTTACCGCCAGTGCAGCCACCTGCTTGTTATTCTCCTCTTCCATTCGTATCTTCGCCTGCATCATTGCTAGCTCTGCTTCCTTAGATTCATTCGCCATTTTTTGTTCCCTCATCTTTTCCTTTTCTTCCTGACAAAATGGATTTTTGATAATTAAAAGTCTGTATAATATAACCATTTCTAAAAGATAGTTTATTTGAATGCAAATGAAGCACAAGTATACAACTATACAAAGTTAAAGAATATGACTTTACTGCCAGTGCAACCAACTCCTTGTTTTTCTCCTCTTCCATTCGTTTCTTTTCTTGCACGGCTTCTAGTTCTGCTTGCTCCTTAACCCTTTCATTTTCTTCCTGAGAAAAAAAGAAAAATTTCGATAATTAGAAACATATGTACAATAATACCAAACTATAAAAGGATAGTTTGTTTGTGACATCATGACAATTGAAGAAACAAGCAGGATTGGATAGTTTATTATATGTGATTTGACATTTTTTGTCATTTAATTTTATGGGAGTTCTGGACCTTCGGTCTACAAATTACAATCTCGTTTAGTATCTAGAGACAGTCGATAAATATTCCGATTTAAAGAAAGATAGATAATTCTCCAAAATAGACAATTTTTTGGGGGGGATTGGAAAAGAGCTGTGAGTGTTTAGAGAGCCCTATTTCTTTCCAAAGCACTAATGTTAAATCAATAAGCTTTGCTTTCATTTTGAAAATTCAGAGCTTTAAAAGGAAATATCTACTATTGTAGAAGCCATACGTAGAAGCCAAATATCAAATATCAACTATTGTAGAAGCCATTTCTAATGGTATCACCAATATATTAGAATTTTTTTTCTGTAAAATACTTTGTTTAGTTGATAATTATTCACAAACAATTACGCTTATTTCTAATATGAATGGTGACCATTAGAAAAACAAATGGAACGAGAAGAAAATGAATCAAGAAGAATAAATTATGATAATATTTTATTTCTTTTAATATTTAATGATGAATAGTTTTACACTAAAACTCGTAATCAATAAGGAATGAGAAAGAATACACATTATTTGTGAGTGGTATAATCTATACTATATAAAAGTTGAGGCTATAAGCCATTGAGGGCGTCCACATAGGATTGTAAAACACAATTTTATTGGTCCATGTAATCAACTCCAAGTTTAAGAAAGTTTCCAAATTTTAAACTACCAATAGTATCATTCCACATAATCATATAAAATTAAGAAAATTTTCAAATTTTAAACTATCAATAGTATCATTCCACATAATCATATAAAATTAATAAATTTTCAAAATTTTAAACAACCAATAGTTAATCTATATCATCATATAAAATTAGCTATATTTGTTAAATTAGATAATTTCTTTCTTATGTTTCACGAATATTAATTAGTATAATCTGTTTAAATTAGAAACTCTCAAGTTTAAAGTAATTAAATTAACATTTTTTTAAATAAATATGTTTTTAATATAAAATTTGAGACTAAATGCATTTAAGAGTGTCCACGTAAGATTATAAAACCGCATCTTATTGGTCCAAATAAACATTTACATAATTATTTTTTTTCTCAATTTTAAACAACCAATAGTATTAATCTATATCATCATCTCATTTTTATTCAAATTTTAAACAGCCAATAATATTAAACTATATTGTCATATAAAATTAGCTATATTTTTAAAATTAGTTAACTTCTTTTGTGTTTCAAAAAAATTAATTAATAGAAACGGTTTACATTAGAAACTCCAAAAGTCCAATGTAATTATATTAAGATATTTTAAAATTATTGTTAAAAAACATAATTCACTAAATTTTTTAAACCACATCTTATTGGTTCACATAAACATTTTTATAATTAATTTTTCCCCAATTTAAACAACCAATAGTATTAATCTATATCATCATCTCATTTTTTCAAATTTTAAACAGCCAATAATATTAATTTATATTGTCATCTAGAATTAGCTATATTTTAAAAATTAGTTAACTTCTTTTATGTTTCAAGAAAATTAATTAATAGAACCGGTTTACATTAGAAAATCCAAAAGTCCAATGTAAGAAAATTAAGAAATTTTAAAATTATTGTTAAAAAACATAATTTACTAAATTTTAAACCGCATTTTATTGGTCAACATAAAAATTTACAAATTAATTTTCCCCAATTTTAAACAACCAATAGTATTAATCTATATCATCATCTCATTTTTTTCAAATTTTAAACAGCCAATAATATTAATCTATAGCGTCATCTAAAATTAGCTATATTTTTAAAATTAGTTAACTTCTTTTATGTTTCAAGAAAATTTATTAATAGAACCGCTTTACATTAGAAACTTCAAAAGTCCAATGTAATTAAATTAAGTTTTTTAAAATTATTGTCAAAAAACATAATTTACTAAATTTTTAAAAATTATATAAAAAATATTAGTATAACTAAAATATTAGTTATTAATAATTAAATAAACATTAAGGTTAATTATCTTTGACCAAACTTAAGTTTTTACAAATAAAGAGTATGTTACACCATAATAACTGAAAAATTAATCTAAGCAAGCAAACCCAACATTGCAAAAGAGTGGATCTCAACATTACATAATTTATAAATAAAAAAATAGAGATAGAAGCAAAAATGCGTAATGTCCAATAGTATTAATCTATATCATCATAGAAAATTAGCTGTATTTTTTAAATTAGTTAATTTTTTTCTTATGTTTCAAGAAAATTTATAAGTATAATCTGTTTAAATTAGAAACTCCCAAGTCTAAAGTAATTAAATTAATATTTTTTAATAAATATGTTTTTAATATAATTTTTGAGGATAAATGCATCTAAGAGTGTCCACGTAGGACTAAATGGTCGAAAAAGTAAATAGTTTGTTTGGATTACTATGGAACAGAAGAATTCAAAGTAGATTTAATAATATAAGCCATACTATAAATTTTCGAGAAAGCATTCCATCCTACATCAACAAAATAAGAGTTCATATTCGGGAGGATAATGGAGGTCAGACGGAGGGAAAGAAGAGGTTGGTGTCTGGCATCCTTCATCTCATTTAAGAAAATTTCATCTCCATGTAAATAACGATTTTCAAATAAGAGAAAATCACGAGCCTTCCAAAAATGGCAAAATATAGGCAATAAACCTATTAAGGGTAGAATAATCGGTTTTTCTACATCTTCGAAGAGTTCCTGAAAAATGTGTGAATTTGCCATAAGTTTATTGAGAAGCACTACTTGATCCTAGACTCATACAGTAGAAAGACATATGAAGATGATATGGAGACTGTTTCTTTGATGATCACAATGATTTCAGGAGGTGTATCAATTCCATGTGGAGCCTGAGTTTTATCGGTCAAGACAAAGTTTTTGCCATCAAATTCAAGAGGAAATATTTCATTTTTTGTGTAGTATAAACTTGCCAAATATGATTACTCGATTTGATTATAAACATGATATGAGCTGAGTTAGTAACCATTTTTGCAATTAAATAAACATTAACTGAATTTTGCAATTTCTAAACAAAGATGTAACTGTAACAAAAATTCTGAACAAGAATGTATTTATAAACAGATTTAAGGAAAAATATTCAAGTAAACGTTAATATAAAACTACTTTTAAAAAGAAATGTATATCATATGCATAAAAACGTGACAAAATTACTAACAAAAAACATCAACACTGAACAAACAATGATTTAAGATTTTCTTTAAACCATAAAATAAAAAAAGAATATACATAATTTATATTATATAAAAGCTAAATATATACTATTATGATCAAATTTTATAAACTATTAACACGATGTGTAAGTTAAATGTACTGAAAAATAAATTATATGTTGTTTATAGCATTTTAAGTTCTAACATAACGAATTGAAGTTATTCTAAAGAAACATCGTGTTACATACAAATACTGTTGACATCTAATTTTAATATTTTTAAAATACATATTTAAAAATATATTTTTGTTTAGAAAATGACTAACATGTCACAATAGGTCATAAGTTAACATTACATTTTATAGTATATATATATATATTACTAATAAATTTTTCCTATTATAATGATTTGAATATATTTAAGTAAGTTTTGGTTATTAGACATACACAAACATTTTTGTTACCAGGATATGATCTAAACAATATTTTTGTATGTCAAGATTTGATCTCAACACGATATTGATATATCTAAAAACTTTTGTGTTCTAGAGAATTTTTAGTATTGACATATTGATAAATTTTAATTGTTGATTTATGCAGTTTAAAAAAAATTATTCTATAAGAATATATCTTAAACCGATTTAAGATACAGACCCGCGCATGCGCGGTGAAAGTCCTAGTGTTTAGGGAATGAATGAGATTTTTTTATCCCATCATTTCTTTGGATACCATTAAAAGCATAAATAGCAACCATCAGTATTTGATTTTCATCATTTCTAATCTAACTTAAAATTAGTCTTACATTATAGTGACTCGATTATTCTATTATTCATTTTTTGCTTTGTCTAAATCAGCAGTTCTAAGAGAAATATATGAAACAAGCGTATTAATCCATGATACATGTGTTGAATTCAATTTGGTTAAAGTTCTAAAAAACCTACTTACTATCAAAATCTAGATTGAACACACAATGAAAAAATGTAAAACAATTATATCTCATAAGCATCTGCTTCGTGGTGAGAGAATATTATAATCTTAACAAGAATAAGAAAAATAAAAAGTAAAAGTTAATAGTTACTGTTACTTTCAGGTTAGAGTAAACTAAAAATTTGACAAATTATTTAAAGTTTAAGATGATCTCCGTTTGAGAAACTATCCTTATATTTAGTTTTAAATAAAACAAGTATGATTTGACACGTTCTTATGTTTTTTTTTTTTTTTTGTTGGTGTATGATTAAAATAGTATCGTATATCAATGTTTTTCTCTTTACCTTTATTTTACGATGCATCTGGTAAGTATACGGGATCCCACCAGTTTGCTTTTCTACATCTGAGACAAGGGCCATAAGCTGCTTAAGTTGTTCAGCCTTTTTTTCTTTATCCGTAGTTCTGTTATTAAACAGAACCTTTCGTCCACCACAAAGTCTGAGAGCATTCTGAAAATCCAAATATAATCCAATTCAGAAAAAAAAATATATATATAAAATAAATAAAGAGAGATGTGTAAAAACATGTAGTTTGCAGTAGTTAACAATATGAAGATCATAATCAAAGCGAACAAACCGTCAAATATTCAGGGCAACCGGCACCAAAATAATCGACTAACGTCTCGTTCTGCTCTTCAAGATCGTCACCGCCAGTGAACACAACAATGAAATAGTCAAGAATTTTGCTGTCGAATATGCACTGCAAGGTATTAAGTGTAGACTCTTCCTCCTGTGAAACTCGAGCCCTCACAGACAGAACAAGCAACACAGCATGTATTCCTTCTTCCGCCATAGTTAAGCAATTGATTATTTCCTTACTTAAGTCTTCGAACACAGCCGAGTCGAACAAACCTGTCTCAACCATATATAGCTAATTGAGAGTTTGATGTAAATTAAAGCACAAGCCCTATATATTTTTAATAAAGGGATCTAGGCACAGGCCAGGTTTTATTAGAAAATATGTTCTTGAACATATTTATCTTTTTTTTATAAGAAAATTGACATTTATGTAAATTGATTTTATTGGCAGAAATTCATAATCTTGTATATAAAGAATTTGGGTTTTGTAGAAACAAATTTATTCGCTAAACAATAAAAATGCATAGAGCTCCTATATGCCAAAGTATTCTGATAGATATCTTTATGCTTTTGGAGTAATTTGGGGTATTTAGTTTTGGTCGAAGTTTTATTGGAAGCACATACCAGGAGTGTCAATGACATTGATTATCGGGCCATCTTGTACCGCAACTCTATGCATTTGACATTTCATGGTAACACCTACTGCCTGATTTTTGGTTTTGAACAGTTTATCACCGATGAGGGTGTTCCCGGTGCTGCTTTTTCCATTACCAGTACGGCCTACCAGAACTATATTTTTTATTGGCTCTGACATATTTGAAGAGGAGCTAAAAAAGGAAGAAGTTGATTAGAGAGGACCAAATAAACAGAAATGGACAAGTTCACACAATTGAAGTTTATATACAATATCGGTTGCCGTCTTGCCGACCTAAAAAGAAAAAGATCGCACGATGACAGCACTATTTAGTGACGAAATTACGTGTGGATATTCTTCTTATTATAATAAGTCAAACACATATAAAACTCAAGTGGAAATGGAAACGGTAAACGTTGAGGTCCCAACTGGTAAAAGACCGTAACATTAAGCTCTGACTTTATTGCACAAAATTTCTTTGAAACACTGATTGTGTTGTACGTGCTGCATAATTTCTACTTCCACTTGTTCTCCACACGACGTTGAAAAATACTAAATTGGACTAATTCAGTTTCATACAGGTAATTCGAGAGTCAATATAACATTTTCTACAAACAAGAATATAAATATACTAATAAACGTGTTTAACGAATTTACCAAATCAAAAGTCAATATTTTCCACAGTACTATAGATTCGAAATTAACGACGTAGCCCACTACGTAACCTCAGTGCATGTTCTCTACATATAAATACACGACGTGTCGACGGTACATATTACATAACTTCTAAAAACCTTAAAAGTTTAGACCAACCAAAAATCGAAAAGAAAAATGTACGTGGTTCGGTTCGTAATGTTGATCACTCTCGCGTTCTTTGCATCATCAAACGCAGTCTTCGCTCGTCTTCGCTCGATCAGTACCATACGGTTACGAATCTCTCCGTACAAGTAAGTTACTTGTTCTGTGAAACTTCTTCTTTAATTACTTGTTCTACTCTTGTAATTGCAATTTAAGTTATTCTAATGAGAAGTTGTTCAAAAAAAAATATATATGTCTTAACAAAAGTTTTCAAAGAAAATGTTTTACCAAAAGTTAGTAATTAAAGTTTTTTTTGATAAAGAAAGAGGAGATGGAGTTTGGGATCAAAAAGTCCTCAACGAGACAAAGGGTCACGTGGGCCCCAGCACATCAAAGCGTACAGGTCAAAACGCTCATGCTCCTCCTAAACCCGGCTATGGTATGTGACCATAGGGATTTTCTTTCTCGGACATCGGAGGTTTGGCAAAGATGTTTGATTAACCTGAATAAGAATGTAACGTCTCGCAGCGGCATTGTTCCGATTACTCGTTTCATATATGTAACAATTACTTCTATTAAAAGAAAAAAAAAATTATGATCAATCCATTTGTGAAAATCTGTTTCACCCTTTTAATATTTCTTCTTGCTTAGTACAGAGAGCGTTTTCCAACTTTTACTGTCCCCTCGATCAAAAAAAATATATCATGTTACCTAGAACATGTGAAACTGCGATTCCAAGATTGTCTGATGGTGACAACTAGTTCAGTGAAGGAAGTACCGTCTTTGATTCTGTTATTTGCGAGGTCTAACGATTTAGACTTTTACATCCCAAAAACTTAAGAAAGATTTAGAAATGGTTTTGATATCATGTAAACTGTTACGATTTGCTCTTCAAAACCTGCAAATCTCAATCTCACACAAGCTCACAATCTCTCTGTTTTTGCACAAGTATGAACCAAAACACAGAAATAAGAGAATCTCAGAAAATAAGGAGCACACACACGTTTAACCCAGTTCACCTTAGCCGATGTGACTAAGACTACGTCTGGGGCCGATTCAATCACGGCAATTCACTATCAAAGAAGAGTTACAGCTCAAAACAGAGCAGCACACATCAATGGAGTTACAGAGATTGACTCTCCTATTGACGGCACAAGAAAGAGAAGGATTTTGGGATGATTAAATAAACCCTAACCCAAGTCTATTTATAAGCTAACCCTTTATCGCGAATCAACGGCTTGCTTAACCGACTTCTTCTCTTAACTCGGTTTAATCACCAATACTAAAACCGATGTTACTCTTCTTCAATTCCTCCGGTTTAACCAACCTGAAAACTGAATCAGAACCAATCATCACAACACTCCACCTTGATTCATTTTTCATCTTCTCTTCTAGTGAACTGCACAACTTGGATTTAACCTCGACAACAAAGATACAACGATCTTCACCTGAGCAACTTCAGAAACTCCAAAGCTGCTTCAAACTTATAAACTGGTATGCCTTTTGTAAGCATATCCGCTGGATTGACAGAAGTGTGGATCTTAAGTACTTCAACTTCTCCTTCTTCAATAATGTCTCTTATGAAGTGATATTTTGTAGCCACATGCTTTGTCCTTTCGTGAAAAGCATTGTTCTTTGATAAACATATCGCAGATTGAGAATCACACCAAACAGTAGCTTTCTCTGGCTTCAAACCCATATCCTCCAATAAACCACAGATCCAAATACCTTCTTTTACAGCCTCTGAAAAAGCAATATACTCAGCTTCAGTGGTTGATAAGGCCACAACAGACTGTAAACATGACTTCCAGCTAACAGTGTTACCACCAACAGTGAATATATATCCACTAATAGACCTTTTCCTGTCGAGATCACCTGCGTAGTCAGAATCACTATATCCATGCACTCTGAAATTTTCACCTTTCTTATAAACCAATTTCAAATCTGCAGAGCCTTTAATGTACCTTAACAGTCATTTCACAGCTTCCCAATGCATAACTCCATGCTTACTCATGAATCTGCTCACAAGCCCTATGGCATGAGCTAAATCAGGACGTGTGCTCACCATAGCATACATTATGCTGCCTACAGCACTCAAGGCACAGATTCTGTATCAATACGCTCATAATCATCTTTGATGGATGAAAGCTTAAAATGTGCTCCAATGGGTGTGTTAACCACCTTTGCGCCACCCATACTGAATCGCTGTATAACCTTCTCTAAGTAGTTTGACTGAGACAAAGTAAGAGTACCTTCTTCTCTGTTCCTCTTGATGTCAATACCTAGAATTCGACTTGCTGCACCCATGTCTTTCATCTCAAACTCAAGACTCATAACCTCTTTAAGCTTGTTTACCTCTGACATACTCTTAGCAGCAAGTAACATGTCGTCCACATACAGCAATAGATAGACATACTCTTCATTCCCAACTTCTTTCACATACATGCACAGATCATGTCCACTTCTAGTAAACTTTTGATTTTTCATGAATGTATCAAACTTCTTGTTCCATTGACGTGGAGCTTGCTTTAACCCATAAAGAGATTTCTTCAACAAACAAACTTGATCTTTTCCAGGGTTTACCTCAAATCCCTCAGGTTGCTCCATGTAGAGCTCTTGATCTAGATCTCCATGTAAGAATGATGTCTTAACATCCATTTGTTCAAGCTCCATGTCTTCTTGCACCACCAGCGACATCAATATTCTGATTGAAATGTGCTTTACTACAGGTGCAAAGACTTCATCATAATCGATTCCCTCTTGTTGAGTAAAACCTCTAGCCACTAACCGAGCCTTGTGCCTTTTAAGTTCTACTCCCGGAATCCCTGGTTTCAGCCTGTATAGCCATCGATTACTTATGACCTTCTTGTCTTTGGGTCGATCCACAATGATCCAAGTATTATTCTTCCACAAAGATTCCATTTCTTCTTTCATCCCACAGTTCCATTTTTCCCAATCTCTATCACGCTTTGCATCGTGATAACACTTAGGCTCTTCAACGTTTATCTCGTCAGCCACAAGTAATGCAAAAGCGACTTATGTATAGTCATTGAACTTTGCTGGTGGAACGATCTGTCTTCTCTTACGATCTCTTGCAAGCTGATAGTTGCTCAAGTCTTCGTTTGTACCTCCATTAACTGCAGTATCTTCTGACTCTGTGTCACTTGAGCTACTTGAAATAGCTCCACCTGCTCCTGAACTCTTTGCAACATCAATGTCTGTAGTGTTCTTCATCTTATCTTTATCAATATCAGATAACAACTCAGTAAAGCTCCTTGCATTTGAATGCGTGTTTGAGACCTGTTTTTCTTTGTCTTCTGACTTGAGATCCTTGTAAACAACATCTTCATGGAATATTACATTCCTGCTGATCACACACTTCTCAACATCAAGTAGCCAGATCTTGTATCCCTTAGTGCCTGGAGGATAGCCAAGGAATACACCTTTTAAAGCTCTCGGTTTTAGCTTCCCTTGATCTTGATGAACATAAGCCACAGATCCAAAACGACGCAGATGCTTATACCCAGGCTTCTTGTTCAACCATAACTGCTCAGGCACATTATGATCAATAGCTGATGCTGGAGACCGGTTTATCAAGTATGCAGTTGTCGAGGCTGCTTCTGCCCAAAACGCCTCACCAAGTCCTGATTCATCAAGCATACATCTGACCTTCTCCATGACTGTCCTATTCATTCTCTCAGCCACACCATTTTGCTGCGGTGTGTAGGTACATGTTCGATGTCTTTCAATACCATGTCTCTTGCAATACTCATCAAACCTTGAATTGCAAAACTTCAATCCATTATCTGTTCTCAACACCTTTAACTTCTTGCTAATCTGATTTTCAACCAACTCTTTCCAATCGCAGAACTTGTCAAAGGTTTCGTCCTTGGTCTTGAGAAACATAAGCCAAACTTTTCTTGTTTTGTCATCAATTATGGAGAGGAAGTATTGTTTACCTGAGAGAGATGGAGTCACGTTTGGTGATCCCCATAGATCTGCGTGCACGTAGTCAAGAGCATCCTTGGTGTTGTGCTTCCCAACGTTGAAGCTCAGCTTCTTTGACTTTCCCATGACGCAATTTTCACAGAAAGATAGGTCTTTAACATCATTTTTCTCCAGCAATCCTTTTCCAGACAGAATCTTCATGTTGTTTAAACTCATGTGGCCAAGCCTGCTATGCCACAAATCTGTCTTTGCCTTAGTAACCTCAGCATTACAGCTTTCACTCACTACTGTTCTTCCATCTAAGATATACAAACCGTTCTTAAGAACTCCACGAAGGGCAAACTTCTTGTTCTTATAGAAGCTTACTACACCGTCTTTCCCTTCATGTGTATATCCTAACTTATCCAAGGTTCCAGTAGAGATCAAGTTTCTTCTGAGATTAGGAACATATCTCACGTTGTTTAGAACCCTGATTGAACCACCATTTGTCTTCAGCTTAATTGAACCACAGCCTTTTGTCTCAACAATATGATCATCACCAAGCAGAATCAGTGTGCTCACGTTCTCATTGAATTCCGAGAACCAATCCCTCCTGGATGTCATGTGATAAGTACAACCTGAATCAATGACCCATTGTTCCTTTGAATCTTGATCATTCACACTCAACGCTTCCGAGTACACCAGTTTCTCAATGATTACCCCTGCTTCTCCTTGAGCGTCATCTCCATATTTCTTCTTCCTTGCATAACAATCTTTCTTGATATGCCCTTCCTTCTTACAAAACCAGCAAGTGAGCCTTGTCTTCGAATTTGATCTGCTTCTACTGCGATCGTTTTTGCCTTTAGGTCCCCAAGAGGTTTGTCTTCCTCTTTCATTCGTATACAAGCTTGCTCCAATGTTCCTATCGCCTTTGTTACTTTCTGACAACTCCCTTTCTCTAGATCTTGCTGATGAAATAACCTCCTCTAGAGACAGTGACTCTCTTCCGTACTTGAGAGTGTGCTTTAACTGATCAAAGCTTGGAGTCAATGAAGTTAACAACAAGATGGCTTGAACTTCATCTGAAACCTCGACATTCAAACTGCTTAACTCAGCAACAATTTTCAAGAAGTCATCGACATTCTCATCGACGTTCTTAGACTCCACCATTCGGTATGAATAGAATTTGAGTTGCAGATGAATCCTGTTTGGCAAAGAGGTTTCTGTGTACAACCGATCTAACAAAGACCACATCTCAGCAGCTGATTCAGTATTCTTAATCTTCCTCAATACATGATCTCCTACGTTCGCTATGATAATCCCCATAGCTCTTTCCGATTTATCAATCTTTTCAGGATCAGAAACTACCTCCGTCGTCGTCCACGCGGCATCACCAGCTCCACCAGATGTTACAATCGACTTTTCCAGCTTGTGATCAGTCATGATATCTTTCAATCCAAGAACCCTAAGGTGTGACATGATTCTGATCTTCCAAAGAGAGAAATCTCCGTTCCCGTCAAACTTGTCGACATCAATCCGTGAGTTTGGTGGATCCTTTCCAACCATAGCTCTGATACCAATCTGTTACGATTTGCTCTTCAAAACCTGCAAATCTCAATCTCACACAAGCTCACAATCTCTCTGTTTTTGCGCAAGTATGAACCAAAACACAGAAATAAGAGAATCTCAGAAAGTAAGGAGTACACACACGTTTAACCCAGTTCACCTTAGCCGATGTGACTAAGACTACGTCTGGGGCCGATTCAATCACGGCAATTCACTATCAAAGAAGAGTTACAGCTCAAAACAGAGCAACACACATCAATGGAGTTACAGAGATTGACTCTCCTATTGACGGCACAAAAAAGAGAAGGATTTTGGGATGATTAAATAAACCCTAACCCAAGTCTATTTATAAGCTAACCCTTTATGGCGAATCAACGGCTTGCTTAACCGACTTCTTCTCTTAACTCGGTTTAATCACCAATACTAAAACTGATGTTACTCTTCTTCAATTCCTCCGGTTTAACCAACCTAAAAACTGAATCAGAACCAATCATCACAACATAAACTAAGAAAATGCTTATTCAGTTGAAACGTATCATCTAATATACATAGCTGGAGATAACTTAAAACTAAACTAAGTACACAGCTGGAGATATATCTACACAAACCTAACTTTTATCTTATAAGAAATATGGATTATATAACGTAAACCCTCTCTTCTTTGTTCATTTTAAATGAAGAAGAAGCACCACCACTTGTATTTGTTTCTTTCTCAAGTTGAATATGCCCTCTGCAAATATCACAGTTTTTTTTTGTTTCACTGTACTGTACTATATCCATTTTTTAGAATTAAGACCACACACTTGTGAACTGTAAACAAAAAAATCTAATTTATGGGTCCAGCATACCGGAACAGGACTGTTCACACATTGCGAAAACCGAACCTGAGCTGATAAAGTTTGGGTTTGGACTCTGGTTACTTTATTCTAAAGAAGGGTTACGGTATGTTTAGTCTCCAACTCTCCATGTTGAATGACTAGGACTAGACAACCGAATTAAATTCATCTAGTTACCAAACCAAAATTAAATTTGTTATGATTGTTAGTTGAGCGTGTATAAAGCAAGCGTACTGATGTGTTTTATTTAAGAATCCATCAAGACGTGTTACTTAAATATGACGATACTAGGCCATTGAAGTCTGACGACTGTGCACCTAATGCAAAAAGTATCTTTCTAGCTTGTAGAAATTCAAAACTAAACGAAAGCCATGCCAATGCCAGTAAATGTAATCAATTCTGGTAATTAATGAGAAGAAAACATGTTATATGCGAGAGAGAGTCTGAGGATGCCATTGTTAATTAAATGGTTTGTCTCGACCTTTTTACCCATGTACATTAAATGTCGTTTGGCAACGTAACTGAGGCATGGAAGGCTTTTGGCAACGTTATTGCGGTATGGGTATGTCACTATATTAACGAACAAGGTGAGAGTGATGAGTGAAGAGGAAAACAAAAAAAAATAAACAAAAAGAGAAAAAAAAATGAGGTTCTTACTCTGTCACTTGTGTCTTCTTGTCCTCGTGTTGAACTCCATTTCAGCACAAGTCTACAATCGGTAGGTGTGCGTGCATTAGAAGAGCAACGACCATCTACATTAGCCCTCTTAAAGAGCAACGACGGTAGTAATACAATAGGAAAGTGTGCAGTCGCCTTCTTAACCGACGAGTTAGCCCAACCTAGCCTTCCGTGGTGGGACAGCAGCACTTCTCCTGAATGGTTTCACGAGAGGAAATATTCGACTATCCAGCTAGAGTGGCAAATTCAGACGAGGAATTTGTGGTTGGGAGAATCCTTGGGGTGCGGCACCATCAACCCAGAGGTCCTAGTAACACTTAACGAGTTTCAGTCTAGACCTTGCTACTGCGGTCGGATAAACCCCAGCTACATTAGTGATGACATCGGCTATCTAAAGTGTGCGTGCTCCAATGGTTACGAGGGTAACCCATACGATGTACAAGGATGCATAGGTCAGTTCTTGGAGCTCTGCTAGTTAATTATATGCATAATCATGCATTTGGATATTAATATTTCATGACACTTCTTTTACATGTAGATATTAATGAGTGTGAAAATGGACGTCCCAATCCATGTGATAGCGACGAAACGTGTCTAAATACTCTAGGAGGCCATCACTGCCTAGTCAAGAAGAAGAATCAAAACTGGCCAAATCTATTTAGGTAAATTTGTCTGTTACTTTCTAGCCAAGTTATCTCCTAATTCGTGGGACTATTTTATGTTTGAGAATTTATGAGAATCAACGTCATGCATTATTATTATTCCCTTTTTTATTTATATTCTTGCTTTATTTGAAAAAACTAATGTATAAAAATAGCGACCAAATAGGATGTCTCGACATCACCAGAGATCAAAGAGATGTTTCTGCCAATTAAAGATATCACTCGAGAAGTTTCAAAGTCTGCCAGCTTAGCTCGATGCTTGTGGTCAAGCATAATGTTGGCGGTCTTGACATCCTTGTGGTAAATGGGACACGTCACGACGGCCAACATTATGCTTGACCACAAGCATCGAGCTAAGCTGGCGGACTTTGGAACTTCTCGTGTGATCTCCGTACGTGGACGACACCCACCTGACCACACATGTGGTCTCAGGTACTCCCGGATACCTTGACCCGGAGTATCACCAGTCCAGCCGGTACACGGAAAAGAGTGACGTCTATAGTTACGGTGTGGTTCTTGATGAACTCATCACTGGAGAAGAGTCTTACATCCTCCAACCGCCTCAACATCCCAAGACTTTAGCAACTAACTTCCTCTGTGCCATGAAAGAGAAGCGACTTCTGGACATCATCGATCCCCGAATCAAAGACAACTGCACTTTGGAACAGGTCAAGGTTATGGCCAAGATTGCGAGGCTATATATGTCTAAATCGGAAGGGGGAGAAACGACCAACCATGAGCAGTATTATAATGGAGCTGGAGAGGATTGGTTCCTCACATGGAGATTCACAGGCACACCACATACTGGAAACTGAGGACGACGAAGATGACAACGAGGAGCAAGCGGTCCAAGTTAGAGAATCCTTCAACATTGACGAATTATTATGTTGTATTAATTATGATTTTCATAGTTTCAGTTTTCTATCATTATTTATATTTTTAAGAAAATGGATTTAAGAGCACGTGTTGACCAAGTTTTAGAATAACTCATTTACATATGAAGAAATGGTAAATTCAAAACTGTATAGATGATATTCCATGTTTTTATACTAAATATTCACCAAGCAACTTTTAACCAAAAAAGAAAAAAAAAAACATTTACCAAGCAATACTCTTAGTCAGCTATAATTTGTAAAGTTAACTTTTACATGTTTTGATCTTATTGGCCATCCTTATATATTGAATTTCGACACTGAATTTCTATGTTCGCTGTTAGGCTGTTAGCAAATGGTTTGCGTTTGAACGCGCCGTCTCCTTCACAGAGGGTAAACTGTAAAATTAAAAACAAGTGAGGATTTATGTGATATATATAAAACATTAGGGACCAGAAACGAAAAAGGCCGTCTCCCCCGAAACAAAACCCAGAAACACCGTCCGACCGACGACACTTCCCGGTGGAGCAAAGAACCAGAGAGAGAGAGATGCGGAGGGTTAGTTCCCTGTACGGAAGAATCGGGAGAGCATACGAAAAACCTAGCGAGAGCTGTCATGCATTTCTCGCCGCACCCTCCTTCTCCACGGACGGTGGTTACGGCGGCGGCGGGGAGTTTCAACAGAGTAGCTCCAGGGTCAAGATCTTCGATCGAGACCTCAAGCGCATACATGTGTAGTCCTCGACCTCATCTTACATTGAGTTTTTCCTTCTTTTCGATTCACGACTTGGTTCTGATTTACAGCGTGACCGAGCGGCGTGGCTCTCTCGCCATAAAAACGACACCTTTCTCGACGCTGTTGCGGAGAATCTACTTGACCGCTTAGAGGTTAGCAAATGCCTTAATGCCATACGCGTTGCAGAGTATTGATTGATTTTCTCTTGATCTGCTCTCTTTCCTAAGGATTGTAAGAAGACTTTTCCTTGTGCCTTGTGTTTGGGAGGATCTCTTGCTGCCGTTAAGCGATTACTACGTGGCCGCGGTTTGTGCTCTCTCTCTCTCTCTCTCGTCAAAAGCCCTCGTTTAGATCTATCACCATCCATCTGCATTGTGAATGGTGATTTTGGGTTTGCTGCACAGGTGGGATTGAGAAGCTTATCATGATGGATACTTCATATGACATGATTAAATCATGTGGAGATGCTCGAGAGGACTCACTCGGCAGCTCCGTCGAGACATCTTATTTGGTTGGTGATGAAGAGTTCCTGCCAGTCAAAGAGAGGTAAACAACAAGAACAAGAACAAGAAGGCATATTGTAAATGTATACCTACTAGTAACACATGATGGTGAAATCTTGTCTGCGAAAGCTCGGTTGATTTGATCATAAGTTCGTTGGGGCTTCACTGGACAAACGATCTTCCAGGATCCATGATTCAGGTTTTCCCCCGTTCTGTTGGTCTAATCTGATTTGTTGGACAAAACTTGGAGAAAGAATAATGTGTTGGTGTGTTGGAGAGTGCAGTGCAAATTGGCGCTCAAGCCTGATGGCCTGTTTCTGGCAGCAATTCTTGGCGGCGAAACCTTAAAGTTCGTTCCTTTCAGTTCAAGACTCAGTCCTGATGATGACGATGACCTCTCTCCTATCTGTTCATGAACTTGATTTGGTTTTTCATATCAGGGAGCTGAGAATAGCATGCACTTTGGCCCACATGGAGCGTGAAGGAGGCATCAGTCCCAGGCTCTCGCCTTTGGCACAGGTCTCTCTCTCTCTCTCTCTTGTCTAGTACTGAGAGGCAGCTGAAGAGAAGATGGCTTTTGTAATCTTTCAGGTTAGAGACGCAGGGAATCTCTTGACCAGGGCTGGTTTTAGTCTCCCTGGTGTGGACGTTGATGAATACGTAGTTAGATACAAGAGTGGTAATGCTTTTGTATGCATTTTCCTCACTGACAGATGCGTTTGTGTGTATCTTCTTCCAAGATTGTTCTTTCTCTTCTCTTTCAGCGCTGGATCTTATAGAGCATCTTCGTGCAATGGGTGAAACCAATGCTCTTCTCCACAGAAACAAGGCTTGTGGTTTCTTCTTCTCTTTAAAAGACTTTTATCCTTTTTTCTTTTCTGCATACATTTTCTTAACCAACAATAACAAAACAATCCTCAAAAACAGATATTGAATCGGGAAACAGCTCTTGCCACTGCAGCCATATATGACTCCATGTTCGCCGCAGAGGACGGCACTGTACCTGCTACTTTTCAGGTCCGTTGGTAGAGCTTTAGAACTCGAATCATTATTTTTCAAAAGTATATTGAGGCCTAGAGTTTATGGTATATGCTGTGTGTAGGTGATTTACATGACTGGATGGAGAGAGCACTCGTCTCACCCGCAGGCCAAGCGGAGAGGTTCGGCCACCGTTTCTTTCACCGATCTCCAGAACCAATTTGGTGGTGCTCAGTCTTGATCGACTAAGAGAGCTTACAGACGAAAGAGGAATCAGTGTGACTTTAACTCTCTCACTAGTCGCTACTTTGTTGTATTGTGCCGAAATGAGTTTCGTCTGAGTCTCTTTTCGTTGGAGGAGAGGGCATTTATCCGCATGTACCTCGTCTCGAAATAATAGTGGAATATTTTACAATAAGGTCCATAACCATAACCATACAACATGCTTTGCTGGTTTCATTGAAAACTGAATAATGAGATTTATCTTATCATAGTGTGTTGTTGTGTTAATATGCACTTTTTTAGATTGACCAGACCGTACAAAACCTGAAAATGTTAATAATAATATATCAAAAGTGTTTCACAAAATCACAAATCGTGTCTGGAACAAATCAAACTGAGAACAGATGTTTTTTTAAATGTTATATAACACTTGGTAGTTCTGTTTTCTGTTTTTTTTTTTTTTTGTGGTAATTATAGAGAAAAATGAATATTTTCACTTTCTTACTCCTTTTGCCTCTTACCGTATAAGAATAAAACCATGATGGTCTAGTATATTTTTGTTCTTGTTAATTTTAGAAATCTTGTTCTATATGTATTTATGTATGTTTTAGTATTACTCTAATTGCACATCATTTACAAAGCTCTTCTCTCCTCCAAAGTTGAAGAGAGAGAGAGAGATGGAGAAGAAGAGAGGACATGTATTGGCAGTGCCATATCCAACACAAGGACACATCACACCAATCCGTCAATTCTGCAAACGTCTTCAATCCAAAGGTCTCGAAACCACTCTCGCCCTCACAACTTTCATCTTCAACTCCATCAAACCTGACCCGTCTGGTCCAATCTCCATAGCCACTTTCTCAGACGGCTACGACCAAGGCCGCTTCAACTCAGCTGATCCCATCCACGTCTACCTCCAAAAATTCAAAATCTTCGGATCCAAAACCATTGCCGACATCATCCGCAAGCATCAGACTACTGATAACCCCATCACTTGTCCGTCTACGATGCTTTCTTGCCTTGGGCACTCGACGTTGCCAGAGAGTTTGATTTAGCTGCGGCTCCTTTCTTTACGCAGTCTTGTCCTGTGAACTACGTTTATTTCCTTTCCTACCTAAACAATGGAAGCTTGGACCTTCCCATTCAAGAATTGCCTTTTCTTGAGCTTCAAGATGTGCCTTCTTTCATCTCTGTTTCTGGATCTTACCCTGCTTTCTTTGACATGCTGCTTCAACAGTTTACAAACTTCGAGAAAGCTGATTTCGTACTCGTTAATACCTTCCAAGAGCTGGACCTTCATGTTAGACCTTTATTTATTTTTTTATCTTTTCAAACCTATACATTAAGTATGATCGTGAGTAATAATATATTATCATATATAGTATTATTCAAAAAACGTCTTTGTTTTCTTTCAACGATTTGTAGCATCAACATATGTACACTGGAGATGATGATCGGACTTGGGTTTTTGGCAGCAGTAAGGTGCGATTATATATATATCCTATACTTAAACCATTTTATGCCTAGGATGTTCTGGACCAAATCTTGTACATCTCTCTCAGATATATCGTCATCTTACTCTTCTTTTTAACTGTCTATAAAAATAGTGTAAGAGGGTCGAATGAGCTCGGTAGTGGAAACTCGAAAGGAGCCAAGTTTGCAACATTGACTGCGGTTTTCACGTCACTATCTATAGGAATAGTTCTATTTATCGTCTTCTTGTGTCTAAAAGGAAGAGTTTCCTACATTTTCACAACAAGTTAAGCTGTCGCAGCAGAAGTTGCCAATCTTTCTACACTTTTAGCCTTTTCCATCCTCTTGAACAGTGTTCAACCAGTTGGTGTGTATTTTTGCTATTTAATCGCGCAATGGTTATTCAAATACGAATCCATCTCTTAACTAACATGCTTACTGAAACGGAACAGGAGTTGCTGTTGGAGCTGGATGGCAAGAATATGTTACTTACGTTAACCTTACTTGCTATTATCTTGTTGGGATTCCCACTGGTGTTTTCCTTGGGTTACGTGGTTGGTTGCAAGTCAAAGTAAGTTTCTTTTTTGTACTATATTTTCTCATTCTTTATTATTGGTTTTGCAAACAAAAATGTGAAAAGTCGATTAAACTAACAATTGAAAATAACTAAAAAATTTGTATTCCCTAAATTTAGGGTGTGTGGATCGGAATGCTATTTGGAGTATTCGTTCAGACTTGTGTGCTTAGCATCATGACTCTGAGAACAGATTGGGATCAACAGGTTAATAATTGATTAGCATATACGTTTCGTTGAATTCCGTATAATCAAACAAAAATGGATTAGTTTGTTCAAGCAAGCTATTTTCGTTGAGCTAATATTTTTTGTTGCCAAATATTTTAGGTATCTACGTCTTTGAGACGTTTAAACCAGTGGGTTGTACCAGAATCCAGAGAAGTAAACCAAACTTCACCAGAGGAATAATGCATTTGGATCCTGAAAATTCTCATAAGACATATACAATTTGTCTTTTGTTTTTGGGTGCAAATGTGAGTTGGTACAAATTTATACAATTTGTCTTATTCAAAAAGTTTGTTATTAACAACGTTTCAAGCAGATAAGACCTAGGCAAAACATTTGAATTTTATTTAGTGTGATGTGCTACTAAAATTCATGATCTGAGATGAATAAGACCAAGTAAAGACACCAATACCAAGGCACGAGAGGGAAAGAATTATGTACCAAGTTTTAGAAGTGAGAGCCAAGTTCTGTACCAGCAACAGTGTTCTGAAAACGGGTCTTTTGTGATAAAATTGTTTTTTGATGTAACGAAAATGTTTGATGATTGGAGGGTGTTTTGAATTGGGGGGAGCAGTAACTTTGTGATGCAAGTTGTTCCCCATAACTTGTGACAAATTGATTCCATAATAGAAAGTAGTAGTGTTACGTATAAACTAAGATCAAATTATTAGACGTATAATTAACAAGAAACTGGAATCTGAATAAACTAAATCAATCAAGTTAAGCTGAAAACTAAACTAAGATCAAATTACTAGACGTATAATTTGTACCAACTCACATTTGCACCCCAAAAAAAAAAACTTAAGTTAAGCTGAAAATTAGCTTTTACTATAATATTTTATTTAAATTAAGTTACACATGGCAGTGGCACTAATTTTTTTTTCCTTTTATATTATAAACGTAAGGAAATCCTTATAAAACTTAGAAATTACTTTTGGTTTAATCATTTTGTATAAGTTTTTTTCTTAGTTCTATAAACATTCCGATTTGGACCGCGGAAATAAATTTGAAAGAGAAAAAAATCATTGGAGAACAATGGAGTCTAACACATGTTACAGAAACAAAAATTAGAAAATACTATGGAATTATCCTTAACTCAACGGTTCAACAGACGGTTACGGACCATAAGCTCCAAGCGGGCTCGGGTCAACGGTCATAACCACACTACATATCCCAAGTTTGGATTGTCTTCCAACTAACCACATAAAGCGTGGTAGCCCATTTGATATATAGTTGCCTGACAACCTCTTTAAACTTGGCATGGTCCTCATGGTCCTCCTACTTCAAGGGCTTATTCTGAACTGACAGAAACAAATGGTGGTGTCTCCATGTAGAAGTGTTATCATCTGCATTATCACCAATCACATCTAAGATAGCTTCAGTACCCATGCTTTTTCCTTGGTGTCCATGTTAAATCTTAATATCTTTCTGAATTAATTTCATTGTGGTACTCGGTTGTGTACTTATTTGAAATAAATTAATACATATTAAAATTATTAAACATACAAACAGACGGTTGAAAAGAAGAAGAAGAAAAAAAAAAAAAAAAAAAAAAAACAAAGGCATATGCAACCAAATAAACTAATCAGTTGTTAAATGGAAACGGTCTACTCTCGCCGCACAATATTGCAGCAGCTTGAAGAGCAAAGTAAGTAACAATGAGATCTGCACCAGCTCGACGTATGCAGATCAATGACTCCATCATAACTTTTTCCTCATCAGTCATACTGAGATATCCGGCGGCTTTGATCATGGAGTACTCACCTGAAACTTGGACAGCTCCAATTGGCAACAGAGTTTGGTCCTTCAATAAACGTATGATATCGAGTGAAGGGAGCGCTGGTTTCACCATTAGGATATCAGCTCCTTCAGCTTCGTCTTCTCGTGCTTCCATCAATGCCTCTCTCGAGTTTGCTGGGTTTATCTGATATCTTTTATTAACCCACCATTTAACAACAATAATTTAATTAGAAAGGCAAGCTAAGAAACCTTATAGTTAAATACACATAATTATTCGTGTAGTTCGTAACTTGTAAATGAAATATGTGAAAGTCTTGTTTTACGTTTTCTTGTCCAATTGCACTTGGCGAAAACGGCCGTACAATGAACTTGCGTACCTATTAATTGGGGGAGTAGCTACAATTAATTAGGTTGGAATTAATACAAGTTAAAGCAAGATGAGATGTTAAGTAGTATTATTACTTGACAGAGTAAGACATGATGGAAACATGTTGAAAGTTCTCAGCATCTAAAGCTGCACGAACCGCACCTACACGGCCATCCAACATCTCACTGGTACAAACAACATCTGATCCAGCACGGGCCTGCATGCATGCGCTCGTTTTTATTAAAATCTTAAATGTTTTGTTTCTTTGATTCAAAAAGGGTGGTTTTTCTTTTACCTGACAAACTGCTTGTTTGCACAATTGGTAAATTGTTTCATCATTCAGTATGACGCCTACAAAAAACATTTATAGATGTTTGGAAATCACTACGAACTTGTCTTACTTTCTTTTAAAAATCTACAAAATATATTTCTTACCATCTTCTCTTACGATCCCACCGTGTCCACTTGGTGAGTACTCATCAAAATTGACATCAGTGTAGATAACCTTGTGAAATTAATATGAATAGAGTCATTAATCATTATCATGTTGACCACGTCTTCTAGCGAATGAGCAAACAGAAACATTTATATATCTTACAAGATCAGGGAATTTGTCCTTGAGAAGACGAACTGTTTGTGGCACTAGACCGTCGTCGTTGAACGCCTCTTCCCCTGTTGGAGACTAAACAAGGAAAAGTTAAATCGTTGATGTATGGGAACGTCATGTGGGTTCATAATAATCAAGAAAAAAAGGATGAAACCTTTAACGCATCAGGAATTTTAGGATACAACTTTATGCTATTTACACCAACATCTCGTGCCCTTGCAACCTGTTATCCCAAAATACAAACGAGTGGATTATTTTCATGCTTAGCCTAGAAAATCGTGAAAATATTATATTCAAGTAAAATTAGAACGTAAGAACACATCAATGAAGAACACTCACTTCTTCGACGAGGCCACGTTTGCTAAGCATGTAACGTCCAGGCATCGCTTTTATTGGAATATCTACCTCACCTGCGAGACTCCCATGCATATACAATCACATAATATATTTTTTTTATTTTTTTTGAAAGAGAGATATTAATGCATCAAAACTATTAATCGTTTTAGATAAATGGGTCAATGCTGATGTATCAAAACTAAAACTAACCTTGATGAATGAAGAGTGGATATATTAAATTTACTGGAGAGATATTAGTTTCTTGAAAGGCAGCTCTCTGAGTAGGGGAACAGCGGTTACGACGTGGACGTCGGCTTAGCTGCTGAAAACACATATATAAGTCACATTAGATTGTTAAGTCTAAATATTTTAGGATCGAGTGACATTTGGGATGTGACCATATAAAATGTCCTGTCTTCGGAATACATGTTTCAGCCCAGAACTTTCTAATAGTTGTTTTTGAAAACGTTTTTGTTATTCTAGGACTTTTAACTTCCTCGGGCTATAGACCAAAAGGTCCAAAACAGAGTAAATTTGAAATTTCAAACTTTTGGAATTTTGAAACACACTATCATTTGGGGGGCTAACTAGTACGCTGCTTGAGCTATCGCGTCGGGTAAAACACAAGTTATTTACTTACAAGAGGCTTATCAATCACAGGAGCCGCTGATTTAGCCAAAAGTGGATGCGCCTCAGGAGCATTGACCGGTGATATTATGGTGGAGTCGATTATTTTCACTCGACACGCAACTTCTGTGATTCGTAAAGGGTTAGCTCTCGCGTTATACAATGTTGCTTTAAGGCCTACGTAGCTCTTGTGCTCAAGACCTTTCATCGCCGGAATTTCGCATGGAGGTCTAAACATGGATGGCGTCATTTAAAAAATGTGGGAAGAAAAGAAAGAAATTCGTAAAATATAGAATTAAGATGCAAAAAACTCAACGAGGGAGAGACTTATTTTATACTCTCTTTTTTGTTTTTCTTAGATAGAGAAATCTTGAAACGCTAAATTATGATTACTAGTAGTTTTGGTTCCCAAATCTCGATTACTCTAACGTACAGCTACACATTTTTTTTTATCATAATGAATGGACAAGAACAATCATGTCTCGACCAACGTACAGCTATACACATTTATTTATTTATTTTATCATAATGGATCTGCTCACTAGGGACCAGAACAATCAAAGCTTCGTGATGTGCTTCAGTCCTTGATTCAATGCATGATCTACCTACTAAAATATCTGAAAAATCTTAATACTCTATCCGTTTCAAATTAATTGTCATTTTGGCAAAATGTATCTACAAATATTTGAATGTATCTGGACGTATTTTGCATTGCAGATACATCCAAATAATTGCAATACATTTTGCCAAAATGACAAATTTGAAACTAAGGAAATATACAATTATGAAAAGAAAATTAAGTAGTGATTGTTTAGAGATTTCCACTTAAATGTGATGGTTTAGGTTAGGGATGGATTTCCTCAAAATTATTTAAACCATTATGTAACACCCGCCCACTTGCCTTTGCAAAAAATGCGTGTGAGTAGTAAACCACATTTACTTAGAAACCATTTCTTATTGATATTTTAAATCCGAAAATGTCATACAAAACCAACTTTAACTTTTTTTTGTTTTCTTTTTGGTTAAAAGGTTTGCTAGCATTTATATTAGACAAAAGCTACAAAGTAGCAACAACTTACAACCAAAGTCAAAAGAAATAAATAAAAACAAAGATCAACCAAATCCATTGGATTGAGTCATTGTTGGAGAACTGAATCTCCTCGCGCGGATCCTAGCTGGAACATAGCTCGGCATTTGTCCTAACTTTAACTTATAAATCAAACGATAAACAAAATTTGACCATTAAAACCTAAAAGAAAGTACACAGGTTTTATGTATCAAATAATTAGATGTACTCTATTTCAATCATATCTGAACTTTTTTTTTCCGAGCTAATATAAAATAAGGGAGAGTTGGTTTAATATTCTCAAAACTTTTTCTAATTTGAAAACTAACTCTCGGCTCTAAAACTTTGAAAGATATTTATTTTTTAAGTGAAAAGATAATAAAACCATTATCAGTTTTTGGAATTAATAACCATGAAAGACAATTTTTTTTTAATTAAAATACAGAGAAAATATATTTTGAATTTATATTATTTTAAATTTTAGATATATCAGAAAGAAAGATTTTTAAAAGATAAGAAAATATATTTCAATAGATATTTATACTTGGATGTACATATATTATTTTCAAAATATACTAATATTTATCATATTATTCAATATATATCAAACTCTATAAATAACATGTTACTTGAATTTTTTTTCTTCTTATTTTTATTATAATAAAATAAAATAACTATTTAGAATAACATATTTTTTTTTCAACTGAAATAATGTTAAAACAACATAAAGGAATTTTAAAATAATTTTTAAGTCTGAAAATAGTGATGGTATTTTAGTAATTTTGAATATTAAAAAGATTAGTTTTCCAAAATTTTAAAAGAGGGGTTTGTTTTCAAAATATTTTTAATTTGTATAATATTGGTCCAAATTTCCTCATAAAATAAATCTTGAAAAAAAATCTTCTTTATTATTTATTTAATTATAAAATTGAAAAAAATGGAAAATTGGACTAATGAAAATCAGAAATTCAACTATTGTTAATTTTTCCTCTTATTAATTGATTAGTTGCTTGATAATATATATTGTTAGCTTTTTGTTTTATTATTTTACCTTTTTAATTAAACTGATGTGTTAATACATATCTATCATCTAATTAATGTGACAATATTGCAAATCAATAATTATAAAAATTCTATATATCAAAGTCATTGTGCATATATATAAAATTATCATACCTTTTTTTTTTTTTGGTATCTTTAAAATTAACAAATAAAGGGGTGCAACACGAGGACTTCCCGGAAGGTCACCCATCCTAGTACTACTCTCGCCCAAGCACGCTTAACTGCGGAGTTCTGATGGGATCCGGTGTATTAGTGCTGGTATGATCGCACCCACCCATCCTAGTACTACTCTCGCTCAAGCACGCTTAACTGCGGAGTTCTGATGGGATCCGGTGTATTAGTGCTGGTATGATCGCACCCAAATTATCATACCTTTGTAAATTGTTAATATGTGTACTATTCTACGTGTCATGTTTGTATTTTTCTTGAAGATAAAATTTTATACATGTCATGTTTGTCTTTTTCTTTTCCTTGGAGATAAAAGTTTACACGTATAACATATACGAACTAGTGAATAATAAATTGTCATACATGTGGCACTTAGCCCAACTAATTTTGTATAATAAAATAGATTGAAGGAAAAAAGACAACTAAAACAACTTACCTACCTTCGACCAAAAAAAAAAAAAAACAACTTACCTACCTCCTCGGTTAGAGATACCGAACTTATCCGGTTTACATTTGGCAATTGACGGTCTAAATGGCTAAACCGACACTCAACCGAAATACTTCCATCTTCTCTTTTTGGGTTCGTCTCTGTTTTTAGTATAAAGAAGTTTTTTAATCTCATTTACATACGTTCTGTTTTTTGTTTTTTTTGTAATATAAGAATAAAACGATGATGGTCTAAGAATCTTATTCTAGAGAGAGAGAGAGAGAGATGAAGAGAGGACATGTATTGGCAGTGCCATATCCAACACAAGGACACATTACTCCAATCCGTCAGTTCTGCAAGCGTCTTCAATCGAAAGGTCTCAAAACCACTCTCACCCTCACAACTTTCATCTTCAACTCCATCAAACCTGACCCCTCTGGTCCAATCTCCATAGCCACTTTCTCAGACGGCTACGACCAAGGCCGCTTCAACTCAGCTGATCCCATCCACGTCTACCTCCAAAACTTCAAAATCTTCGGATCCAAAACCATTGCCGACATCATCCGCAAGCACCAGACTACTGATAACCCCATCACTTGTCTCGTCTACGATGCTTTCTTGCCTTGGGCACTCGACGTTGCCAGAGAGTTTGGTTTAGCTGCGGCTCCTTTCTTTACGCAGTCTTGTCCTGTTAACTACGTTTATTATCTTTCCTACCTAAACAATGGAAGCTTGGACCTTCCCGTTGAGGAATTGCCTTTTCTTGAGCTTCAAGATGTGCCTTCTTTCATCTCTGTTTCTGGATCTTACCCTGCTTTCTTTGACATGCTGCTTCAACAGTTTACAAACTTCGAGAAAGCTGATTTCGTACTCGTTAATACCTTCCAAGAGCTGGACCTTCATGTTAGATTTATCTCTGCTTACAAGTTACAACTTCCTCAACCAAGTCTTGTTCTTGTTAATTTTTATAATTACTCTGTTTTTCGTTACAGGAGAAGGAACTGTTGTCAAATGTTTGTCCTGTGTTGACAATTGGTCCGACTGTTCCATCAATGTACTTAGACCAACGGATCAAATCAGACACCGACTACGACATGAACCTATTTGACTCGGAAGATGGCATCATATGCTCTAAGTGGCTCAGATACGAGGCCACAAGGGTCAGTGGTGTATGTAGCATTTGGGAGCTTAGCTGAGCTTAATAATGTGCAAATGGAGGAGCTTGCTTCAGCAATAAGCAACTTCAGCTTCTTGTGGGTGGTCAGATCTTCAGAGGAGGAAAAGCTCCCATCAGGGTTTCTTGAGACAGTGGATAAAGACAAGAGCTTGGTCTTGAAATGGAGTCCTCAGCTTGAAGTTTTAGCAAACAAAGCTATTGGTTGTTTCATGACTCACTGTGGCTGGAACTCAACCATGGAAGCGTTGACCTTTGGGGTGCCAATGGTGGCTATGCCTCAATGGACAGATCAACCGATGAATGCAAAGTACATACAAGATGTGTGGAAGGTTGGAGTTCGTGTAAAGGTGGAGAAAGAAAGTGGGATTGCCAAAAGAGAGGAGATTGAGTTTAGCATTAAGGAAGTGATGGAAGGAAAGAAGAGCAAAGAGATGAAGAAGAACGCTGAAAAATGGAGAGATTTGGCTGTAAAGTCACTCAGTGAAGGAGGTTCCACAGATATCAATATAACGCATTTGTATCCAAAGTTCAAATCAAATAAGTTATGTTTAAGATGGTGTTGCAAAGATCTATGATTTTAACGTCTTCATGACCAATAATTTTATTTTTAAGCTGATTTTTATTATGTTTGTATGTTTTTTTTATAACTAAAATAGGGATTTTTCTTCAGAGAATAGAGAATTTTGTATGTTCATCTTCTGGTTTAATACTTTGCACATCCTCCCTCATTTTGCAATATTTTGTCTAAACAAAATATATTTGTTTAGTTTGTAATTTGTTTGTTTAGATTGTATAAGACTATTTATTTAGTTTTAAGTTTGTGTATATATTAACATTGTTTACGTTTGGATGTTAGTTTGTTAAGAAGTATTATCACTTGCTTATTTTCTTTTATTTTTAATGTTTTATTGTATTTAAGAAGAAAAAAACGTGACCAGTTTGTGACTAAATTTGCCAATTGAAGATTATCGTTCCAACACAACTGGTTGTTGTGTTACCTTTTGTCCGAATAAGTAGTAAATGATGTGTAATTAGAGTAACACTAAAACATACCCGAATACATCTAGAATATGACTTGTAAAATTAACAAGAACAAAAATGTAGGAGTGTCAAAATGGGTTATTACCTATGGGTTGATCATAATGGTCAAAAAATTTAATTGGTTTGGGTTGAACTTTTTTACCCATATAAATAAATGGATTTTTGTGGGTTGACCCTAATAGTTTATGGGTCTAACGGGTTTACCCATTAAGGTTATGGGTTACTCATGAGTTTCTCAAAAAAGAAAAATTATAAATTTATAGTTATATTTTATGATGTTATTTTATATTTTACCTAATTATGAGTATTTTAATTTGTTTTAATACACAAACTAGAGTTTGACCCGCGCCTTGCACGGGATGATATTTTCTCAATTTGATTTTATTAAAAGATGTCTATTTACATACAATTTTAGGAACATAGAGTGTTAGACAATTAAAAAAATGTCAATTTACATTAGACGAAATTTTGAGTGATGCATATTTTTTTAGCCTGGTTTGATTTTTGTCATCGTTTACAGTGTGGTAATCTAACATTTGCTTTAACAACAGTTTCTCCCTTTCCGAACCCACATATATATTAAATTTTAATACATTTAAAATAATTTTATATTTTGATAAATATAAAATGGCATATATATTTTATGTTTTTATCAATTTTAAATAACTAAAATAATTTAACTTATATGATAAGTTATTAGAATTTATTACGTTTAAAATTTTGATCAAACCAAAATATTAAAAATTATTTAATTCAATTAAAGAATCAAATTAAATCGAATAAAATTTTAAAGATTTCCAAACATGGTAAATTTTTCTTTCCTATTTGTGATTATGGTTGATCATTATTTGGATCCTATTTTATAATAGGTTTTTGAACTATTATCCCAAAATATAATCATGTGGGACATTTAACATTTTTAGAGATTTGCTTCATTTTTAAAAATTCAAACCATAGCATATGTAGAAAAAAACTAATTTTCTTTTTTTAAATATTTTGATGTGATGATATAATTTATTCTTGAAAGTAAAGCTAAACAAAAATGATAGATGAATAAATTAATTTTTAAACAATTAATATAATACAATTGAATAAAACTTTCCATATTTTACTGATTGATTGACTAATAAATAAATTTTCGTCATTACCAAATAAGGAAACTGAAAGAAAATAATTTTCATTAATAATTATTTTTCTGACTAAATTAATCATATATATTTCATTCTCTAACCAAATATGAATGGCATAACATGTAATTAGTCTAGTAATGTTTGTCTTAATTAAAACTAACCTTGAAAGTGAACCTGGTGTTGACACATCAGCATGACATTTCTGTTAATAACACATGAGACAAAGGTTTATTTTATAGTGTTTTCTCTTTTAATATATTAGGGATATTACTATAAATTATTATTTGGAAGTTTTAGTTGAATTTTTAATAATATATAGTATATTTTTTAAAACAAATATTACTCATTTATTGTAAAAACAAAAAAAAAATTACTTATTTTTTATATATATGGGTACCCATTAAACCCATAGATATTAACATAATTGGGTTCGAGTTATAAATTACAACCTATAAAATAAATGGATCGGGTCATAATCCGACCCTATAACCTTCAAACCTATATGGATTAAGGTCAGATTGAGTCGGGTTATCTATTTTGACACCCTACAAAAATGTACTACACCATAATCGTTCTATTCTTACTCTTAAAGTTGGAAAAACAAAAAAGTAAGAGGCAAAGCAAAGGGAGTAAGAAGTGAAAATATTCATTTTTGTCTATAATTAAATTACCACAAGAAAACAAAAACATAACTTATTTGGTTGTGTCTTCTTGCTAACACTTATTCTTAATCTTTGGGCTAAAATGTGGGATCTTTTTTTCTGTCGGATGTTTTTTTTTTTTTCATAAATTTTATATGCTTATCTGATTAGCTCCGATAAGAACGCATTGAAGTGCTTTTGAACTTCTTTGTGATTTAAAAGTTCAACGGACATTATAAGGTTTGAGCAAGCTTGAGTTATTGGACCATGAGATCCATGAAATTTAAATGGACTACCACATTGTTTGTCTTCTAATTAATGTAGGAAATAACCCAATTGCTTATTACCAGACTACCAAGTAAACTCCATGAATCTTTGGCCTAAGTTTAGACTACCTACACAAATGTGCTTTTTATTTTTAGGGATGTTTGAATATGGGGTGGAGTGTTACGCATTTCCAGATCTTACCTACCACTGGACCACACAAGCATTTTTATTTTTTCTTGTCACATGTGAAGATGCAATCTCTGACATTTAGTTATTGTTATAAAGGTGAGGTGACTGTATTTATCCTTCACTGAATCCAATTTCAAATTGTCGTATTAGGGTAGGTAAGATATCACTATCTCTCTCCATATATATTTAAGATTTTTCTGATAATTTGGATAGATCACGCATTTGAAGCAAAAGGACTGAAGCAGATCACGAGGCCTCTGATTGGTCTGGTAGCTAGTTATAGGAACTGTGCCAATTACGATATAAAATAAATATATATTAGCTGTACGTTAGTGGACGTAGACGTTAGTGTAATCAGTTTGTGAAAGAAAAATACTCCATCCGTTTATTGAGGGAGTTTTTTTAATAGAACTGAGGGAGTATTTTTTTTAAGCTGAATTTTCTAGATATTATTTTTTGTTGATATTGCTATTATTGCTAAAACGGAGTATATTTAAGCTGTACCTTTCTATTACCCATTTAAATAAAAAGAAGATTTGCGATCCAAAAGTAGAAAAGGAATATGATATATTAAAAGAAAAAAAGTTGGCTGTACTTTTGTAGTTTTGTGTTAATGGCTACCTTTAATGAAATCCGTCTAAAAAAATGTTGTAGTTAGTGTAATCGAGATTTGCGATCCAAAAGGAATAATATAATAATAGTATAAGTTTATTACTATAGTTTTTGTATTATTTTTATTTTTTGTTTTCCAAAGTATTTTTACGAACTATAAAACAAACATGTGACACTTAACGATGATGAATGAGTCTGTGATACTCGACGATGAACGATCTAAATTGAATAAACGGTCCAAACGGGAAGGAAAAAGAAAACATTCATCAATACAATAATAACAATTTTTTTTTTTTTGATAAAGGATTTCAATAATATTATCTGTTTTTGATAAAACATTCTGTTATTATTATTCTCCAATAATAGCAATACCTCTCCATGGATCAGCAAAATTACAAACAATTTTCGACTTCAAGATTAATCATATAACTCCAAGATTGAAGGTTTATGTGTGTTAAAGAGGTTGGCCACTAATCCACCTCTTAAACAAGATCGAGCTATCATCTGGTTTATACCCTAACGTGTGCCCACCTCCCTGTATAAAACAAACTCATTAACCAATTAAGAAATCTGATGTACAAAAAAAAGCTTTGCATTTATGCCAATTAAAAATGTGGATCATAAGAGTTACTTTCACAGTGGCAAATGTCATCTTATTAGCATAAGTCGTGGTGTATCTGCGAATAAATAGGTTAAATTAATCAGCTAATAGAAATGAGTTCAAAAGAAACCAAAACAAAAAAAGAGTAAACGGTGTGTACCCAGCGACTTTATCATCTGATGTACAAAAAAAAGCTTTGCATTTATGCCAATTAAAAATGTGGATCATAAGAGTTACTTTCACAGTGGCAAATGTCATCTTATTAGCATAAGTCGTGGTGTATCTGCGAATAAATAGGTTAAATTAATCAGCTAATAGAAATGAGTTCAAAAGAAACCAAAACAAAAAAAGAGTAAACGGTGTGTACCCAGCGACTTTATCTTGTATCATCCATGGCCTCCATTTCTCAGTAACGGAATAGTTTAGAGACTTTATCCATGCTCGAGGTGATATGAAAGGGATTTGCATATCCTGATCACCGCTGTTCAAAAATTTACAAACAGTTAAATAAAGCAAGCTTGTGAAGGAAGTTATTAATTTTTTTTTTTTGTATATACCAGAAGATGAGAGATGGAATGCCTTTGATGCTGTTATTCATATGGTATGGTATGGTGGTTTTTATGTCTCGATTATACAGAAGATCCTCATCACATCGTTGCCATTTCTCCCTAGTCCCCTGTAATAATATATTTAAAAAATACTCACACAAATTTGATCGTAAAGATCTAGAATAAAACTTGTCACAGTCATATACCTCGACCACTTTAAGTGCTCTGCGTACGGTCTCGTTATTAGCCCAGTATTCGGATAGCAAAAACCTATTTGTCTGCGAAAAGCAACCTTGTCAATGTTCTCGTAAAGTGGCCACTGATCCGAAGATAACCAAGAAGCTTACATAGCAATCAGGAGATGTTTCGTCACATTCTGATAATGGAATAAATGCGGGATATATTCTAGAAATACACTGTAAATATAACCAAGAAGAATTCTAAGTTAGTGATTTTACCACTGAATATGAGATTTTTGCAGCTAATATTCTATAATGTGTGAGTGTTTGTACCTTCTTGAATTCTTCAACTTCTTTTACGCATTCCGTGTTAAGAGGATCCGCATTAAAATAATTTCCTCCGCAGCTTCTGGTCAACGACTACAGAAGTACGAGTTGACCACTTTATTGTGGTGACAAGAGAATAGAATCCTAGATTTTTGTAAATGTACCTCATAGAGTTCATCAGAGATGAGTGCCATTCCATGAGCAAATGGAATGCGAGCGTTTCTATCAAAATCTAAGTCTGTTAACGGGTTTCCGAGCACGTAGCCCTGTTGTTAGAAGGGCAAACAAAACTTTATAGTTCTTATTGCTTGATAATATATATATATATATATATGGATATCATCTAAGAAGCAAGCAAATACTGATGGGACCTGAAGGTTTATTTGAGGTTTGCAGCATATACAATTTCCTGTGATAATGGTAAAACTAACTTGTCAACAAAGGGTAGTCAAAGAAAAAGGGCTTGAATAGGCATTGAAGTTATAAAAAAAACAACAAAAACTTACCATTTGATATTTCTTGAACGATGGCCGGAACCACCTTGCCGGAGTAAGAGTTTCCTGTGCATGGATTTTTTGTGTAGGAGAAACCAGCCCCAACAGGAGCGTCCAAATATATTATATTTGCCACCTGAAAAAAAAGAAGCAATGATCCTATAACTTAAAGATGAAAGAAAATTTTCAATCTGAATCAAACAGAGTTTACATCATAGATATCTCTCTTTACTATGTACATCCTAATATTCTAACCTTAGTCCATGAATATGTAGTAGAGACCAAAGAGGGGATAGTTCCATTGTAGGCCTCAACCTTGAAAGTAATAGGCCCTGATGAATGATTTTTTTTTTCAATTCAAATAAGTAATTTGAAAAACAAGACAGAAAGAGTTAAATAAAAGAAGAAGAAAGATTTACCATTCTCATAAGCAAGACCAGAGAAAGAAGAGCAGCCAGGTCCTCCAGTTAACCAGAGAAGGAGAGGGTCTTCTTCTGGTTTGTTCTCAGATTTGATGAAGTAGTAGAACATTTGATCTTGCTCTGCCTCACCAACACCAAGATACCTGAAATTTTGAATTTAATTCCGAAAAAACTTAAACACAAATTCAATTTACAATGCTAAGTAATTAATAATGGAGGATAAGATGAATGAGAACCCGGCTTCAAGCTCAAAAGGAAGAAGGCCTTCAAAACCAGGAAGATATCTGATGATAGAGCTCGAACCAGCATGATGAATCAACAACACAAGCACAAGTGTCGGCAGCAGTAACTTGAATATCCAAGAACCCATTTTGTTTAGTGTTATATTGACATAAAACAATTTCTTTACACTATACAGAGACGGACCCAAGAACAAGATGGAAGCATTTCGGTTGAGTATCATTCTAACCATTTAGACCGGTGGATTGCCTAATGTAAACCGGATAAGTTAGGCGTAGTCTCTAACCGAGTAACAGGATAAGTTCGGTATAGTTTTTTTTTGAAAGTGGAGCACATGAGAATGCACGTGGAAGGGACAGTCGCGTGGAAAGTTGTGCTGCAGCCCCCGATCCAAGATAAATTGGTTGTTTAAATTATCTAGCAGCATTGCCTATAAAACCCGGACCGAACCAGACTTCAAACCGGTTCAGCATGCTGAATCTAACACAAGTTGAGAAAGCGGCACTCTCCTCTTGTGCAACTTGAGAAACATTGTGTTTTTTAGTTCATGATGCTAATTACGGTTGGTTACATGTTTAACTAGTCAGGTCTTTGAACCGATTATGTATGGGTTTAAAACTTCTCCTTCTCTATATAAAAGGTGCATTCTTTTGTACAATTAAAGTTTGAAAATTACATTGTGAATTTTCTTTCAAACTAAACTTGAGTTGAAGTTAAAACTGTACCATTTCATATACTCCCTCCGTTTCATAATAAATGTCGTTTTGACAAAATAAATCTGGACTATCTATTGATGTATCTGGATGTGTTTTGAGTCTTAATACATCCATATACATCTAGATACATTGGGTAAGTTAAGAGTTAAAACGACATTTATTATGAAACGGAGGGAGTACTCCATAGTTCCATAAACCGGAAAACTGAAAACCAAATTTAAATGAACCACAGCTGGACGTAAAACCGGATCAAACACTGATCTAATAGCAAAAAGAAAAAGAAAATATATTTCAGTAGATTATACACATTACACTCTTAAACAATCCAAGCCAGAAAGAAAACGACAAGTTATAGAACAAATTAATGTAATGAAAACCAAAAAATGGAACGCTGTTTTGTTTAATTCATACAATTAAATCAGAGCTTCGAAACACGTTTGAAAGAGATCTGAAATATTTCGAGCTGCAAAAAGTTGCTTCATGTTTGTGTAACTGTGTTAAAAACTCGAAATGAATTTGTTAAATGTGTAGTTGACCAAAACGCGCGTGCATCAAAAATAAAAGTTGTCATAATGAAAGAGGACGACAGAAAAATATGTTTCTCTACCCATCGCTTTATTCTTTTCTTGGTCTTGTCTTTTTCTACTTACACTTGTTCTCCACACGGCGTATGTATTACAGAGTAGAAAACTACGAAATTGGACTAATTCAGATTCATATACAAGCATTCGTAAGTCAAAATAACATCTTCTACAAAAAAATATATAAATATATTACTAACCGTGTTTAACGAATTTACCAAATCAAAAGTCAATATTTTGTTATTTTTTTGTCACAAAAGTCAATCTCGTGTCGAACGGCGTAGCCCACTACGTACCCTTAGTGCATGCTCTCTACATATAAATACACGACGTGTCGTACGGTACATAAAACATATTACAGAACTTCTAATACTTATAAAGTTTAGACTAACCAAAAATCCAAAAGAAAAATGTACGTGGTTCGGTTAGTAATGTTGATCATTCTCGTGCTATCTGCATCAGTCTGCGCTCGATCAGTACCATACGGTTACGAATCTCTCCATAGAAGTAAGTTACTTGCTGTGAGAAACTTCTTATTTGTCTCTTAATTCAGTTATTTTTCTTTCTCTTAAAAAGTTAGTAATTAAAAAAAATTGGTAAAGAAATAGGAGAAGGAGTTTGGGATCAAAAAGTCCTCAACGAGATCAAGATTGATGTCCATCCCAGCAATTCACCGCCTGGAAAAGGAAATTTTGGAAATCATCAACCTGAAGGTCCCGAACTCGGTATATGACCATATGGATTATTTTCACGGACATTGGAGGTTTTTCAAAGATTTTTGAATAACCTGCATAGGAATGTAACGTCTTGGAGAGGCATTTGTCGGATAACTCGTTTCATGATAAACTAGGATTTTGTTATAAATTTTCTTATGGTAATTATAAAATTTTGTATTTAAACATATAAGTTGTTTACATGTTTTAAATTGGTTATAAGACAAACTCTAAATTGTTAGAAAGTAAAATATATTAATGTTCTACAATCTTCAGTAACACATAAATGAGTTGTTGCACTCTCAATATCAAATCAAAAAAAAAAAATGTGTAACACAACCTTTTAGAGTATTTTTGCCAAATGCTCAAAACCAATTTTATGATGCCTGTAGTTGTTTTTTTTGGTTTGGTGTCGAACATGTGCCTATACTTTAGTACTCCCTTTCTTTCTCTTCTCCGAGGTGAAATTATATAGTCAAACTTATTAAATCTCATTGGGAATGATTTATTTTGAGTGTCCTTCACTAACCCCTATAATGTCTCTCTGCATCAAATAACATAACATTTCTGTTTCATGGTAAACTACCAGAATGCTATATTGCATTATGATCCATTGGTCAAGGAATAAACCTAAAAATTACACATAACAACTAACATTCATACCAAAAAAAAAAAAAACACTACATAACAATCAGTGTCAAGCTAACAACTACACATATAGCAAGGAGAGTATAAGATAAGTGAATGACATGATATTAAAAAATAAAAAATAAATACATTCTCTAGATCTCCTTATTCATTGAACCTCCAATCCAGCGGTTGCCAAGACAAAGCAATTTTACAAAAGCCTTGATTAAACCAAAAAGCCCTGTATGTGAAAGTAGGAAGATCAGCAAAAAATTTATCCCTTGTTTTAGCTAGACAAAAACAAAATGGTAAACAATTAAATGCAACTATAACTTGAGAAAGCTTAAGCTGTAATCAGTTTTCAAGTGCTAAGTATACAGAGATTGGGAAGAAAAACAGCATATTAAGGAATGTGTGAGGTATATATATAGCGGTTTGAAACAAAAGGTGAAGCATCTAGAGAATAAAAAGCTATCGGGATAAAAGGAAGAAAAACAAAAATACATGGTTAGGACAAAGAAAAAGCATGATTGGAGGAGGTACATATCATGAGGCTGAACATATCAAGATATTGAATGACAACTTACAATGGTGGATTGTAATGTATTACTTTTGGGCTTGGATTCGTTCACTTTTTCCTATATTGTTCACCAAAATGTCACCTGAATAGTTTCACTGCGACATGTACGCATAAAATAACACTAATTAGGTGCCTGGTTCAGTGGCAATCAAACAAATTAGTCAAAAGGTAAACTTCCACGAAACAGCACAACAGTTATCATCCCTTGTTCTCTAAGCTTGACCCAACAGTATCTAAGTCATTGCATAATATAAAAACGAATCTGAAGGCGATGAAACAAAAATTTAGCCGTCTCTTTACGAAATATGATTCTGTTTGTTAAATGAGTATGAATTGAGGAATAGGAAACCAATTTGGATAATAGGGAGACGAAGATAAACCTTGTTCCTCCGGCTGCTAAGCTCCAACAATGGGGACTCAAGGAGAGAAAGCAGTTCGTGACCAACGTACCAACACTGGAAATCCAAATGGTCATCATTCGTCACTACCTATGAATCCAAAACAAAGCCGATTTTCTGAGCTACCATATAAAAACATCATTATATTTCAAAAACTGCAGAGTAACTGATTTACCTCAAGAGCAACATAATTTAGAGTTCCTCATGTTGTCTTTAAGAGAGTAACTCCCTTCGGATCAGAATAAGATAATTTAGTTGATAAACAATAAGCACAAAACTAATTTCTTCGAGATTTGAAAGAAACATGATACTTTGAGCCTCCATTACCTTGTACTGAGGCCAAAATCAGATACCATTGAGAGGTTAAAAAGTTTGTTGATTCTCAGCAAGGCAAGGTATCACCTTTAAAGCGCTGTGGTAGACTCCATTACCATGGCAGTAATGAACTCCATCGATAAGCTTCTCTAAGTATTTCCTAGGTTCTGCTTCACTACGTCCATTACGAACCTGTAGCATGAAACAACATTGATGATAATAATGTAATGCAGAGATATAAAACACATAAATCATCACGGAAGAAGTACTTGACTTGAGATACTCACAATTTAATCAAACAATTCACCACCTTTGGTGCACACCAGGATTATGTAAAGCTTTGTGCGGCTTGGTAGAACCTTAAGAGAGGAAATCTAAAACTCCATAGGAAGCAAGATTATCAAGTAAAAGAGAGCAAACTAACACTTGCCTCATAAAGACAGGGTTTATTATCGAGAGCAACACAAGGATGGCGAACAGGCTTTATTATCGAGATCTCACTCCAATCTGTTAACGCAAACAGAGATATCAATGTTATTATATCTCACCCCCAATCAAATCAAAGAGAATAGAGAGAGAGAGGAAAACAGAACCTGATCGACCACCTTCCGCTTGATGATGGAGCTACGATCCACAGTTTTCATGGCGACGCTCTCACCGGAAGCAGTGTTCTCAGCGAACTTCACTTTCGTGAAGGTACCGTAACCGTTTCTTCAAACTAATCAGACTTCCCCACTTTCCTAAACACCATCTCTGCTACATTACAATTCTAAAATTAATATGACTGCATCTCTTTAATGTAGCAGACAATCCTTCGACTATGAAATCGAGAGAAAAAGATTGAATGTAAACATTCAGAGTCGGAATTAGGAATACAATTTTGGACATGAAAGTTGCAATTTACATAGGAGACGAAACGAAACCTTAAGTAACCACTGAGACCGAGAGGACTTACCATTTTATGAGGAAAATGACGGTGATGAAAAGGAATAGCCGAATCTCATATGGTCGAAGTAATCCGTCGGCGGTGGTGTACAGAGAGGTTAACCTGCGTCGTGGGTTCCGGAGCGATTCGGAGTCGCTGGCAAAGGGTACCGAAGCGAGAGAGAGAGAGAGAGAGAGAGAGAGAAAGGAAGGGTCAATGAAGGTCTTATAGTGGTGATAGATTTGGGAAGGAATTGAACGAAGAGGCGGAGAGATGAACGAAGGTGGAGAGGAGGAAGGCGAAACGATTTGGTGTTAGCAGCGGGCCGGAGCGAAGTAGGCTTAGTGCTCTCAGTTATACGTTCGAAGATGGGCTTCAGATGAATTTCGTTTTTACACATAAGAGAAATCAAAGATTTTTTTTTTTTTTTAATGTAATATGCCACGTGGCATTCTGTGGCTGAAAGCTGTGAGATGCTCTGAGAGGCCCCAAATAGCTTCTTTAAATTAGTAAAGATGTAACATTTTCATTTATATATAAAAAAAAAGATATATTCATATCCGTTTGTGAAAATCTGTTTCATCATTTTAATATTTCTTCTTGATATAATTATGTGATTGAATGGTTTTAGTTGACGAACAGATTATAGTTATATCTTGTCATGGTTGTAAAGAGAATCTTTTTTCTAATCAACACAAAAATTTACTTGTACTTTTACATAAAGAGAATGTAAAGAGACTCAGAAATTATATATGATATAGCGAGTTTGTTAGTATAACCATCTACAAACATCAAGATTGTTAACTTCTGATAGATCACGCAATTTATAAATTGGTGTCTTGTCTTAAGATTTCATCAATACAATAATAACAATATCTCTACATGGATCGGCAAAACAAACAATCTTGGACTTCAAGATTAATCATATAACTCCAAAATTGAAGGTTTCTGTGTGCAAAAGAGGTTGGCCACTAATCCACCTCTTGAACAAGATTGAGCTCTCCTCTGGTTTATACCCTAACGTGTGCCCGCTTCCCTGTACAAACCAAACTCATTAACCAATCAAGAAATCTGAGGTAAGAGAAGCTTTGCATTTATGCCAATAAAAAATGTGGATCATAAGAGTTACTTTCACAGTGGCAAATGTCATCTTATTAACATAACTCGTGATGTACCCAGGGACTTTATCTTGTATCGTCCATGGCCTCCATTTCACAGTAACGGAATATTTTAGAGACTTTATCCATGCTCGAGGTGATATGAAAGGGATTTGCATATCCTGATCACCACTGTTCAAAAATTTACCAACAGTTAAATAAAGCAAGCTTGTGACTGAAGGAAGCTGTTATTAATTTTTTTTTTTTTTATACCAGAAGATGAGAGATTGAATGCCTTTGATGCTGTTATTCATATGGTATGGTATGGCGGTTTTTATGTCTGGATTATACAGAAGATCCTTATTATATCGTTGCCATTTCTCTCTCGTCCCCTGTAATAATATTTTTTAAAAATACTCACACAATTTTTTTTTTTTGTTTTAATGTTAAGATTTTATACCAAAAAGCAACGATTACAAAAGGAGCTAATGTTACTCACACAAATTTTATCGTAATGATCGAGAATAAAACTTGTCATAGTCATATACCTCGACCACTTTAAGTGCTCTGCGTACGGTCTCGTTATTAGCCGAGTATTCTGATAGCAAAAACCGATTTGTCTGCGAAAAGCAACCTAGTCAATGTTCTTGTATAGTGGCTAGCTATAGCCATTGATCCAAAGATAACCAAGAAGCTTACATAGAAATCAGGAGATGTTTTGTCACATTCTGATAATGGAACAAATGCGGGAGATATTCTAGAAATACACTGTAAATATAACCAAGAATTCTATAGTTAGTGATTTTACCACTGAATATGAAATTTATGCAGCTAAAATTTTCTAGAATGTGTGAGTGTGTGTACCTTCTTGAATTCTTCAACTTCTTTTACGCATTCTGTGTAGAGAGGATCCGCATTAAAATAATTTCCTCGACAGCTTCTGGTCAAAGACTACAAAAGTACGAGTTTTGAAATGGTCGTTAACCACATTTATTTTTTTGTATTATTAGGAAGTTTTGTACCAAAGCTTGTACATCCCAGGTCCTAAGCCCAGGAGCAGAGCATTTTATATGGTCTAGTTCCAAACATCACTCGATCTGGAAACTTTAGACTTTGTCCTTGGTATTTTTCCAGTTAAACTAACGACACTTGACGTTAACCATTTCATTGTGGTGACAAGAGACAATAAAATCCTAGATATTGTAAATGTACCTCATAGAGTTCATCAGAGATCAGGGCCATTCCATGAGCAAATGGAATGCCAGCGTTTTTATCAAAATCTAAGTCTTTTAAAGGGTTTCCGAGCACGTAGCCCTGTTGTTAGATGGGCAAACAAATTTTTTTATTTCTTATTGCTTGATAATGTATATATGGATATTTATCATGTAAGAAGCAAGCAAATGCTGATGAACCTGAAGGTTTATTTGAGGTTTGCAGCATATACAATTTCCTGTAATAATTTGGTAAAATTAACTTGTCAACAAAGGGAAGTCAAAGAAAAAAGGCTTGCATAGGCATTGAAGTTATATAAAAAATAAAATAAAATAAAAAACTTACCATTTGATATTTCTTTAACGATGGCGGGAATCACTTTACCGGAATAAGAGTTTCATGTGACATAGAAAGGATTTGAGAAATACTCAGGATGCTTGTCTAGCCAGTGCACAATAATATATAGAAAAAAATTCATTAGTCTATGCATAAAGAGCGAATCTAGAAAAAAAATGAAATGGTTCAAAATACTTTAAGATGAATGAACTTGGGTTATAAGGTGTCAATAGGTAACTTTTGCCATATTTGTTAGTGACTCTTTGATATTTTAGGTACAATTTTGGTATTTATAACAATTAAAGGGTGTCAAATGACCCGTATCCACTAAAGTGGATTCGCCACTGCTTAGATTTAGAGTTTTCGCATTGTCTTTTAGTATATCAGAAGATGGATTTTTTTGTGTAGGAGAAACCAGCCCCAACAGGAGCGTCCAAATAGATTATATTTGCGTACTGGGGAGATTTATTGTTAGATCTGGAATTAACACATTTCCTTAAGCCCGTCACAATTAATAACATTATGCAAACTCGGCTCGTTTTTCACTTCCAGCTACTCAAAGAAAAGAAGATACTTGGAGAAAAAAATTACTTCCAAGAAAAATGGAAAGAGATCAACACCAAAGAAGAATATTTCCAAAAGAAATATGGAAAAATATCTTGAAGAAGCAGACATATTCTTTTTATAAATAGAAGACCCCCTATTCCTTGAAAGAGCATTCACAATAATTCAGAATCATTCACAACCATCCAGAATTCTCTACAAGCACTGCGAGCTAAGAGGCAAAAACCCTAGTTACAGTTCGTCGCCGACGAATCACCCTTGTACTTCTTTGTACTTTGGTTGATCTAAATAAAGAGTCTCTCCAAAAACACAGTCTCTTATCACCGTGTGATTTTGAGATTCAACAAAACTTCTAATACTTATAAAGTTTAGACTAACCAAAAATCCAAAAGAAATGGAACAACACTAATAGCTCTTGATGCTGTCAAAGCTGAGCGTTTTGAGACGTTCTCCAAAGAGGAGATGAGCGAATTTGAAGACACACCGGTAAATTGGCAATACTTCATAATCGTAACTGTAAGTTGGGAGATACGCCGGTAAGTTGGCAGTACTCCAGAACTACAGTCGGTGAAAACCGATGATGATAATCCGGCTGTTGATTCCGTAGATGAGACATATGAACCATAAATGGGACATACTCAGTCACAACAATAATTGGGCCAAGCCCCTGAAAATGCTTAGAGGGCAAAGCCCATGACATAGATGAAACTTTGTTGTGTGAGAGAAAGTCGCCGACGTAGAGTATCGGAGAAATGAAAGAGCTTTCGTCGGAATTGCAAACCTGGTCGACAAAGACAAAAGTTGTAGTTTCTCGGCAGGATCTCTCAGACGGCGGTGTAGCAGATGAAAGCCGCGGCTGAGGAAGAGATTTTGTCGGAGAAGGCTGAGGACGGTGGGAAGGGAAGAGAGACAACTCAATGGAGTAGAATCCGGCGAGCCTTACCACAAGGGTGAGACGCGGCGGCGGATCTAGCCGGGTTAGTACGGCAGATGCAGATCTCATCAAGCGAAGAGCTGGATCTGGGATCGTAGACGGAGTCGGAGGGTTAGAGTGAGCTTGAGGGGTTGGCGGAGAAACGGAACACGGTAAAGGAGTCGGAGCTCGGAGATCCGGTGGATCTGGTGGATCCGGCGGCTCTAAGGGATGGAGAGGTCTCGGCTGCACTAGAACGAGAAGATGATGACGGCGAGAGCTAGACGGTGCTCGATCAGGCGGCTCCGGTGGAGAGGAAAGACGGATCTGGACGCCCGTCCTCAAAGGCGCCACAGTAATCATCAGTTCAGTCCTCCGGAGAGAGAGAAGGAGGTCGTTAGAAACTCGCCGGCAAAAACAAACGGAGAAGGAGGAAACGTAAGCTTTGCAGCCGGTGACAAGTTGAAGCAAAAGATAGATCTCGTCGGGAAAACGGGTCGACGAGGGGCGAAGCAACTTCCGGCTAGTCGGGGACCAGTGAGACGGGGAAGTGACTTCAGGGGAGCAACGAACTACGGTGGACGGGGAGGAGACGACTCAACACAAAAATTTACTTGGTACTTTTACATAAAGAGAATGTAAAGAGACTCAGATATTATATATGATATAGCGAGTTTGTTAGTATAACTATCTACAAACATGTAAACAAACGAAATTTTATCAAGATTGTTAACTTCTGATAGATCACGATTTATAAATTAGTGTCTTGTCATATAGATTTCATCAATACAATAATAACAATATCCCTCCATGGATAAGCAAAACAAACAATTTTCGACTTCAAGATTAATCATATAACTCCAAGATTGAAGGTTTCTGTGTGCTAAAGAGGTTGGCCACTAATCCACCTCTTGAACAAGATTGAGCTCTCCTCTGGTTTATGCGCTAACGTGTGCCCGCCTCCCTGTACAAACCAAACTCATTAACCAATCAAGAAATCTGAGGTAAAAGAAGCTTTGCATTTATGCCAATAAAAAATGTGGATCATAAGAGTTACTTTCACAGTGGCAAATGTCATCTTATTTGCATAAGTCGTGGTGTGCCCAGCGACTTTATCTTGTATCATCCATGGCCTCCATTTCTCAGTAACGGAAAAGTTTAGAGACTTTATCCACGCTCGAGGTGATATGAAAGGGATTTGCATATCCTGATCACCACTGTTCAAAATTTTACAAACAGTTAAATAAAGCAAGCTTGTGAGTGAAGGAAGTTGTTAATTGTTTTTTTTTACAAACAATTAAATGAAGCAAGCTTGTGAAGGAAGTTATTAATTGTTTTTTTTTTTGTTGTATTACCAGAAGATGAGAAATTGAATGCCTTTGATGCTGTTATTCATATGGTATGGTATGGTGGTTTTTATGTCTTGATTATACAGAAGATCCCTATCACATCGTTGCCATTTCTCTCTAGTCCCCTGTAATAATATTTTTAAAAAATACTCACACAAATTTGATCGAGAATAAAACTTGTCATAGTCATATACCTCGACCACTTTGAGTGCTCTGCGTACGGTCTCGTTATTAGCCCAGTATTCGGAGAGCAACAACTGATTTGTCTGTGAAAAGAAACATTGTCAATGTTCTTGTAAAGTGGCCATTGATCCAAAGATAACCAAGAAGCTTACATAGCAATCAGGAGATGTTTCGTCACATTTTGATAACGGAATAAATGCGGGATATATTCTAGATATACACTGTAAATATAACCAAGAATCATAAGTTAGTGAGTTTACCATTGAATATGAAACTTGTGCAGCTAAAATTCTAGAATGTGTGAGTGTATGTACCTTATTGAATTCTTCAACTTCTTTTACGCATTCTGTGTTAAGAGGATCCGCATCAAAATAATTTCCTCCACAGTTTCTCGTCAACGACTACAAAAGTAAGAGGTTTGATATGGTCGTTAACCACTTTTTTCGTTTTTTGTTTTTATTATTATTAGGAGTTTTTGTAAATGTACCTCATATAGTTCATCAGAGATGAGTGCCATTCCGTGAGCAAATGGAATGCGAGCGTTTTTATCAAAATCTAAGTCTGTTACCGGGTTTCCGATCACATATCCCTGTTGTTAGAGCAACAAGCAAAACTTTTCATTTCTTATTGCTTGATAATGTTTATATATGGGTATCATGTAAGAAGCAAGCAAATGCTCATGAACCTGAAGGTTTATTTGAGGTTTACAGCATATACAATTTCCTGTGATGATTTGGTAAAATTAACTTGTCAACAAAGGGCAGTCAAAGACAAAGGGCTTGCATAGGCATTGAAGTTATAAAAATAAAAAACAAAATAAAAACTTACCATTTGATATTTCTTGAACGATGGCGGGAAGCACCTTACCGGAATAAGAGGTTCCGGTGACATAGAAAGGATTTGAGAAATACTCAGGATGCTTGTCTAGCCACTGCACAACAATATATATATAAAAAAGATTCCATAAGTCTATGCAGAAAGACAAATACTTACACTCAGTGGCGAATCTAGAAAAAAAAATTGAAATGGTTCAAAATACTTAGGGGGAATTGAACTTGGGATATAAGGTGTCAATAGGTAACTTTTGCCATATTTGCTAGTGAATCTTTGATATTTTAGGTACAATTTTGGTATTTATAACAATAAAAGGGTGTCAAATGAACCTGTATCCACTAAAGTGTATTCGCCACTGCTTACATTTAGAGTTTTGGCATTACCTTACGAACAAACTCATCGACCAGCTTAGCTTCTCCTGTGTCACTTGGTATATCAGGAAATGGATTTTTTGTGTAGGAGAAACCAACCCCAACAGGAGCGTCCAAATATATTATATTTGCCACCTGAAAAAAGGAAAAGCAATGATCCTAAAACTTAAAGTTGAAAGAAATTTTCATTCTGAATCAAACATAGTTTACATCATATAATATATATATATATACTCTCTATGTTACTATGTACATCCCAATATTCTAACCTTAGTCCATGAATATGTAGTAGAGACCAAAGAGGGAATGGTTCCATTGTAGGCCTCAACCTTGAAAGTAATAGGCCCTGATGAATGATCTTTTTTTCAATTCAAACAAGTAATTTGAAAAACAAGACAGAATGAGTTAAATAAAAGAAGAGGAAAGATTTACCATTCTCATAAAGAAGAGCAGAGAAAGAAGAGCAGCCAGGTCCTCCAGTTAACCAAAGAAGTAGAGGGTCTTCTTCAGGATTGTTCTCAGATTTGATGAAGTAGTAGAACATTTGATCTTGCTCTGCCTCACCAACACCAAGGTACCTGAAATTTTGAATTTAACTCCGAATAAACTTAGAACAAAGATTCAGTTTACAGTGCTAATTGATTAATAACGGAGAATAAGATGAGTGAATGGGAGTAGAACCCGGTTTCAAGCTCAAAAGGAAGAGGGCCTTCAAAACCAGGAAGATATCTGATGATAGAGCTTGAATCAGCATGATGAATCAACAACACAAGCACAAGTGTCGGCAGCAGTAACTTGAATATCCAACAACCCATTTTGTTTTTAGTTTTTGAGTGTTATACGACATGCTAAAACTTCTTTATAATAAAAACAGAGACGGACCCAACAATTCATTTGAGAAAGCAGCCACTCTCTTGTGCAACTTGAGCAACATTCTGTTTTTTTTTTTTTTTGGTAGTGTTTTGAGTTGATGATTGTAACTACGGTTGATTACATGTTTAGATAGTTAGGTCTCTAAACCGATTATGTTTCAGGTTTAAACTTCTCCTTCTCTATATAAAAGGTGCATTCTTTTATACAATTAAAGTTTGAAAGTTACATATTGAAATTGTGATCATCAAACTAAATTTGAGGCTAAGTTAAAACCGTACCATTTCATATACTCCATAGTTCCATAAACTAGAAAACTGAAAACCAAATTTAAATGAACCACAGCTGGACATAAAACCGGATCAAACACTGATCCAATAGCAAAAAGAAAAAGAAAATACATTTCAGTAGACTATACACATTCCACCACTCTTAAATCTAGAATCCAAGTCAGAAAAGAAATTAAAAAAAAAAAATCGAAATGAAATTGTTAAAAGTGTAGTTGACAAAACATCAAAAATAAAAATGGTTAAATGTTTGAGAAAAGCAGATACGAATCTTAAATGTATTGCCCCATATTTTAAATGTGTAAATTTGATGGACCAGATCAAGTCATTTTCTAATAACTCAGTGGCTCCAGCTCCCAGTCCCTAGATCAATAAATTACGTCTAAAATTTTGTGGTTGTGAACTTGTGATGGTTTCAAACGGAAAAGGAACAAAGACTAGTATTAGAGATGATGAGAGAAGAGCACATTTGTGTGTAGGATACATTGATATACAAATATCTAAATAGTGAAAGGATTTCCGAAACTCTTATTCCTTAAGAATTACACCATTCATAAGGAATGTGTATCTTATATTATTCCCCTTCATTCCATATTAATTAAAGACTTTTAGTGTTAAAATATTTCTTATAAAAAAATAGCAGGAATATTTCTTAAAATTTCTTATAAATTTTATTCCTCTTCATTTCTTTCATTCTCATTCCTTTTATTCCTTTAAAGCTCACCAGTTAGAGCCATTAACTCTCATGATTATAAAACTTTACGATACATTGATTTATATAGTGAAAGGATTTCCTAAACTAAGAGATATACAAATATCTAAGTAGTTAATACAATATATATACTAATAATAACATGATCATCTAAATCCTTCTATAACTAGTGTGCACAACTATGAATGTTCATATGCTTCTTCTTTTTTCTATTTCAAACAACTAAAACGAAAGCTAAGTCTCATCCAAACGATTATTTTTTGTCTAATCTTCATGGCTGTCAATTTCAATTTTTTGATATCATATAGTCATATACACATACATACACATGTTGCATCAAGACCATGATTTACGCAAAATAATCTTTATGACGATACCTCTCAAATGTCTTGTTGGAAATTACATTTAGAAAACGAACAACACATAATCAAAAACAGAAGCTACACTGCAGGCTCTTACAGCAAAACCGCTTTCTTTTTAGGCTCAAGAACCGGAGGATCTATGTCTATCCCCATGTTAGCTGCAGTTCCTGCAATGATTCTCATCGCTGATTCAATGGTCGTGCAGTTCAGGTCAGGCAGCTTCTCTGCTGCGATCGTTCGCAGTTGGTCGATTGTTATCACCCCAACTTTATCTTGCTGTGGATCTTTCGATCCCTTCTCAACACCTATTTCCACAACCCAACAAATGTTAAGAAACATCACAAAACTATTAAAAAAAATTTGCAAATTGTTCAGCATCAAGAAAACAAAACTACATCACAGAACATATAGTATAAAATCAATTTCTTGCTAATTGTTCTTGAACCACACTATTATTCAAAAATGCACATTTCATTGAATCATCATGGTACTCATTTTTTGGTCCGGTTAAAAGAGTATACCTGCAGCCTTAAGCAACAAAACCGAAGCAGGAGGGGTCTTGAGGATAAACGTGAAGCTCTTATCCTGCAAACCATACACATAAACAATCTCATAAGAGCTATGATTCGAGAGCAGCTCTATCAAAAAGTTGCAGATTAGATTAAGTATAGAAAACATGTACAACAACTTGCAAAAAGCTAAGCTTTTTTATGACAAAATGTCCACAATGTTACTCTCTTCTCTAGCTTAATCAAACCGGAAATCAAGATTGTTAACCGGTTTTATCAGCGATTGTAAGAGAGTGTAGACATAAAACTCACATCGAAGACTGTGATTTCGACGGGAATGATGTAACCGGCTTTATCAGCGGTTCTGGCATTGTAATCCTTGCAAAAAGCCATAATGTTGACTCCTTTCGAACCAAGCGCCGGACCTACAGGCGGCGCCGGAGTTGCTTTCCCGGCCTCCAGAGCCAGTTTTATCACTCCGACAACTGCGAAATTTTTCCGAACCCGTAAGGAAATCGAGAACGGGGAAATTAAGGTTTTTGAGGAAATGGGTAGTGAGAAAAATTGTACCTTTTTTGGCTTTGCCTCCGGGTTTGGGCGGAGCCATGGCGATGACGGTGAGAAATCTCGGCGATGAGGAGAGAAGCGGGGACTGTTTTCTCCCCAGAAATTGGACGGAAACATTTGCTTTGGAGGATAGTTTAGACGAAAGAGAATGTGAGAGATGAGATTTGGGATGAAGAGAAGACGAAGTAGAGCTGCAAAGAGTTGATAGAGAAGAAGACGCCATTGTTTCTCACAGTGAACGAAGGTAGCTCTAGTGAGAAGGCAAAGAACACAGATTGGGGGAAAATCCTATCCACTTTTTGAGTTCTCACTTCATGGGCTTAATAATGGGCTAAAGAAATAGGCCTAAAATTCAAGATCCAGTAAGCCCATCTATCATCATTTACATAAATCCAGAATCCGAGAATCATAACGTAGCTAAATTTTTCACGATACGACTGAGTACATGCAATTTGGAATTATGGAAGACAGTCAGTACGTTCTCTAACTAGTCAGTTCGTTAAATTAGGGTACTTCACCGGTCTCGTAGAAGACATCTAATGTTAGTCGTTTTTCGACAGAATTTTGAATATTATTTATTGGTTTTTCTCAACAGAAATTTTTATATAAGCAAAACGTATGCGAATCATAAGCAAAATATAAGAATTGATAAAAGTAATGTTTTATACTAGTATATATTCTTTTACAAAAATAAAAAAAATCCCTTAATATTGGAGTCAGATATGACTGCTCATCATTCCAAAACTGAAATTCTCAAATTTTATTGTGTGGAAAAGCAAGTTGTTGAAACTAAAACTACAAAAGTTTTTTATGTTTTTTGAACTTTTTTCGTGAATCACTGTCATTATTACTTACTCTGTATTGTGTGTGCTTGGAATGATAGTACACGATCATAAGAAAAACCCACCAAACAGTCCAAACCTATATGTAGCATTTAGCAAATACGAGAGGGAGATGATCAGATGAGATGTCAATATCACAGATTTGGATTAGCTCCGGAAAGTACGAGACCAACGACCTTAACACAATAGAAGTTGGGTGGCAGGTTAAATTAAAGTATGAGATATTACATAATTTTGGTTGTTATATTATGAATACACTAACTTAGTTTTCTTGTTCACATATTTACGTTTTACGTTCTTCCAAGATAGTATCGCGACAACAAGCCGAGGTTATTTATTTATTGAACTGTGTTTGTTTGACTTTTATTGTTATTAACTATCGGTTTCAATTTATTTACTCTATGTTATAAAGCATAATAATTAGTAACATTATTCCTACAATTTTATCATTATTAATATGAATTTCCAATTTAACTAATTTTGGGTAATACAATAACTATACATACTTTACAAGCGAGTATTCTGACCAAGAAAAAAAAGAGTAATACTATAAGTTTAATATATATATATATATATATATATATATCTACCATACCTGTTTTCGGTCTGAAACATCTTAGTTTTAAGGAAAAAAGATAATCAACACTTACTTGAAATTCCAAATATTGTAACCTTTGGATCCAAATTGCAAACAAATTTTGGACTTTCTACAACTCTCTCATCAATCACACATTAATCTTTAAATTAATGTTACATTTTTATTCTCTAATTTTTCTACTATACAGAAAAATATGAAGTTATTTTTGTTAATTTTCATGTAGGTGCCCTTTTGATATATAAAATAAATAGTTAAATGCATTCAGTATGTTAGTTTAATTCTATTTAATTTAATATTCAACCGATTTTTTCAGGTTCACTTGGTTCATGTCTTTAAAAAACTATTTATTGTACCATGAAATCTGATGAAGTAACATATTAAGGAAATAACTTTTAAAAAGTATACATTAGCAAAATATAATGATTTTACATTTTTATTCTGTTTTCTCATAATTTTCATATGTTTTGCTTATTAATTGCATATGTTTTGCTTATAATTTGCATATGTTTTGCTTATATTTTGCTTATTTTTTTGTTAATTCATACAACTTGTTAATTCAGTTCTTCTAATAATAATAGTGTATGATATAATATTAATTAAGAAAATGCTATTAAAATCATTTACAATAAAAAATATGTTGTTCTGAAAATACTTCATATATAGTTACAATTATATAAAACTTAGATATTTGATATTTTATTTTCATCTTACTTTCTTGATTAAATATGATCCAAATTAGCATTTCCCAAACTTTCCATATATGTTTTTATGTTATAAATATTATGATTTATTATAATTTTTTTATTTGAATCTTAAAAATTAATATTTTTTATAGTTTTGTTATACAATCGACAATGGAAATTTTGTTTTGAGGTACGTGGCCAACAACACTATATATGTGGCAAAGCTTCGACGACCCAAGGGATACATTAGTTCCCGTATAGCTCTTTCACTTTGAAGTTTGTTTCTGAACCAGATGTTGTGGTGTCTCACCTAATGTTTTGCTCGTATTGTGTCACTGTCTAGAACGGCACAACAATTTCTGTACTTATTGGCTCAAACATATCAGCACATAATGGTATTATTGATGCTGAATATGCAATTGTGGTTCATGGAGAGGGAATTTCAGGATGCCAAAAATCATGTTTGAGTAGTTGCACATGTATAGCATTTGTTGTCATGCCATATATACTTGGTAAAGGCAGTCTTTTTGAATTGGAACTAAGCATATCTCTTCGATGTCAAGACTTACACGCAATATTAACGTGAATCATCTTTTTAAAAAATAGATGTGACTTTTTTTTTATTAGAAACAAGAAAAAACAAAAATTCGTACAACACCTAAACATCACATGTTAACCGGAATATTACAGCCTAAAACAAAAAAAGTTCAATACAATCAAAAAACATTTCCGGAATAACATTTTGCACACATTTTTGAAAATGATCATTGTTGAGTCAGTCCAAAACGAAGGCTAATACTGTTACCGTGTATTTTGGTTAAATGACAAAAACTTAAACCCATATGTTTGATAAGTTTCCGGTTGTAGCAGTTGAAGTATCCCATTCGTGGAAAAAACATCAGCCAAAGTGATTAGACTCCGTGTTGTATTTATCAGGTTGACCAACACTTAATAATTTATTTGCAGGAACAATTGCATTTCAAAATGGAACCAATCATAGCCTATAAAAAAACAAAATGATATCCAATCAAGGGCGGCTTCGTTTCTGAGTTTCTCCGTGTAATGCGTATAAAGTCGCTAAGATATATAATAATAGAAAAAGAAGATGTCAACTGAATGGTTCTTGACTTGAGATTGCAATGGAGGGACTTTCTTAGGTAGTTCATTCATCTAGATAGAGAAATAGTCTTAAGAGGGCTACATTTTTCAAATAATTTTAATGAAGAAGTGGTCCCTTTATACAATCATAGACTCATATTCATATTATAAACATACAAGTTGCTATAATCAGAGCAACCAAGAATGATTCAATATTTCAAAGTTCAAACATTGTGAGCCTAAAAGAAACTCACCTATATGTATATAAACCTTCTTCTTCCACATGAGTCTCTTCAAGTAATTACATTACATTACATTACATCTCTCTAGTGGAACCCAAAATGACGAAAACATTGATTCTTGTGGCTATATGTCTAATACTTGCTCTCAACATTGTTGCTGAGGCTAAGGTACTTAAAACTTGTTATCCATAGATCTGAATCTCTCTCTACTCAATCATTTTTCTTTTGGTGTTAATCAGTTCCTCTATGAGTTTTAGTTCTTGCAAGAAACTAAACTTGGTATGCTTTGTTTGATTATTTGATAGATTCACATAGTGTATCTTGGTGAGAGGCAACACGATGATCCTGACTCAGTCACCGAGTCTCATCATCAAATGCTTTCGTCAATCCTTGGAAGGTAATAATTACTTTAAAAATACTTTGACCAAAACCATATCCAAAAATGCAAATGCTAAACTCATTTTGCTCATGTCACATCACAGCAAAGAAGCTGCCCATGATTCAATGGTGTACAGTTATCGCCATGGCTTCTCAGCTTTTGCAGCGAAGTTAACAGATTCCCAAGTAAATCAACTCGCAGGTGCTTACTTAGGGTTTTGTGATTTTTAAGACAGTTCTTGATACATTTTTCACCATGGCTAAATGCAATCTTTACTTTGTGAAAACAGAGTTACCAGAAGTTGTTCATGTCATACAAGATATAGTCTACGAATTGGAGACAACAAGGACTTGGGATTACTTAAAACAGACTTCAACACATCCAAAGAATCTCTTAAACCAAACTAACATGGGAGAGAAAATCATCATCGGTGTGGTTGATTCTGGTAACTTTCTAAACCAAATTCTTGTCACTCAAAACGTCTTCTCATAAACTTGAGTGGAACATGTTTTAAACCTATAAGTTTATGTAAAACCTAAACATTTCATTTTCAATGAATATTTACATTCTTAGCAAAGAAAGGATTCAGTTTTTGAAGTTTGGTTTATTTTATACTTTAAAACAGGAATATGGCCAGAGTCTGAATCATTCAATGACAATGGTTACGGACCAATACCAAAACGTTGGAAAGGAAGTTGTGAGTCAAAACAGAGCTTCAACGGCTCAACCGTTTGTAATAGAAAACTGATTGGCGCCAAATACTTCGTGAGCGGAATACTCGGCGGCGCAGACGAAAGCAACTGGAACACAACTGAGAATCCAGAATATGTTTCTCCTAGAGACTTCAGCGGTCACGGGACACACGTGGCGGCAACGGCTGCTGGCTCGTTTGTCCCGGACGCAAGTTACTTAGCTCTCGGGAGAGGAATCGCTAGAGGCGGTGCGCCACGAGCCCGCATTGCAATGTACAAGGCTTGTTGGCACATAGCCTCTAGAGGAACAGCGAGTTGTTCAGCCGCGGATTTGTTGAAAGCAATAGACGAAGCCATTCACGACGGTGTAGACGTTTTGTCTCTATCTCTCTCGCTTCCTCCTATGTTCCCTGAGGTGGACGCTCGAAACCCTATGGCGGTTGGAGCTTTCCACGCGGTTGTGAAGGGGATCCCGGTTGTTTGTTCCGCCGGTAACTCCGGTCCGGCTTCTCAAACGGTTACTAACACAGCTCCTTGGGTCATTACCGTTGCTGCAACCACTCAAGATCGGTCTTTTCCAACACTTATTACACTTGGCAACAATGTTACAATTGTGGTAAGCTTTTGAATAGGTCAAAAACAGAGCAAAGATTACTTCTTTCACAATCTTTCTAAAAAAAAAGTTGAACTTCTTTGAATTTTAGGGCCAAGCATTGTATCAAGGTCCGGATATGGATTTCACAGGTCTGGTTTACCCTGAAGGTCCAGGAGAAGACAACGAGACATTTTCCGGGTAAATTCTTGAAACTCTGATATTCTCTTTCACATTTTCCATCAAAGTGAGTGTGTTTTGTTCCTAATGAGACAAAATCTTTTTCTACACTTGCAGAGACTGTGAAAATCTTTCCGTAAACCCAGCTCGTATAATAAAAGAGAAGATTGTCTTGTGTTTCACGAAATCGACAGAGTTCGGTACCGTGAACAAAGCTGCATCGGATGTATTTGACCTTGATGGCTACGGTGTGATCGTTGCGAGAAACCCTGGATATCAACTTAACCCCTGCGACGGTTTCCCTTGTCTCGCTGTAGATCACGAACTCGGAATCGATATACTCTTCTACATACGTTCCACTAGGTAATAAATATTATACACAAATATATACTATATCTTCATCTACTTGTAACCACGCACTACGTTGATATTGATTACATATGTCAAATGGTTGGTTTTGGTTTTTTAGATCACCTGTCGCCAAGATTCAACCTACAAGAACGTTGGTTGGACTCCCCGTGGCTACAAAGGTCGCTACTTTCTCATCGAGAGGACCTAGTTCCATCTCTCCTGCCATTCTCAAGGTAATTTCCAACCTACTAGGTTCTTTGTTTCTGATAAATCTTAAACCATAAACCCTAAACCTTACGTGATTCTTTGTTGCTGATCATCCCTAAACTCTACTACATTCATTGAACATAGTTGATTGCTTTATAAGTTAGATTAAGTTTGTCTATGTTCTCACTTCTCAATATACATGTACAAGAACTGTTAACTAGATTAGGGTTTATCAGTTTCATATAGTTTCTTGTGACATAAGTAAGAGCTCAATATGTTCTGTTTTTTTTTTTCTTTTCCGACACAGCCTGATATTGCAGCACCTGGAGTGAACATACTGGCCGCAACTTCACCGAACGACACATTCTACGATAGAGGATTCGCTATGAAGTCAGGAACATCCATGTCGACTCCTGTTGTTTCTGGAATCGTAGCACTACTTAAGTCTTTGCACCCTCATTGGTCTCCTGCCGCCATTAGATCCGCCATTGTCACTACAGCTTGGAAAACAGATCCATCCGGTGAACCAATTTTCGCAGACGGGTCAAACCGCAAACTAGCTGATCCATTTGACTACGGAGGAGGCGTTGTGAACTCAGAGAAAGCAGCGAAACCTGGTCTTGTTTACGATATGGGAGTTAACGATTACATTCATTACTTGTGCTCTGTTGGCTACACAGATTCATCCATTACTAGCCTCGTCCGCAAGAAGACGGTTTGTGAAAACCCTAGACCTTCTGTTCTTGATCTCAACTTGCCTTCGATCACAATCCCAAACCTTGCGAAAGAAGTTACCATCACTAGAACTGTTACCAACGTTGGACCAGTAGGGTCGGTGTATAACGCTGTGATTGAGGCTCCGATGGGTGTTAACGTGACCGTGACGCCAAGGACGCTAGTGTTTGACGCTAAGACTAGGAAGATCTCGTTCAAGGTTCGAGTGTTGACGAACCATAGAGTGAACACTGGCTACTACTTTGGAAGCTTGACTTGGACTGACTCTGTGCACTATGTGGTCATCCCTATCTCCGTGAGAACTCAAATCATCCAGCGTTACTACGATGAGAACTGATTTTTAGTTTATGCCTTCATCTTCTGCATTCCTTTATTGGTTTTAATTTCATTTTTATGTGTGTCGCTGACTTGAACACTGGCTACTACTTTGGAAGCTTGACTTGGACTGACTCTGTGCACTATGTGGTCATCCCTATCTCCGTGAGAACTCAAATCATCCAGCGTTACTACGATGAGAACTGATTTTTAGTTTATGCCTTCATCTTCTGCATTCCTTTATTGGTTTTAATTTCATTTTTATGTGTGTCGCTGACTTGATGATTGATAAATAATACGATTACTGTTGATACTGAATGTTCATTCCATCTAATGTAAAAGCTTATTGCCAAGTTTCTTGGGGATCAAAGTAATATACTCAAATCAACTTTGACTATTAATGCTTTATTTATTCGTAGAACACATATGTCATTAGTTCTCATCATAGTAGTTTTGTAGAATCTGTGTTCTCACAGAAACAGGAATAGTCACGTTATGCGCAGGATCTCTCCAAATCAAGCTTCCAAAGTAGAAGCCAGTGTTGATCTTATGTGTGGTCGAGACACGAACCGTGAAGGAAACACTTTTGTTTTTCGAGTTGAACACTAACGTCTCCGGCGTCACAGCCACTCTAATCCCAAGCGGTGGCTCAACCACAACTTTGTAAACCGAATCAACCGGTCCAACGTTAGTAACAGTTCTTGTGAGCGTGACTTCGTCTTTGAGGTTTGGGATGGTGATCGAAGGCAAATTAACATCAAAAACAGAAGGTTTAGGGTTTGAACAGACTGTTACTTTACCAACAAGCTGAGAGATAGATGTGTCGTTATAACCAGCGGAACACAAGTAGAGAACGTAGTCTTCTGTGCCCATGTCGTATATAAGACCTGGATCAGCAGCTTTCTCAGGGTTCACGAGTCCTCCACCGTAATCAAACGGATCAGCTACTTTACGAGATGACCCTTCAGCAAAGATTTGCTCTCCGAATGGATCTGTTCTCCAAGCTGCAAAGCATTGACGTTCCCGCAAGAATGTTGAATCCACCAGCACTTGAACTGGAATCAGGAGATGTAGCGGCTAATATACTCACTCCCGGTGCTCCTATGTCAGGCTGCATTGTTATGTTTCAAAAACATTAGATTCAGAAACTCTGATGGGTCTGAAAAATTAGGATCAAGACATACTTTGAGAATCGCTGGGGCAATAGAGTTAGGTCCTCTTGATGAGAAAGTTGCGACCTTTGTTCCCACAGGTTGTCCTACGAGTGTTCTTGAAGGTTGTATCTTCAGAACAGGTGATCTGCAAACCACAGTTACAGATACTTATTCTCAATTATATGTTTATTGTAGAGAGTGAAACAACTCTAGAGCATGTTAGTTTCATACCTAGTGGAGCGGATGTAGAGAAGTATATCAGTCCCGAGCTCGTAATCAACGGCTACACAGGGGAAATCATCTGTACACGGAGTGAGATTGTAACCAGGATTTCTTGCAATGATCAAACCAAGACCACCAGCTGCTTTCACATAAGAGGCAGCTCTCGCTACAGCAGAGTAAAGCGTTTCTGACGTGAAACACAAGACAACTTTGCCTGTCATTGTACGGTTCGCGTTGAGGTTAAGACGCTCACAGACACTGCAAAATGACAACAGACACATATTCAGATTATTGACATTGCACGAGAAGCTATAAAATTTGATATTACCCGCTAAAGGTCTCACTGCTGTTCCCTGGATTCTCCGGATAAACCAAACTAGTGAAGCCAAGTTCTGGTCCTGTGTACAATGCTTGACCCTGCATTAACAGAGTTATAAGACACAACTCCAAGATTTGGTTTGCAGAGGGAAAAATAACATATACTCTCTGCGTTACCAGTATCACGTTCTTGTTCCCAAGTGTAATAGGTGTGGCAAAAGACCGATCCAAAGTGGTTGCAGCAACGGTAATGACCCAAGGAGCAGTGTTGGTAACGGTGTGAGCCGCTGGTCCAGAGTTCCCGCCGGCGAAAACAACTACGATGCCTTTCGCTACTGCATGGAACGTTCCAGTAGCAATTCTATCAGTTTCAGGAAACAGAGGAACTTGAGCGCCGAGAGAGAGCGACAGAACATCAACACCATCGTGCATAGCTTCATCCATCGCTTTCAAGATGTCAGAAGAGGAACAAGTCACTCCTCCTAGACGATCTACATACCAACAAGCCTTGTATATTGCTATGCGAGCACGCGGTGCACCACCTCTCAAGTTTCCTCCAGCGAGTCCCTTGTAGCTCACGTTAGGAACAAAGGAACCACCTGCTATAGAGGCTACGTGCGTGCCGTGGCCAATGAAGTCTCTAGGGGAGATGTAGTCACGTGATTGAGTAGTGTTGTAATCTTTGTTTTCTGAAAGAAAGCCGTTGATGAAGTACTTAGCTCCTATGAGCTTATTGTTGCAGTTTGTTGATGTGAAGTTTTCTCCTGATTCACAACCTCCTTTCCAATGGCTTGGTATTGGTCCAATCCCATTGTCGTTAAACGATTCAGACTCCGGCCACACTCCTACAACCACAGAAAATAATGGAATCACAACAAAAAACGTTAACTGAGATCTAATGAAAACTAGTTATACCTGAGTCAATAAAGCCAATGATGACATGGTCACCCATGTTTGTATCATTTAGGAGATTCTTTGGATTGGCAACAGAAAGACCTAAGTAGTCCCAAGTCCGAGTTGTGGCAAGTTCGTAGAAACTATCCGGTAAGACGTGAACAACTTGAGGTGAATCTGTTTCCAAAAGTATAATCTTGAATTATTTACAACATCATAACAAGATGAGATAAGCCAAAGACATGGTGAGAGTTGAGATAAGAGAGAAGCCAGTGAGCAGTAGTACCAGCAAGTTTCTTGGCTTGTGACTCGGTAAGCTTTGCAGCGAAGCCTGAGAAGCCATGTCGGTAACTATGCACCAGTGAATTATGTGCTTCCTCTTTACTGTGACACAAGATCAAACCTTTGGTAACAAATCTTGAGACATAATAATGGAGTTGAATACTAATCAAAGTAGCTTTTTGTACCTTCCAAGAAGTGACGACAACATCTGGTGATGAGATTTTGTGACAAACTCAGGATCATCATGCTGCTTCTCACCTAAATACACTATATGAACCTATTTGATTATCATCACAAGTCACAAACACAGCCAAAAAAGTTAGTCAGGGAACCTTTATTTTTTGCTGTCTGCTAAAGAATACACAATTTACCTTGCTCTCAGCATCAGCTCGTGCAACGTTTAAAGCTATTATTATCAGACTTAGCACCACAAGAACTAATGATCTGTAATTCATCATTCAAAGCAAAAGAAGAGTGTTTCATTAACTTTTTCAATCTACTTGGAAATTATTTGAGGAAGCAAAGTGCATTTATATAGAAGAATAGATGTCTTCTCCTCCAAGAAGGTTTACAAAGAATAGATGTCTTCTCCTCCAAGAAGGTTTACAACTACTCGCATGTTTGAACTCAATCTACATAAGTCAGTCACACAGAAAATAGTGTTTCATTTTGTTTAATCTACTCCAAGACTTTTCAAGAAGTAAACGCATTTTTGTAACGAAACGTGTTTAGCTTTGCTTTTCATGCGACTAAATTACAAACTTTGAAGATTGAGAAATTCCAAAAACAAAACGGAAAAACGTCTTAGTCAAACTCAATAATTCTCTTTTTGTGGCTAATAATGCATCGTTTTCATGGAATTTTCAACAAATGTGAAGAAAGATAGCAAAATGTTTGGATTTGAACAAAGGAAATGAGATTAAGATTGATGGAACGAAACCTCAACAAGTAATGATTTCAAAATTAACTGTTCGGCACCAGGAGCGAAATCGCCGCCGTGGCTGACCGTCACGGAAGGTATATAGCCGACGACTAGGTTTCATAAATTCGGAGAGATTAGTTTCATCTGTTAGTTGCTGATTATCTGTAACCATTTCCGTTATACCGATGATCAATGGATTTCCCGATAAGAGCATCTGAAATTTTCCGATGAACGGCAAAAAAAAGAGGAGGACGTGAGAGAGAGCCTAGCGAAAAAAAATTGACTAGAAGCGGGCCAAATTTTTATTGGGCTTATGCTTTTGATTTTAAGGCCCATTAAAGAAATAGGCTCCTGAAAAAAAACTAGTGAGCCGTTTAATAGCCGTTAATTTTAAGTTACCATTTATGCCCTCCAAATTGACAGGATTTACCTGAGATACGTTTTAGTTGTCACCACTCGATTCGTCGCCGATTCACGGAACATGCAGCCCAATAATACTACTTTTTGAAATTCGAAAATGTGCGGCTCCATGATTCCACTCCTTCGTGTGTTTTGTAAATTGACCGTATCACCCTTGTCTCCACGTACGAGTACAAGAACAACTTATTTACCAAAATATGATGCCACTCTGGTCTTATTTCGCATGGATCCATAATCTTCGTGATACTATGTTCCCTCTCTTTGATATGACAGATGCTATAATTTTTTCCTATCATAATAAAAAGAAACTATTAAATCAATTGAATATTTGAATGTTTTGCTGCAGTTATAAAATTTATGTGTGTTAAGTATGAAAAAAATTGTAAAAGCGAGTTTGATTTGCGATCTACATATGCAGTATAATATCAAAACTGAAAACAAACAAACATGATTGTGGCCTTGTGGGTGTATAAGTCTCATGTGGGTTCCATCTCTCGTCACCAAGTACTGAATTTCTGTACTTTTTGATCATACATTACGCTAGCGAATGATAAAGATGTTCAGTAAATAATGTAAAGGAAATAAAATTTACGTAACACTATTTTTGTTCTTTCAATTCAAAAAGATATTTCAATCTTTTTTGTTGTTGTAACTTGTAAGTCTAATGTAAGAGAAAAAAATGTGAAACAAGAATACATGCCAAAGTAACCTTATAATTGAACTAGCCCGTAATAAACAAAAATATCGCTTGATATTGAGAGAAAAATAAACTTCACTGTCGCTTGATAATATTCATTAATCAATGTTCAAGACAATGCCCATGCCCATGTATAAGATGGCATATTATGTTTAAAAGAATATAAAACCAACCGTCTTTACATGTTTCTTTGGCTCAAAGTTATGTACCTTAGCCGAAATGAGTATGGAACTTTATAATATAGTATTTAAACGTGCTTACCTGTAGATTCAACCCATAATCCCGTTAAAATCAATGGGCAATGGTACTAATCATTTTAATTAATTAATTTAATGAAGTTTTGTGGCGCCGTGTCATCCTCTGGTTTAAATTGATTAGTAAATTAGTCTTTGCATCAAAAACATTGATCTATGAAGAGTAATAACGTCGAGCCCCTTAAACTAATCCCACGCTCAGGTTTTGTCTCATAGTACAGTGTAATTTAGCTAGAAAAAGTGGTTAAGATCCTAATACTAAGCAAAGTTATGGACATTTGATCTGTAGATGTATTTATATACGCAAACATAAAGTATATAGTATGGTTAGATTTTGTACGAATATAAGGGGAACCTAAAATGAAAATTAGATCACATCGATGAGAAAAAAAGACAATTTCCACCTAACTAGATATCGTAAAGTACTTTCTTTCGTGTAGATAAGTTGCAACATACCGTTGAAGAGAATTGGAGAAATAACAAAACAAAACAAAACAATTGTGGTGTTTTGCAGTATAAAGGGGGGTAAATTCGGAAGTTAGTCTTTTGTCTTGGGACAGAACAATGAATCACGCGGCTCATTTCGCCTAGCAAATAATGAGTTTTTGATTTATTTTGAAATCGAGAGCAAAACCAAAAAGCACAGATTTGAAAGCAAAAAAACCATTTTAGTGAAAAAGAAAGAAAACACTCCTTTTCTTGCTTTTTTCTGTAATTAGTCTACTGCCGGGAGTGGTGAAAAAGATAAAAAAAAAAAGAAAAAGGAGGATTCAATCGATTACGCGATTACAGAACATTATTATTTCTTTTTTCTCTTCCGAGAGAAGACGATGATGTCGTTGATGATGAGTTCACCTGTTGTTTTCTCTCGACAACCTTAATAAGAAAGGAACAAGCTTTCTCTCTTCTCTTGAGAGCACAAGAAACATTTTTTCCTTTTCATCAATAGATGGGAATGGGAAGATATCAGAAATCTGGAACTTCTGGAGTTTCAGCAAGATGGGTTTTTGTTCTCTGCATTTCAAGCTTCGTCCTTGGTGTTCTTGTCGTTGACAGGTCCTTTCATTCTCTCTGTCTCTCTCTCTGTCGATCTCCTCGATTCATTAATGCTAATGCCAGCTGCAAAATCTTGTCTTGTTTCCGTAGTTAACAGCTTTTTAGTTCATATGTTACTGTTAATGAAAATTTGGGGGATTTCGTTTAGATGTAGCAAATAAAGTCCGCAAGTTTTGTCTCTCCTACTATATGTTATGTTATGCCTTCACATTGATGAATCTGGGACATTCTGATGCACAATTATGCATTAAAGTTGGCTTCTTTAATGAAAAAGATGATGTTTTTGTTTTGCGTTAAGTAGCTTTGGTTCCCATTACAAGTGGCCTAAAAGCTTGATCCTTTGTCAGTTGTCACTATTAGGAAATCTCAGAAGTTAAAACAAGCTCAATTATTGATTTGATTAAGCGATCCAACTGGTTCTTCTATATTGAGCCCTTTGGATGATGATGATTAAGTTCTTGTGCTTACGCTCTTGTCTCTATTTAGGCTTTTGGCAGCTTCTGAGACCATAGATGGCAATGAGAGAGCTTCATCTGAGCAGAACAATCAAGCTAGATCTCTTCATCCTCATGTTGATTGCCAGAGCAAGGCAAGTAACAACTAACAATAAGACAAGCTTTTGTGTGTTAGATCACCAGATTTGCTCCAAGTTTTTCAACTTAATCTTAGCTTTGGCATGATTCTTCTGTACAGGAAGGAGATATTCTATCTCGAGTTGCGCATACACATGATGTTATCAAGTAAAGTGGCGTCTTTTATGTCTCATTGAAACATTTTTTGATATTAGAGATTGGCTTTTATACAGTAAACATCAATTGGATTATGCATTTTTTCATATACAGGTCATTAGACAAGACAATTTCCTCTCTTGAAGTAGAACTAGCCACAGCTCGAGCAGCAAGATCTGATGGTAGAGATGGATCTCCAGCTGTTGCAAAATCAGTATCAGATCAACGGCCTCGGATGTTCTTTGTGATGGGAATCATGACTGCTTTCAGTAGCAGAAAACGAAGAGACTCCATAAGAGGAACTTGGCTTCCTAAAGGTATTCATATTCAACAAGAACAAACACAATCTCTTCTTTCTCCATAGCTGATGTTACAAAAGTGTTTACAAGCTTTGTTTCATTACTATTGCAGGTGATGAATTGAAAAGGCTAGAGACAGAGAAGGGAATCATTATGCGATTTGTCATCGGTCACAGGTAGATTTTGAAACTGTCCTTGGTTTCAAAAATTGACTGTTATTTGATATTATCAATCTTTCCTTAATAGTTCTTCTCCTGGAGGAGTCTTGGACCACACCATTGAAGCTGAAGAAGAACAACACAACGACTTCTTTCGCCTGGTAAATCCGCTCGCCTGCGTGTTTTGTTTACATTTGCTCTGTTGTTTTCTGTTTGCTGATCAAAAGTTGGTTAAAATCTTGCAGAATCACATAGAAGGTTATCATGAGTTGTCATCTAAAACCCAAATATACTTCTCATCTGCTGTTGCAAAATGGGATGCAGACTTCTACATCAAAGTGGATGATGATGTTCACGTAAATCTCGGTCAGTTTACTTAAAACCATTCATGTCTTTCTTAATAGTGTTCCAAGAAAAGCTTAATTAAAGTTTAGATATCTATCTTCCAGGAATGATTGGTTCTACATTGGCTCGACACAGATCAAAACCGCGAGTGTACATTGGTTGCATGAAGTCTGGACCTGTCCTAGCTCAAAAGTAAGCTTCAAAGTCTGTCACAATACAAGCTCATGTTTTTTTCACACATATCTTTGACTCTTTCGGATATCTTGTTGCAGAGGAGTCAAATACCATGAGCCAGAATATTGGAAGTTTGGTGAAGAAGGAAACAAGTACTTCAGACACGCCACTGGACAAATCTATGCCATCTCCAAAGATTTAGCAACTTATATCTCAGTAAACCGGTAAGCTTCCTTACAATCATCCTCTCCTGTTCTCAAATCCCAAACCGGTTTGATTCACCAAATTTCATAATGTCTTTTTTTTTTCACAGGCAACTACTTCACAAGTATGCAAATGAAGATGTCTCTTTAGGATCTTGGTTCATTGGTCTTGATGTTGAACACATCGACGATAGAAGCCTCTGCTGCGGAACACCCTTAGGTAAAAAAATATAAAATCTTTCTATGCTCTCATTGCACACAACACAACACATTACACAAGCAAATTTCAAGATTCAAGAATCAATGTTTAAAATGAAATGTTTTTGTGTTGCAGATTGTGAGTGGAAAGGTCAAGCAGGAAACCCTTGCGCAGCGTCGTTCGATTGGAGCTGTAGCGGAATCTGCAAATCTGTGGATAGAATGCTTGAGATACATCAACGATGCGGAGAAGGCGAAGGAGCTATATGGCACACCAGTTTCTAAAGACTCTTCTTTTATGTAATGTATAGTTTCAGATTTCTTCTTATGGGATGATATTGATTTAGTGTAGGTTATGCTTATGAATGTTGATGATGTTATCATCTAAAGCCCCAATTTTGGCGTCATAAACCCTTAAAATCTATTGAAGGATTCTTGCAAAGTTTGATACTTTCGTGTTTAGATGATCACAAAGAATCAAACAGAGACAAAAAGAATTCATCTTTTTAAAAATATATATTTACATATTCAAGAACTGAAACAGGAACAAAAACATAAACCGCAAAACCGATGATGAATCAATCACTATGGATGATTCTAGTTAAGAATTGAATTTGATTTCCAAAATTGTATTTACATAAAAGGAATCGATCGAACAAAAACGAAAAAAAGAGACTCAAGCAAAACTCGTTTATCTTGGTTGTGGAATCAAGAACGAACAATGGTCTCGAAGCAGTGGATCCCGTCGAGCTCCAGAGCACACCTCGGTTGCTTCGCCGCTAAACCCATCTCTCCAGGAGCTTTGGTTTCGTCTTTCTTCAGAGAAGACGCGGTTTGACCGGCGCCGGAAGGAGAAGCAGCGGCGTTGTTGCGTTCAGAGCGGCGGTAGACAGAAGAGGAATCAGCGGTGAGTTTCTTCCCCATAATCTCTGCACACATGGCGTCGAAGACACTGAACATCGAATTCATGATCACGAGAATTGGTATAGAGAGAAAGAGAGAGATTTGATAGAAGATCTTTGTTGGGGTTTTGATGAATGAAGAAGAAAAAGGTTTGATTTTTTGTTGTTTAAATAGATAGTTTATATAAAGACGCGACGAAACTCGGCCGCGTTGGATAAGGAAAGCCGAAAAATCCGAGTTGGATCCGAGTTCGTCCAAAGTTGAATTTTTCCTTTTTTTTGTTGTTGTTGTTTGAAGCGCGTGTTGTTCCACGCGCGCTGACCTAAATTCTCAATTGGGTTTAGGCAAGTTTTGTTTGTGATTTAGAATATTTTAGGTTGGACTTTTGAGTGTTTTGATGAATGAACCTAATTTATCATCCTAATTAATTAATGGTGACCCTTTGAAACCTTATAATAGATGGGGAACATGTGTTTTATGTGATTTGATTTTGTCTTTTACGATTCTCTCAGGGTCAAAGTTTTAAGTAATTATCATTCCGTTATGTATTAGGGGTGGAGATTTGGTTTTGATTAGGTCATTTGTTCAGGCAGACAAAAGCAATAACATAATTAGGTATTTTGTTCGGTTTAAAGATAGAAGAATCAAGCTAAATTTTACTTGGAGCCAAAGGTAAACCAACTTGCAAACCTGAATACGTTTAAAAAAGTGAATTTTAAAATATGCTGAGGATCTTTATTAGCCTCATCGGATATCCATTTAATTGGATGACTATGGATAAGTAATGTTTTAGAAGAAAAGGTACAATATGTTAGCATCTCAAGTCCAAAGAATTGCTTATTTTAACACCACCACTTTTAAATCTGAGTCATCACAGCTCCTATAGTGTCTTTGGTGAGCTTTATGGTTACAAACTAAATTTCTCTATAACATTGACTTCTATTTGTAGTTCAATAGTAAATCTTAGTCTTAGGACACTATTATTGACTTTTCGAAAGTCCCCCCCCCATAGTCGAGTTAGCTCAATGGGAATCAAACCTATATCATAGTATAAATCAACTACAATATTTTGGTGAAATTTCAGCGACAACTTTTGAAGGATATTTTGCTTCTTTAGCTCGTTACATGTTGTTTGTAGGACTCACCGTTGAAAATTGATATTAGTGTGAATTGTGTGATTATTTGCTCTGGTGATGCTTTTAATGTAAACGGATTTTATTTGAATAGTTTTATTGCTTTTCTTTTCAAGAATTGTTGCATGTTCATACCACAGGCAGTAGGCACATACACACCCAACCACCGAACAAGTTGGCGAAATTGAATATTTATGTGATAAATTCTACATTTGCGTGTTGCAGCTCGGTTTCTATTTTCTATTAGAATTAAATTGTGTACTTATATTCCCAGAATATCCATAGACATATTTTTTTTTTCCATAGACATATTATTGAACATATCGTAGTACGTGTTGCTTGTCCGATAACATAAGTGTTTAAATTAAAGGAAATAAAGTAATTCCTGTAGTTGAACACGTATTTGAATGAAAAAGGAATACTTTAACCATCTTTGTTCCATTTTGCTTATATAGATGCTAAGTATCTTATAATTTTATAAATCATGTCTTGTTTAAATTCTGATTTTTAAATGCATTTAATTATGTTCAATATATTTTCTTATCGTTTAAATTCGATTTTAAGAATATGGCTAATCTGATTTGATGTATTTCAAACAATCTGAACTTTTGAGTAAACTAAAAGAAGAAACAAAACTAAAATTTGTCAAGGTTTTTCTGGTTAGATTTTAACCAAATCAAGAAGAAGAAAGACTAGCAAAGAAAATCATAGATGTATATATTCCGATCGAATCAAATCGATATTCCAAAACGTATTCACAATCGCATGTTATAATGAATAAATAGAATAAAAATTAAAGAAAAAATTGTTTCTGATCTTGCGTGCAAGCAACAAGAACACATCAATAGTAATCAAAATCAAGAACGGACTATCGTCTCGAAGCAGTGAAGACCGTCAAGCTCCAGAGCAAACCTCGGAGTCTTCTGCACGAAAGTAGCGTTCTCCTTCTTCTGCGTTTGCGGCGCGGGTGCGGTGGCTGGTTTGGCTGTGGCGGTGGCAGAAGCATTAATAAACGAAGAAGCCATAAGGTTCTTTCCCACCATGAGCTCGGCGAAGAGAGCGTCGAAGGCACTGAACATCGAATTCATTATCGAAATTAGAGACTTTGAAATTTTTTGTAGAAGGAAGAGAGAATTTTAGAATTCAGAAAGATCGTTTGTGAGTTTTATGATTTTACAAAGAAGAAGAGGTTTTGTTTATATACTAACGAGACCGTGTTGAAAAAAGGAAAGCGTGAAGAAAGAATTTGGGTTGGCTTTCTTCAACAATTGAATTTCCAAGATGCTTCTAGGTGCGCGTGACCCTTACGCGTTACTTGAGTTTTGTTGGTTTTTTTTTGTTTATGTTTCTTGTCTTCTCGTGCGCGTGAAAGTCGCGACAATTTGCAAGACTTATGAGACAGGACATGTCAGATAATAGTCACATGACATGATTAAGTCATATGCACAATCACACAAAGTACAACTTTATTTTTTTCCCTGTTTAGCGGTAACTTAGAATTATAACAAAAATAAAATAGCAAATAAATCACTATTAAAGATGTGATTCGTTTCTTTACGTGCAATCTGAATCTAGTTGAAACTTTCAAAAGAAATAGCGGTGGCTTTTTCTTTCGTTTAATAGTTTTTTTTGGTTAATAATAAGATTTCGAGGAAGAAAGGTCGAGCGTGGATGACACGCTCTCAGACACAATGAAGCAGATGAGCCTAAACATGGGGTCCAAGTTGGGTTGAATGAAGATAGACATTGGAGGGTCGTTATTGAATCTTAAATTGTTGCGTTCTGTTTCTCCAAGTGGGGTCCTATCACATGGCTTTTCCTCTGCGTGTTTAAAGCATGTCGTAAGACTCAGAAAACATTATTTTCCGTCTTTCAAAAACCTTGAAACAAACGAAGATATCTTATTACTGAAATCAAATGTAGCTGACTCGAGAAATAATTTATTGAATGTAGAGTAGGACCGTAGAACAGAGGAATCATCATCATGAGCGAATAACATGAAAGGCTAAGCCTTTGAAAAGCAATAAAGCATGTCTTTCTGTTGAAAGAACAAAATAATGATATGTTGGGTTGATGTCAAAGCGCTTGATTCATCTAGTTGAGTTTATTTGAATTTTTGTAAACTGGTATACAGAATTACAGATAGATAAATAGTTCCAAACATGAAGAAAACAACTATGCTTCAAAGACTAAAAACAATAAACAATTTCATTTTTTTTTTCCAAAAGTTATTCCAACAGAAACCATAGTCATTTCTATGTCTATTTAGATGTGGTCTAATCCGTTCAACAACTTTACTAACCAGAATTTTCTTTGATACGTGTGTGACAATGTTATTGATCATTGTCTGAATCACGAGCTTTACTAAACGGAGTTTTTTTATACACGTGTGACAATGATATTGAATATTGTCTCAATTACGAAGCCAAATAAGCTTGCAAATCCACTCATACAGGCGATCGATCTATACATCATTGTTTGCATGTGTCACAATGTAGCAGTTGTAGTGACGAGGCTACCCATGAGCGCTCCAAGCTCAACTCGGGTAACACCTCCTTTAGAGGCTACACTATCCCTAATCCAATTTAGAAGCTTGTCCACAAGTTTCTACGGTACTGAATTATCAGACATTTGGTTTTCATTCATCAGACTAACCACCTAATGGAAAATTCTGAAAAGAAAAACAAAAGAGAGAAATTAGTTTTCTCAATTTCTTATATCAAGCACAACTAGTTTAAAGGCCAATTCTTATTATTTTTCTTCATGTGATCACATTCGCTATTAGAATTGATTTAGCAGTGGAAATATTAGATATTAGAGACTCAGACTTAATGCCTACAACTTAGTTCGATATACATCATAATAAATGGGGAAAAAATGACCATGGTAAAGGTTATAGCGACAACAATGTTTCTTTTTTTTTTTGGTTTTAAGCGACAACAATGTTATCAGCGAGCAACTGAAAATTTGGATAAATACTCTAGTCTCTAGATGAGATGACCACACCTTTACGGTTTTCCTTTCTTTCAAATCTTTTTGGTCCGATGAACTTTTGTACAATCAAAAATAAAATAAAAAGATAATCAAAGGATTAGATTTTGATGTTGGCATTTGAAGTATCTAAGTAGAGAGTTCACATTTGAACAAAGAAAAAAAGTAGAGAGTTCACAAAGCTACAACTTGTACCCTATAAGGCTATAACAAACAAACAAGAGATTTTTGAGTTTTTGCATTGGGAATAGTACTGAATAATTCAGTGCAAATGTGTATAAGTTAATTTAGATATTATTTCCTTCGTTCTAAAATATATGATGTTTTAATTTTTTTCCTTATTCTACAATATAAGATATTGTAGAATTTTTGAAGGTACTTTTTACAAATTTCAAGAACTATTATATAAAAATAATTGAATTCTAAAACTTATATTAGTTAATATTCAATAAGAAGTGGTTTGATTAAAAATAAAGTATTAATTGTTGAACAACAAATATTTTTTAGTTTGTTTGAAAATTCTAAAAAATCTTATATTCAGGAATAAAGGGAGTATTTATTACTTAAAATTCCAATTATTAAGGAAAAAGTTACAAATATATTTTTGAAATATCCAATTCCACTTTTTTATGAGGTCATAATTATACTAGCATTTTCAATTGTGGTGAGAGCACTTAATTAGTTAGGTGAAAATTATTACTCTCTCTGTTTAAATAAATAAATATATATATATATATATATAAGGGGTATAAGAGTTTTTTTTTTTTTTTTACTTCATATTTTAAGATGTTTTCAAAAAATTATGCAAAACTAAATATATTTTTGTTACTTTTAACTTTATGAATTGTGCATATTGTTTTTTCATTAGTTCAAACCAAATGTATCTAATATATTATTTGCGAAGTGAAAATTTCGTTTAGAGGCACCACATTGATTCTCAGCTGGTTGATTACCCACATACCCTTAATGAAAATCTATTATTAAATCTTCTGAATTTCTTTTTTTTATTAATTCACGATTTTGTTTGTTTTAAAAAAAATATCATAATTTCCTTTTTAAATATTGAAACTTTTCTTCTTCTTCTTTTTTTTCTAAAAATAAATATTTTAATTATATGAATTATTGAATATTAAATACGAAATATTTTGTATTTAATCACCCTACGAAATATACAAGATTAAATACTAAATTATTTAATATTTTGTTCAAATCATATCGAATAAAAAAACATTGTGAATTCTTAATATATTATATGAATTTTGTACAACAACAACAATTACAGCAAATTAAGCCAAAATAAAATAATTCAAATTGAAAAAGTGTTTTCTATTTTGTGGTTATGGTGTACTAAATGGTTGGAGGAGGGGTGTTTATTGTAGGGTTAAGGTTTAGAAAGTAGGGTTTATATTAGTGGGGGTAGGGTTTAGTTTTTTTGTGCATTTTTTAAATCTTTAGTTCTTGAAAATTTTGAAGGATAAAGGAAATAGTTAAACAACTAAATAATTTAATATTTTTTTTTTCAAATCATATTGATAAAATAAAAATATTGCGTATTTTTAAAATATCATGTGAAATTTTGTACAACAACAACAATTATAACAAATTAATCAAAAAAATATTCCATTAAAATTGAAAAGAGCTGTCTTTATGTGGTTATGGTGTATTGTATGTATGGAGGGTGTTTATTGTAGGGTTAGGGTTAGGGTTTAGAAGGTAGGGTTTATATTGGTGGGTGTAGGGTTTAGTTTTTTGTGCGTTTTTTAAATCTTTAGTTCTTGAAAAATTTTAAGGATAAAGAAACAGATAAACAACTAAATTATTTAATTTTCTTTTCAAATCATATCGATAAAATAAACGCATTACGTATTCTTAAAATATCATGTGAAAATTTGTACTACAACAACAATTACAACTAATTAAACAAAAAAGAACATTCCATTAAAATTGAAAAGAGTTATCTATTATGTGATTATGATGTATTGTATGTATGGGGGAGGTGTATATTGTAAGGTTAGGGTCTAAAAGGTAGGGTTTCTATTAATGGGTGTAAGGTTTAGTTTTATGTGCGTTTTTTAAATCCTTAATTCTTGAAAAAAAAAATGAATGATAAAGGAAATAACTAAATTAGTGCTGATCCAAATCATCGACCAGTTAAATTCAGATAGATTATACAATTGTAAGTTTTAGTTGACCAATAATTTTGTGAAAAATTATTTGTTTACTCTAATTAAATTACATATAAAATAAAAACAGTTAAAAAAATTGAGAAATAAAACATAGAAGAATATAAAAACTAAAAGAACAGAAAGAAGAAGAAGATGACGAAGACAACGACGAATAAAAACCGAAAATAAGAGAAAAAAAAAATAAGACAAATATGCTAAAAAAGTTAAGAGAAGACAAAGACAATAAAAAGGAGAATTTGGGAATAAAAAGATGAAGAAACATAAGAAAGCATTAACAGAGGATATGAAGACGATCAATAAAAATATTGAGAATATAAAAAGAAGAAAATTTTGAAAAAAAAAGAAGAACAAATAAAAATGGATATAGTTTTTGAAAAAAATAAAATGATTAATATGTTGTAGACGACACGAAAAAGATTGATATAATCGTCAAAATTTATTATATTTTATCATAGATAATAAATTAGAAGTAATCATCATAATTTTGTGCACTACATTAATAAGATAAGCATAGTGAAAATTTTGAAAGAAAATAAAATTTATATGAAATTTGGTTAATGTTGTGCATAAAGTAATCTTCCAAAACATTTACTTTAATTTGAGTATATTTATTATTTTAAGCATAATTATTGAAATTCTTTATATATTTTTATCATAACGTTTTAAATTATAAATAATTTTGTTTTAGATGATAAGTTTTATTTTTAAAATAATTCATGCCCATGCAAGGCGTGGGCCAACTACCTTGTTCTAATTAATAATAAATTATGTTTTATTTTTACAATCTAAAAAATTAAATGAGTTCTTAATCTATGTGCAAATTTTTTAAACCCCTTATATTTGTATTGAATTATTTATATAAGTAATCTCACCATAGTTCGGAGACCTTACCATGGTCAGATTTAATACACATCTGGAAACTGGGAAGTGACTGGTGAGTGGTAAGCATTTGGTATTTTATATTAACGTTGACCGACCTTCAACTTCATCCATTAGATTCGTCCAACCAAAACTCTCTTCCAATGGCGACCATCACCACACCGGCTGATTCAACGGACGAACTACTCTCTCAGTGGCGGCCTCAAGTGTTCATCAACTTCCGGGGAGAAGATCTTCGCAAGACCTTCATCAGCCATTTGGTAAGGGTCTTGAAGGAGAGTGGTATCAAGTACTATATCGACTCTGACGAGACCCGTGGTGCACCTCTTGAGATCCTTTTGAAAAGGATCAAGGAGTCACATATCGCACTCGTGTTCTTCTCGATCCATTACGCCGACTCAGCGTGGTGCTTGGACGAGCTGGTGGAAATCATGAAGAAGATGGAGGATGGAACCCTCACAGTCATCCCTGTCTTCTTCAAGGTGAAGCCAGAGGACGTGAAAGGGCAAAAGCGAGAGTTCGGCGTCGCTCTATACGGAGAAGGTCGCCGGAGGAGACCCAAGATGCCGGAATGGGAAGACGCTTTAGAGGCTGTTCCCACAAGGATGGGGCTGGTATTGACTGAGGACAGTCAACCACTCATTTTTGTCTGACCATCTTTATTATTTCAGATTCCACATTGGTTTTTTTTTGTTTTTTCTTTTTCAGATTCCAAATGAGTAATCCATAAAGTTTTTTGTTTCTCATTTGTATTTCAGTTCGCATGACGATTTCCTCCAAAAGCTTGTCAAGAGTGTCAAGGAAGTGGAAGATATAATTTTATCAGAAGTCAGAGCAGGACAGCGTTCCTCTTCCTCTCTACTTGACCAACAACACCTTAGAGCATCTCTTCCCTGTTACGAGCAACGGCTTGAGCAATTCGAAGAAAGGTTTGGTTTTGATCCTGACGTTACTCAAATATTTATAATCCTTGGCATGGCCGGAATCGGTAAAACCACTCTAGCGAAAAAACATTTCGATAAGTGCAAGAACAGGGTACTAATTAACAAGATTGTTTTGGGTATTCATAAGAGGTCAAAGAATGAGCCACGGTCAGATTGGCTGATTAGAGAAATCTTGGAAGATGATGTTGGATATGCTAAAGTTTTCCTTAAAAAAAGTTTCGTTCTTCTGGATGATGTGAGCGAATTGTCACAGATAGAGTTTCTACTCCGCCGGATTAAGGAAGGAAGCAAGATTGTGATTACAACTCGCGACAAGTCATGGATAAAAGGACTGGTTCACGATACTTATCTTGTCCCTGGATTGAACGACAACGAAGCCTTACAACTCTTTAGGTATCATGCCTTCAATAACCAAGACAATACTCCTCCCACACATAGTTTCATTAAGCTGTCTCAAAAGTTTGTGGATTTCGCTGGAGGCAATCCACTAGCACTCGAGGAACTCGGGAAGGAGCTTTGTGGGAAAAACGAGGATGAATGGGAAAGAAAACTAGAAAAGCTGCCGCATTGTTGCAACGAGAACATCAAAGAGAATTAAAAATCAGTTATGACATGCTGACTGATCAACAAAAAGATGCGTTTCTTGACATAGCTAGTTTCTTTGTATCAGAAGATGAGGATCATGTCACAAGTTTACTGGCTTCCAAAGACTCTCATGATGAGTCTTGTGAAGTTGGAGATCTCGCGGACAAGTTCATGTTAAGTGTCTCTACCGGCAAAATCGAGATGCCTCGTATATTGTGTTCATTGGGCAAAGAACTTAGTTCATTTGCATCTTTTGAAGACAATCTTGGTAAAAGCAGGCTGTGGGATCATGATAAAGTTATTAAAGCTTTGACCACCAACGAGGTAAGAATCATCAATCATCAATTACGAAACCATTGCTTTCATGACATAAGGCTTAGTAGATGGGAAATAAAACTATTTAATCTTGATTCTTGAAACCGATATAGAAAATTTTATATTTTTAGTTTTAGATTTTGTTACAGTAAAACCTCTATAAAGTAATAATGTTATAACTTCAAAAATTTATTATCTTATAAAGTTATTATTTTAGCGATAAATTAATACTCATTCTATTTCATAATAAGTGTCTTTTTGACAAAATGAATCTGGACTATTTAATGATGTATTTGGATGTGTTTTGAGTCTTAATACATCCATTAATATTTAGATACATTGGGTAAGTGAAGAGTTAAAACGACACTTATTATGAAACGGAGGGAGTATCTATTAACTTATAGAAATATATTTTTAAATTGATAATCTTCAAAAATTATTCTCCATGTGATAATGTATTAATATTTAGAAGAATTCATTTCTTGATTTGATATGCATAAACTTGAAATTATGATTATGATTTTTGGATATATAAAAAAAACATTTATTATTAGCTTATTTAAATATATATTTAAAATTTGATTCATGATAAAAGTTAAAAGTTTAATATAAACTATAGCTACTAATTTTGATGATAAAGTTGAAAGTAGTAAAATGATACTTTTGAATGTATTTACACATAAAACAAAGAATTAATGTGTTTAAATCATATTCAACAATTTTAGATGCATATAAAGATTATGTTGTGAGCTTTTTACATAACAAAAAAATAGAGAGAAACATAAGTTCATATTTTAATAAATTCTCTAAATCATATACATATGTTTTATATAATTATTACTTTAACTTATTGTTAAGATCATATTTTTATATAAAAATTTCAAAAATATTATTATCATCTTATCGTATATTGCTTATTTTTACATTGCCTTGAGCTTGGACGAGAAAAATTTATTACCTTAGTAATTATTATTTTATAGAGGTTCTACTTTAGCCTAACTTTTTTTTTTTAACATGTTTACAGAAAACCGATTCTACTGTGAGAGGAATCTTACTCGACGTGTCAAAATTAGAAAAAGGAATCGCCATAGCCACAAACAAGTTGGCCTTGATGCCGAACCTGCGATATCTCAAAATCTTTGACTCTAGCTGTCCTCGGCAATGTGAAGCTGTTGACGTTGTTGAATGCAAAATACATGTGCCCGATGGACTTGATATGCCTTTGAAAAAGATTCGATATCTCCACTGGCTGAAGTTTCCATCGAAGCAACTTCCATCAAACTTTGACGCCGGGAGTCTTATTGACCTCAGGCTACCATACAGTAAGATCAAATGTATTTGGGAAGCTGTGAAGGTGTGTTTTTTTCTTGTTCAATGCAATATTTTGATATTATGGCTATAATTAACATGTGATGAAGTTTTAGCTGATTGTGTGCTTGTTTTTTTTCGAGTGCTTATCACAGGCTACACCAAATTTGAAGTGGGTTGATTTAAGTCACTCGACAGAGTTGATAGACCTTTCAGCTTTGTGTCAAGCTGAATCTCTTCAAAGACTAAATCTTGAAGGTTGCACTAAGCTTGTTCATTTGCCAAAAGATACGGCAAAGATGAAGAGTCTTGCTTTCTTGAATCTCAGACGATGCACAAGTCTCTTGTCTCTTCCAGAGATGGAGAATCTAACCTGTCTTACGACTTTAATCCTCAGTGACTGCTCAAACTTTTATGACTTTCGGGTAAAATCCAAAAATCTTGAACATCTACATTTAGATGGCACAGAGATCAAGAAACTTCCCGAGACGATCAAGAAGCTCCAGAGACTTATTGTACTGAATCTGAAAGACTGCAAAATGCTGGAGTCTCTTCCGGACTGTCTCGGCAAGCTTAAGGCTCTTGAAGAACTAATACTCTCTGGTTGTTCAAGGCTCATGAGTTTTCCTGTAATCAAGGAGAACATGGAAAATCTGCAGATTTTATTACTCGATGGTACGAAATTCAGAGACGTGCCAGAGATATTACTAGTTTGTTTTAACTCCGACCAAGTGAATTTACTGCGGTCACCCCGGACGACGAATGGCCTATCCTTGTTGCGACGGCTGTGCTTAAGCGGAAATGATATGATCAAAAGCCTTCAATCTAACATCAATGATCTTTATCATTTGAAATTGATCGACTTGAAGTACTGCAAGAGTCTGGTATCTATCTCTACGTTACCGCCAAATCTCCAATGCTTAGATGCGCATGCTTGTGTCTTACTCAAAACAGTAGCGAGTCCGCTAGCTCGTCTTATGCCAACAGAGCAAGTGTCCTCCTCGTTCATTTTCACTAACTGTGAAAAACTAGAGCACGTCGCTAAGAATGAAATCACATGCTATGGTCACAATAAGGGCCGGTTCCTGTCAGAAACATTGAATCGCCACAATAAGGTACTTTTTTTTATCAAATCAGAGAAATTTTTAAAAATACACTCTTTGGAGTTTATATTTTCAAAACTATACATTTATGGTGCAAATGTTTAGAATTACACTTTTCTTTAGTATTAACATATATTGTTCGATTCACTGAATCCTTAATTAGAGTTTAATTTTAAGGTTTAAAGTTCAGATTTTAGGATTTATGGTCTAGATTTTAGGGTTTAGAATTCACCTGTTGGTGACAAGTGCAGTTTTGAAATTTGACATTTTAGAGGTGTAAATTTTGAAAATGTACACCCCAATAGATGTATTTTTAAAATTTTCCAAAATTCTGTTTGTTTTGCAGGGTCTTTCTTTTGAAGCTTTGGTTACCACATGCTTTCCTGGAAGTGAAGTTCCTGCTTGGTTTAGTCACAAAGCTTCTGGAGCAGTGTTGGAGCCTGAGCTGCCTCGGCATTGGAGTGAAAGTGGTTTTGTTGGAATAGCTTTATGCGCTATTGTCTTGTTTCAAGAACAAAAAATTAAAAACAATAACCTCCAGGTGAACTGCATATGTGACTTCAATAATGTTAAGACATCCTCTAGCTACTTTAGTTGCCCTGTTGGAGGTTTATCCGAGACAGGCAGTGAGCAACGCACAATTAATTCTACGCATGTCTTCATTGGATACACCAACTGGTTGAATGTCAAGAAATGTCAAGAGGAAGATGGTAAGAAAGGATGTGTGCCTACAAAGGCTTCAATTAAATTTCAAGTGACTAATGATATTGGTGAGGTTACGAACTGTGAGGTGTTGAAGTGCGGTTTTAGTTTAGTTTATGAAACTGGGCAAGCTTAAGGACAGATGAAGATGAGTCTATTGGGAAGAATAAGAAGGTTTCCGAAAATTAAGATTGCAAACTGTGGTGGAACTTCATTGTGAGGTTATAAAGTCAAGTTGTAGCTCCACAAAGAGCCTAATAGCAGAACTTTGCGATGTAAAGCTGATTGTTGATGTCATTCATTGTACAACAGCTTGTTTCTCATTTCCCCAATACTAAGAACAGAGTTAGGTGCAAATTTTTTGAAAGTTTAAAGATACAACACTCTTAGAATGTACTTGAAGTATCGATCACGCTCTCATCACGAACGGATTCGAGATCTCATGACGATCTCACCAAGCTCATATCGCTTTGGCTTACACTAATCATAAAATGCATGCCTCTCTAAGTAACCATACAAAGCTTTTTTTTTTTTTTTTTTTAACATAGCTTATTTATACTACTTCTTGTATACAACCCCATCTTTGTCAACCAGACTTTGCATTGTCTTTTTTACTTTGATGAAGCTTATCAGAAACCAAGGTACATTTCATTACTTTCCTTCATACACAGTATCACAAGACACAAGCTTATCGATCAGGTTTCAACTGTTGGTAAGAGAAAAAAAAATTGTACCGAATAACAACAAAAATCACAATCCTCAAGGACTTTCTTGAACTCTGAAGATCATTAAATTCACAATCCCTCCTTTTTCATGCCTCTTTAGATTTTCAATCAAACTCAGTTGCTCAAGATCCAAGTCTCAAAAACACAAAAAACAAAAAGCAAGAAACGAAAAACAAAAACATAAACATAAAAAAAGATCCAAGTCTCAAGAAAAGAAAGATTCTCTGAATTCTCCAGACAATTGTCACGACATGAGTATTGTGTTCTGCTTCACATGGGATGTTCTCAAACCTTTCTTGGGGTGCATATACCAAAGTAAAGCCACACTTCACCACCTCGCAACCTTTGATCTCTTCCATACCATCCGTAACTTCAAACTCAATAGAGGCTTCAGTACAAACACATTTCTCTTCAACAATTTTGTTGATAGACATCCTACTTGCAAAGCCAATAAAGACATGAGACGACTCAATCTTCCGTGGTGTGTTACTTGGTTCGCTCCAACCTCCAACAGCGCAACTAAAGCGGATAATAGACCCGTCTCCGTTCTTGAACTCACAATTACATTTCACTACAACACGGTTCCTCTGGTTGTGGTAACCATCAAATACGATAACAGCGCATAGACCGATCCCAGTAAACTTGTTGTCAGACCAGTGTACATGCAGCTTGGGCTTTAACACTGATCCAATGGCTCGGTGACTGAACCACGTCGGGACTTCCCATCCAGGAAAACAAGTTCCAATCGAAACATCCGAAAGTAAACCCTGCAAAAGGATAATACCAAAACAACATCAGATACCATAGATGCAGCAAGAAAGACTGGAAGACTGATAGAGAAAAGCAGACAGACCACATTGTATTGTGTGAGTTCATCTAGAACTAGCTGGCTTCTCCACCTAGTATATGCGATGATATTACCCTTTGCGTCTTGATCCAAATTGTTGCAGTTGGAAAAATTGAATGTGGCATGGCTCTGATCAGACAACATCGAAAAGGCTATAGGGTTTGCAACTCTTTCCAGTGAAACACAACCATGCGCATCGAAGTACTGAAGTCTTGGTGGAAGCATTGGAACAGATATGAGACTCGTGCAGTGCTTCACGTCGAGCCATTTCAGATTATAAAGTTTCCAAATGTCAGGTTGCAGGCTGACGAAATTACTTCTACTCAAACATAGACGCCGCAGTGAGGATATTCTGTCAACACCACATGGCCATTCTCTCACGCTGAAACGTGTTCCTTGAGGTTGTAAGAACATATCTGCAGAAGCTGTGCCTTTGGATCCAGTGAAGCATGACGTGCTTGGCATCTCTTTTGCTCCTGTCCCATCAAAAAGTAAAACCTGGAGATGTTTTAAGCTATTCCTGACGTCCGGAAGATCATCAAGCCTTGAACAACCAGAGAGTATTAGCTTCTCAAGAGCTTTCAGGTTGCCAAGACAATTGGGAAGACACTTCAACATTTTGCAGTTTTTCAAATTCAACACGACAAGCCTCTGGAGTTTCCGCATAGCCCGAGGAAGTCCTTTGATTGCTGTGCCATCCAAATGTAGAGTTTCTAAACTTTTTGAAACTAGCTGAAACTCATATAGGTTTGAGCAGTCACTGAGGATGAGTGTTTTCAGAGAGATTAGATTCATCTTTGGAAGAAAGCAAAGACCTATGCATCCTCTCAGGTTCAGGCAAACAAGAGACTTCATATTTTTAATCCCCACCGGCAACTTATACAAACTCGTGCAGCCTTCCAGATTTAGTCTTTGAAGATTTTCAGCCTTTGACAACGCTGACAAGTCGAGCAACTCACTAGAGTAGCTTAGATCTACAAACTTCAACCGTGGTATATCCTGTCAAAATTCAACAACCAGTCAAAAAAAATACTTACGCCATATAACGAAAGCATAACTGCAAAAAGATGGCACACGAAGACGCACCTTTTCACCTTCCCAAACATGTGTAATATTACTGTACGGCAGCCTAAGGTCAACAAGATTCTCTGGTCTGAAGTCTGGTGGAAGCTCCGCCAATGGGAATTTCAGCCAATGAAAATATCGGACCTCTTCCAAGGGGAAATTAAACCCTTCCGAGAAGTTAAATTTGCACTCAGCCTCACATTGCCGAGGACAACAAGAATCATATATTTTCATGTATCGAAGGTTACGCATATTGATGAAGGTTAAAGGTTCCAGCCACACACTCGTCGTTAACTTTGACATGTCTAAGAAAATGCCTCTTACATTATTAGCATCCTGTTCACACGCAAAAGGCAACATGTTTGTTAGCAAAGCATACACGAACTCTCAGTGTAACTGAAATTTTTCAGTTTAACAAGGAACCTGACTATATTAAAGTTATTTTGTTTTCTAAGTTACCATTAATTATTGTTCTTTCCTGTTTTCAAAGTAGTGGAAAAAAGAGTTCATGATATATCTTAAGAATTTTCAGATATTTTGTCTTTCAAAAATTGTCTCGAAATTAGTTTTAGAAATCCAGAAAATGTTAGAACGCATGATTTGGATATTCTCTTTCAAAGGAAAAAAAAAAAAAACTTACAGATTTTTGTTTTAGCTCACTGATGATGTCTTTGTAGTTCCACAGCCTAAGGCACTGAGGAGAAGCAAGGTCCTTAGAGAATGTACATAGTGGAACATTCATTTCTACTCGGCCGTCAACAATTGTAATCAGGAACTTGTTCACGAGATCTTTTACTTCACTCACAGCATCAGTAGAGTCAGGATCTCCTGAATCTAGTAAACTCCTAACAAAGTACTCATCCTCTGACTTGAAAAAGCACAATATGTCGAGAAACACATCCTTCTGCTTCTCATTAAATTGATCAGTAAATAATCTCCAAATCATCATATTGGAACTATTAGCACCTTTTCCAATTTAGATTCCCAGTAAGCCTCGTCTCTCCCACAAAGTTCACTGCCTAGTATTTTGAGAGCCAATGGGTGTCCTTCAGCGTAATCCACAAACATTCTAGAGAGCTTCAGGAAGGTACTGTCACGACTATGAATATGATCACGAAAGGCATGATAGCTAAAGAGTTGAAAGGCCTCGCTATCGTTCAGTTTCGGGACCACATAAGTATCATCAACGAATCCCTCAAGCAATGACTTGTCAGACGTAGTAATAACAATCATGCTTCCCTTCTTAATCCAGTCACGGTCACCGAGGAGAAACTCTAACTGTTGCTTGTCACTCACGTCATCGAGAACAACAAAAATCTTGGTCTTGAGTAGTTCACCTTTCGTGGATTCATATGTCGTCTCGTCACCTATCACTGGAAACTTTCTCTTGAGTAAACGTTCCCAGAGTGTCTCTCGCAGCCTCACTGACACATACTTTTCTGAATTCCCACGGATGTCCTGAAGAAGAACGCGACGTATGAACCTGTGCTTCCACTTTTCGTAGAGCATCATTGCGAGAGTGGTCTTACCAATACCAGGCATCCCAACAACACCAATAATCCGAGTATCATCGCAATCAAACTCCAACTTCTTTTCCAATTTCTCCATACGAGAAAGAGGGGACACTTGTGAAGAGAAGTTTCATGCATTTCTCCTTCCCGCTGCGAAATATTCTCTAGGAGTTTCTTGACGGTGAGATTGATGATCTCGCTCTCAGAACTACCAAAACCATTGAGAGAAAAACGGATGAAGAGCCAGCGATCATGTTAGCCCGAAGAATAAAGTAATTTCAGCAACAACCAATTATAAATTTCAATTACCTTTGCTCCTTCAAATAGATGCCTTCCCTGGACGCAATAGACTTCAAAGCTTCCTTCCATTTAGTAATAGGCCAATCCCGATGCGTTTTACACAAATCTCGAAAGTTATCACCGAATTCTCCATCAAGTTTTTTAGCCTTTCTGGGCTCCACCATGTAGAAGATTGGAATAGCAACGAGTTTGCCTTCGTCCATGAGCTTTTTGATCTCCACCAGCTCGTCTAAGCACCATCTCGATTCAGTGTACCTTTTCGAGAAGATTACAAGCGCGATGCTTGACTCTTTGATCCTCTTGTTTAGAACATCAATATTTCTAGCCTTCAACTCTACGCTGTAGACATAGACGTTGACTCCGTTCCTTTCTAAGGCCTCAACGAGGTGGCTGACAAAGCCATGGCGCACCTCAGCTCCTCGAAAACTGATGAACACTTGATGCTCTGCGAGCGGTTTGTCCAAGGTCACCACGGGAGATGTTTCGCTTACATTTTCTTGCTTCTTCTCCTCATTGACTGAGGCCACTCTATTGTCCTCAGCGCTATCATCAGAGTTTTCTTCACCGAGTAAATCATCATCATCACCATCAGCATCATTCTTTCTGAAATTCACACCACCGTCCCTTCTTAATTCTTCATGTACATGAAAAATGATGTCGTTGATAAACGCCGGTTCACTACTGCGAAAGGACGACGATAAGAAAACACAATGAGACTCCATGATCGACTAAGGCCTAAGCAATTGCAGCCACACACACTCAATTTAAGCCATTCTATTAATTGCTAGCTCTCTTGTTCTAGCTCAATTAACAACACTAGATGGTAACACCACAGAATTGATGTGAGCAGTGTAGAGAATCCATACCTCTTGTCATGAAACACCAACCCAAGCTTTTGCGAAAAGAAATCCAAAGCTTCCTTCCATTGCTTGAGCTTGTCGAACTCAGAAGTACGCTTCACGTGATTCCACAAGTTATATCCGAAATCTCCATCAAGCCCTTGCACTATGGATGGATTCAGCTCGTAGAAAATCGGAATCGCCATGAGTTCGCCTTCCTCAACTCGCTCTTTGATCTTCACAAGCTCGTCTAAGCACAATCTCGACTCAGTGTACCTTCTCGTGAGGATTACAAGCGCGATGCTCGACTCTTCGATCCCCTTGAAAAGAAACTCCTTCAGCTCTACACAGTCGACATAGACGTTGACTCCGCTCCTTTTCAGGGCCTTCTCGAGGTGAGCGATAAAGCTCTGGCGCAGCTCGGCTCCTCGGTAATTGAGAAACACTTGTGGACGCTGCGACCCGGTTTCTTCGTAGTCCGCCATGGATGGATTTCTCTCAAGGAATCTGTTCCCGGAGACGAAATCGGAGATTTGGGGGAATTGAGTTTGGGAGAAGTTTTAGATAGGAGCATCTTCGTCAACGTTTAGTAACAGTAAACACTGCCCAATTTTTAAAGATTGTTGATAATTTCGAATCGGATCCGCCACAGTCGCCACTTCCTTCTTTAAGCTGTCCCCAAGTCCTTGTTTAAGTTTTTTTCTCTGACAACTTTTTAAAAACTAATCTCATTTTTTATTCAAGATTTTTTTTTGGTGAAATTTTTATTCAAGATTATAATAAGAGAAAATATAATTTTCTACTGTGATATTTAAGGTTGTGGTTTGATATTAAATTTCAAATTCAGGTTTTTTTTTTACAGAAATGATTTTGTGGGTAGAGATTCTTTTAGTATCAAGTCCATAGCTGTTAGCACTTTCTTCAAGTCCAGATAAAACCATATCCCAAGTAGACGCAACATTACAAATACGATACAAGTTGAATTTACTTTAATGAGGATTCTAGTGAATAAATAAGCTTTCAAATGTAAGCTTCTAAGTAGTGACAAAGAAATCGATTTGGACACATTTAAATGGACCAAAGACTATGTTCTGGTGGCTGTGTGAAGCTGTCATGGAGACATCGCAACATCACACGATCTCCTATGCTGCGACAAATCACTCCTAACGGTCCACAATATCCACACAAGAAAATATCATTAACGCCTTGACAATTCCAAGAATCGCCAAAAATATTTACCAAGCCAAGCCACGAGGCTTGCATGTATCCAAACGACAATAATAGGCTAACTACATAATTAAGAGATTACTGTAGATGTTCTGTTTATATGACCAAAGTCTATAATCAAAAGTCATATGATTGAGTGTAATTTGGGACGATACCGTTTAATATGTTATGGTTTCGGAGAATGTATATACGAACCTAAACATAAAATATATACATCAAACAACGTCTCAAGAATATACCATTTTTTCTAATATGTAAATGGTGGTCTTCAACAAGAAATTTCGAGCGACTAAGACACTACGAACAGATATGCAAAATGAATCAAGTGATGGTATTGGTTCTCTCACTTGAGATGAGTTGCCATGTTTGTTTATGTGAGAGATTTATTTCTCTTAAACCTGAAATTAATTACTCACTCACACTTGGTTAGTTGAAATAGTATCATGTTTTAGATCCATTAAAAACCCGATAAATAATTCTTGTTGACTTAAACAGTCTAAACTGACACAAAAGTGTTTAAAACCCAACGACACAAAAATGCAAATGTTTCTGTGGAGTACTCGACGACGAAAAACGGACCCACTTAATGGGATAAGATGTCAATTGAACCGCTTAAACACTAAAATTCCCTTAATTGTATGCAAATGTTAATTAAATTTTGCAGGAGGCTTAATGACACTCTATGCACCTCGGTTCGAATCATACAATATGAAAAGTTAAGTACAGTATAATTGTTTATGATTCCGGTAAAAATATTCTATGGGTTTACCATTGTGAGTGTGACAACTGACAACTACGTTTATATTGAAAAGATTACTTGTGTGTTAAAAGCACGGCCACTACAGTCACACTAAAGAGATATGCAATACCAAAATCGACCAACAAGAAAGCCTGCGACGAATACACATGTATGGCAAGACGCTGGAAAAGATAATGAACACGAGAGACTATAATCTAAAAGATCAATACATCTGATTTCTTGATTGAAGGTTATCTAAAAAACAACCAGTAACACTTTCGACGATTCCTTTACCACAGTGTTAAACTAAATATGTTTAAAAAAAAAATGTTAAACTTGGATTAATGTAGACAAAGTATTAAGAATTGCTGAAAAACATGTTGAAAAATTATCGACCGTCAATTTAGCAAATGGACCTACAAACATGTTGCACGACGACAAACAAAACATTTGTATAAGCAGAAAGGGACCCACTTTCCCAAATCCGGAGGCAAATCTCAGCCGTCGATTCTTAGCAACTGGATCAAAACGTACGCTCCAAAACTATCGTCTTCTCGAGTTACACAATTTTAGCCTCAGGATTCGAGTGTATTCTTGGGTAATGCCATATTGCCATTGCCCACTCTCATGTGACGGAAATCGAATCCATAGGACAACTCAACAACTGTAATAACGCCACGTGTCACTCGAGTCAGTCGCATGCTTCCACTCCTCTCCTTTACATAACGGACTATTCTTCTTCTCCTTCGTGTTTCTCCTCATCACATTCTCATTTCAAAACCAATTTGCTTCGAGCTCTTAAAGCTCTAAACTTTCTCAGTTGCCGGCGAAATCTGTGAGTTTTTTCTCTTCTGTATTATTACTGAAAGTGTCTGATTCTCTACTCTTTTGGAACTAAATGTTAGATTTTTCGTTTCTAATTATGAGCTCTCCTTAAAATTCCAGATTTTCAGAATCATTTCAAAGCATCGGTTTTTGATTTGCGTATTGTTGTGAAATCCAGGTGAAAGAGTGATGGCGACTGTGACAGCTTCTCACTTTGTGTCAAGAACATCACTTGTCAACAACTATGGAGCTTCTTCATGCTCTGAAGCAAACGCCAATCTGTCTCAGATCACCTTGAAGGGCCAATCCATGACTCACTGTGGGCTAAGGTCTTTCAACATGGTGGATAAGCTTCAGAGAAGATCTCAAGCAAAACCTGTTTCAGCTAAATACTCAAAGGGATTGCAGCAAAAGGCTCCTAAAGCTAAACCTGCTGGTAAAATTGTGTGTGAGAAAGGGATGTCACTGATCTTTATTGGAGCTGAAGTTGGTCCATGGAGTAAAACCGGTGGCCTTGGTGATGTCCTCGGTGGTCTGCCTCCAGCTCTGGCTGTAAGTTTTCATATACACATAAGCTTGACTTGATATCTTGACGTCTCTGTTTAGTTTTCCATGAACCAAAATGTTATGGTTTTGTTAGGCTAGAGGCCACCGTGTGATGACGATATGCCCTCGGTATGACCAATATAAAGATGCTTGGGACACTTGTGTCGTTGTTCAGGTGAAATTCTATCTTATCTTTATGCTCTATATGGATCTTGATGAATATTGAGTGCTTAAGTTAAGATCTTGTACTGTTTATTTGATGATGGTGCAGATCAAGGTTGGGGATAGTGTTGAAAACGTCCGTTTCTTTCACTGCTACAAACGAGGAGTTGATCGTGTCTTTGTTGACCATCCAATCTTCCTTGCAAAGGTTTTTGTTTTCTTGCTTAGATTATCACAAAGTTTATTCAAGTGTTTTTTTACTGTGATCTTATGGGGAATAATAAATAAATGTAGGTTGTGGGTAAAACTGGATCCAAAATCTATGGACCTATAACTGGAGTAGACTACACTGACAACCAACTCCGTTTCAGTTTGTTGTGTCAGGTAACACTCTTTTCCTTTCACTTCTGTAGTTGAACTTCTTGTTTCTGAATATTTTGTGCTAAAAATTAGCTCAGGCTTCACTGTCTGGGAGTTTTTGTTCCAAGGATTAGTTACCGAATCTGTGTTTGAACTAAATATATGCGTCAATTGCAGCAAAAGCAATAACTTGATTTACTTTTGATTGTTGGTAGGCTGCTCTTGAGGCACCACGAGTATTGAATCTGAACAGCAGCAAGTATTTCTCTGGACCATATGGTGTGAAGGGTTTCTGAATTCATAATAAAAATCTTTAAGCTCTACATTCTGAAAAGTTACTAATCCAGTCTCTGATGTTGTTACAGGGGAAGATGTGGTTTTTGTTGCCAATGACTGGCACACTGCTCTCCTTCCTTGTTACCTCAAATCTATGTATCAATCACGTGGCATTTACATGAATGCAAAGGTAATTAACTTGTGTTCCTCACCAAGTCTAGACTTAAACTTGAGCCTTGGTGGTTGTAACTTACTCTATTGATGGGGTGATTCACAGGTTGTCTTCTGCATTCACAACATAGCTTACCAAGGAAGATTTGCCTTTGAAGACTTTGCTCTTCTCAACTTGCCCAACAGCTTTAAGAGCTCTTTCGACTTCATGGACGGGTAATGATTTCTATGAATTTTCTTACACTTTACTACACTCTCTGTCTCACGTTCTAGTCCTTAGTTTGATATATCTCCTTGTTCCATGTTCAGGTATGAAAAGCCAGTAAAAGGACGGAAGATCAACTGGATGAAAGCTGCAATTCTGGAAGCATACCGTGTCTTAACAGTTAGTCCATACTACGCTCAAGAACTCATCTCTGGCGTCGACAGAGGCGTGGAGTTACATTCCTACCTTCGAACGAAAACAGTCTCTGGAATCATAAACGGAATGGATGTTCAAGAATGGAACCCTGCCACTGACAAGTACATTGATATCAAATACGACATTACCACTGTAAGATATCTCTTGAAGATCAGTGCATTAAGATAGTAGAATCTTGGGAGAAACCGTTACCAATCTATCCTTATATTATCACTCGTTTCTTGCAGGTTGCAGACGCTAAGCCATTGATCAAAGAAGCTCTTCAAGCTGCTGTTGGACTTCCAGTGGACAGAGACGTCCCAGTTATCGGTTTCATTGGGAGATTAGAGGAGCAGAAGGGCTCTGATATTCTCGTTGAAGCTATTTCCAAGTTCATGGGACTGAATGTTCAGATGGTCATTCTTGTGAGTACACAAAGTAGTAGACTTTAGATCATCACTTTAGATCATCACTTTAGATCATCATTATTGAACTTCTTTGATATTTTTCCACAGGGAACCGGTAAGAAGAAGATGGAGGCTCAGATTCTTGAACTGGAAGAGAAGTTCCCAGGGAAGGCAGTTGGAGTGGCGAAATTCAACGTGCCATTGGCTCATATGATCACAGCAGGAGCTGACTTCATCATTGTCCCGAGCAGGTTTGAGCCGTGCGGTCTCATTCAGCTTCACGCCATGAGATATGGAACCGTACCTATTGTGGCATCTACTGGTGGGCTTGTGGATACTGTTAAAGATGGCTTCACAGGTTTCCACATTGGAAGATTCAACGTCAAGGTATGTTGTGGATACTTTCTTTAACAGTTTGAAGACACAACAGCGGATTGATCTAAAAAAAGTTACAATTTTTGCTCTGTTTTTACAGTGTGAAGTTGTGGATCCAGATGATGTGATTGCAACAGCAAAGGCTGTGGCTAGAGCTGTTGCAGTGTACGGAACCTCTGCAATGAAAGAGATGGTCAAGAACTGTATGGAGCAAGACTTCTCCTGGAAGGTCAGTGATTCAATTCATTACTAAAAAGTTTGAAACTTTTGTTTATTTGGATTCTTGAAATCATTGTTTTTAGTTTGTGGAAGTTTTGTTTGATGGAAACGGGTTTTGATTTGATGGATGCAGGGACCTGCAAGATTGTGGGAGAAAGTACTATTGTCACTAGATGTCGCCGGAAGTGAAGCCGGAACCGAAGGTGAAGAGATAGCTCCTCTGGCGAAGGAGAACGTAGCGACGCCGTGAGAATGTGACTTTTGTTTTGTGAGTTCTGTTGTGTTAGAAGTGGTTGAAGAAACGGTGTTGACCGGAGGAGAAAGTTAGGAGTAGGGAAGATTAAGGAAAAAGTAATGTAATGTTACGTGTGATGTATAATAAATGTTGCAGTAATATGATGTTATGATCATTGACTAACTTTGTCCAATTTAAAAGTGATAGAGTTGGGCATAGTACGCCTAATATCTACGACTGATCTAAAGTCTAAACAAGTTAGCTATGAACTTTAGGTATTGATAAGTAGATATCATCTACATGTGTATATATATTATATATTTATAATATTTGGCTTTCTTGGTCGGTTCTTCTTTCTTTTAGTAGAATGTGACATAGTTCTATTTGCAAATTTGTATTTGTTTAGTCTCAAACTCTTAACTAGACCTACTTCATTCCAAGTATCGGTTATTATTTACATTGCATTGAATCCATGTTCTTTAGTAGTTTTGTTGTACAAGTACTTTTGTCTAATGAATAAAAGTTTGGAAAGAAAAGATAGGCCACAAAAAGCTTTCCGTTACAAGAAGTAAATTATTATAAAAGTTTTTGAGTTGAACATAACGTGGAAGCTGTAAAAGTGTAAAGGCGACAGCAACATCGAAGAAGGCTAATGGAAGAATATGTTCTCTTTACCCAATAGACCAACATATATTATCCGAATATAAATATTATGACACAACACAACAAATATCATCAATTTCAAGATATTTACCGTATTTTCTGGTTAAAACTAAATGAAATTAATGAATACAGAGCCGACCTTTGCCGGTGCAGAGTGGAAACGCCAAGCAAAGTCAGATGAGAGAAAGAGAAGAGCAGAGCAGATCATAGCCGTTGATATTTTAATAAACGATGGACATTCATCAACATTTTGTCAGTTTCCCCAAAAGTAGTAAATTTAAATAAAAAAAGTCATTATGATTTCTTTTTTTTTTTTTTTTTTTTTTTTGATGATTTCCAAACTTTCAATCAGTGAATGAAATCGGCCATGTGAAGCTTGTTTTCTTGCTTTATCATTCCTTTTCTTTCACTTTGCTTCTCTCTAGATTCGTTTTTCTCTTAACATATGTACATCAGTACATGCATTTGTCTTTTCACACATAGGCAAAAAATTAAAAGTACATTAATAAACAAAATATTAAACGTTACTAGTATTTAAGAAAAAAATAAGAATAATTTTCTTTAATTTAATTTTTTATACGCAAACAACATCGAGATTCCCTCCTTAAAACGTTGATTCATTATGAAATTGTTCTAATAATTTATAATAAAAAAAAATATCTGATCAAAAATACGAAAATTTCACCGACTCAAAAAATATCCGAAAATAAACAATTTAATAACCAAAAGTAATAACGAATCATATAATCTCACATCACTCCGACGCTCTCTCTTCCTCTCTCCGACCACCTCCACTGTTTATTAACTCAACTCTAGTTTCTGCGCTTTGTCTCCTTCCATTACCACTTCTCTCTCCTCTCCGCCGGCCGCCACCACCGGCATTCCCGAAAGCCATCATATCATATGGAGCTTAACAGCTTCCACCGCTCTTCTTCCCTCTTCTTCCTCCTCTCAGGTTCGTTCGTATCTTTATCTTACAGTTTCTTTCTTTAGTTTGAAACTTTGAATTATCAATGTTTATTGACACGACGTCGTTTTTAACCTCAATGTGATACACAGTGGTGGTTATTTTCCCGGCAACGGTGACTTCAATCGGCGTGAACTACGGCCAAATCGGAGATAACCTTCCGTCACCAGAAGACGTAGTTCCGCTAGTGAAATCAATCGGAGCAACTAAAGTGAAGCTCTACGATGCAAACCCCCAGATCCTCAAAGCCTTTGCCGGCACCGGCGTCGAGTTCATCGTCGGACTCGGAAACGAGTATCTCCCCAAAATGCGAGACCCATCCAAAGCTCTAACCTGGATCAAACAGAACGTGACTCCATTTTTACCGGCGACGAACATCACCTGCATCACCATCGGAAACGAAATCCTCGCTCTCAACGACTCTTCTCTCACCGCCAGCCTCCTCCCGGCGATGCAAGGAGTCCACTCCGCTTTAGTCACCGCCGGACTCTCCGACCGCGTCGCCGTCACCACCGCACACTCCCTCTCCATCCTCCAAACCTCATTCCCTCCTTCCGCCGGCGAATTCCGTCCAGATCTCATCGATTGCCTCAAACCAATCCTCGAGTTCCACCGGAAAACAGACTCTCCGTTCTTAATCAACGCGTACCCTTTCTTCGCCTACAAAGGAAGCCCTAAAGAGATCCCTCTCGACTTCGTCCTCTTCCAGGCCAATCAAGGAGTCGTGGATCCGGCCACCGGATTACACTACGACAACATGCTGTTCGCTCAGATCGACGCGGTTTACTCTGCTTTAGCGGCGGCGGGATACAAATCTCTCAAGGTTCAGATATCGGAGACGGGATGGCCGTCGAAAGGAGACGCCGACGAGTTCGGAGCTACGCCGGAGAACGCGAAGAAGTATAACGGAAACTTGATAAAGCTGATGATGGGTAGTAAAAAGACGAGAACGCCTCTCCGACCAAACAACGATCTTAGCGTCTATGTATTTGCTCTGTTCAATGAGAACATGAAACCTGGTCCGACGTCGGAGAGGAATTACGGGCTGTTTAAGCCTGACGGGACTCAGGCTTACTCGCTTGGATTCACTCTAAACGACGTCGTGAGAGGGGCTAGTGGCGGTGATAGTGGTGGTGGTAATAGTAGCAGCGTCGGAGGAGGAGGAGGGGGAAAAACACCGGTTCCTTCTCCGGTGACGCCGGTTTCGCCGGATAGTGCGTCGACCGGTTACTTGGCAATTTCGTCTGCTCCGGTAAGATTCTTCGCATTTTTCTTTTTTCGTTAAAGTTGCCATCTTTTTTCTCCTTTGAGCTAAAGATTCGATTTTTTTCAAGCTTACGTTACAACTTTTTGTCATGCACTCAAAAATTTATTCCATTTTATGATCAGAGTGATGGATATTGATGCTTAGTAACAATTTTTAAGATTTGGAACACGCAAGAAATGAGATTTATTAAATCAGTTGATTGCTATGCCAAATGTGATTCAAATTATGCTTTGAGATGATGTACATTCTTAGTCATTTCTTCTCCTTTTTGAGTGATTAAATGCTTTATGCCAAACTATTTTGTTGCAGAGGAAAAGAAAAGGGAAGAGTGCAATATTGGCAATGATGGTGGGCATGTTACTTGCGAGACACTTACTTTGATTACACGAAACAGAGTATTTTTTTTTAACTTATAGATGAGGTTAAAAGAAGAAAGCAAAAGCTGTTTTGCATTCTTCTAGATTCCACATACCATTGGAGCTATTTTCGCGGCTATTTGTTTTCTTTTTTGTTTTCCCTGTAATATTTATTTATGTTAGAAATTCATTTTGCAACCTTATGTAGTATGGGGATCACACTCAATTCACTTCTATATCTATAGTCCAAATCAATAATACTCTTATTAAATTTTTGAGGATCACACTCAGTTTAATTTGGTTAATGTACTTACTACTTAGTTAAATTCTAGATACCTTATAGAGAAAATTTTAAGCACTGTTTTTTCTTGTTCTTATAGAGGCTAAAACCCCAAATATAGCTAGACATGTTGGTAATGGATCAAGGATCAAAACTTGGATATTAGCTTAAACAGATGCACATGTCTTTTTGTTTTTAAACCAAACTGCTGTTTTTATCTAGTATCCTAAATTCCTAATCCTGTTAGCATTATTGTACACTTTTTCATATGAATGACAAGAATTAAGTGGTAGCTTTGGATATGATTCTCTTCTTTGATATAACATACAACAATAGTTAAGGGAGAAGTAGAGATGCATTGTTTGCTGTGAAATCATTAATATTAGCCAATCAGAAAAATAATATGTTGCTCCACTAACTTGTAAGAACAACTAGTAATTAGTGAAGCTAATGTTTATTGAATATCTCAACAAAGCTGAGACCAGCAATATGCCAATTTCTCCCCGGCCTGGTTACTCCAAAAAATCTGTAATTTTCACTGCCCAAAAATTTCCCTAATTGCGCAAAAATGTATAAAAATTAAAACCCTAACCAAAACAATCTTTAGAATCTAAACCCTTTCTAGTCGGTCGGCATTAGAAGAAAAGAATAGAGCATGAGATCAAAGAAAGAGATCTTGATCATCCTCCTCCATTTTCGATGCAGCAACTGAATCATCCTCCATTTTTGTTGCAGCAACTGAATCATCCTCCATTTTTGGTTCAACTAAATCATCCTCCATTTTCGATGCAACTGAAACCTCCTCCATCTTTGGTGCAGCAACTGAATCATCCTCCATTTTCGATGCAACTGAGTCCTCCTCCTCCATTTTCGATGCAGCTGAGTCCTCCTCCATTTTCGATGTCTCTGGTTCACTTGTCACTCTTCGATAGAACAAAACATATGCATCCGAACTCTTGATATCGGATTCATTTTTAGGTCCTACGAAGCTATCATCAAAGCAATACCATTTGTTCTCATCCATCAACTGCAGAAGAGACCAAGACAAGTCCACACATTAACTTTCAATGCATTCGTCATTAAGACTAATAAAGAATTGTAAAAAAATCAAAAGAGGTAGTGTAGTAGAGCAGAAGAAAAGACCTTAGCGTAAGCAGTGTAGTGACCACCTCCCATGCCACCCTTATGATTGCTAATAGCATACAGCTCGTAAAGATGCGTCTGGCCGTCTTTGCTCTTCACGTACTTGCTCAGATCAAGACCGTGAACCGGGAAATCCACAAACAAGTCAATCTTGTTCTTTAAATATCTGCAATACGTGAAACGTTTCAGGTGGATCACAAGAACATCGGGCAGCTTCCACAAGTCTAGCTTCTTCTTCGCCTGTCTGTGTTCTTTGCAAACAGGACAATACCACATATCATCTGGTCCAAGAGGCTCTTCAGCTAAAAACGCTTCCAAGCACTTAAACAAAGATGTCTCCTCTTCCCATGATTTCTTCACCGAGTTACTTGTTTTGAGAACCGGAGGGAGACCGGTCAAGCAGCTGGAATCATATTTTTCATGCTCTGCCTCGCTCCACTTGACTACAATCTTCGTGACAGTATAACTACCAGGAGTCACAACTGAATCGGGCTTAAGTGGCCTGGAACTGGAATGCGAGTAATTTTGAATTGAGAGGCTAAGTGATAACTTTCTATCAGCAACTCCATTCTCCTCTGTCTCAGTGTCACCAGATGATAAGCTTCCGGATGTTTCATCTGCAACATCAGGAACGTGGCAATCTTCGTTTCCATTAGGAACTGTTGTAGATGGCAAATGAACACGGTGTAGAGGTGACAGCGATTTAGAGACAATTGCATCAATGTCAGTTCCACTGTGTTGTTCTGCGTCGATATAAGTGACAAGTGGAGTTCCAAAAAATTTTGTGTCGCTGCCATAGATACTACTAATGCCATAACAACTCCTGCGAAATTTGAAAGTTGATAATCCATTAGAAGCGAAACTCAAGAAGGATTCTTGAATGACAGATCAAAAAAGTAAGCAAAGCTCACTTTTCAAACTCCCCATGAAGAATTTCAACTCTGGCTTTTCCTGGTCCTTTGTCCATTTTGTTGAACCGATATGCCACAATATAGTCATTGCCTTTAATCCCACTCAGTGCATCAAACTGGTTTTCAAAATATTTATAGACCTTGTGACCAAATAACTGCAAGGGAAAATCCCAAAGTTTAGTTGAGTCATTTTTCTACAAGAGTTAGGGACAATGAAATCCCAAGCTTGTGGAAAAAAGTTGGACGGAAGTAATTACCTCTGTGAGTAAAAGCCATTCGTCATCGTTCAAGCCGCAAGCAGTGCCTAATGCATTAATTAGATCTCTACAAGTACCATCTTTAGGAACAATTACAGAGTATGGAGTCCAGAGACGGCTTTCATCGCCGTAAAACACCGCAACTGTCATTGATCGAGTGCGACTTGATGGCACCGGCAAAGTTAAGTACATGAAAGGATCAAATGTGATTGAGATTTTTCCACAATCTGGGCAGACTAGTGTTGACTTGTATTGTCCCTGATGTGAAAACAAAAACATCATTAGGCACATTCAAAGCAGAACAAGGTTACAAGAGAGGTAAGGAATGCTTACTTGGCAGACATCAACTATCACAGAGTCATTTCTGGCCTTGTGATATTTCCACAACTCTTCAGCTACTTCATCATCTGGACGACTATCTGAATCTTTAGCTTCAATGTAAGGTTTTCGTTTCACCTTGTTCAGATCTTCATGGAGCCCATCCAATAAGAAAGCAAGCATTTCCTGGAAACAATGAGTTAAAACATATTTTACATGAGGAGCTGAACAGGACACTGGTTTTCCTGAAATAAGAGGCAATGCCATCACCATAAATCAAACTGGACCACACTTACTTGAGAATCATGCTGGTTATAGCCACTAAACTGTGGTGCAAATCGAGCCAATTTTGACTTAAAACAGCGTGGCGCAACTGTATCCACTCCTGATGACCACAATTTTCTCAGAAGCCCCCCAAATGCATTCGCAAGCTCACCCTGCATTATACAGATTCGTTTAAATGGCTTCACAGGAGAGAATATAAACGCACGCGAAATCTTCCAAGTTCTTACCTTCATTCCTAGAGGATTCTCTGCATTTATGTCATTGCTGTAATCTTGCAGAAAGTAGTCGACGATAGGAGGTGTATGGGCCATACATTGAAGAGTGCTATTCATGAAACATGTATTTCCCAAGTTCCGCAATCCTACTAAACCTCTACTTTTTGCTTTCCCAAAAGAACTTGCGAAATCACAATCATCATCTTCCCAATTGTTTCTCCAAAATCTAAATATGGAACCGTTTGAATGACCATTGGATGAGGTTCCTCCACCAAGCATAATATCCGTAGTATCTGACCTCGTAGGGTCTGAAGGTATCAGAGCTAACTCCTTTCCCGCCGAGCTCGTGTCAATTGGAGAAGACACAAAACCATTAACTTCAAGAAGAATCTGCATGGAACGCACTCATCAATGCCAAACAAATAAAAGCTATGGTAAATAAAGGCAAGCCAAAATGAGATTTTGGTTCAGTAACAAGTTACGAGCTCAAAGCGCAAGATCATTTACTAAGAGAATTAAGAAAGAATATAGATAAAGCATGAAGACAACATCTTCACAGAGACAAAAGATAATTCATCAAAAGCAGCTGTCATGTAACTAAGAGATTTCAAGACCCTTACATCATGGGCTGCTACAAGTGTCGCTTCCTCCAGGTTTTTGTCAGATGAAGGATCCAAGAGGTCGCCTTTCGTCCATGTGAAGTAATCATAGATGCGTGCCTGCTTAAGCAAATCGAATATGAAGAAACCAATACATCTCTGAATCAAACAGTGGGGACCTATCATCACCCAAAACAAGGAAGAAGATTAAAGTTTTGAGCAAACACCTTTTCTTTTGGCACCTCTTTTAAAGCACAAACCGTCTCATAGAGTTGACTAATAGAAGCCTGGCACATTCAAAGAAGCATGGTAACCGTTAAAACACAGAGTCTTTTACTTTTCATAAACACTAAAAACGGTTCACAGCCTAAAGCACATACCGTTCTGCTCATCTTTATAATGGTACAACTTCCGTCTCTACGGTCTGTCAATTTAAGGCAGAGTGGGAAAACCTCCACACAATAGCTCTTAGAGTTAAACCCTTGAACTAGAGAGATCAACTTCCTCTGTATTGGAGGACCTCCTTTATACCTGAAATATGTAAAAGCAGATATATGATTAGCACCTTTGAATAAACCCCCTTTCAAACATTGTACTAAGCATTAACAGAGGAAACAATCACCATTCCACGAGTTTTTCCCAAACTTTTCCAGGAACTAGAACGTAGTCAACCTCTTCCTCCATCGTCTTAAGAACCTCCGGATCACTAGCGTCACTTTCGGTTACAATGATATCACGATTGTCAATTGGTCCGGGCCTAGTAACTTGTAAACGCTCTCCACAAGGAAATTCTTCTTTTAGCTGCCCAACAAAGCTCTGCCAGAGCTTATACCACCTGCACTAACAGACAAACGTTAAAACACAGCCAAAAAAGGGCTAAGGACAACCAAAGATCCAAACTTTAGATGAATACAAACATTATAACCATAGCCAAAACCTCTGGCAAAAGTCCAAAGCCATAAACCCTAATAAAAATTGCAACTTTTTTGTCTGAGACACCAGTGATCGATCTGGTATCAGTCGATTCAAACTCTACTTGTACAAGAAGCTTTAAGAAACTCACAAATCTTCTGACTAGAGCCACAATGATTAAAGATCATGCCTTTATCAAGTAAAAGTTTAAAGCTTTACAAACAATACAGGCCAAGATATCGCAATGCATAACAAGGAAGCCAAAGTACGAGACCTGTTTGAGATGACGAAGTAAACGTTTCCCTCTTTCAAATCAGCCTCCGCTTCGCTATTAAGAAGCTCTGCAACAATGCGTCTCTCTTCCTCTGGAGTGCACGGAAAGTCAGAAACTTGGACCTCCGACATTGATTCAGAGTCAGGGATCGTCATATCACACTACAATATCAACGATTTCAAAAACAAAGATTTTAAGGTTCAATTTTGTTCATTAGGGTTTCAAATATGTCAAGGTGTCAACGTACAGTGGAGTCGGACGAAAGCGAGAAAATCCGAGAAATTGAAGGGAACCCAAACCCACCAGAGAAACCGAGAGAGCACTTTTTCCTCTGTGTGTCAAAAACGGCAAATTTTGACGACAGAGAAGAAGTTAGGAAAGAGTAAAGACTCTGGGGAGCCCTAGATTTTAGGGAGAAGGAGAAAAAGAGAGAAAAGAAACAGACCGCCTTGGAGAGAAATCGGCAGAGGAAAGGAGAGAAACTCTGGTACGAATAGGATTCACGATCCCTTTTATGCCCTTTTCTCTTCTCCAGTAAACAACGGCCAACCCCAAGCGCCATTTTTTCCTCACTCATTATATATGTAATAGTTTTATTATAATAGTAGATTAATATTCATATGGTACTTATGGTGTAAAATCTTGTAATGTGTTTTTTTCTGGGATAGATTTGTTTATATGTAGAGTTTTTCCTAGTTTTGGATGGAATTATAAAACAGTTAGAATTATATTCCTTTTCATTGTTGAAGTATATTATAATTATTTGCCTTTTCCTCTAAGTTTTCTTCTTTTATTCTCTTTAGTTTGCTTAAATTCATTTCCATCCTCTACAAAAATTGACACATTTTCCATTTCTAAAAAGTTTTTCTTTCAGAAGAAATATGGTATATATACATATATATATATATATATATATATATATATATATATATATATATGAGAAAACATAGAAAGAATGAAGAAGAAAAAAATGGTATTTTTGTCACGAAAGTTCGAGATTACCTTATGAGAAATTGCTTTTCTTGTTATTACCCTTCTTCACTTTTTGTAAGTTTACAGAGGTCCGAAGAGAAATGTGGACATGAAAGAAGTATCTATAATTAGCATTGTCTGTCAAATTAATTTTTCTTTGATTTAGTTTAAAAGAAAAGAATTCTTCTAGAAACTACACATCATGTTTATTAAATTTCAATATCCTTTTTTATTGAGATAAGCACGCAGGAAGATCTTTAAGATCTAGACCAAAATTAGTTAACCATGAATAAAAAACCACCATTAGTTAAGTTAATTTTTTCTTATTATACCACAAGAGGAAGACCTTAACACATAAATACATTTTTTCTTAATAACATCCTATTCCCATATGCCTTACCAAAAAAAGCATAAATTTATTATTGTCTGTCTATTGAGAAGAGAGGCTCCTTATCCCGAGTTTTCTACAAACCTCTAAACCCCACAAGAGACTTTTTGTAAATACACAAAACTACATAATGCATACATATATATACTTCTATATTACATAGAGAGAAGAGAGAGAGAGAGTCATGGAGTGGCTTGAGCTTCCTCAGAGCTACTAGCAGAGACTTCTCTAGCAGCAGCAGCATTAGTGTGACCCTCTTCTTCTTCTTCGCAGAACACACTATCCTCGCTTGTGTCCGAGAACGCACCTTCTTCCTCTTCTTCGCTCATCTCTTCTTCTTCTTCATTTCTCTTCTTTCTCAACACTTTGATGCCTTTTCCTTGAAGAGAGAGCCTTCTTCGTTTTCTTGCTTTTCTTTTCCCTTTGGGAAACTCTTCTCCTTGAGACTGATGTTGCTGATTCAGTTGCTTCCTTCCTCCCTTGCTGCTTTCGTTCTCATCTGACTCATCCTCTGCTGCATCAAGCTTGCGTTTCTTTTTCCCCGAATTAGTCTGAAACAACCACAAAAAACACAATGCTTATTCGAGGTCATCATTATTACATGTGGAAGACAACAGAAAAGAGTCAGAGTTAAGCTAAAACCTTGGGGCCACGATCAACCAGACGAGCCCACTCATGCCTATTCCTTAGGCAATCCAGAACAGCCTGTGAATGGCTTGAATAGGCATATCGTTCCCCGTTATGTTTCCTCAGGTGAGGCCAATGCTGCAAGAAAGAAACCAACAACATATTAGAATAGCTATTGTGTGACAAAAAATGACCAGAGGTTGATATGTTTGAAATAGGAATATTTGGTAAGAAGGCATTATACCGGCAAGACAGCGTTACAGAGCTCCTCATACGTCATCCTTTTGCCTTTGCTCATGATTTCATTGATTAAGCCCGGCAAAGTTCGATGCACTGGAGTACCGTTATTCCTTGGGGAACTGTTTGGAGAAGGCTTACTGTGCTCATTCAACTCGTTGGATGAACACGGTCCGCTACTTGTGCTTGTAGTCGAGTTTGGTGGGAGAAGTACTTTCCGAGAGGAGTAAGAAGAGGGTTTTGGAGTTTCATTTTCCTCCCCTTTCGTACTCAAACTCCCTCCTCTGCTTCCACTGTCTCGGTGTGCCCTCCAATCAGGAGAGCGACGCGTTTTGGTACTCCTCGTGCTACATCTGTCATCATCACGGATGTTGCGCGATCCTTCTTTGGATGCGTCCTTGTTTTTTCTTCTGGAAAACTAGCCAAATAGATACATAATCAGCCAACAAGCTTGAGCCTAAAGCGAGAATCGACTTAAAAAGATAAGAATGGAAACTATATCATACCGTTGTTTGATCCTTGCTACCGGAACTAGAAGAACGCTTAAAACTAGTAGCGGTTGGAGACAGGGGCAAGCTACCAGGCTGTCTCATGCGTGGGACACGAGGAACTCGAGGAGAACTGTTGAGTTGATGGTGCAGTCTTAATGCAAGCTGGCCATCAATGAAAAAACAAGAAAAAATGTCAAACCGTAGGCAAAGAGGGAAGACGAACGAAAAGGGAATGGATAATATCTCACACACCTCTTCATCGCTAATATTTGGGGTAAGGGATATCAAAGACTGCACAGAGTTCTTAGTTGGTGGCTGCAATGTTGACTGTCCAGGCTTTTCATTTTTCTGGAAGGTCCCTGAAAGCGAATGTTTACCCGGAGACTCGAGAGAATCACCATTAACCCGAGCTGCTGAAGATGCCTTTGAAGAAGAGGAAGACTCTCTTTTCTTGGAAACTGAAGAATGTGAAGTACGGTTTTGCTGCATCGATTTCGTAGAGGTAATGGAGAATTTAGGTTGTTCCTTCGGATCTTTCTCTGAAGGTATATCATCCCCATTTCTCTCTTGGATCACATCACTGGACACACAGTCCTCATCATTAGCATTGGCATTAGTATCACCACCACTTGTTTGTTGCTTCGAGCTAGGAATAGAATTCCTGGAAGTTGAGGGCTTAGGCTTGTCGTCGCACCTTGTAGACTTGTCTGACGACGATTTTCCAATGGATACAACCATCTTAGGCCTGGCATATACTGAAAACGTGTGTGGAACAGGTCTGCAAGGCTTTGATGGCTTTGTTTCCAGAATATCTTTTTCTTCTCGTTTTACTTCAGTAGCTCTGTCCTTATTGCCACTACTTATTCCTTCTGATGCAATATCATCAGGCTGCGGTTTGTGATCATCAGGAAGTGAACTGCTTGGTGTCGTTTTGTTAAATTCCGAAGCTTCAGATATTTGAGATGTAGAGGTCCCTGAAACTTTAGAATCAATAGGGTCCACAGTCCGCTGGCCTACGGCTTCACCAACACCCGCTTTAGCCATTTCTTTTTGGAATTTGTTCTTCCTAGAACTGATTTTCCGGCTGATAGTATCACAATTCCTCTCGTCAACTTCTCGTGTTATACCAACCACGGAAGGCTTCTGGGAACTTTCAGGAGAATCATCTGCATTATCTTCTGGAGCATCAGCTATTGTGTCCTGCCTCTGTAAAACAAGCAAACGTCCTCGTTACATTAGTTGCTTCCCCACTGTTATCACAAGCCAGACTAATATCCTTTCAACAAAAGTTCAAAAAGAAACAAATTTTACAACACCAGATTTGTCCTACGCTAATTCAAACAGTTGCTGCAGTCTACTCATTACACAAAGTATTCATCCAGTTACTCATTACAACTCCACCTTAGGCTTTTTGAGAAGAGCATGTATATCCAAGAGATCAAACAACTTTAACTTAGACCACCTTGACACTAATTACTTGAAAGACCTTCAATATCCGTTGCAGGATAGACCCCGTAGGATAAAACGTTACTGATCTAATAGAGGATAATTTAAAAGTAACTTGCGTATTTGTATAAGTCTAAGCGAAATAAAGACATACCTCCTCCTTATTGGCCTCATTGTGTGGACCATCTTTTCCTCCGAGGACAGAAGAATCATTAGTTGAAGAGCTCTTAAGCACAATTCGGAAATGCTGGCCAGCTTTCTCTTCCTGTTTTCCAGCACCATTAGCATGAACGTCAGAAAGATTCTGCTCTCTGGAGCATTCAACACCAATTTCTGTATTACCAGATTCAGCACCGCCATTTCTCTGAGCAAGGCCACCATCAACAGGTTCCTCAAAAGCAGCTTTCTTGGACTTCTCTGTCTTTGTGATCCCACCGTCGCCAGTAAAACCTTCTGCTTCTACGTCCTTACGAGATTTTGATGGTTTAGAATCACTGCTAGGTCGAGCTGCTAGCAATTTGAAAACAACAAAAGAAATAAACTTAAGAACAATGGATATAAGATTCATGATGTGAGGCACATAAGGTCCAAAAAAGTTGTTCACTGACCTGTTTTACCGACAAAACGTTTCTTAACATCCTCTTCTTTGTCTGCAACTTCAACCTTTCGCTTCATCCGCTCTCTTGAAGCTCCAAACAGTTCTTTCCTTCGTTTATTGGTAATCAAAGGACGGAGCAACCTCTTATCCTTCTTCTGCGAATGTTTCATCTCCGCTTCACCAGAGTCCCAACTTTTAACATCTTTAGCACAACCAATCTTCACGCCATTGGTTTTCTTCTCATCAAGGCTCCTCATTGCAACCAAAGCACTCGCAGGAGCAGCGACCATATTCTCCTTCGACATAGAAAACAAAACACCTGCACCGTTCTCCTCCTGATACTTGCCTTCAATCTCATACTTTTCTTCCTCATCCCAGCATGGAAACTCTCTGTACTTCAAGTTAAACTTCTTCGGCACATAACCAGTACACTTCCACAGCTCCCTGGAGAACACCGACGACAATCCGGCAAAGAGAGACGGATCTCCGCCGGGGATTCCCTGCACATGAACCTTTTCTCCTTGCACATGAACTGTCTCTTCAGTCGGGATCTCTTTCCATAACCTAAAAGGTTGCTTCAGAGGTACATTCCGGTTACAGTGATTCTCCATCCTCAAGGTCTTGGTGGGCAATTCAACCAACAGCTGAGCAACCTCAGTCTCTTCACTGTCCATAACGTTGTTCTTGCTCTTACACTTGTCGCAAGTGAAGAGCTTTTCTCCTTTAACGTAACGTGAGCAACGAGTATGCACCCAAACCCCACAATCATCACAATTCACCATCTCTTCTCCATCATCAAAATTCACACCGCAGACGCAATCAACGGTCCATGATTCGTCAACCCAATCCTCGTGAGGATCCGTGCTCGAGAATCGGTACGACCTTCCTTTCATCTCTCACACTCTAATCTAACAAACCCTAAACCCCCAAATTCTCTCTCTTTCTTCGCCTAACTACACAGAACAAGAAGCCATGAAATGTAAAAAACCCTACTTTTTATAGTTTTTTGTGAACCGATTCGTCTAATCTAACAAACCCTAGGAATCAAATTCGCTTATTACTCAAATTCGAACTCGAGGATTTCGAAGAACAAGATCCAGTATCACCTGGCGGAAATAGACTCGAGACTCTGAGAGAAACTCAAACTCGACGCATGCATCTCCGGTTCCGGCGGTAGTAAGCAGCGAAGCTAGTATATTGGCGGCGGCGAAGAGATTCCGAAATCCAAAGGATATAATGGAAGTGGTGTTTGATTGTCGGAAGCGGAGCTGAACCAAGAAAGCTGCTAATTTTCCGTCTGAAGTCCGTCGCTGGCAATTAATCAAATTTAATTTACCGTCTGAAGTCCGTCAAACTCTTCTGGGCTTTGATATTACTATGGGCCGGGCTTAGACTATTTTCCTTTTCGTCAACAAAAGTTTCATTAGAGCCTAAAATAGGTAGTAGTGTATAACTTGCCAAGGGCTACAGTGGTCCCATTATTTTTGGAAAGCCTTCAAAAACCAAATGTCAAACAAAACCAAGAAAAAAAGAAAAGCGTAATATCTTTTTTTTTAAATTTGTATTTTCGCTGTTTACATTTGTATTACCATTTCTTACCATGATTTTTTACTATTTATAATTATGTTATTTTTTAATTCAAATAATCATTTTCGTCTTCCATTAACCTAATTTCAAAAGAAGAGAAAAGTCATTAATGATAATCAAACAACAGTTTTCAAAGTGAAGATTGTATTAATTTTAATAAAGACAAACAATGTAGAATTTTTGTCTTTTGAGCAAATTTGATTTATTTAGATCAATCTATGTAGAGTTTTTAAAAATTCCTACAATCTAGCTGTCGTCCGGAAATAAACTTGAAAAGAAAGTAGACACTGTGAGCTTGATTTCTCTCCATTGCGGTCGGATTCTTCGTTATCCAGTCACCTGGAGTTTTTTCACCGCTGTAAAACGCAAAAACAAGTAAAAGTAAGTAAATCATTTCTAATTGCTCAACAAATCCTTACTTAATCAGTCTGATCAAATCCCATTTATTAACAACCGATCCTCTGATTATAACTCTTAATTCTCTTTTCTTCTTCCTCTCTCTCTCTCTCTCTCTCTCCTTTTTCCTCCTTGTAGAGAGCACCTTATGCTGATTCCTTTCCTTCTCCTCCTCAAATCGTGAACCGATCGGACAATTCCCTGCGAAATTTTCGATTTTGATTACTGGGCAATTTAGCTTTTTTCTCTTTGCTGTTATCATCTGATCATGGCGGTTGTTGAGAGTGGAGTTGGTGGTGCTGTTGCTGCTGCTGCTGATGCAGGAGTCGTGATCCAGCCGCCTTCTTCGCCAACAAGTCAAGACTCCGGCGTATCGTCCGACGATCAGAACCATCACTCGTCGTCAAGGATCGAGCTTGGCGGCCAGATTCTCCGACACGATCAAGGTGGTCTCTACAGCAAGATCGGGTCCCACGTGGCGAGATCCGACGGCGCGGATGGTGGAGAGAGCTACAAGCGTGACATGAGGGAGCTTCAGGAGCTTTTCTCCAAGCTCAATCCCATGGCTGAAGAGTTTGTTCCTCCCTCGCTGACTAAACAAGGTGGTAACGGAGGAATCAACGGTGCTAACGGTGGTTTCTTCACCTCCGCTGGTTCCTTTTTCCGCAACGGTAACGCTAACGGTGGTTTCTTCACCTCTGCAGCTCCGCTGGCTACGGTAACGAAAACGGCGGTTTCCGACGGGTAAGAGACACCATTCGCCGTCAATTGTGTAACTTCGATTATGTGATCTTTGTGTGTATTGAGGTTTAGTTTCACCGAATTGTCTTAGGGTTTTGTGTTGTCTTCAATCTAGGATTCATTTTCGTTGTGGATCTTCAAAAAAGTCATCTTTTTGATTCCTGAAACTATCTTTATATCCATAGCATTCGTCTGATTGTGTGTGTGTGGTGTAGAAGAAGAGCTTTGGTCAAGGGAAACGGAGGATGAATGCTCGAACAAGCATGGCTCAGCGAGAAGATGTCATTCAGGAGAACTGTCTATGTCTCTGATCTCGATCAACAGGTTGAAAAAAAAAATCAAACCTTTACTCTCTAATCTATGATTGTTCTGAGACTTTTCTCATCTTTGACTTTCTCTTGTGTGTGTGTGAATAGGTCACTGAAGAGCAGCTTGCTGGTTTGTTTGTGAACTGTGGGCAGGTTTGATAATATCCTCTTAAAGCTCTGATCTTTGCTGTGTTTGTGTGTGTTTACTTTACTGTGTTTTGGTTGTGAGCAGGTTGTTGACTGCCGCATATGTGGTGACCCAAACTCAGTCCTACGGTTTGCATTCATCGAGTTCACTGATGAAGGTATTACAATTCGTTTACTCGTGAGCAGTTTTGAAGAATCAGTGGTCTTGTGCTTAAGTGTGTGTTTTTTTCTTTCTCAGAGGGTGTGATGACTGCTCTGAATTTATCCGGGACTATGTTGGGATTCTATCCTGTGAAGGTTTTGCCATCCAAAACAGCTATTGCGCCGGTGAATCCGACGTTCTTACCAAGGGTGAGATTTTCTTGTCCAATGCAAAAGTCTCTGACGTTCCTGAGACTCGGAGAATGATTGTTTTTGTTGTTGTTGTTGTGGTTGCAGACTAAAGATGAGCGTGAGATGTATGCAAGAACTATCTACTGCACTAACATTGACAAGAAGGTAACTCCCTTCAAATTGATTCACTTTCAGCTTTGATGATGAAAGTATCTCCCTTTTCAAAACGTGTGCTTTTTGCTGTGTTTAGGTGACTCAATCAGACGCGAAGGTCTTCTTCGAATCCTTCTGTGGAGAGGTGAACAAACTTCTTGTACTAGTAGTTGCTTCTGCAAAGTTGTTTCCTTTTTGTGTGCAAACATTGAACTAATTAGATGCTGTTAAATAAACAGGTCTACCGTCTAAGGCTTCTTGGAGATTATCAACACTCTACTCGTATTGCTTTTGTAGAGTTTGTGATGGTAAGCATAAAAGAGTTTCTCTTGATGAATCTGCTTGGCATTATGATTCTCGAATGTCTTGTGTCAGCTTCTGAGTAAGCGATTTGTGTTTATTCGCAGGCAGAGAGCGCGATAGCAGCGCTAAACTGCAGTGGAGTTGTTCTAGGTTCTCTACCGATAAGGTCAGAGAGAAAACAAAAACCAATCTCTTAGAAATTACTGAGGTTGAGAGTTCTTGGCTGAGCCTTTTGTTGTGTTTGTTTTGTAATCTCAGGGTGAGTCCTTCAAAGACGCCTGTTCGTCCGAGATCACCGAGGCATCCAATGCATTGATCTTAGGGTTACACAGGTTGTGTTGTTTGTTCACATATGTGTTATTATATATTTTATATATATATATGTCGCTCTCTCTTGCGAAACAGCAATACACAGACATGTAAAGATGTGTTTGTCTGCATCTCCTGGTCTTCTTGTTTTCGGAATGTAACTCTGGGATCTGATGATGTTTCGTCTTCATTTTCTTGCCTGAGAATGTTTTTGGGTTTTAGAGAGTTTTCCATGTCACACACTCTTTTAAGAGAAAGAGCTTTAAACATAGCAAATAACACTCTCTTTCCACAGGAGTTGTTGTTGTAGTTTAGTATTGAAAATTTTACTTTTCTTAAAGTGGAGTATTATTGTTTCGAGAAAGTTTGGGGGAAAAAAGGCTTTTATGTCAAAGACTGATCAAATTTGGTGTTCTTTTTGTCAGTTCTTAAACTATCTTAAAGTCAGGTCAACTTTGGGAAAGTCCGAGAAATAATAAACAATCTAGTTCGGTGGTTTTCTGAATTTGTGACGTCATGAGATACGAAATATGGTCTATGTACAAACTACAAAGTGTGAACTCAATGATTTGTACAGTTCGAGACTACTCTCTCTTCTCTCTTCTGTTTCTGTGATTTTGTTTTTTTCGTTGGAGGATATTGAAGCAAGAATTTATCTTATAACAATGAGAAATTGATATTCATGGATCCATCCAAGTGTTATTGATACATGTATACAACGTGCGAGTATTTAATTATGATCCGATCCACCTAGACAGATCCATTCGGTCAAGGTAGAAAAGTCCATTTTGCATGCTGGCGAATTTACTTTTTTTTCCCCTAGAGGTTATCTTTCATATGTTGCTTAACATCAAATGTTGAAATATGTCCTATAGCTGTTAGGTTAAAAGTAAACCACACATCTTGAGATAATTAGTATGTTTAACTACACAAACTATATGCTTAGCATAAGGATATGTATACAAATATCACATGTTATATGGCTAACTCCATAACCATCGATCCTGATGTTGGAACAATGTATCAGAAATTTCAGAATACGGATTCTTGCCCCACCCGATTAACTTTCAGTTATGCCAATTAAAATACCCAAACCCAAAGTAACAGTTCCAATTAAAAACCTACCTGCTTGGAAAGAAGAAAAAAAAACAAAAACCTCTACATGTAGGTTTTTTTTTTAAAAAAAAAACCTCAATTAACATGTTTTTGGTTGTATAAGTTAAAATATTTTCTATTTAAAAAGGAGGCTTTGAGTTTTTTTTTTATATAAAAGTAAAATTAGTGCTTTTAAAAGAAATAAACCTCTCTAGAGTACTCACATCTCTTAAATTATTCTCAGTGAAATTTTATGGTTAATTAATGCAATACTAAGTTTTTTGTTGGTTTGTCTCCATCTCTTCAAGCAAAGGAGTCTCTTTCTGCATGAGAAAAAAAAACAAATATGTGCACAAGCAACGATTAAATCATTTCATAAAAGTCAATTTCAATTTAAAATAAGTAAAAGAGTCTGTATTAAAAACATCAAATCCTCTGCAAAAGTGGAAAAATAATTCAAAGTCGAATATATGCTAAATGAATATCTTCACGTTAATTCCAAGTAAAAGTATACACCAACAATTTAAAAATGATTTGATTGAGAATGTATATTGCAAAATTTTGGCATATCACAAAGTAAATATTAGAGCCAAGTTAGTTTTTTTTTTTTCGAACAAAGGCTTCTAGAGCCAAGTTAGTTTTATTTTTTTCAAACAAAGGTTTCTAGAGCCAAGTTAGTTATATTCTGAATCATCATCGTTTTAATATGTTCAGGTTGATTGGTGGTAGCTGTGGTCTGTGGATGTTGTGCAAAACTCTATTTCTCTCCACAACAAAACAAAATAATCAACCAATCAAATGACACAATTCGATATGTTTAGAAATGAACGATTGTTTAATTTTTTTTTATTAAAAATTTCAAACTAAACTTAAAAAAAAACAAAATAATGGAGGTGCTCTAAAATCTAAACACAGTTTTCAGACATCCACAATTCATGGCTTCCTCTTTTAATTTATAACCGAAGATCATATTAATTTCATTACTACTACAGTTAGTTAGAAGTGCCACGCAAAATGTGTTGTTCCACACATAGAGAGACCTTTTCTTTTTCAATCTCATCCCCATTTTCATATAATCAAATGAGCTTTAAATTGTTTTCAGATTAGCTATGGGCACACACACATTACACATCACCTTCAATCTCTGGTCAATTCTGTGACAAGACTGTGTCCACTGTATGATTGCTACACCATTAAAAGCCATTCAATATCAAGTAAAGTAGTCCCAGGCAAACCTACCACTTATTTTCTCCACCATACATTACCGAATTTGCAGATAAAGTTAGTTTTTATCTATACATAAAAACCAATTTCAATGAAAATTAAACACACACCAATTATTATAACAATGTACATAAATTTGACGTGACACTGATTAGGCTTACCAAATCCGTAATTGAATGGTTGATGTAACAGTGATATTGCAAAGGAAAAATAAAGAGTTCACAATTCTTTTTTCTTTTAGACTTTTAAGTTCACAAATCTTATGTGAAGTTCGTTGGAACACAAACAAATTTAAGACATGAAATATAAGTTAGTTAGTTGAAACACAAACAAATTTAAGACATCATCGGCTGAATCGGTCCTTAAGGAACCGGAGAGGATGGTTGGATTTCAAGAGTGGGAATAACATTTTGGTGGTTAATGTATAGAGATTTGTGATATCAATCTTATCAAAACCCACCTCTCTCGGGTGTTATTGACTCGATTTGGATATTTATATATACATGTGACTCAACATCCTCACTATATTTAGACATATATAGATCTCATTTTCGTATATATAGAGCTATACTCCTTGAAAACAATTCTAATACAATAGAAAACACGACGGAGATGGCTGATACTCAAGGGAAGGTCATCACTTGCAAAGGTAAGTAAACTACTCACCAATGTGTTTGTTTCTTATCACTACGATGATGATTAGTATGGTAACAATGATATATGTAATGTGATGTATGTAGCTGCTGTAGCATGGGGACCAAAGGAGCCCCTTGTAATACAAGAAATATGCGTAGATCCTCCTCAGAAATTGGAAGTCCGAGTTAAAATTCTCTATACTTCCATTTGCCACACCGATCTTGGAGCTTGGTCCGGCGTGGTAATGCACCTATAATCATTAGCAAACGTGCTTCTTGATAAAATTTGTAATCTAAGCATAATTAATATCATTTCTTTGTGTATGTATAAAAGAACGAAGCTGAACGAGCATTTCCAAGGATTCTTGGCCACGAAGCTGTCGGGTATATTCCACATTATTATCGCGATTTTTAACTATTAAATCCTAACCGTGATGCTAATCTTAACGATTTTTAACTTTTCTATGTTTTGGGGATCGATATAATAGGGTGGTGGAAAGTGTAGGAGAAGGAGTAAAAGATGTTAAAGAAGGAGACTATGTGATTCCGGCTTTCAATGGAGAATGTGGTGAATGTAGAGTGTGTACGCAAGAAGAGAGTAATCTCTGTGAGAGATACAAAGTGGATCCAATGAAGAGACTGATGGTTAGTGATGGAGGGAGGAGATTCTCAACAACAACAAACAAGGACGGTGGTTCATGCGAGAGCCAACGAATTTATCACTTCCTTAATACTTCAACGTTCACAGAATACACCGTCTTGGACTCGGCTTGCGTCGTCAAGATCGATCCTAATGCTCCTCTTAAGCAAATGAGCCTCTTGAGTTGTGGTGTCTCCACTGGTTAGTTACACAAATTTACTCATATATATAGCAATAGAATTCATTGGTTTGGGTCCATATAAATAATCTTGAATATTGATTTTTTTTTGGATTTTGGAATGACAGCATAATATAGTGTGTTTGTGGGAGTAGCTAGGTAACCAAAGAGAAGATAGGACCTTGGTTTCCAAAACACCATTTATTTCTCTTTTCCAAACGTAGTTACTTCTCTTTGTCTCTTCCAAATAAATTTGGATCTCTAATAAATGACATGATACGTATCAATTAGACAACAATTGTAGAAATTATAGTGTCGTGGTTCGCTGACCACCTTAAGTATACAAATTTTATTATTTTCAAATGGTAAAATCTAACTAAGTGGTAGTGGTCTATTAGTTTTTCATTTGAAAAGAGTTGTCCTAAAAGTCTAGGCCAATGATCAATTTCTATCAAGCCTAGAATTATCTAATCATTAATCTTATTTGATCAGTTGAAATGTTGTCATGTTTTATAGGGGTAGGAGCAGCTTGGAACACTGCCAAAGTGAAGGAAGGAAAAACCACTGCTGTCTTTGGATTGGGCTCGGTTGGACTCGCTGTAAGATTGAAATTTAATTAAGTAATTCAGAATCCCAATTATAAATTAATTACACCTTTATTTCTATATATACACGAAGTCAAAATGATGATAAAAACATTACATGAATGTGAACTGAAAGGTGGCTGAAGGTGCGAGAGCTAGAGGAGCTTCTAGGATCATTGGTGTTGATGCTAATGCTTCCAAATTTGAGAAAGGTATTTTTATGTTTTCTTTTCATAAGTATGCCCAAGATTTTATTTGGTGTTTTTCTTGGCTTAGAAACAAATTAATTAAATTGAAATGTCATCTATTTCTAGTTCGAATTCTCAAATAAATAATGAATTATTGCAGGTAAACTGATGGGAGTAACAGACTTCATAAACCCTAAAGACTCAACTAAGCCAGTACATGAGGTACTATCATATTTATAACACGACAAATGATCAGTACAATAACTAATAACTGAGTATTAACTGATTTTAATTGACCGTTGTGATGCATCAATAAAGATGATACAAGAGTTAACAGGAGGAGGCGTGGACTATAGCTTCGAATGCACAGGAAACGTTGATGTTCTTCGTGAAGCCTTTTTATCTACTCACGTCGTAAGTCCTTTATTAATATATATCAATCAAGATCGATGGTTAACTTGTTAACTTGATTTATAAGTTACTTGAGCAAGAAGTAAGTGTGGAAAATTAATCCGATGATAGGGTTGGGGATCGACGGTGCTAGTAGGAATATATATGACGCCAAGAACATTGCCTCTTCATCCAATGGAGCTTTTCGATGGCCGTACAATCATTGGTTCTATTTTCGGCGGTTTCAAGCCCAAATCTCAACTCCCAGATTTTGCTCAACAGTGCATGAAAGGGGTCTGTCTCTTAAATTTTAATCTCTAGCTATACATTCTATAAAAAAAAATCATTTAACGTTTTGAAGGGATTAATATTGTTTTTTTTTTTTTAAATGTAGGTTGTGAAGTTGGAACCTTTTATTACCAATGAGCTTCCGTTTGCGGAGATAAACGATGCTTTTCAGCTGCTCCGCGATGGAAAATCTCTTCGATGTATTCTTCAAATCGCCAAATGATTCTAAACTTTACTGCATTATCTATTATTTTAATCGTATCCATACTTATATATATATATATATATATATATATATATATTTCATCAATATATAACACGATGTTAACCATTATTTGTGCTCAAGAATTATTTGATACTATAAATTATTAATTAAACCCAAATGATGTTATTATGTTGATATAAAAAAAAATTCAGTCGATTTTGTTATATAGTGTTTAAAAGAATCTGAGTTATAAGCTAACCACAAAGGTAAGCCACATAGTCTAACTAATAAGTCAAAGAATTTGATTTATCATAACAAAGTAATATTTTAATTGGAACTATGTGTGGATGTCTCTTTCTATACAAATCTAAAACTCGCAATATTCTGTCTAATCTAATTTTGTCGTATAACTCTGATTTGATTTGTATCACAAAAAATGCAATTTAATTCGTGGCCCGTGCATGCTACATGTAATAAAACTATTCAAATAACTACGTACATAATTCGTAAATTCAAATATAATCAGAAAGTGGGAATTACGTCAGTATGAGCATGGGATTACATGACTAACAGACTCCTGTCGGAATTGCTTGACATGCAAACTTTCCTCTGCTTCACCAACCAATTCAGTTTCACTTATTTACTACTGGCTGCATTTGTTAATTAATGAAGCACTAATTGGTTAATCATTTCAAAACCTTATTAATTGGAAAAGTATTTGTACTCTCTTTCTGCCTCACCACTCACACCAAATGCAACTACAACCATAACTGATAAGTTAATCGCATTCAAATTTATTGGAATTTGGTGCAATTGATATTTGAATGCACATGGGTTCCAGCTCAAAACTCGTACTCTGAGTCCACCTTGCAAACTCTATGTCTAAGCTCTAACTCTAAATACGAAAGGAGAGGAGGGACAAGGGCGGTCTTGCTTGGCGCGAAGGCTGCTGGTTTGGGGGTACGGTACTAAAGGTCTTCGGACTTCCAGGCGGCCTTTATCCAGGGGATAATTATTTAAGGCTGTTCCATCTTTTTTTCCGGGAATCGTGTTACATAGACCCAAAGACTCATTGAAACAGATATGGAATATAAAGTTTTCAATTTCTATCGAGTTTACCTAGTAACTTCTTGATCTGAACTTCAGTTTACGACCATCTTCTGAACTCCACATTAGTATGCAATCGTGAAACCATCTGGGAAATCTCAATCCTAGAGGAGCTTGCAGATGAAATTACTTATCCAAGTAAAGTAGTTTATTCAGAGAACTAACGCTAATTGTTCGTCTTGAACCTCATATATGGAAAAAAAACACCTCATATATGGTTGTATTTACAAAAAAAAAAAAAAAAAAAAAAAAAAAAAACATATTTAAAAAGAAATATTAATTATACTTTAGCTTTAATTTGAATGTCTGATTTATTTTCTTCTTTTATTTAGGGACCATGTAAATTATTTTTTATGATAAGTTTTAATTAATAACATACATGTGAACATTGTGAATGATTTAACAAAAGAGACTGATCAAATGATCGATCCATATCAGTATATATGGGAACAAATTACGAGGTAAAACTTCATATTCAACTCAATTAAAATTAGAATAAAGAAATGGCAAAAAGTGAGAGAACGAGAGGTCAAATGTGGTTAATCATTATGTGAGTATTAGTTAATCCATCAATTTTCTACCCAAAAGCATGATTAAGCATAGAATTTAGAGAAATGAAACATCATTATTAGTGTTGAAACACAAAGTTCCCATCAACAGACAAATGATAAGCACAGTGCTTGTAGGGTAACAACTTTAATGAACAATTGTATAATTAAAATGGACTAAAATGCAATTGCTCCAGCCTCCAGCATAATATTTTCGTATGCTTGATTCCCATAATATTATACTGCTGACAAAGAAAATTTCCACAAGTCCAAAGTTGAACATAAATACATATTTTTATTAAAAGGCTGAACGTATTGTAAACATACATTTGCTTAAATAATTGTTGCTAATTCATATACATATGTGTAGATAATCCAACCATCGCCTTTTTAGTTGTGAGTGGATATTCCAACCTGTCTCTCCCACTTTCCTAATCTCTGTAATTATTTCTTTTTTAAGATATTTCAATTTCTTAAGGAATCGTGTTTAAATATCATGGAAAACAATTCGAGTAAATCTTAAAAAACATAAGAATAGTTAACCTCTGCATAATTTCTCTTTATTACATTGAGCCACATAATTTTTTTCTCTCTTTCTAGCTATATATATATATAAGAACTTCGATTACTTCATATTGACTGAAATATCAAGTGTTTAACGAGTTCCCAATCTCAATGCATATAGCTAGTTTGAAATATACATGCGTTGGGGGCTGGGCAAGTGGGCAGAGATGAATGATGATGTAATGAATGTTAGATCTGAGATAGCACTCGTCAAGACGGGCTATCAAAGATGTGAGTTTAGGAAACTGGAATGCTTAATTCGACTCTTAGATTATCAAGAAATTACAAGAGAGCAATCTCGCTAACAAGCCTAGCGAGATTATGGTGATGAACAAGAGGATAGAGTAAAAGCTAATGTGAAAGCCTAGTGATTCTAGATGATTTCGGATCCCTTTTCCATGGGGGGTCTTCAATATATATGTTGATAAGTCGGCCGACGATGAATATTCTCCTTCAGGCGAGATGGAAAACTTCCTCTTTTGCGATATGGAAAATTCCCTCTTGTTTTTGGATCTTTTTCCATTCTTTAAGTCGGCATGAAGATTTATTTACATTTCTCCATGGATTGTGCCTTTCTCTTCAAGTCTTGCCTTTTTCTTGAAGATGTTAGGCCTAAAATCGGATTGGGCTTTGTGACTTTACTAATGATGACGGGCTCAGGGAAATGTGCTAATTTCTCCTCTAACAATAAGTCCCCCCGCCAGCTCGGCAGGTCAAATGTAGTTTGATCTCGGCGAGCTTCATGAATAGAGGACGAGCTTGAGAATCATTAGTAAAATACATCACTTCAATCGGATCTTAGTGCCTAGGTGCATGCTGAATGTAGATTCGTGCCGCCTCATTAAAACCTTGGTACGGAAAAACCCAATTGGGACAAAAACCATAAAAAGGAAAAAGAGTACGTTGACGTCATCTAATTCATGAGTAATTGCTTCGAATGATTTTTGCCGCGACCAAAAATGCTTTCTTTCGTAGAAATCAGTAATGGGTTTTAATCGGCCCATGATCTGGTCGAGTTTTTGGTGAAATCGTTTGGGCGGGAACAGGAAAAAGTCTCGGAGAAGCCTTCTCTTCTAAGAATCGTGGAATTCTTATTTAAGGAAACGATTAGGATTTCCTAGGGTGCTTATTCCTTTTTCGTGATACCGATTTCACCAAGTGCCCTTCGAGGGAGAGCGAATATCTCTTTGCTGCCCTGGCCTGCATTTCCTTCCTTCTACCTTATTCTTTCGCGCTTTCGATGGCACAAATCGAGATTAGTTCATCGATGTCGACGTCGGCCCTTGAGCATAATGCTGTTCCCAAGGAGATTTGCGAGACGGTGGGTTTGGCGAAGGCGATGAACTCATCCGTTAAAGGGGAATCCGAGGTTCTAAACGGGGAATGCGGCGACCGTTCTTGCGAGGGAATTCCGCACGAGGATACGGGATCCGATCCTGAGCTCGGTGAGGAGAAAGTCCCTGATTGCGCTAGGCTCGATGGTATCCCTCAAAAGATTGAGATGCCGTGGAGATCATCGTCAAGATCTCTGGCTCGGGATGGTCAATCGGGGATGACCGAAGATATAGTCATCGCTTTGCGGGAGAGGGTGGGAATCAGTGACGCGGTCAAGATTCTCGTTCCCTTACCTGACCAAAGGCCGATGGACGCTCCACCTGGATGGTTTTGCCTCTACGAATGCTTCCTCACGGAGTTTGGAATACGTTTTCCGGTCCTCCCGTTACTTCTCGAGTATGCGTATGAGCGGGGTGTAGCGTTGAGTCAGCTGACCCATGGTGTAGTGCGGCATATGGTCTTCTCGGCCGCTCTGGCGAAGGCAGCCGGGATGAAGCTAGACAGGGAGCTCTTTGAGCGTATAACTGATCTTCGTGCTGGGGTTAAGGAAGGAGGTTTCAAGCGTTTCCACACATCGATGAAACATGACATCGTTTTTGGTGATCATCGAACGAAGATTCATCACTGGACGCGCTACTACTTTTTTGTCAAGGTCGACCGTGCTTCGGTCGGGGATTTCGATCCTAGTCACGTCTTAACAGAATGGGTCCAGGAGCCAGGCAAAGTGGTTGTGAATTCTTCCTTATTTTTAGGTTGCTTCGTATGCTAACTTACGCCCCCATTATCTATATGCAGGAAGGATTGTCCCAAGGAAAGTAAATACTACTCTAAAGGAGAAGTTTAGAACTTTACGCGACTTGAGTAGAGAGACTTGGGCGGATGCGTTTGCCGAGACCGAAAGGAAGAAGAAGGAAAAGAAAGGAAAGGCTATTGCTATAGCGATTCCTCTCTGGTGAGTGTTTGATCATCGCCTTTGAATTTTTACGCCTGGTCCGGCTTTAAATTGCGCTCCCTGATGTCTTCCAGATAAGTTGCCGGGTGTTGCTAGGAAGACAGGCTTAAGGAAAAGGGCTCCGGCTTTGGTGGATGATGATATCCTGATTTCTGATCCTCTATCCAAGCGGATGAGGTCAGATTCTGCGAGCTAGGTGATCTTCCTCAGTCACTGGGGTCTCTTGGGGGCGTCACCAGTGGCGATTTCTCTTCTCGGACTGTCGTGGCTTCTACTGGTCAGGGCGGGGATATGAGTATCCTGGAGTCTGGAGGTGACGGGGTGATGGGTTCCGCCGGGATAGACTCCGATGCTGTCTCCTTTAAGTGGAAAGGTGGTGCTCCTTTAATGGATAATGGCGACTTTAGTGGAGAGATGGTTTGGGGTTGCAAACCTAAGCCATGCTGGGGGGTTCCGCGTGGTGAGCTTGAGTTCAAGGTGCTTTCGATGAGGCTTCTAATAATCTTATTAGAGCCGGAGGGAAGTTTGCTGCGTTGATTCAACTTTATGACGGGCGCTCAAGGGTGCTCGGAGCGGAGTTGATCAAATTAAAGCCGATTTGTTTGATAACTTTGATGGTGATGCGGCTGCAGTTAGGTTTCGAGAAGAAAAGATTGCTTTTGAAAAGAAGATAGAAGCTCTCAAAGGTGAGGTTGCGAAGGTGTTTGGCCTTGAGGTTGAAAATAATCAACTTCGGGACAAAATTACGCAACTGGAGGATAAAGCCGTCGGGACATGGAAAATCGATTGCCGAGATGGCTCGTCTTCGCAAGTCCCGGAAGAAGTGGGCTGAGTTGACGGCTGCTCAAGTGTACGAATCAATGCATAATTGGTATACTCCGAGGTTGGACCGTATAGGTAGATACGTCAGTCAGCGGGATGCAGTGGAGAAGGCGGTGATTAGGATTCAAGTCGACGAGGCTCTTCTTTCCTATGTCAGGAAAATAAAGGGGGTCGAGCAGGATTTTGATGCGGTGGAGAAGATGCTTGCGGCCCGGTTGCGGGAGAGTAAGGCCGCCGGAGACTTGGTCGAGGATGACGAAGTTGAAGCTGATGACTATGCTCCGCCCTAAGGTTAGATCTCGTTTTCATCTTGCTGAATTTTGCTTTGACAGCGCATGGATTGTTCCACGGAATTTTGATCAATATGGGTCAATATATCGAACTTTCAGGCCTACCCTAGCTGAGCTGGCGTTTCCGGGATCCCCATCGCGTCATCAATCGAAGTAGCGGAGAGGTGAAGTCGAAATTATCTTTCTTTTTTCTCTTTTGATAGTTTCCCATTTGCTTTTATCGTGACAATTACCCGGGAGGGCTTTTATCCTTAAACTTTGGGTTTAGTTTTGGACGTTATTTGGTGCTTTATTTGCTGCTTTGTTGGCGAAACAAATTGGCTTAGACATAGTTGATAATTTCACAGCGCGATGAAAGAACCCAGCTTTAGGCCATGTCTTTTAATGAGAAACAAAACGCCTTCAATCGGTCGGGGTAGGCTAGGTTTATTCGATCGTCATCGGATAAGCGGCTTACCTATGCCGAGATGGCTTGTTAATCTCAAGTGTGTCGAACGAGTGCTTTCATTTGACGGTGCGGATGCATCGTGATGTTCTTCGAAGCTTTCGTAGTCTGTCACGATTCTCATTCGAGACACTGACCAATGCGTATTAGGTCTGAGGTGCTGTGATTCGGTAGATCACATGTTTTGGCGACGAGGTCTAGAGGCTTGATTTATGCCAATGATTCCATGGTCCGTTATGTGTAACGAGGTAGCGATTTTGTCTCTCGTTCATAGGGGCTGGTGTCGTGCGAGGTGCGTGCTCTCGTCTTTTGTGGGTGATCAGTCCACATTGCTGTTTTGTAGTGCATTCGAGCGTTGGGCCAGAACGTCGATAGTGTTGCGTTATTTCGGGATTATGCTTTGCGTGCTGTGCTTGCGTTGCTAACGTCTTCGGCTGGAGCTTCAGTTACCAGCTGAAGGCAGAAGTTGTTACTTCTAGGATTTTGCCGAGACGGGAACCTATCCGAAAAGGTTCTGATAATGATTGCTTGCATAAAAATAAAAGAGCTATTTATTTTTATTGATTTATAGCTGTGTTTTAATCGAGAAAGACGGCCTACGTACCCGTGCCGGGATCAAGCCAACGTCTAGGTGTAGAACTTGCGTAGGTTCATGGAGTTCCACGAACGAGGCAGTGGGTTTCCTTGACAATCGTCTAGCTCGTAGACCCCGGGTTTGATGATCTTGGTGATGCGAAACGGCCCTTCCCAATGGAACCCGAACTTGCCTGCGTGCTCAGGTTTGGTAAAGTCGTGGACCTTCTTAGATACAAGGTCGTAGAGCTCGAAGCGCCGGTTTCGCACCTTTCTGTCGTAATATCTGGTTGCTTGTTGGTGGTAGTTTTGCATATGCAGGAGGGCGCGATCCCGTAGCTCTTCGGCGTGGTCTAAACTATGCAGGAGTGAGTCGTCATTCAGTGCCGGGTTGAGTGGCATTAACGATAGTCGTAAGCTGGCTACGTGCAGTTCTGCCGGTGCTAGCGCTTTGCAACCGTGCGACAAAGAGAATAGGGTTTCCCCGGACACGGTTTTGGGGGTGGTTCGATGCGACCAGAGTACTCCATCCAATTCGTCCGCCCAATCTCCTTGGTAGCCTTCAATCCTTTTTTTCAATCCATCAACAATAGTTTTGTTTGTGGACTCGGCTTATCCGTAAAAATCAATCTCTTTTCTGCAAATATTTTTTTGAACAATGAAATGCAAATAGATGAAAAAAAAAGTAAAGTTGTTAAAAAAAAGTTTTCTATTTATTATAAGTTTATCTGCTCGGATAGCGTTTACCCTGTTAGTCCGTTCTTTTCTTTCAAGGGTGGAATCTTTTTAATACAAAATGGAATTTAGCTTGAGGATATCTTGGCGTGGAGTAAGCGAGCTTGATGTTCCATGACGCGCAAAATTCTCGGAAAGTCGTTGCGACGAATTGTCCTCCATTGTCCGTTACGATCTCATAAGGAAGACCGTGACGGCATATGATATATTGCCACACAAAGTTTGTTACGTCGTGAGCCGTTGGGTTTTTGTATGCTTTTGCTTCTACCCACTTAGTAAAGTAGTCGGTGACGATCAGGAGGTAAGCGCATTGCCGCGAGCGTGGCATGGGGCCGACGATATCCATTCCCCAGGGCATAAAGGGGTATGCCGGGATCGCAGGTTGAAGTGCTTGCGTTGGGGCATTGATTGCCGGTGCGTATCTTTGGCAGGAAACGCATTTGGCGGCGACGTTTATGCAATCGCCGATCATCGTTGGCCAGATGTATCCGATCTTCTTGATTTTTAAAACAAGTGATCTTCCGCCGGCGTGATTTCCTGATGCTCCCTCGTGGGTCTCGACCATGATGGTCTTAGCTTGTGCTTCGTCGCAGCATCGCAGGATGACTTTGTTTGCGCTCCAGCGAAAAAGCTCGTTGTTGCGTAAGAAGTAGTAAGCTGCTTTTCGTCGGAGGCGGCGGGCCGCCCATCGCTCCTCTGGCACGGCGTCGTTGATGAGGTAATTTCTGATTTCATCCTGCCACGATTTGTGTTCTGCTGACTCATCGTCAATGAGGTTTTCGTCTTCTTCTTCTTCTTGTGAGATTGCCATTACCACGGTTTCCTTGGGGAGTTTGATGCTCGGTTCGTCGATGGTTTCGACTGGGATGACCCGTCGCAGTGCTGATTCAGTTTTGGACGCCAAGGCTGCGAGTGCGTCGGCCTCGGAGTTCTCGGAGCGGGGGATCTTTGTCAATTCGAACGTCTTGAATGCCTTGGCAAGTCTTTGCGTTTGTTTGAGATAGCGTCCATGCGATCGTCTTTTGTGTCGTAGTCACCGCTGAATTGTTTAGCGACGAGCTGAGAGTCACAGAATGCATGAACGTGTTCTGCTCCGACTGCTTCGGCGAGACGAAGCCCGGCAATAATTGCTTCGTATTCGGCTTCGTTGTTGGACGCTGGGAAACCGAGTTTGAGCGATTGTTCGAGAATCTCGCCTGTCGGGGAGACGAGGCGGATGCCGACGCCTGCTCCTTGCCTGGAGGATTATCCGTCGACATGCAGGTTCCATTTGAGGATTTGCTCGTCCTCTTGAGTTGCGAGCTCAGGCGGGATTTCTACGATGAAGTCGGCTAGAACTTGTGACTTGGCGCTTGTCCGACTTTTGAACTCAATATCGTATTCCGATAGCTCGATTGCCCATCTGCATTCTCCCGGATTGGTTAGGGCCGTGAAGGATCTGGCGTAGTGGTTGGCTGGTGAAGACAACGATGGAGTGTGATTGAAAGTACGGCCTGAGTTTTCGTGCCGATATGACTACTGCGAGCGCCAGTTTTTCTAGGGTTGGGTATCGCGTCTCGGCATCGTTGAGGGTTTTGCTGACGTAGAAGACTGGCCGCTGCTCTCCTCGATCTTCTCGGACGAGGACTCCGCTTACCGCCGTGCTTGATATTGCGATATATAAGAATAGGGTCTCGCCTTCTTCGGGTTTCACGAGAATTGGTGGGGTAGTGAGATACTCTTTCAATTGTTTGAAAGCGTCTTCGCATTTTTCGTCCCACTCGAACTTCTTGTTTGATCGAAGCATTGGTAGAAGGGGAGACATTTGTCGGTTGAGCGCGAGATGAATCTGTTCAATGCGGCGATACGTCCGGTGAGTCTTTGGATTTCTTTGGAGGATGTCGGCGATGGGAGGTCGAGGATCGCCGAGATCTGCTTCGGGTTTGCCTCTATCCCGCGTTGGGTCACAACATATCCGAGGAATTCTCCTGAGGTGACGGCGAATGTGCATTTCGCGGGGTTCAGCTTCATCCCGTACTTTTCCAAGATTCGAAACATTCGTCAGTGCTTGACGTGATCGTGGGCCCTGGCAGATTTGACTAGCATGTCGTCGATATAGACTTCCATGCTACTACCGAGCTGGTCCGCAACATTTTGTTCACTAATCGTTGATAAGTGGCGCCGGCGTTCTTCAGGCCAAAAGGCATCACTTTATAGCAATAGGTGCCACGATCGGTAATGAATGCTGTCTTCTCGCGATCATCGGGATGCATGAAGATCTGATTATATCCTGAAAAGGCGTCCATGAAGGATAGTAATTCATTCCCTGCCGTGGCCTCGACGAGGCGATCGATATGCGGCAAAGGGAAGCTATCCTTTGGGCATGCTTTATTCAGGTCTGTGAAATCGATGCAGACTCTCCACTTTCCGTTTTTCTTTTTGACGACGACTGGATTTGCTAGCCATTCGGGGTATTTTACTTCGTGATCGATCCGGCTCTAAGTAACTTTTCCACTTCTTCATTGACTGCTTGAGCTTTATCGGCGCCGAGCTTGCGTCTTTTCTGTCTCATGGGTTTGTAGGTAGAGTCCACGTTTAGCTCGTGGGATGTGATTGCCGGGTCGATCCCTTTCATATCTGCCATTGACCATGCGAAAAGGTGCACGTTCTGTTTGAGCAATATGACCAGTTGCTCTTTGATCTTTTCATCGAGGTCGCCACCGATGCCAACGCACCTTTCCGGACACGATTCGTCGATATTCACTTCGTCGATGAGGGCTGGCTTTGGTCTCTGGTGGTATGGAAGGCGTGGATCCATTTCCTCGTTTGCGGTGCACGTTGCTGCTAGGCGGAGCCGTCGCTCGTAGAGGAAGCATGACCTTGCTGCCCCTTGATTCCCTCTCAGTGTGTAAATTCCTGATTGCGCCGGGAATTTCACACATTGGTGAAAGGTCGAGACGACGGCCTTCATCTCGTGGAGCCATGGGGTGCCCAAAATGGCGTTGTAAATGGCTGGTTTATCGATGACGAAGAATTTGGCGGCTTTGGTTGTTCCTCCGACGTGGATAGGTAGGCGGATCGTGCCTTCACTGGAGACATGTTCGGAGGTGAACCCGGTGAGGGAGTACAACGAACGCTTGATCTGGTCTCTGCTGATTCCCATGCGGTTGAGGGTCTCTTTGTAGATTAGATTCACCGTGCTCCCGGTATCGATCAGGATTCTTGCTACGCTGGAGTCACTGATGTGCAAGCTGACCACGAGTGGGTCGACGTGAGGGGTATCCAGCCCCGCCGTATCTTGATCCGTGAAGATGATAGTGGGGATTTCTTCGCGGGTCGGGTTGCGATCGTGCTCCACCGCTGCGTATTCATGCTCCGTGATTGTCGAGATGGAATCGCGATGGATGGGGTTGCCCATTATCATGTTAATCTCTTGCCCTGATTCGTCGGAGTAGTTCGTCATGTCATCCGGCGTGTTTTCCGGGATTACGGGTTGTGCCGGCTTTCGTCTGTGACGAGAGCGGTCCCCTTTTATCGGTGGTAGTTCCCCGTGCTGGTATCTCCGAAGGAGATCGCGAGTTAGGCGTCGGCAGTTTCTTGTAGAGTGGTCACCGGTTCCGTGGAGGCGGCAAAACGTGTCAGAGTCGTCGAGATCGGGCGTCGCGACATCTGTTGCCCATGTGATGCGGTTCCTGCTCGGGCTCGTTGTCGGCTGCTGCGAACGCTGTTAGGAGAGATCTTTGGATTGTCTTCTTCGTGCCTCCATGGGTTCTCTCTGGGTTTCGACGAGGTTGCCCTCCTATCTCCATGCTTCTCGGCGTAGAAGCGCTGGTCTTCCTCGAGGAAGATGTAGTTCCGAGAGCGGTGGAACGCGTCCTCCAGAGTCGCAGGGGGTTTTAGTGACAAATCCTCCTTAAACTTGGAGTCGTACCAGAGGCCGTTGCGGAGTGCTTCCAGCGGGACGCTATCGGGCATGTCGCCAGTCGCGAGCTGCTTGTTTGAACCTTTCCATAAAGCTGCGCAATGGTTCGCCTTGGGTTTGCGTTGTGGTGAACATGTTCCGAGTGATTCGGGTCATGTGCATGGAGTAATGCTTCAGAAAAGCATTGGTTAGGTCGTCGAAGTTATCGATCGACTCGGCGGGGAGGTTAGAGAACCAGGTCAAGGCATCTTTCGCCATGTGCTCGACGAATACTTGACAGTAGTTGGCCTCCCTTTCATCGTAAGATTTGTATTTCTCCCTCCTCATGGCGAGGTTGAACGCGGTTAGCCACTTCTTGGGGTCTTCTTCGCCGGTGTAAGAGTCGATTTTGAGTCGAACTCTTTCGTGTAGCTCAATCTGGCGGAGCCTGCGGGTGAGCGGGCTTCTTCGGGTGTCGGCGAGTGCTTTCGTCAATTCCGGAGCTGAGCTGGTGGCGCGATGAACTTTCGAATCGACCTCGTCGAGGCGACGATTCATCCCGTTCGAGCTCTTGGTGGTAAGTCGCCTGAAGTGCGCAGGACGGGGGGTTGTTCCGTCAGTGGGACTTGACGGATCTTCATCGTCTTCTCGTGCTAGGGCTTCCACCTGTTCCTGAGTCTTTTTCTGCTGTGCTCGCATTGACTCGAAACCGTCGGCGAGCGGCTTGACGAGATTCTCCATGAGTTTGAGGATCTTCTCGCTCGAGGAGGATTTCTTCGAGCTGCGGGGTTTGTCGCTCGAGGAAGATTTTCTCGAGCGGCGTGGTGCGGACGGAGGGGGGCTCTCGTCCTTTCTTGGCGGAGGAGATCGTTGCGGCGAAGTCGATCTTCGCGGCGAGACGGATCTCTGTGGCGAGAAAGATGGGTTTCTTGTAGGGACAGGCTTGTCCCTACCTTCAGCGGGTAGCGACTTGTCTATCGTGCTGGTAGACTGTCGCTTAAGTTTTCTTCTGAGGGAGACGGGCTCCCGGTGGGAGTGTTCTCTTTCGAGTTCACCATCGTTGCTAGTTCGTGAAAATCTAGATATCTTCGAGATGAATAGCGAGAAGCGTTTCCAGCCCCACGGTGGGCGCCAATTGTTGAATCCGAGATAGCACTCGTCAAGACGGGCTATCTAAGATGTGAGTTTAGGAAACTGGAACGCTTAATTCGACTCTTAGATTATCAAGAAGATTACAAGAGAGCAATCTCGCTAACAAGCCTAGCGAGATTATGGTGATGAACAAGAGGATAGAGTAAAAGCTAATGAAAGCCTAGTGATTCTAGATGATTTCGGATCCCTTTCCCCAATGGGGGGTCTTCAATATATATGTTGATAAGTCGGCCGAATGATGAATATTCTCCTTCAGGCGAGATGGAAAACTTCCTCTTTTGCGATATGGAAAATTCCCTCTTGTTTTTGGATCTTTTCCATTCTTTAAGTCGGCATGAAGATTTATTTACATTTCTCCATGGATTGTGCCTTTCTCTTCAAGTCTTGCCTTTTTCTTGAAGATGTTAGGCCTAAAATCGGATTGGGCTTTGTGACTTTACTAATGATGACGGGCTCAGGGAAATGTGCTAATTTCTCCTCTAAAAGGTGGACTGTCACGTTTTGTGCGAAAAGCATGTTTCATGCTCTCCTCTCCTTGTCGTTTCTTTGACTTCATAACATTTTTCTGACTTTCTACCACTCACTGAAAACATATTAGAAATATCAAATGGCAAGTTTTTTTTGTTATAAGTCTAAGTGACTAGCTAACACAAGATGGTGAAATGGAAAATGGTAGATTCTGAGAAATTTTTAATGTATTTTTATGATATATCAAAGGAACGATCATGAAACGGCGGTTATGTTATTTTAATGATATAAATAGTTGAAAAATATTTCGACATACAGTAGAACCTCTATTTAGTAATATTCGATAAAGTAATACCTCGATAAATGAATAGAATTTTTAAGTCCCAAATTCAGTTTTTGGTCTAACTATCTCTCGATAAATTAATAATCTCGCTAAAATAATAAAATATTGTGGTCCCAACGTTATTACTTTATAGAGGTTTTACTTTAGTTTTTTTTATAGACCATAATGTACTTTAATTCGATTAATTGTATCAAAATCTAACTGTTAATATTTCATATATCTATTCTTTGTCCTTCACATGAAATTCAAACTGTGTAATAAGTAATTTCAAGAAAACAAAAAGACTAATCCCCACTTATAAACCCGGTTACCTACGTTATGTTTGTTTCTTTTTTATTATTCTTTATACATACACATGAAACACGTCAAAAGAGTTATGAGTTACGTCACTCAGAACCTACGTATGAATTATGATCAACTTCGAGTTAAACATAGGACATAAGTTGAATATACTATTTTTAACTCCATAAAGACACTTTAATGCATGATAATTTTCGACATCTTTATTTAAATAATAATTTCCCCCTTTTTTGGGGCTATGTGTCATCAAGTCCCACCACCACTATAAATTATCTCATCTCTTGCTTTCTTGTTCTAAATTGTAACCATTTTCACTTGTAATCATACAACAACTCTACTCTGCTAGAGCAAACCAACAAAAAAAGAAATCGCCATCATCAATGGCGGAGAATAAGGTAAATCTGTCGATTAATGGACAATCAAAAGTGCCTCCAGGTTTCAGATTCCATCCCACCGAAGAAGAACTTCTCCATTACTATCTCCGTAAGAAAGTTTACTCTCAAAAGATCGATCTTGATGTCATTCGTGAAGTAGATCTCAACAAGCTTGAGCCTTGGGATATTCAAGGTTCTTCTCAACAATAAACCCTAATATTTTGTTTCTATCAAGTCTCTATTTCTTAAAACCATTTTGGTAAGCAAATGCAGAGGAATGTAGAATCGGTTCGACGCCACAGAACGACTGGTACTTCTTCAGCCACAAGGACAAGAAGTATCCAACTGGGACAAGAACAAACAGGGCAACAGTCGCCGGATTCTGGAAAGCTACTGGACGTGACAAGATCATCTGTAGTTGTGTCCGGAGGATTGGATTGAGGAAGACACTCGTGTTCTACAAAGGAAGAGCTCCTCACGGTCAGAAATCAGATTGGATCATGCATGAATATCGCCTCGACGATACTCCAACGTCTAATGTAAGTATACCTAAGATCCATCTAACGTTTTCGTATGACTTGCCTCCAATGAAAAAAAAAAAGTGTGCCTATAATTCTTTTTATTAATGTAGAAAAAAAATGAAAATGAAAATTCCTCAAATTTTGTTGACTTAGTGAACTTCCAATAAATGGATTGATCTATGTTTCTTATATAATGCTCAAAGTTCATGAAAGACAATAGTATATAACATATTAACATCTATCAATGGTTGCATTTTGGCAAGAAAGCAAAATAAAAGTCACATTGACATTTTGAAGTCTTTCATCATCTCTAATACTTCCTCTGTCCCATAATATAAGCTGTTTGGACTTATATTTTTTGTCTCATAATATAAGCTGTCCAGATTTCAATGCAGAAAAAAAGAAAAGAAAAAATAAATAAAAAAGCAAAAGCAAGAAAGAGAAAGTTAGAGATTGGTCTAAATTTTTTTATAATTATTTATATATTTAATTAAGTATTTTAAAAGATATAAATTAATATTTTCTTAATAATTATGTCCAAGCCTAAAACAGCTTATAAAATGGGACAGAGGAAGTAGCATTTTATGATATCGATTTGTTCCATTTTTTCAGGGCACTTTTGATGGTGTAAGTGAAGATCCGATGAGCTACAACGAAGAAGGTTGGGTGGTATGTCGAGTGTTCAGAAAGAAGAACTATCAAAAGATCGACGATTGTCCTAAAATCACTCTACCTTCTTCACCTGATGACGACACGGAGGGAAAAAGGAGGCCCACCACCTTTCACAACGCTCAAAACAGCACCGTTTTAGACCATGTTCTTCTCTACATGGACCGTACTGGTTCTAACATTTGCATGCCCGAGAAACAAACGACGATCAAGATTCAAAACCAAGAAGACTGCTTGTTCATGCAACTCCCTAGTCTTGAGGCACCCAAATCCGATCAGAGTTTAATGACGACAACTCTGAACCAACTCGATTCCTCTCCGGTTGAAGAGAAGGTAACCGGTAGACCGGTTTGCAGTAACTGGGCCAGTCTTGACCGGCTCGTGGCGTGGCAATTGAACAATGGTCATCAGTCGTGTGATCGTACGAGTTTTGATGAAGAAGAAAATGATCGTGATACAATGGTGCAACGATGGGATCTTCATTGGGATCATAATGTTGATCTTTGGAGTAATTTCACTGAGTCCTCTTCGTCTCCTTCCTCTTTAGACCCTCTTCTTCATTTATCTGTATGATTATATAGACGCATACACAAAATATAAGATATATATTACTTTCATATGATAAACAAATGAAGCTTGTGAATAATTCAAAAAATAAAATAAAAAAAAACCCTTTGTTAATAAAGTCTCATGTACTTTGATATTAGTCAGTATATCACATCTGAGGCAAAAATCTAAAACTTATAAAGTAAAGTTTACCAAATTGAAGAATGATAAATGTCAGAGATTATGGACAAAGTATCATACTATATATATCATGGTCGTTTTCCGGTAATGGACATGGACTTTTTTTTTTTCTATTTTTTTTTAATTATATATTATTAATTAGATCAACCCAAAAATGGGCATACGGTTACACTCTCCGACAATCGGACAAAAACACGATAAGGAAACAGATCAAAAGCACATAAGGAAACAGATCAAAAGCACATTACCGAAGTAGATTGTAGTAATGGACATGGACTTGTATAATTAATGAAGTGATATTTGGTTAGACTACTTGGTTTCGTTATAGTATAATTAATTCAACTTTTTGTGCGTGCGTGTGTGGGACTGTTTTATCGTTTCGTTTTCATTGGAGAATCTTCAGATTTATTCTTCTTGCAAATACGACAATCTACTTACCACTTACCTAACTACACTTTGTTTCTTATTTTTGTTTTTGACAAATTTCTAAAATTTAAAATTGATCGAATCATTTATTTTTCGTTCGATTGGGTGTTTTGTTAGATGTCCCATTTTTTAAATTTTTGATCGATTGTTATCTTAGTTTTAGAATCTACTTAGTACGCTAATACATTCATCATAACATAAGCTTTCCCATACTTATTATCGTAATTATGAGTACGTACTTTTAGAATCTACTTCTGTCCCTAGAAGCTCTCCTTGATGTATATTGTATACCATTAGTACAGCACCCCATGGGAGATTTTGACTATTCAAGAAACAAGGAAAGTTGTATTTGTTTGGTTAAGAAAATCGATCCAAAATATTGTTCCATCAAAACAAATAAATGTTGACAAATGACAAACGTACGAGCAAACATTAAACTTCGTAAAATGAAATTGTCATCAGGAATACACATTGAATGTTATTATCTTGTTTCTCTATATAAAGTTTGGAGAAATATAGAGCGAGCATGGATCGATATAAATTCAATAACTAGTTAACCACAAATTAATTAAGAAATCCATAGATGGAAACAAATTGAAGGAATATTTCAATACAGTATATAATAACATGAAAATGTGCGAAAAAAAGTATTGGAGTAACCAAGCGGTGGTGGTTTAGTGGTTTCCACTTGATAAAGGAGTTGTCATGTTGGCTAAGGTCAGGGATCGACTCCTCTTAAGCGTGAAATTGTTAGATTTATCCCATTTGGCCACATGGATATGAGCCTTTGCTTTCGGCCCATTTGTATATCCGCAGAGAAGGTCTATCCGTGGACTGCACCTCCTCAGGAATTAGTTTGAGCCCCTCCATAGACATGAGATTTACCATGGATTAAAGAAAAAACAAAAAAAAAGTATTCGAGTTTGCCAGTCAGATTTTGCTTTTTGAAATAAAAACAAACTTCTAAGTTCTAACTCAAGAGTTACTAATTTTCTTTTATACGAAAATTTGAGGGTCATAATTCTGTCTGTGATTCTGGAGAAAATATTGAAACAATGGGAATAACGCCTGAACAGAAGGTAAGTCATATGTCATGATTTTATTGATCTGTTTATATCTGAATTTGACACAAAAAGAAGCTGTAAAATAGTTTTCAAACTTTTCTTATCAGGAATCTACTAGAGGAAGACCTTTGTTACTTATCAATGAAAGCGAACTCATCATTTGGGATATGCCGACAGACATTCCATCACACGTACAGTATTCCCTAGCTTTAATATGATAAATGAAAATATTTGTGTTGTTAATTTTAAAATTGCTTTTCGATATGGTAACTGTTGTATGACAAAAAAAAGTTGATACATTAATTATGTTCTTAATTCTTCTTCTATTTTAAAAAAAATGTGTAAATATATAACAACAGAAAATTTATACAAAATTTCAAAGATTTTCATAGTATTCTGAAACCTTTTACAGTTACTTTCATACATTTTAAAAAATTTATTGCTTTACTAGCTGCTGATTGATGGCACTAAATTACTTTACTCAAGGAATGGGGCTTTAAGTATTCATTCCTATATTAAGAAGCCCATTAATACCATTAGCACTGACCCAAATACAAAGTAACCCATGATTGTGAACATCCCCAAACTCGGTCTGCTTTAACTCGTTGTATGACACGCATATGATGATTCATTCTCATTTGAAACGCCAAGTGGGGAAGACAAAAAATGTTTAAAATTCTATCTAGCAATGTTTATAACACGGTAATTTCTCTACTGCTTCGTTCTTGATCAAATGTTTTCTTACTACATTTTCCATGTTTGGAAATTGGTAACACGAATAACAAACAAAGTTGTCAATAGTTTACACTGTACAAGGACTAAACCATGATGTTAAACCTTATTGCTCTATAATGTGACCAAACAAAGAACGCAAAACGCTTTGTATTTGATTCTATGTAACCATGGAAACAAGAAAGTATCTCTCTACCATAACAAGATCTTTGCCTTTGTTTCATCATAATCTTGACAAGAAGAGTAAAGAACAAAAAAAAAAAGAGAAAATTAGAAAGTTTATCTATCTTACAGTAGTATTATCTAGAGATTATGATTCTGATTTTAGATTTTTATTATTACTGTTTCTTTTTTTAGCTGCAAATCGGACAACGAACAAGACCATTCTCGTTACACTCCGTACATTTCACCACCACGGCGTCGCTTCCCCATCCTTCCACCACTTTGCAGCTTCCGTTACAACCAGAACACGGCAAGAACGATAAACCACCGCACCCGTCGCAACAACCACCACCACCACCGTATCCTCGATCTTTCTTCTTCGGAATCCCTATAAGCAAATCTCCGAGCATACCATCTTCCACCAATTCCATCACTTCCTCTGCTCCGCCGATGTACTTCCCCTTCACGAAAACCCTAGGAAGCGCCGCCGCCGAGTCTCCGGCCATGAGACTCTTCAGCTCTTCTCTGAATCCTTTATCCATCGACACGTCTCTCTCGCAGATTACTACGCCGTAACTCTCGATCGCAGCTCTCACGGCGTTACACGCCTCGAACGTCCTACGCACGCCGCGCAACGATGTCGTGTAGATCACGACGCGATTCTCTTCCGGAGGAGGACGCGGACTCTCGGATTCCTCCGCGAATTTCGGATCGAGCGGTTTCAGAACCTCGTCGTCGTTCAATTGATTCCTAGGGTTTTTCCAATTGGGATCCGAATTCTCTTTGTTTACTCCGCCGTCGGAGGAGGAGACATTGCATTTCGCCGGAAGAGGTGACAGTCGGCAAGCATCGGCGGCGGCGTCGAGACCAGACATTAGCTCCTGGAAGCTAATCACCTCCGGCTCCGACTTGACTGTCACTGGCTCCTTACCGACGATGGAGAATCTCTCAGGCGGAGTCATCGGCGTAGCAGGAGCGAAGATAACGGCGGAAGGAGGCGGAGGATCGAGATTGAGAAGACCGTAAGTTGAGGAAGTTAGCTTGACGAAGTGGTGGCTGCAGCCGGCGAGCTGAGAGAAGTCATCGCTTGGATTGAGGAGGCTGGAGGAGACGCAACCCATCGCCGGAGAGATTCGTCGGATTTCTGATTTTTTGTTTGTTTGAGATTCGAAGTTTGGAAAATGGAAGAGAGATTGAGTGAGAGAGACGGTCAAGTGAGATGAAAGACAAAAAATCACAAAACTGCTAATTAATAAAACTCCTTAAAGAAAACACCAAAAATCTAAAGTCGAAAGGGACAATGCACGTGGGATGTGTTAATGTCCATATTTTTCGCCAAATGATGTAGTTACTAGTTATTATAGGGTTTTTTCATTCTTTAAAATGACCCTGCAAAAAGTTATACAAAGCTTAATCCTTGACTTCGGATTTAAATCTTTAAGAAAGGGAACAGAAGTCTGCCAATCTTAATAATCTTGTTATTAGGAAGATACTAACACTTTAATTAGAATCATTTTTTTTCTTAGCATAAGATCGCTTTACTCTGAGCCGGAAGTCCTCATATATAGCTAAAGATTTGTTTTCTAAAAGCAAATCCACCAACTGTTTCAAGATTGTACATGAGGGAGAAACATTGATGGTCTCGTGAAATATGCGGTTGGTTCTTTCCAAATCTCATAGATTCTTCTTATTCGAAGATTAGATGTAAAAATGTTTAGAATACATAAAGAAAATATTGGATATGGAAAGTTCAACTGTTTTACATTTTTTTTTGGATTGTGTAATTTTTCTTTCTTAAAATTAGTCATGAATTTGTAAACTGCAAATATGTAAACTATCATGTGTTGTACTTTTTAAAGACAACACTTTATACATTAATACATTAGGATTTTACTTAACGATGATATGTGTCACGATCTCGTAAATAATAATTTGTCATAGATATCACAACTATGTCATACTATCCAGCTGTATATTTTGTTAAAATATTTTTATTTCTATAATGGGCTAATTCATAATATATTATAAGAGAAACTATTCATTTCCCAAGTATGAAAATCTCAATTTTTGGTAGATTTTGTTTAGTCACACAATGTATATTCACAAATATTTTGGTGGTTTCTTACTTAAACGATGACACGTATCACGATCTCGTGAATAATAATTTGTTATAGATATCGCAACCATGTCATATTATCCAGCTATATATATTTTGTTACAATTTTTTTAGTTCTATAACGAGCCAATTCATAACTTACTTTTTCTAATTGTAATAGAAATTATTCATTTTCTAAATACGAAAGTGTCAATTTTTGGTAGATTTTGTGTAGTCACACAATGTATATTCATCAAAATAAATTTCTCTAAAAAAATGTTATAGTTGTTTTTTTTTTAATTATAAAAATAAATTTGTAATAACCTCTTAAGTCTTATCCCAACCACACTGATTATTTCCGGGTATGGATACAAGACCCGGGATTAACTTAATTCGGGTCGGGTTATAAACTTTTATAAATGCACCTCATAATCCGTCTTGGTCCCTTCACGATTTCTTCTTTTGCTCCTTCTTTTCTACGATTTGAGCGTTTTGCTACCTCGGAACCTTCTCTCCGATACCTCGCCGTCCCGTCCAATTGAGCTGGTTCACCTTCTCCGGCGAAAGCTACTGATACCTTCAATTAGGGTTCCGAAGGAAGACCCCAACCCATATCACGTTCAGTGAACGGTATCGTGTGCCCAATTCATCCCGTTCTGATTGCAACTCAGCTTACTCGAAGGTTGATCAATGGGGTTTTGATTGGGTTGGTCTTGCAAAGAGAATCAATCCGCGTTGATGAAGTTGTTGCTGGGTATCTATCAGATAACGAAGTTGCCTGTTGCTGTTGTTCCCAGGTTCGTTAGGTTTCTTGTAATTGTATAATGTTCTGTTTCTATCTCAAGGTTTTCGAATTGAGTCCTGATACGTTTTTAATGGCTTGCGATCTGAGAAGGAAGCTTGTCTCGCCGTCTCGTGGTTTCCACCATTGCAATTGAAAGCTTCGTAATGGCTGAATCCAACGGCAAGGGCTCCCACAACGAGTCTTCGTCAGGTAATATATCCATATGCACTCTCTTATCAAAGTATGTTTCTTTCTTGTGGAATATCGGATTTGCTTCAATATCTGAAGCTAGATATCTCCTCTGTCTAGCTTTTCCTTTCTCAATAGTTTACCTGGAAGTTCGAATTAGGTCAGCTCATGACTGTTTTACGGTTTTGAATTTCGGATTGAGATTCTCTAAGTAGAAAAGAAGTAGCCTTGAGTGATCCTGGAGGGTTGTAATTGAGATAGTACTTTCATTAGATAGAGGCTAAGAACTGTAGCCTAATAAGATGATAGAGAGAAGAAGCCAATGATGAGGTGACTTGGAACCAAGGATTGTCCATATGCAGTTATAAATTGAATGCGAGCCTGATGATTTCTTAATATGCATGATGATTATCACATGCATTCCCCGTTGCTAGCCAAGATTTGTTTGGTGACCACCAATGTCTGCATGTTTTCCTGTGCAGATGATGATGAGGAGTATGAGGATAACAACAGGGGTTTTAACCTGGGATTTATCTTTGGGAATGTTGATAACTCGGGGGACTTGGATGCTGATTACCTTGACGAGGTAAATCTGATTTACTCTTTCAGTATGATTTTAGTCTCACTTTTACCGTCTCTTCTTACTTGGTAACTTCAAATGGATATCTGTATTTGTTAACTATGAGTTGTAAATTCTCCACCGAGTATACCTGTGCCAATGATATTCTTTCAACTTTACAGGATGCAAAAGAACATCTTTCGGCATTGGCAGATAAGCTGGGTTCATCTCTACCAGATATAAATGTAACATTCTATGCACTCTTTAACATTCTGTTTCGTAAAGTTTATAGGTGAGTGAAATGCGAGTCTTTTATGTGAGTTTTAATCCTCTTTTTGTTGTACTGGGATGCAAAAAAATGGTGTTCCTAAACTCAACAGTTGTTGGCAAAATCAGATCGTACAACAAGTGATCCAGCTGAGCAAGGTGATGTTGTCGGCCAAAATTTGTGTTTTTATCTCATGCAGTTTTTTAATTCTATTAGCATCCTCACTTAATTTCTAGTGTGCATTCTACGGTTTCTTTAAAACTATACTGGAGGAGTTACTAGGAACCCTGCTAGAAACTTTCTATCTCACGGTGGACGATTGCATTCTTCCTACTTGAATCGTAGTTATAATCTATTTATTGTTAGTTAGGTTTAATGCACATTGTCCTCCGTACATCTTCTACAACATTTAAAAGCTTAGGTTTAAGATCTTTAAATATGCAACAAGTCCTGAACATATAAGTTACATACTGACACTAATTACACTACGGAATCCTGGTGATCAATTTCATTGACTGTGATGGTATATCTTGCAGATTATAATAGAAAAGCTGAGGATGCTGTTGATTATGAGGATATTGATGAACAGTATGACGGGCCTGAGGTTCAAGTAGTTAGTGAGGAAGATCATTTACTGCCAAAAAAGGAATATTTTTCGACTGCAGTTGCTTTAGGTAGTCTAAATTCCAGAGCTTCTGTGTTTGACGATGACGACTACGATGAGGAAGAAGAACAAGAGGAGGAGCATGCGCCAGTTGAAAAGCCTTTTGAGATTGAAGAGAAGGAACCAGGTTTGCATTTAGAAATCTTCCCTTTCTTGAACAAAATGATTAGCACATTCTATATTGTACTTTTGTTGTGGTCTTGACTCTCAAATTGGTTAGGCGAGTTATTCTCCCGGAAATAATACTTGTTGAGCTTAGGCAGATTATCACTTGCAAAATTGTGGTCAACTGCGTCTTTAAGTCTTTTAGATCAGAACACTTAGAATCTTTCTTATATGCCTCTTGAGCTACTGATTATGAGACAAAAAAAATTCTCTGTAGTTGCCTTAAAGGAAGACAAGCTCTTAGAGTATAAAAAGGAGGCTAAAATCTTGGAAAATGAGGATCTGATGGAGATAGACGATGCTGAGGAGGAGGTCAGTCCCCCCACCCCCGAAAAAGGGGAATTGTGTCTCAAAACAACATATTATTTTGCTGTGCGATGATTTTGTTCTGTTAGTGATCTTATCAAAATGTTCAGGAGGAGGATGAGTTATCGGAAGGTACAGTAGACGAGAAAGCCGCCACCCCACTGCCTACTTTGTATGTGGAAGATGGTATGGTCATCTTACAGTTCTCCGAGATATTTGCTATCCATGAGCCACCAAAGAAACGGGACAAGAGAGAAAATAGATATGTCACTTATAAAGGTATGTGATCTGGAATGTTCTTCCTATTTTTGTTTCTTCAACCCTATTAAGATTTTGTGCTCTAGTATTTCCCTTTCAATTCTAAGGCCATTAGGTGTTGAAAGCACGATAACTTTTCTTCTTATGTGGCTCAGTCACTTCTTTGCCGGAATGTACTAGATCTGTGTTGTTGGTGCCACTAGAATGATGTGCTACATTTTTTTCTTTTTCCTGGCAACTTCATGTTTTTTCCCCATTTCTCCCTTAGTCTTATCGTCTATATTTTCCCTGCATTCGTCTTTCTTCTTTTTGTTTGTAATCCATTTCTTCACGTGGATCCCTTACACCATAGCCATTTTTCGTACAGACAAATACATATCCATGGATATTTCTGAGCTTGTTGAAGATGATGAAGAGGTACTCCTGAAGAGCCATGGTGGGATTGATACTCATGTTAACCAAGCTGATCTGATTCAGCTGGATGCTCCCTTTCCTATGAGAGAGGGTTTACAGCTAGTAAAAACTGGCGCAATTGGAGGCATCGCTCCAGAATCAAGAAAAATTACCAAGCTAGGAAGGGATTCATGTATCATGGGTGAACTGTTGAAGCAGGACTTAATAGACGACGATTCATCTTTGTGCGAGTCTCAGCTATCAGTGGAAGTTTTTCCTCTTGACCAGCATGAATGGGAACATCGAATTCTTTGGGAAAATTCTCCCGAAACTAGTGGTAATTCCTGTGAGGGCTTCAAATCTGGACTTGAGTTAGAAGGCATGCTGATTCAAGAAACAAATTCAGAGACTGAACAAGAAAACTTGAGTGTGATGAACTCTGTAGAGCAAGGTCAAGCTGACAACAATATGCTTGTGCCTTTTTCTGCCAATCTCTTGGAGTCTTTTGGCTCAAGAGGTTCCCAGTCTACAAACGAGTCCACTAGCAAAAGTAGACATCATCCACAACTCCTAAGGTTAGAATCTCAGTGGGATGGGGATCATCTTAGTGAAAATGAAGAGGTTGAGAATATAAAGCGACATGAAAGCAATGCTCTCGGGCGGTTTAGCAGACTTGCATTGCAAGAGAGGGATATGGGGGATGAGGCATGGTTAGATAGTATAATATGGGAATCGGATAAAGAGTTGAGCAGGTCTAAACTAATTTTTGATCTTCGAGATGAGCAAATGGTCTTTGAAGTTTTGGATAACGAGGAAAGCAAAAATCTTCAACTTCATGCTGGGGCTATGATTATACCCCGGTCTTCAAAATCCAAGAATGAAAGCTTTCTGGAAGGCTGTGAATCAAATTCTGGGTGGCAATTTAATATATCTAATGACAAGTTCTATATGAATGGGAAAAGCTCTCAGCAACTTCAAGCAAATACTAATAAATCCGGCGGTCATAGTTTGAGAGTCTTTCATTCAGCACCAGCAATTAAATTGCAGACGATGAAAAACAAATTGAGCAAGTAAGTGGGCACTCGTATTTTGAAAAATCATTTTGTATTTGCACTCTTTTTTTGCGTACTCTTAAATAATTTCTACACTGGATGTTTTCGTTACATCTATTTCTTTAGTACTTTATATTAAAACTTTTAGAGTGGTCTCATTGCAGTAAGGACATAGCAAATTTTCACCGGCCCAAAGCTTTATGGTATCCACATGACAATGAGCTAGCCATCAAGCAGCAAGGAAAGTTACCCACCCGAGGATCTATGAAAATTGTAGTGAAGAGCCTGGGGGGTAAAGGAAGCAAGCTCCACGTTGGCATAGAGGAATCTGTCTCTTCTTTAAAAGCCAAGGCTTCTAGAAAGCTAGGTTGTTGTTCTACTTTCACTCTTTGTCTGCCGCATTACGACATACAATGAGAACACGCTATTCTGTTGGTTTAACTGGCAAATTTTGGTGGTTACTTGCTACCATTGTTTTGCAGATTTTAAAGAAACAGAAGCAGTGAAGATGTTTTATATAGGAAAGGAACTTGTGGATGAAAAGTCTCTTTCTGAACAAAATGTTCAACCAAATGCCTTGGTCCATGTTGTACGCACCAAAGTACATCTGTGGCCATGGGCACAAAAGTTGCCTGGCGAAAATAAATCGTTGAGACCTCCTGGAGCATTCAAGAAGAAATCTGACCTATCTACTAAAGATGGCCATGTCTTCTTGATGGAGTAAGACATTCTATATGAGACTCACCTGTCAAATTGGGATATTTTGTTTTGATTTTGTATGGCATGCTACTTTGTGGTACTTGTGGTTATTTTGACCATGTCTATCAGTGGGAAAAGATTTTTAGTTGAAGTCCCAATTTCTTTCTATTAATTTGTGTAGGTATTGCGAGGAGAGGCCGTTGATGCTCAGCAATGCAGGAATGGGTGCAAATTTGTGCACGTATTATCAGAAATCATCCTCAGAGGATCAACATGGGAACTTGCTGCGCAATCAAAGTGACACCTTAGGGAATGTGGTGATTCTAGAACCTGGGGACAAATCCCCTTTCCTTGGGGAGATACAAGCTGGTTGCAGTCAGTCATCTGTTGAAACAAATATGTATAAAGCACCTGTTTTTCCGCATAGATTGCAATCAACAGATTACTTGTTGGTCCGGTCTCCTAAAGGAAAGCTCTCTCTGAGACGTATTGACAAGATAGTTGCTGTTGGACAACAGGTTTGCCTTTCTGCAGCTTAATTTTGCTTTATTATTATATAATCCGCATGCTCAGGTTATAATTTTTCCAGGAACCTCGCATGGAAGTTATGTCTCCTGGATCAAAGAATCTACAGACTTATTTAGTGAACAGGATGTTGGTCTATGTGTACCGAGAATTTGCGAAGCGTGAATTGCCCCCTCCAATTGCTGCAGATGAGCTGTCTTTCTTATTTTCTAACTTAACAGATGCAATCATCAAGAGGCACATGAAAGTTTGTGCTAATATGAGGGTATCTCATCTAATTATGACTTCCGTATACGCTTGCTCTCCTTTTGCCTCGTTTTGCATCTGTATCATATTATCATGCTGATTTCTCACATGGACGTACAAAATGCAGAGGGATAAAAATGGCCAGCCTTGTTGGTACAAGAAAAATGAATATACAATTCCACCTGAGAATGAGCTCAAAAAGCTGGTGGCCCCAGAGCATGTAAGTTTCTCCTCTGAGCTCATTTCATAGTTGAAATACACGCCATCTGTTTTCAACTGCTCAGAGTTAATGAGCCTTTGGTACCTATTACTGGAAGTATACTCTTTAAGATGCATGTTCTCTAAATTTTGGTGACGTAGGTGTGTTCCTATGAGAGTATGCTAGCTGGGCTGTACCGGCTCAAACATTTAGGGATTACCCGGTTTACATTGCCTGCCAGCATATCAAATGCATTGGCTCAGCTCCCAGATGAAGCTATTGCCCTTGCCGCTGCATCACATATTGAGAGGGAGTTGCAGATTACTCCATGGAATCTAAGCAGTAATTTTGTTGCTTGTACAAATCAGGTGAGCATTACTTATGTTATGCAATGTTAGGAACGTAGGAGTTAGTCATCATCCCTCATCTGTAAAAGGTGTGGTCATTATCAGTTCTCTTTCGTAGATATGGCAGACGATACATTATTAGCTTTTTGCAAGCAAGACTAGGGGCGTGATTGGTTGTGGCTGTGGCTTTAGATTTTTGGCTGTAGAGTTTAGGCTGTAGGTTTTAGTGCTGTGGCTTTAGTTTTTAGTGCTCTAAGATTTTTTTTTTGTAGATTGTGTATTAAATGAAATATTAAAACAAAAAAAAGAAGATATAGAAATAAGAGATTAAAAAAAGAATATAGACAAAATAATAAGGAAAGAGAAGAGAGAGAATTTAGAGAGCACTAAATTTAGTGCTATAGAAAAATTGCTTTCCACAGCTACGGAACTTCCATAAATAAATAAAATTGCTCTATGTTTCAAAAATGGAAAGAGATAAAAGGAGAGCATGATTGGTAATTTTGGAGTGCTGTAGAGAGATATAGAGCTGTGGAGAGCAACCACAGCTCCCACCAATCATCCCCTAGAAAATCTAATTTCAGCTCTACCTCCTCTAGTTTTGTTAAGAATCTTTTCGAATCCTATTAGTGATGCCTCTGATGAATCATTTCTCACCCTTTCGTTACTTGGCCGGTTCGATGCTCACATATTTGATAATTATTTGTGGGTTTGAGTAGGACAGAGCAAATATAGAGCGTTTGGAAATCACTGGGGTTGGCGATCCGTCTGGACGGGGTCTAGGATTCAGCTTTGTGAGAGCTGCACCAAAAGCACCAGCTGCGGCCGGGCATATGAAGAAAAAGGCAGCAGCTGGTCGTGGAGCCCCAACTGTCACTGGTACCGATGCTGATCTTCGCAGATTAAGCATGGACGCGGCTCGAGAGGTACACTCACTTGATTTCATATGTCTGACTCGAGAGGTACACTTACTTGATTTCATGTCTGACTGTCTGAGAACCTAAAAGTACAAGTTGCCCATTTCTTCTAGACATCTTCAAAATAAAGGCCATTGATCATTTTAATTAAGATATGGTTTGGCTGATCTGTTTATAGGTTCTTCTCAAGTTCAATGTTCCTGATGAGATAATTGCCAAACAAACTCGATGGCACCGTATAGCTATGATACGGAAGCTATCAAGTGAGCAGGCTGCATCTGGTGTTAAGGTTGATCCTACAACCATAGGAAAGTATGCCCGTGGCCAGAGAATGTCTTTCCTGCAGATGCAACAACAGGCCCGAGAAAAGTGCCAGGAGATTTGGGATAGGCAACTTTTGTCCCTTTCAGCTTTTGATGGTGATGAGAATGAAAGCGAAAATGAGGCAAACAGTGACTTGGACTCCTTTGCCGGAGATCTGGAAAATTTACTCGATGCCGAGGAAGGTGGGGATGGGGAAGAATCTAATATGTCTAAGAATGACAAATTGGATGGAGTTAAGGGTCTCAAGATGAGACGGCGGCCATCTCAAGTTGAGACGGACGAAGAAATTGAAGATGAAGCTACTGAATATGCGGAGTTATGCCGATTGCTGATGCAAGGTACGTGCTTTCAACTAAATATTTGTGCTATCAGCTGAAGACTTTTTTTTTTTCTGTCAATGAATCACTAAGTGGTGATGCTTTATATAGAAGAGGATCAGAAGAAGAAAAAGAAGAAGACTAGAGCTGTGGGAGAAGGAATGGGATCCTTTCCTCCACCACGGCCCAATATAGGTTTTCAGATTGCTGAACCTGTAAGAAAGGCCACTGTCATTGACAAGAAACCTATTGCCACCCAACCTGATGCATCTTTCTTACTAAATGAGAGCACCGTCAAAGACACCAGAAATGTGAGTACAAGTTTGGAAATTTGGAAAACCCTTTTGCAATTAATGTGTCAAATCATGAGGTCTTGCATGTACTGACAAACTTGTATCTTGTATTCCCCGGCAGGTTGATATCCCAATGATTAAGACCCCCAAAGGTAAACAGGTAAAGGAGAGCGGCAATTCTTTGGGCCAAGTGCCGAAGCTCAAAATAGTGAACGATAACCTAAAGGTACACAATCAAATCTGTACAACATGCTATAATTTATTTATTCTGCTATTTTTATGGTCATTCTGAGGTGTTGTCTGTTCTCTCGCTCCATAGCAGCAGTTCAAGGAAAAGAAATCGGCGAGAGAGAACTTTGTTTGTGGAGCCTGTGGCCAGCATGGGCACATGAGAACCAATAAACACTGCCCAAGATACAGAGAAAATACAGAATCACAGCCCGAAGGTATGGATATAGACAAGTCTGTGGGGAAACCGAGTTCTTCTGAACAATCAGGTCAGACAAAGAAGCTGAAACCTATCAAGAACACCAAGGCTGCGCCAAAAAGCGCAATGAAAGTTTCTGTAGATGAAGCTCCGAAGGGAGATAATTCAAGTTCCAAAACTGGGACGCTCCCTCTGAGGTTTAGATATGGTATCCCTGCTGGAGGGATGTCAGATAACCCTGGTTCTGAAGCTCCAGGAAGTTCTGAGCAAGCAGCAGTGTCTGACATAGACACTAAGACGAAGTCCACGTCCAAGTTTAGCAAACTCAAGATTTCCAGTAAGCCAAAACCTAAAGAATCAAAGGTTGAATCTGACAGACCTTCGCAGTCATTGATGCCTACTTACAGCAGAGAGAGAGCGGAGAGCGAAACTCACAAGCCTTCAGTTTCTGGACAACCCTTGTCTAGTACAGAGAGAAATCAAGGTGCGTCAAGCAGGCACACTATTTCTATCCCGCAGCCATCAGTGAGCTTGGATAGAGACCAAGCGGAATCTCGTAGGCCTCATCTCGTGATACGACCGCCGACAGAGAGAGAGCAGCCTCAGAAGAAGCTCGTTATAAAACGCTCGAAAGAGATAACTGATCATGACATGAGTAGTCTTGAAGAGAGTCCACGGTTCGAGTCCCGGAAAACAAAGAGAATGGCGGAACTGGCGGGTTTTCAGAGGCAGCAGAGCTTCAGATTGCCGGAGAACTCTCTAGAGCGGAGACCAAAAGAGGATAGAGCGTGGTGGGAAGAAGAGGAGATAAGTACGGGAGGGCACAGGGCGGCGAGGAGAGATTACGATGATATGTCTGTATCAGAAGAACCCAACGAGATAGCTGAGATTAGAAGATACGAAGAGGTAATACGGAGTGAGAGGGAAGAAGAGGAACGACAAAAAGCCAAGAAGAAGAAGAAGAAAAAGAAACTGCAACCCGAATTAGTAGAAGGGTATCTAGAAGATTACCCTCCTAGAAGAAACGATAGAAGATTGTCAGAAAGAGGAGGCCGGAACGTCAGAAGCCGGTATGTCTCCGACTTCGAAACAAATGGTGCTGATTATGCGCCTCAACCAAAACGACGCAAGAAAGGAGAGGTAACGAAAAAAGTCTCTTTGCTTCCATATTTACTTTGTTCACTCTGTTCAATGAAACTCATCTTTGTATTCATTTAACCAAACAGGTTGGTCTAGCGAACATCTTGGAATCGATAGTGGACACACTAAGGCTCAAAGAAGAAGTGTCACGCCTCTTCTTGAAACCGGTCTCCAAGAAGGAAGCTCCGGACTATCTAGACGTCGTTGAGCGTCCGATGGACCTGTCGACGATCCGGGACAAGGTGCGGAAGATAGAGTACAGAGACAGAGAGCAGTTTAGGCACGACGTGTGGCAGATAAAGTTCAATGCACATCTTTACAACGACGGGCGTAACCCGGGGATACCTCCGTTGGCGGATCAGTTGCTGGAGATTTGTGATTACTTGCTGGATGAACACGGAGATCAGTTAACAGAAGCAGAGAAAGGTATAGATCCTAATGATTGAAGAAGCATAGAAGAAGAGGAATCTGTAATCCTCTTATTAGGCCAGAAAAGAAATGGGTTTTTTTCTTTTAGCTTAGCTAAAATGATTTGTACGAAAATAGAAACATTGCCATTTGTCTCTGTAAATTACTAAATTTGAAATATATGAAAAAAAAAAAGAGAGAAAAGAAAAAAAAAAGTGTTTCTTTTGTTTGTAAAATTTTGATGATTTCACTAAAAAATTCATCTTTATACTTGGGCAAGTATCGGATATATCCAAGATCCGGATCCGGATCCACTAATTGCAGATAAAAAATTGGAATTCTCAGAATCAATTTTGTTTCGTCGGAATCAATGGCGTCTCTGACGAGGCAAATTCCACTGACCTCTTCGCCTTCTAAGCTCGGTCGCTTCTCTCTTCTTCAACAGCACCCTCCTCGCAGCTCTGTTATCGCTTTCCGAACTCAGAGAAACCGAAACAATCTACTGAATCTGTGTCGTTCTTCGTCGTCGTCGACACCGCCGATTACAGTGAAGGCTGCGAAGAGGAAGAGGACAAAGTACAGGAAGCAGTATCCAGGAGAGAGCGTTGGGATAACTGAGGAAATGAGGTTCGTGGCCATGAGGTTACGCAACGTTAACGGAAAGAAATTGGATCCGGAAAGCGACGAAGAAGAAGAAGAAGACGATGACGATGAAGTGGAGGGAGAGACTTGGAGGCCGAGCAAGGAAGGTTTTCTTAGTTACTTGGTCGATAGCAAGCTTGTCTTCGATACTATCGAACGAATCGTAGACGAATCTGAGGATGTTTCCTGTAAGCAAAATCCCATTTTTTCTCTTTATTTTTGAAGCTAATTTCACTATGTTGATGATTAGTGGATTTTTGGCAAATTATGCAGTTGCTTACTTCAGGAGAACAGGATTAGAGAGATGTGAAAGTATTGAGAAAGATCTACAATGGTTTACATCACAAGAGATGACGATCCCAGAAGCAAGTCAAGTAGGAGTTTCGTATGCAAAGTATTTGGAAGAACAAGCGAGTGAAAATGCGGCTCTGTTTCTTTCTCATTTCTACAGTATCTACTTCTCACACATCGCTGGTGGTCAAGTTATTGTAAGACAGGTAAAGTTTCTTGAGGATGATGAATAAAGAATCTGATAAACGTCTTTGTTCATAGACCAAGCTTGCTCCTTTTTTCTTCATTATCAAGATGCATCATAGTCCTCAGGTTCTTTAGTTCAGTTGCAGAAATAAAGGGACATGTTTCTGGTTCTTACTTTCTATCAATAATACTCCCATGATTTAGACTTGTTGGTTATGTATGCTTCTCTATATGTGTTGTTTCCAAACGTAACGAAGCGAATGATTGATTGATTAAGGTATCGGAGAAGCTTCTAGAAGGGAGAGAGATGGAGTTTAATAGGTGGGAAGGGGATGCACAAGACTTGCTTAGAGGTGTACGTGAGAAGCTCAACGTTCTCGGAGAGGTAAGAATGTCAATACTATATTACGTCTACATACATTCCTTCAGTTGCTAAAAAACTAATTTTCTCTCAATGGTTTTGATCACTGACTTTTGATATGGTTTTGGGAAAATGAAGCATTGGAGTCGGGACGAGAAGAACAAATGCTTGAAGGAAACTGCAAAGGCGTTTAAGTACATGGGGCAGATAGTTCGCTTGATCATCTTGTAAAAGGAAATCTTGGTTTCAATGTTCATGTTCTTGAGCTGGTGAGAGTTTTATGAAAATCTCAAACTGTTGAAAGAAAATCACATGATAACATATACACTTGCGTGATGGGGTCGATGAAATGGTTGGTAGTAGACCCGGAAGGGTCTTTGATAAGATGATGTTGACGCATCCGTGATAACGCCAGGACGTAGCGGTTTCGTGATAACGCCAGAAGATTTGTCCCAGGAGATTTATCCCACTCGCGTTATCACCAAACCCCTAGATGCGTCAACATCATCATATCAAGACCCTTCCGGGTCTACTACCAATCAATTCATCGACCCCATCACGCAAGTCTACCCCCGGTAGTTATGTTACATGTGAAAGAAAATCTGAAACTGTTGTCTGTTGCAATAGCTTCGTCCAAGTGAAATTTCTCTTTTTGTGTGTACCAAGGGGCCAAGATTTTTCATGAATTTAACAGAACTAGGAAACAATCTAGTCTAGGAGAGAACTAAGAGCTTAAAAAATATAAACTTTTGTTGACAAGAACTGGTTTGTCTTTTTTTGTTTGTCTATCTGATACTCCTCGGTTTCTTTTTGATAAACTTTTTAGGATTTTCACATATATTAAGGAAAATCAGATTTTCAATCATTAGTGTATTGATTTTTGCAATAAAACAATTTTCTATAATTTTCAACCAATCAAAATCTAACAAATACAATCATTGTTTCTTGAAAATTGAAAAAGTGTATCAAAAAAGTAGAAAATTTATCTTTGTAAAACAACAACTAATGTCTAGAAAATTCATCTTAAAAAAACGGAGGGAGTATATGTTAAGAATAATTATCATATGTTAAGAATAATTATCATATATCAGTAAGCTCTTCATGTCTTGGGTATTAGTGAAGTTGATTGGATTTGTCGTCGTCTTCACTAGTTTTATGCACATTTTGCTTCAGTTTTATTGTTACATATACGCGATTCCATTGATTTCTGAATTTCTGCTTCATGACTCTCATGTCGACATGTGAAGTCAGCTCATTTCGGTTGATGTTGGAGTCAAGTCGCTGAAAGAGAATTGAGATTTTTTCCTCTGCACTTGTGTTGAAACCAACCTCAAATCAAAACCACCACGGCATGGAAGCCATGGACGGATCTTCAGCTGGAGACCCAAGAAAGACGTCGAGACGCCACACGAAACATTCATTTCAATTTAAAGAAAGAGTTGGTAACTGGTATTTCTGTATTCTAAGTTGCCTCTTAACTTTTGTGACAAATCTTTAAATGGTAACAGAATTTACAGCTTACCCAAAAAAAAAGAAGTTGAGAGACAAAGGTAATATAGATAAGAGATAGTTCTTCTGTTCTGTTTTATTAGTATTAGATATATTTGATAATCATACATGCAAGTTCAACAAAGAGAGAACTAATTATAAGCTATATGTGGAGCATACGCCACTTATTTCTTTCTTTCTTCGACACCTCAATATACGTAAAGCATAGTAATAAGACCATTATGTATCATGTACCATGCAGAAAAGCCCCCAATGCATAAGAGTATATATATATCGTCACATAAATATGCCGGCGGCAAAAAAAATGGTATCACCGACGATTTTGACAAACCTTAACGTACTATTGAGGACGCCATCCGGTGTGACAAGAGCACAACTATATCCCGGCGGAAGATTAACTACGAGACCGCAGAAACTAGGGCTAAACAAAGCTGTCCTCACGTAGTCGAGAACTATGGTAAACACACCGTTGAGATCAGTCGTTGTTTCAGCGAGGGAAATGTTTGAGCCGCCACATTTTAAGAAAACAGGGGCATTCGAGACAGGGTCAGGCTCTCCGTTAATCCTACAATACACGGCATCCTCAATTACGACTTTGGTTATGTTGTAGCCAGGAATTACTATACCGTGTGAAAGGGAAGAGAGTGAAGCCATGGTGATTAGTATGGTGATGAGATAAACATTTGATTTTTCCATTTCTTTTTCTCTATCTCTCTTGCTTTTGACTGTGTGTGGCAATGAAGCATATGGAACAGGGTATTTATAGAATGGATCATTTAGGTATGCGGTATTGTTACGGTATGTGTTTTCTACTTATAAACTCAATTTGTTCATGTAATTCTTTTTTTTTCAGTTGTATTTAGTTGTAGATAAATGTTATAAGCTTTTCCTAGCCCCTAGGTCACTTCTGATATGGATATTATAATTAATGTATTTGTGTTTTACGTGCACGAGATAATGTTAGTTACTGAAAACTGATAATTGCTTAAGAAAAAACTCCCAAGGAGAAAGAAGTGGAAATACGTGCCCATTCTTTTTAGAAGAGTTCCTATCGTAGTTAATGTGTATTTGTTCGAGTGAAACAAGAAAATACTTACAGGATGTTATTGGATTTGTATTTGAAATGAACTGAAATTTAATTACAATTCAGTGTTATTCAAGTAATTATTCTAAATTATGTTTTAAAATCCATTCTGATTTGTATTCCATTATTAAAGGATTTTCAAATCTAATGTTATTCAATCAATATTTCAAATCATGTTTTAAAATCCAGTGTTATTCAAAACTAAACGACTTTTAAAATATTTATTTATTGAGTTATTTGGAATGAATTCCAATGGATTTTAAGTTATTGTAAGACAGGTAAAGTTTCTTGAGTATGATGAATAAGTAATCTGATAAACGTCTTGTTCATAGAAAGAGTGTTCTTCAACTGCATATATCAAACAGTATAGTATATAGATAGATGATATAAGTTGATTAAGGAGAGTTTTGATGATAATGAGAACAAGAATGGTAACAAAGAAACAATGAGATCCCAAGACCAAGCTTGATCCTTTTGTCTTCATTATCAAGATGTATCATAATCCTTAGGTTCTATGGTTCTATTGCAGAAATAAAGGGACATGTTTCTGGTTCTTACTTTCTATCAATACTCCCATGATTTAGACTTGTTGGTTATGCGTCTCTATATGTGTTGTTTCCAAATGTAACTAAGGGAATGATTGATTGATTGAGGTATCGGAGAAGCTTCTAGGAGGGAGAGAGATGGAGTTTAATAGGTGGGAAGGGGATGCGCAAGACTTGCTTAGAGGTGTACGTGAGAAGCTCAACGTTCTTGGAGAGGTAAGAGTGTCAATACTATATAAATATATATAACTCTTTTTTCGCTCTCAGTGCTTTTGATCACTCACTAGATATGGTTTTGGGAAAATGAAGCATTGGAGTCGGGACGAGAAGAACAAATGCTTGAAGGAAACCGCAAAGGCGTTTAAGTATATGGGGCAGATAGTTCGCTTGATCATCTTGTGAAAGGAAATCTTGTTTTCA